GGCCAAAGCTGGTCGGCACTGGCCAAGATCCAACGCCAGCCGGTTTTGAAGTGGGGGATTTTGGGAGGTAGATTGGGGTGAGTGTCAAGCATCCGGGTTGCGGGGTGGGTGACGCGGAGCGTCTCCCACTCATCGCGAACAACATCGAATAAATACCGGTACTTTTCAACAAAGAAACACGTCAACAGGTGCATCAACATTTGAACAACTTCGAACAAAGAAGAATACTTGGATAATCGACTGCAACATTGATAGAACTCAATCCGACAAGCTCACACAATTCGTTCTGATCCAGAAACAAGATTGTAAAGCACAGAGCGAGGCTCCATCACCTGACGGCGATATTATAGCTAGTACATACAGGATACAGGATATTATAGCTAGTTCACACAATTCGTTCTGATCCAGAAACAAGATTGTAAAGCACAGAGCGAGGCTCCATCACCTGACGGCGATATTATAGTAGCTAGTACATTCAACATACAGGATACTACCGTATATACTTGACACCACGGCAAATCTACAGTATCATGCAGCTCAAGAATCACCCATTCCTCTACGTTAGTCTTACCCTTAATGCCCTAGTGGTCTTTCCATTGACAATTCTTCTCTTGATTGTCAAGCCCGAACGCATGGTCGAGGTTTACGGACCAGATTCCGAAGCTCGCCGCATCTTGGCGTCGATCTACTTTGCCATTGGTGTGGCCAGTGTTGCTGCTATGTTTCGACGTGGCGACAACATGATCAACATGGCCTTTCCAATCTTTTATCTTCAGATCATTTACAAGATCATGACTGCCTTCACGGTTGGATTCCCGAATCCAGTCGTCATTTCCAACGTTGCCATTTCAGCCTTTCACATGATGACCATGTTCCTTGTGGTGCAACAGCAAAAGGCAAATCAAGAAGGCTCCGTGGAAGAGGAGAAGGAACATCCACAAGAAGCTACTTGAATGTGCACCCAACCATATACCCTATTGGTATCATGGAAGATGATTGATTATTCGTCGATTCGATGGACGAACGCGGCTGTTGTGTTGCCCAAATGTTGCTTGCATGATAACAACAGAACATAAAGTTGACTAATTTGAAACAATCGCAATTTTGATTTATTATATACGATTACACTGTCTTTTTTTCTACTTCTATTATACACAAAAATCAATACAGCATATTGATGGATGGCGAGATGCTCTATACCAAGTCTTTTCCTGTATCACACAACTTTTCGCTTCTTCTTGTAGTGAAGAGGAGGTGGTCCAAAGCTTGGGCAAACGGACAATCCCAATCGTCGCTTGACGGCTTCCGAAGTGGAAAAGTCAGTGACATATGGAGCAGCGGTTGGTGCGGGAACCCCTGCAACACTGTGATAGCTATTGACAAGGGAGCTTCCACCATTGTTATTGCTGTTACTAGCATTGCCTGCTATGCGTCTTTCCAACAGTCGTTGTCGCCGATTCAGCAACTGTCGAAGCCGTTTGACAATGATATCGTTGGGCGGTGTTGGCTTTTTCATCACCCAGTCAGTGCCCGAGTCCATAAATTGGTCGTCAATGTCATTGCCAGAGCAGCCAACAATCACCGAATCGATTCCCCGGCGCCTCATGGCCACCACCGTATCAGTGCCAAGCAGAACTCCTCCAGCTTGCTCCATGTGCTGATCCATCAAAATCACATCAAATCCTTGATGCTTGCAAATATCCAATGCCTCTTCTCCAGTACAGGCTTCAGTAATCTTGGCCTTTGGGGCGATTCCCTTGATGACCCTTCGATGAAACATGGTGCGATTCATACGAATATCATCCACAACGAGCAATCGAATGGGGTGTTCCAAAAAGGGGGATTCAGCGGCTCCATCATCATTGGAAGGTTCCGAACAGCTCGGCAATGGCATTTCAATCACACAGCTGGTTCCTGGATGCGATGCTGGGTCACTTTCGAAAAAGATTTGACCTCCCGTCAAGTCGACCAAGTGCTTGGCAATGGCCAAACCCAGACCTGTCCCCGGAGCACCGCCACGTTGGACAAATCGATGGAATAGCTTGGTTTGGTCGTGCTTGGGGATTCCGGGACCCGTATCCTTACATTCAAATCGGACCAAGTCATCCTTGGCACTCACAGTCACCACAATGGATCCACTGGGGGTGTACTTGATGGCATTGGTAATGACATTCGTCAAGACTTGTTGAATCCGATGCGAGTCACCCATGACCCAATCCTTGTCTCCCAAATTGTAATGCGTCAAAAAGGTGACTCCGCTCCGAACCGAAGGAAGCAACATGGTGCGGACACGTTCCATCAAACCAGTCAACGAAAGTGGCATTTTATTCAAGACCATCTTTCCTTCTTCCATTTTACGGACATCCAAGAGATTGTTCATGATCGAGGACATGAAACTGGCACATTGAGTCATCGAATTGACCAATTCGGTCGACTCGGCCGTCAGCGGCATGTCCGGCATGAGCTTGAGGGCACTGTCAATGGCATGAAGAGGATTCCGCAATTCATGGGCAAAATAGGCAGTCATGTTGCGTTCCGTTTCCAATTTCGCTTCTTGGGATGCTCGAATGTATTGCATTTCCCGCAATTCTTCCGAGTGCTTGCGATCGTCCGTAACGTCTTGGGCCACACCCACCACTCCCACAATTTCGCTATCAATGTTACGGCGAGTGGTAGCATTCACAAGCAAATATCGTGTCTCGTTTGTCTTGGTACGAAATTCCAATTGGTAGTTGGAAGTTTCGTTGCCTTGGAGCGCGGCATCTAAGACGTCTTGAACGGACTCTCGTAAATTGGGAACAATAAAGGTAGACACTAATGGCTGATGGAGGGCTTCTGCTTTCGAGAATCCAGTAATTTCCGCCGTCTTATCATTCCATTCATTGACATTGCCGTCCACATCAATCCCAAAAATGGGAGCATTGGCAGTTTCCACCAGCTGACGGAGTTCTCGGTTCATGGACGCTCGATCGTGCAAGGTCACTTCGGTAACATCTTGAGCAAAGACCATGACACCTAGAACTGGGCCATTTTCATCACCATTCGCTCGTCGTGGGGTGGTACTCAACAACAAGTGACACTCCTTGCGCTCCTGTGATTGAACAAAACAAAAGGCAGAAGCAGGTGTCAGAATTCCGTGTACAATCATCACCTTGATATTACATTCTGTCATAGTATGCATCTTTTCCATCTTTACCTTGGTTCTAAATTCCAACTCATACGTGGTCGTTTCCTTTCCTTCCAGGGCTCGTTGCAGAATTTGATCTACCTTCGATCTCAACTTGGGCAAGACAAAGGTCTGGGAAAAGGGTTGCTGCATGGCCTCCTCTCTAGAGAATTCCGTAATTTCGGCCATTTTTTTATTCCAGGCATTCACTTTGCCATCCATTCCGATGCCAAAGATGAGCAAATTGGAACTGTCCAATTGCCGTTGCAATTCAGATGATGATCCGGATGACGATGAAGAATCCTGAAGAGTCATGATTGCATCCTTCTTGTTGTGATCATTGCTGTTATGCTGCGAACCAGCGGCACCGTCACCTTGGGTATTCATCAATGGTTCCGATGGTTCAACAACTTGAGCCATGCAGATGGCTCCTACTATGGATCCGGAATTGCTTCGTTGTGCCGAAACATTCCATAGAAACTCCTGAATGGATGATTCTCCGTTCCTTATTATATTCATTTTCACCTTGTGATTGCTGGTAGCTTCACCTTTAAGTGCCAAATCCAGGACTTTGGAGACTTCTTGTTGTTGCTCCGATGCTGATGAAAAGAAGGTGGAGGATGCCAGAGGCTGCTTCAGGACGGTGTCTTTGCCGAATCCTGACACCTGAGACATTTGCCGATTCCAGAGGTTAATCTTGCCATCTTTGTCAATGCCAAAGATGCACATATTGGAGCAATCTAGAAATGTTTGCAAGTCGCCTTCATTGGCAGTGCTAGTAGCAGACTTCGAAGAAAGACCAGCCTTTTGCAAAGTGCTGCTTGTAGATGAATGCTCCCGCTTGTGTTTCTTGGTGCTGTTGCTCGCACCTCCGTTAAGCTGAGGCTCTACAGACGGAGACAAGGCTTGACTAGCTTGTGCTGAAGGGAGTGACGACGAGGAAGAGGGTGCGGACTGCATGGTTGCTTTGTTGTCTACAATACTGCAGCAGTAGTACTGATAGTTTGATTGGATGATTCGCAGCGATTTCTAAAATGATTCTGGATTTTATCGCCGAGGCGAAGGCCGAAAGTTGGTAGACTTGCCATATGCCTGCGCTTCGCATTGTCAGTTGTCAGGGGCAAATCAATTCAATAATCCACGAACGTACTTGAAGCTTCTTTTCGGAGAATTATAATTATTGCTAAAAGGATATACTATTGAAGGTAATATTACAAAAAACACTTTTTCCCTGAAGTTGACCGGATACACCTAGAGAGAAGCATTATTCCTTGAAGTTGGCTGACAAGAAGTCTGTGAAATACTACCATACGCGCTGGTGTACACGTACCAGATATACTACCGGCACGGGTACCGAATTTTCACGAAAAACACCGCACCATACTGTACGTGTGAACTTTTTACCAACCTGGGACTGTAAGACACAAGTAAGAACCCCGCATTTTGGAATTTCTCGTTGCCGTAAAAGGTTCGAAAGGTACCAGGTACCAGTACTCCTTGGTACAATTGCTTGAACTTGAAGTTTCCGACTTCAAGAACTGACGCACTTCGACATATACTACTATTAGGGGTACGAGGTTCTACTTCTGGTACCAGTACCCCTTCTTACTCTCAGATGTAAAGTATTATGGTACCACTCTTCAAGGCTATGAACAAGTCCCAATAATGTTGGTATCAATCCCGGGTTTGCTTCAATGTTTACAAGCGCCATCCGCTAGGTACCGAACCCAACAATAGTTGATGATGCCGAGTCACGTTCTATCGTCCTCGTTGCTTTCTTCTATGCTGCTGCTTTTGCGCCAAGAAGTTATGGTAGAATCAAGCCTAAATTGATGATGTGATAGCCTGATGTGATAGCCTAACATTCGTAAACAATCACGAACTCTATTTTTGACTACGGTATCCCCATCACTCCAACCACTCCTACTATCTAGATGAAGATAGCGCTCCATCCAAAGACGGTGCTGGTGGCTCTGGCTTCTGCTTTTTGGGTGGTCGTTCCTTCTTGGCATCACCCTTATTCTTTCTCTCTGCTTTTTCATTATCAGAACCAGGTGGGGCTCCCTTTTTGCGATCCCACTTGACTTGCATCTTTCGCGATTGAAGTTCGGTGCCATCCAACTGATCAATGGCACGTTGGGCTTGAGCGCTGGTTAAGAATTGAACCGTACCCCATCCCTTGCTTTTGCCTTCGTGTTCCGCAATTTCCACGTGCTCCACTTGTCCAACCTTTTTGAAGACGTCTTTCAGATCTTGCCAACGACATTCAAAGTCCAAGTTGCCGACAAATACTGTCGTATTGGGCAATCCATCATCGTCATTCATGGGGCGTGCCGATGACGACGATGTTGCTGATGGTTTGCTATCCCGATCCCACTTGACCTTGAGCGGACGGCCTTGAAAGTTGTGAGAATCCATTTGGTTCAATGCCTTTTGAGCATCCTTTTGGTTTCCAAAATCGACCAGGCCAAATCCCTTGCTTTTGCCATTGGGGGCTTCGGCAATTTCCACATTGATCAAGCGTCCGAAGCGAGAAAAGAGATTGCGCAAATCGCGGGGACGGCAATCAAAGTCCAAATTGCCCACATAGAGGGTATGAGAACCACCGCCGCCAGCACCTCTGCCGCCACCCCCAGCACGATCATCGTCACGATCATGCCCACCACTGCCCCATGCCTTGACAATCAAATCACGGCCTTGAAACTTGGCACCATCAAATCGACGAATAGCATTTTGGGCATCCCTAGGATGCGAAAAGACTAGCTTGCCGTATCCCTTGGATTTTCCATTGGGTGCCATCATAATGTCTGCCTTGTCAATGTAACCGGATGGTTTGAACTTGTCTTTTAGGTTTTGCCAAGTACAATCCCAATCCAAATTGCCTACATAGACAGCACAATCGTCCACTCCACCGCCACTGGAATAGTTGTTGGTGCGTTCGCCTGGTGGTTGCTTGTCGGGTTGTACAAAAAGCTTGCGGCCATCGAGCATGCTTTCGTTCAATTCGCGAATGGCGCGAGTGGCATCCCGAGGATCTTGGTAGGTGACAATCCCACAGCCTTTGCTCTTGCGCGTCTGGCGGTCTTCTAGAATAGAAGCCTAAATACAGTTTTGCAATGATTGAAGAAAGGCGCAACAAAAGAATTGAAAGGAGAGCAAAGGAGAAACACTATATGTGAGACAAAGGTGCATGTATAATTGCACATCAGATTTCTTCATATCTTCAGACATTTCATTTATCGGAATATCACATCATCACGCCAAACGAGTCAAGTCAAGTCAAGCAAAAATCAAATCAAATCAAATCACATCACATCAAATCAAAAAAGCCAATTCGATTCTAAACGTACGGAATCAACATTCCCAGCCCGTCTCATGTGATCCTTCAAGGCTTGCCACTTCGTTTCAAACCTCAGATTGCCGACAAAGACTGTGCAAGACTCATCATTGCTCAAAGATTTGCGACGCTTATTGCGGTTTCTTTCGGGGGATACTGAGCTTCGTTTGGGCATTGTTCGGTGTTAGAGAATTGAATCCGACGACAAACCAACGAAAGAGAGGGCAAGAGGGAAGAGATGGTATCGGTAGGTTGCATACAATAATACAGGTATAAGACCTCTGAAGATGTTGATCGAGGGGCTCCAATGCGATATGAATTTGAAGGACTGACGACAGACGGCACAATATCGACTGACTGACTCAACAGACCGCTTGTCTCCGTTCCGACGTCTCTTGTGACACCAAATTGTTAGCACGCCCGCTTGTCAAAACCATGAGAATAATACAAAACTTTCGCGACGAACGAATTGACTCGTGAGAGAAGCAGCAGTTGAAGAAATAGAAGAACAATAATCGATCATCGCTATACCGGTATATACAAAACTATCATCTGCTTGTCGTTGAATAAAATAGAACAGTATTGTATACTACAACCTCCCCCCTGACGGATTATGAAAACCTTCCTTCTTTCTATCATTGTTGTTCTGTCTGCAATTACTGTTTCTGCCAGACTTGCTCCTCCCAAAGAACGAGAATTGTTGCGACTCCCAGGCACGAATCGTTCCGCTTGCGAATTGATTCATCAGGAAGACTTGCCGGAAGAATGCACTTGCCGTGAGCCTGATGCCTATGGCTTGGTCATCGAATGCCTCAAACCCTTTGACTCTCTCTATTTGAATGACACGATTGGTATGAAGATCAATTTGGATCCTTGCAATCCAGATGGCTCTTCGTTGAGTTTGGATGTCACGGAAGCAGAACACAATGTGGACATTACCATTGTGGGCGTCAAGGCGGGAGAACAGCAGAATTTCCCCATTCCTGGCCTTAGTGTAATCGTGCCCACCATTGGACATTTGGGTGTGGACGTGGCCGTCCTCATTTATGGGAATCCTGATAGACTCAGCGTCAAGGTGGGCCTGAATGCTTGCATGGCAGCTGGACCACAGCATCAATACTGCGCTTCGGGTATTCCGGGGTTGTCTCGAGTATTGCCCTGGTATGTACTGAAGGGAACTTATGCATTTGGGGACTTTTGCAATAGTACCAATGCTACTTCCAGTCTTCCAGCTCTACCGTTATCAGATGATATCGACGCAGTCGCCAAGTTTCAGTAGTACTACTGTAGGTGAATATATCTTAGCACGGTACTACCGGTATAGTATAGTATCAGAAATGTAACATTATTAATATCATAATTATCCTAGGGATGCAATGGCTAAATCAATTCATCGCAATCAGCAACATAGATTATATATTGAATATATGTAGATTGAATATATATCAATCTACATAGTCCTACATGAAGTTACAGTATCATAGTACACTGGTTCATCTACTACTCGGAGCTACAAGGGCACTGACTGGTTTCATTCCAAACCGACATTAATGCACGAACAGTTCCGTCAACAAACAAATTGGGGTCGGTATCGTCACTTGGGAATTCACCAGTTGGAAGACCTTCTCGACTCAAGGCCAGAACATTCAAATTCTCATTCATTTCCAAGAGATTGGGAATCTGTGATGCATTCAAATCGGTCAAGTTGAGAGTCTGCATCAATGCTGTCAAGTTTTGTTCCAATCCAGTCTGGGCCCATTTGTCGACACCGACAAACTCATAGTCAGGCTCATAGTCGTGAGTGTACAGCCAAGTTGTCAAGGCAGCCAAAGCAACAAAGCCCAAGAATAGGACCAGAACGAGGATTCCACACTTTCTGTCTTTTCCGATTTCGTGTACGATTGGCTTCTTGGTTTGCTTGCCGCGATTGAATCCATGCATGGCCAAGAAGCCAAGGTACCGAACGGTGATTCCGACAAAGATAGAAGGCAAAATGCCCCAATACCAACCGCCACAATCATAGATCGTGGCATTGGGATCATGCCGGGCATAACTGAAGCGATTGTAGGCCATGAGCGTATTGGATCGGTCGAAGTTGATGGACTCTGTGGAAACTGTCCAACCAGATTGTTCGGGAAGGCAACGATGCTCACTAGCAGCAAGTCCTTCCAAGAAAAAGCGAGTCACTGATAGCCAAGCAGCAAGGTGCTCCACAATGTCACCCTTGTAAATGGCTTCAAAATTGATGGGAGGGATAGCACCTGAAAGAAGTAAACCGAAAAAGGCAAAGAAGGCACCAAGTACAGTACTGACATTGTCGGCTGGCATAATCATGGGAAATAGTAGCGACCAACTCACAACGGTCCAGGCCATTACCAAAAAATGAGCCACAAAAACATCCCACCTTGCGATGGGTTCTCGTAGCATGGCCGAAATGAGGGCTACCATCAAAATTTGGATGCTCGTTTCCACGGTAGCCATGATATTGACGGCGAGCAAATAAGCATTGGAATCGTATCCAGAGCTGGCCTCTCGAAAGAATTCTAACTGTTTGCTAGTCAAAATACGACTTGTCTGGAGACCAACCAAGACTGCCGTAATTAGACCAATTTGCAATGGATAACTATAGAAGAGGAAGTGATGATGGAACAGTAACAAAAATGAGAACGAATGGATACCAGAATCTTGACAGGATCAATGCTGTACGCATGAACAATACTTACGTTTGCTGAATAGTCGCAGCATACTTGAAGAGTTGCGCCACAATTCCGGGAGCACTTTTTTGGTCAAAGGATACAAGTGATTCGAATTCAATGCTTGGATTGTCGGCACGAGTTATCTCGGGCAAGCCAGAAACCAACGAAATAACGACAGCCGCAACAATGAGAATGATTGTATCGACCATTTTGGAAGCCAGATTTCGATAGGATACCAAAACACAACGTCGCAGCTGTGTCACAAGCTGAGCAGAGAATGACTGCCTTTCTTTTGCACCAGGCACCTTAGTCACTGGAGGAACTTCGTAGATTAACTTTTGTTCACTGTCGAGGCCATCAAAGTACTTTTTCCATTCCTTGTAGAGCCATTCTCTGCGCAATGCGGCATCGGTGATTGCTTCCTTGGCTTTACCCATAGCAATACCCTTCTTTCCGACTGCCTCTGTCATCACTCGTGGAGTAATCGCAACCACCTTCTCGCCGTCATTATCGTCTTTATCCCTTTCTTGAGCCTTTGTGGCCGCCACCTTTGGATCCGGATGGATTTGTCCAGCACTAATGTCAATTAGCCAATCCGCCAACGCTTCTCCAGCAGGTAGCACATAGTCCAAAGCAGAAAAGTAATTGTAAGCTCCCTTGGCGGGTCCACTGTACACCGTGTTCCCGCCAACACCCAGCAAGACTAGACAGTCAAACAAATCAAAGATAAACTTTCGTGGCTGGTGAATCACAGTCACAATGGTAACTCCCTCCGAAGACACCAGATTCTTCAATGAACTCATCACCAACAAAGCCGAGCTCGAGTCCTGTAGTCATATGAGAAGTCAATCATGTGAGCAGCAGCATGGTAAGTACAATGGCAATGATGTATTATCTCAGTAATAAGTACTCACAAGACCAGATGTTGGTTCATCCAAAAAGAGACACTTTGGACGTGACATTAACTCCAAACCAATATTCACGCGCTTCTTTTCACCACCAGAGACACCACGCCTCTTGACGTCTCCGACCAAGCTGTTTGCGACACGAGAAAGTCCAAGATTGGCCAAAGTCGAGTCTGCAAGATCTTCAATCTCATCAATAGCAGTACCACGGGGGAGACTGAGCTTTCCAGCAAAAACGAGGTTCTCCCGAACTGTCAATTCAGCATACACGACATCGTCCTGTGGGACAAAGCCGATTACGTCTTTGATTTCTTCGATTTGCTTCTTAGTTCCATTGATGTAGGTGTCGCCAATGATATTTCCATAGTAGGCTCTGCCACATAGGGCATTGAGTAAACTGGTCTTTCCAGCACCACTTCCGCCCATGAGAGCTGTCATGGTCTTGGCTTGAAGTCTTCCCGTGACATTGTTGACGACGTTGATTTCCTTCTTGGCAACAGTGACTTCCAAGCAGAGATCCTTAAAGCAAATGTCGACACCATTCGAATTGTCTACATGATCATTCTCGGTATAGACTTGCATCAATAATGTAGGGTAATGTAGGACAAATACCTCTCGAGTAATACCCGAGTAACGACGATGAACACCGCTTCTGCGCGACTCATGTCTATTTGATGACGGAGCTTCTTCATCCATGGAGTTGAGTTGTCGAAATTTCTAAACGAGAGACAAACCGTTAGTCGAATGGTTTTAGTGATACACTCGGGTGTCAGCATTGGGCAAGTGACACACCTTGATCAATAGCATAATTTCGTAATCCGAAAGAATGTTCGACAGCACCGAGGTGTAAAGCATCCCTTCTTCCACTTCCTTAGCCTGGTTGTCTTTCAAGATGTTATCATAGATTGCGGCTGCCTCGGCTGGGGAAACCTTCAGGTTCACAGTACCTTCCAGAGCCTTGAGAAAATTGTTTACGAAAACAGGTCTCGATACTGAGTCTTCCTTTGTACTCGTTATTTCCTTTGCATCTGCTGCTTTGTTCATACTAGCAACAAATACTTCCAACTCTTCATCGTCAAATCCTAGCACAGCGTTGAGTTCTGCGTATTGCAAATCCCCGTCATTGTTGGTATCCAAAGCATCAAAGATGCCACGAGCGTCGAACTCTAACTTTTCTTTGTCTCCATCAGTCTTGCTAATCCTGATCAAATTGCTGTTGCAACCTGAATCGTCGTTGCTCATGCCCTCGAGTCGCTTGGCAATCACCGCCAACTTAGGCCGGAGTTTGTCAAGCTGATTCTGCTTCTGTTTTTCAATCTTTGCCGAATTCTCGCCGACTAGTCGGTAACTCAAAACTTCCACTTGCTTGGCGAGCAGATGTTTAGTTCGTTTGTAAACGATCATTGAAACAGTGCCGATAATAATGAAAACGACTAACAAGGTAAGGACAACCTGTAGCCCAATGTCGCGTTCGAGTGCCGTTGCTCCCTCGCCGCAACCTGGACAGCTGATCTGGGGTGTAGCCGTCTTATAAGGACAAAAGTACCCGGCAGGGCAATTCAACTGCTCTTCTGGGTTCGGACAATACTTTCCTCTTGGGCAATTCTCCATTCCGATTTTACCCTCTGGACAGTATACCCCCGCAAATACGTCTTTGAATAATGAATGAAACGTGAGACACTATGGATTGAATATGGCAATGGAACCTTAGCACTTCTTGCCTCACCTCCAATGAAAAACTTTTGTGGTATTTGTCTAATTTCCGAGCACAATGACTTTTGAGTTAAATCCTCATTGCACACGAAACCCAAAGGACAGGACAATCTTAGAAGAACGAACGGGAAGAAATCAGAATTTTGATGGTGCATGCCAGAACAGCAGCAAGACAAACAGGAACACAGCAGGGACTTACTCGTCATTATACATGGGACGAACTTCTGGAATGCAAACTTGAGAAGCTGCCAAAGCGCAGGTCTCGTCCCAAGCAAAGTCGCAACATTGTGTTTGATTCAACTGTGTGCAAATCCGTGTCATGCAATAGGGATCGTTGCACTTCCCAAAGATGCTTGCATTTCTACAGGATTGGCAGCCTGGACGTGTCTCATCCAGCTGGCAATTAGAGAAAGGCCTGCTAGTCATGTAGTGTATTTTTTTAAAAAAAAGTAAGGATGGTGCCTGCGATGACTGATGATATGATTGCAGCTGAGATGTGTTTTGGAGAAACTTCAGAGTGCGTATCTTTGGATTTCACAAGACTCGCAAATTGAAAATGTCGCGGATCTGGGACGGCCGGGAAAATCAATATTTACTCCCAAGAATTGTATGCTAAATATCTATTTCCCGGCCGTTCCCGGGTCATAATTCTTTTTCCGAGATTGTCGAGTCACTATTGCAGCATTTTAGAACCGAAGATATGCATGCCTTTTGGACGGTACCGGTACACGTACACGGACGTGCACACAAGAGTTTTCAGGAAAAAGGTACACTTAAATATATAATATATATGAAAGTACAAAGAGATTCAGATTGATTCATTCATTCAATTAGTGGTCGTGAGCTAGTACGGTACTACTAGCTAGTAGTAGCGAGAGGGCGCATTCTTGTTTTCCAATTGCTGTTGCCGTTTCAGATCACAAGAAGTCAGTGCAAGTGTTGACTTTGAGACCACGTGCCAAGTAATTAGGGAGTAGTATGGTAGGTAGATACTGGATCTGGTATGAAGAAGAGTAGCGTAGAAATGTTGAAAAGTGTATTTTAAGTTTTAAAGCTGAAAAGTGCACTGTAAATGCAATAAATATATTTTACATAGGTTCCCTACCCGGTATATCACAATGGTGGTCTTTCTCTCTCTCTCTCTCTCTCGTTGGATTACGAGAAGCTCCTTCTCGGAGAAGCAAGAGAAGACGAGGCTGTGATTGTGGACAGAGTGGAGGATGCAGCAGAGAATGATTCAGAAACTGAACCAGTCTCGGAGCCACCAAGCGATAGTGGCTTGGAAGACAATCCAATCTTTCCACCCGAGCTCATTACAGGAAAATATCGCTTCTCTCCTACCATGGCCACCAAGGCATCTTTGCCGGCGGTGCTTGGATTGTTTTTCCATGGGCAATCTTCAATCTCCTTGATACTCTTTTCGACATTCTTGACACCCGGCGCGATCAGGCCCAGTTCGATATGATTTTGAAATGCCTTCATACCAGCAATAACTCGAAGGATATGAACGTATTCGTGTTGGATCTGCTTGGTCTTTTGCATGGTAGAGATGGCCATCTTGTCATCCTTTCCGTAGAGACATTCCATTAGCCTCGCCGTGTGATGAATTCGCATGGTAAGCCCACTCAAGTAGTCTTCTTGATGATCAATGGCATCACGGATCAGTGCGATGGCAGGTTCGATCTTACTGGGAGAAGGCTTCTTGCCTGGTTTCGGTAGCGAAATCGTCGAAAATCCTTTGGTGGCAATGTCTCTGACTCTTTGTTGCAAAACAAACTCGTTGCCAAATTTGATGGAGTCGGAAGTATCAGAAAACATGATTCTGGTTTTTGGTAATTCAGTATGGGGTAGGTAGGTGAGATAAAGAGCGATGGCTTTGCTTATTCTGAAAAACTATTTGATGGATTTCGAAAGTATGAAGCGGCTCTACTGCGGTATTATTGTGCGGATGCGGGCAGAATGAATTTTAATGCGATGGGAGAGTTCTGCCGCAGAAAATGAGGAAAACGCGCGCCTACATATATGTTTAACCTGCCGTACCGGTAAATATAATTGAGTACCGGAGATTCAAGATTGAATCTTGAATATGCTTAATTGATATCGAATCTTCATTTGAAATTCGCAAGTGTTAATGAACAAGTCTTTGATGACTGTTGGTGAAAACTGAGGGTTCTCAACGAGTGGTCGCGAGTCATAGATTCATTTGTATGGTGAATATCTGTTGACAAAGTGGGTGCAGACGACTGATTTCATAATTCGTCCGTGACCTCTTAGAATCTTCATACATTTAATGAAACGTAGGAGCTCAGAATTCTAAATTGACCGGACAAAGATGAAATTTCGTTTGCGTTAAATAGTGCTAATGAAAAAGAAAAAAAAATGGTGAAAAACCGGTAGGGATGACGTGAAAAAGACCTAACTGCGGTTCAATCAAAGCTTGCTTTTTCAGTACCAGGTACCTGGTACCGGTACACGTGTACGTTTACCTCCTGTACCGGTATGAATGACATCGATGATTGAACCGTGATCTGACCGCATTTGGCTCAAACAGGAGGAGACGCGCGACCCAATCGCTGGTCGGTCGAGCTACGTCTGCCGGTTCGACCGTCCCATAGTATACACCGGTTTTATCTCTCATCATCATACCGTACCAGTACTCAATCTGAAATGATACGCAGTCATCATAGTGGCAATTGCCGTGAACCTGACCGTGGTTTGTCTCTTTATTATTGCGCAATCAAATTGGAGACCAATGAGCATGCATCCGTACCACTTCCAAAGCTGACTTCCAGTATTTCCATCAAGAATCATCATGGAGGTTTTGCCAGATGAAACAAGCTATAACTGCTGTCATGATTTGCGGGAAATAAAACTGCCGGAAAGAAGGATTGCTCCGCATCAGTCATTTAACGTTTGCAAGTTGCAAGAGCTTATTGTTGGAAATCAAGATATGTTCCACGATATGCGAGTACGAGTAATCTATTAATTGGGACGGCTCCTGACAAAAGTAAGAGTTTGAATGTCCATCCTATTCCGCTCACCACCTACAGTACTGCTAGAGACAACTGGCAATGCCGCTTTCTGTGAGTGAACTTCGAACTTCATTACAACGAAGCAATCAAGATCCCTTCGTCTGTGAGCTGGATTGGCCGACAAGCCTTTAAGGACTGTGACGCCTTGGTGGAAGCAGACTTGTCAACAACTTCCATCACGCAGATACATCACAAAGCTATATGTTTCTATCGTTCTATGGTTGTGGCTCGCTGCAAGCCGCGAGCTTACCAAGAACAATGGAGCGTATTTTGCGACCAAAGGATCGGCTACAACAAGGCCCGATCAAGATTGGAGAAATGAGCAGTCCTCTTGTCAACATTGTCCTTCCAAAAGGGTCCGCACTGCCCACGGATCGGCGTTTTATCATATATTGTACACCGTTGCGCGAATGCTTTGGTACTATATATATAAGCAGCCATCACGTAGATGGTATTGTCCACGGCTCGGTACACCGGCGGTTTGACAACCTTTCTCTGCACAAAATCTGCTACGACCCTCCGTCCTCATTAGATCTTTGTCATTGCATTGGGAGGACAACAAAACGAACAACAACAATTCACCGCTCGTGGATAAGTTTGGAATGACGCCGCATTCCACGTCCTTTTTTTTTTTCCACTCCCGAGCCAGGTGAATATGTTACTCGAACTCTGTCCAACGACGACAGTCAGTGACAAACGACCATTGGATTATTCTCTGCTGGCCCGCATCATCATTGGACGGAAGCTTCCGCATTTTGTTTGCTTCGAAAATCAATGCAACGATGGATGGAGGGATGGATGGATGAATCCAATTGTTCGGTGGGGTGCTACCTTGTGGATGGAAGAAATGCAAAGCAAAAAGTACAAGACGAGGACGAGTTTGACCCAACAGCTTTGTTCTATGACGCGTATGGTGTCTTTTCCTATCACAAAAAAGAAATGTGGAAGCCACGTCAATCTTGGAAATGACCTTGTGGATAAAGCAACTCAAGGGTTGACTGAGCAAGAATGAGATCAAGCAACAGGCGCTAGACCGAGAAGAATCCCGGTGTGTCTTTGGATCGGACGTTGTGATTCCCAGTGTGGTGATGTTCTTGGGAATCAGCAAATATCCCTAGCTAGTGACGTTCTTGGGACTCTGCAAATATATCTTTATCTACAGTGTACTGCATCAACCTCAAAATGATTAGCAACTAGGAGAGATTTACAGGTCCCATGCTTTCTATAGAACAGCATCATGTGTTCTTATCAATCAATAGTACAGAAGTATATAATGATGGAGGCATTTCATTGAAAAAATTATGTTTGTATTAGATGCAGCAGTTCATCTTCATTTGTATCATTATATTTTTTAAAATATTTTATATCTTCTAAATCCTATGTTGTATTTTCGTTTATTATCCGTGTTCCATTTGCGTGCTCGACATATACATAATATACAAAGATACCCTAAAAATGCTCTCTAGGCAGCAGACGTCACCACAGTGTTGGCTTCTGGCTGATCTGATTCGCTGAAAGGAGACTCTCTACTGTATGAAATGGCCCCGGCCGAGTCCATGATGGGAAAGAACTGTTTGGCCGCCACCTGAGACAAGATTTCAGTGTCATTGTATTTGGAAGCCTTGGTGTTTTGAGCCGACTTGATCACATCAACGTCCTTTGGAACATGCTTCGTACTCAACAGCCCAGTCTGGACATAGGTTTCGTACTCTTTCAGAGCATTCACGACTCTAAGAACATGAACGTACTCTTGTTGAATCGACTTTACCTTGCGCATGGTGGCCACTGTCATGGTGGTATTCCCCTTTTTGAAGAGTCGTTCTGCCACTCGTGCCGTATGGTGGATTCGTAGTGCCAATCCACGCAACAGGTTCTCCTGCTCCACGATTGCATCGGCAATGGTCACAAGCGCAGCCTCAAGCTTCTCACTTGCGGCCAACGGCTCCACAGCCTTTGGAACTGCAATCTTGGAAGTCCCCCTTGCGGAGATATCCTTGACGCGTTGCATGAGAATGAATTGTTTTGCGAACGTCATAGTTGATATAGTTGATTGATCTATGTTTGCTTTTGTTTTGTTTTGCTTTGCTTTTGCTTTGTTCTGTTTTGGTTAATTAAATCAATCGTACAACGAGGTTATTTGTTAAAATATTATGCTTCTGTGCACCATCATTGCAGTACTACTCTGGTACAATACTTTCCATGTTTCTTCCACTCTTCTCAACATTCTCGATCGGAACGTCAGTTCGAGAAGGTTTCGAAGACTTTTTTTTTAATCTTGCGATGAGTAAGCGAGTGACAGTTGAGTCAGTCAGTCAATAGTCGTAAATTTCGATCGAACTGATCGATTCAGATTTCGATCAAAAGGTACGTTGGCCGGTGTGACTGCTTGCTTACTTCCGTTTGAGATTTGGGAAGATGACAAACTCGCCTGGTTTCTTCCGTAATCCATTGCTTCTATTTGATCGCGGAGAACTTGAATATATCTGTTTCCCATATAAAGAAGTAAAATCGGACAAAATGACGTTGCGAACACTATCTGGCGGCAAATCTCCATAAACACTTCGGCATTTTGGCCAAACATCAGAACAATGCATACTTCTCTCCAAAAAACGTTATCCTTCACATTTCTGTTCCTTCCTTCCATCCACAACAATAGTACAAGATGCAGTCTTCTCTACCGGTAACAACCAAAGGAGAGAAGAAAAAGGTCAATTTCAGAAATTCGATCTCTAGAGGCTCGAAGGAGTTCAATATCAAACAAGGCTCGAAAGAGCTCACTGTAAATACTCCAAATGTACATTCACTGGTACGACAACGGGAACATGAGATTGTGCGTAAAGGATTCACCACCATTGAACTTCCTCAGAACGTCGACAAGTTGGAGGAGTTGAACTCGGATTTGTTATCGGTAAAGCGGCTGGTCGATAAGCAGATTGCGAAACAGGCCAATCTTCTGCATGGTCTATCCATCCGAATCTATCACAACACCCAGCTGGCACATGTCAAGTTGAGGTCGGAAGAGTTCACTTTCCTTTCCTGTATGACAATGCGAAAGGTCAAGGCCGCCCAACATGAATACATGGAAGCCCTCCTCATTCTAAAAGGCCTGGAAGCCTTCCGAACCCACCTTTCCTATGGATTGGTGAATGCCAAGACCGCCACGAGGGACCTTGCGGCCATCCAAGGGGCCCATGGAAGCCCCAAGGCGGGAACGGTCCGAAAGCCAAAGGGTCGACGATCTTCCTATTCAGACGAATCTCTGATGAAACAATTGAAGAAAAAAGAGTTTTTCCCCATTCTGGAAACACAACCAGATGGAACCGCCCTATTTATTTACAGTGACACGGCTCCCTTTTGCAATCATGCCGTGGCACTCCACAGAACCAAAGAGATTGCGACCGAGGGATACTCCATGGTCAAGTTGCCATCTGGGTACTCCAAGCTTAATAACCCTTGTGCTGAAACCAAACATGCTTTTGGCCTAGTACAACAAGCCCGCCAAGACCAAGTACTCGCCTTGAAACGACACGTGGTCAAGCTGCAAGTGGCAGTCGACATTGCCGAACGATACTTTATTGCAGGACACGAAAGACTTTCGGCCAAGGGGATGAAAAAGGTCAAATTCATTCAGCAAGAATACCTTCATATTTTGAGATTGATTGAAGCCTTCAAGGCGTTTGAAGGCCATTTGCAGTATGGGTTTATGAACCTGGACACGATTGAGGACGATATCGAGGAAATCAAGTCAGTTCCATCTTCCAAGACACCATGCACCGAGTGTGATGAAGATCTTGTCACGCAGCTAATGGATCAAAAGTTCTTTCCCATGCTCTTTCCTTTGCTTGGAGGAGGTGTCAAAATCCATTACAGCCACAATCCTCCCAAGGATAGATCATCACCATCTTCTCCAAATTCCAATAGCCAAGACTCTCGTCCTTCCATTCCCAATGCTCGTCGACTGAGCGTGGGTAACATGGCGGGCGCAGGTAAAGCGCCGGGGAAAGCAGGAAGACGACCCTCACTCAGCGGGATTGTCAACCGCCCTGCCTCCGCTCGCCGACTGCGTGCTACGGGATGAATGGAATGGGATGAACTCAAATTTCAAGACTTTACAGTAGCGTCTCATTCATTCAATCAATCATTCATTCATTCATTCAATCATCATGTATTATCCTATCATATGTAGATATAATTTTTAATCTTTTTCAAATTCCCATGCACTAGATAGTGTTGTGACGAGTGCCCATCTATATTATAGAATCACTGCTTTGCGAAGAGTGGTTCCATACGGGAACAGAATACAAAAGAGTCAGTCGTTCGGAACAAGATCAACCCCACTTATTCAACTACGAGTGATACCGCATGGGAATAGCAATAGATTGTATTGTAACATGTATTTATATAGCCTATCTATTATATATTTGTGGTTTGAGGGAGTCTTCTTTTCTTTTGAACCCTCCCCCCATCATCGTACTAGCTAGCTAGTTGGCTTATGCAGCTGCAGCTGTCCCGGCATTTGCGCTTACATTGACCAAAAAGTCATGCATATGTTTCACCTGCGTACTGCACCCACGATCGATAAAGACCATGAGCAAAGAAAGTAGGAAGTCGAAGCATTTCTTGGACGCGGCCAAATTACCAAGAGCCTTGTGGATTACGGCGGTGTTGTTGATGACTGCAAACTGAAAGAGAACATTCTCCTCTCTGTCATTAGCGTCGTGAGCAAGCTGGTATAAGCGTTTGGCATGTGTCAGAAAATGTTGGGATTTTATTGTTCCCGCTTGGTGGTGCTGTTGGTGTAGTGCCAATAGCTGGTGGGAAAGTGCGGAATTGAAGATGATGATAGGTGTGACTTGCGCCATTGTCTTTGTGGCATTGTATGGGATGGGGATACCTTGTTGATAAACGAATTCTGAGGAGAGAGCAGAACAAGGAAGATCAACGCGATCGCACTCCAGCATGTACTGATCGATGCAATCACAGGCGCATTCCTCTTCTCCTTCTGAAGTACTACATTGAGCGACAGAACGTGCAATTTCAATCTCTCTCTGGTATTTCAAAGCAGCAGAAGTAGCCGATATGGCATCATGGAATTGGTTTTGCTTCATGAAAGCAACAGCTTGGTTGTTTAGCTCGATGACGAGGAGGTGTGGATTCATTTCGGTGCTAGTTGAAAATTATGAAAAAAGGTAAGTGCAAAACCGCGAAGTGGCACATGTGGTACCCATCGTAAGATATTGTGGTTGATTGTTCTTTTTCGCAACAGGGAACACAGTTTTGACAACTTGCCTACAAGTCTGTAGTACGAGGAACTTCTTTCCAGGCTTACGTCAGAAATTGGGATTCTCGCCAAATAAATGTTTCGACCCTGCTATCGCACTTGCGAAACCTCCGTTTCTTCAACCTTCACAAAAGTTCTCGGAAATTTCTAAAAAGTTGCGACAGAGATGGGCTGCCGGTATGATGCAAAGTGTCTTTCACTGACTTCGATAAGAATTGTGCCGCGAGGTCTTCCGGTGACAAATCAAGCTATTTATCCGATGCGAAGCGATGCGAAGTATGCAGTAGCTTGCTTGCGAAATTGGCACTACATCGTTCATGATCTTCTGAGGAACTTGCTTCTTGCGAGTGATAAAGACTGAAATATCAACGATATCGCATGGCGGTCATGCCAATATTCGGTTGAAATCGCACGCTGCTACAACCTAAGATGTTATTGCATGGTGAAAAATCTTATTACGCTATACATTTTCTTTTTTGTTCTAGATTGACATTATGGCGAGGCTTGGTATGCCGTTGTACCTGCCGCATGCGAAGAGTCCTTGTGCACTTAGAAATAAGCTACTTGTACAAGCAAGGCCGCTGTGGTTCTATCGGCATTCTTGTTAGTCATGCAGCGGGCGCTGATTGCGTATTTGAATCCAGATTGGCGAGGAAGCCTCGCACGTGCTGAAGTTGCACACTGCACCCGCGATCGACAAACATCATCAGCAAAGATACAAGAAAGTCAAGGCATTCTTTCGACATTGTATGATTGCCGACAGCCCTGTAAATAACCGCAGTATTGTTGATGACAGCAAACTTGAAGAGAACATTGTCTTCGTTGTCTTGTAGATCATAAGCAAGCTGATAAAGTCGCTGTGCTTTGAGAAGGATGCTTTGAGGTACGGGGGTTTTCGGGTGCTGTCTTGCCAAGAGTTGGTGCGACAAAGCAGAATTGAAGATGAGGATTGCTGCGATGTTGATCGTCTCGTAGGCATTAGGCGGAATAAAAATGCCTCTCTGATAGACGAATTCTCCTGTGGAAGCATTGAAAGAAGGCTCGCTGACATCGCTTTGCATCATGTATTGGTCGATACTATCACCCTCATGACAATTCGTTGTGGTGGCTCGTTGTTGTTGTACTTCTTCAGTTTGGTGGTGGGCCCTTTGGAACTCGCGATACTGCTTCAAAGCGGACGCGGCAGCGACGATAGCGTCATGGTAGTGCTGTTGCTTTATGAGAGCAACAGCACAGTTATTAAGTGCGATAACTTGCGTGGGTGTCATTTTACTTTGCTTTCTATTTTATGAGGAACAGTTTGAGCTGTTACGATTACCAGTAGTCATGATGGTTGCAGCTTTTTGAAAGAGCTGGCGCAAGCTAAGTGACAATTTCTTATTGGAGGTCATTGAATCCATTTTTCAATAATTATTCTTTTGCCAAAATGAGTCATTGATTTCGTCTGTGTATCTCTGAGTGATCGCGAACAATATACAGCAGTTGCGACGAGGACGAGGAGGGTCATTCGTTCAACATACCGGTAAGCATGGATGGGATTCTCCGTGATTCCCTCAGCGTTCCTTATCTTTTATAATATATGTGTGTCACCTATTTCGCATTCCAAAAGGCGCTTTAATGTGTCACCACGTGGAGGAGGGTCATTCCCGTGTTGCCCTGTCCGAGTTTCGCAAATCGTCTGCGGTTGAAGCTTCCTTTATTTTCAATATTTATCCGATACCTTTGTGTCTCTGCTAGACAACTAATATTATTATTAAAAAATCATTGTCCCGGCAGGAACGAGGTAGTCTTGATTTGGTTCCATGCAAGCAATATTGCTACATGCCGTGTCGCATGCCATTTCGAGTCGTCGTTTTCAACCTCCGAAAGACGCCGTGTGCGTGGCCTTCTCTTTGCTCCAAGTGCTGCCAAAAGTAAAGGAGGACTTTGCAAAGCCAGTGCTCCGTCTCCAACTCCTCGCCGCTTGTTAAAGTCTGACAGAGGCAATTCGGGGCGTGGATCCCAGGGGTAGTTAACTGCCTACCTACTACAGTAGGTACTAGTTGTCTCTCTGTAAAACCAACATCCACCAAAATTTCCTTCTAGTAGGATCCAAAGCGACTGGCTGGGGTAGATGCCTGTTGAGAGGTGGATCGGGCTGTCGTGTACTCAATCGTCTTGGCTTGTCTCCCCTTGCGATACTCTCTTGTGGGATGCAAACCTTGTTGTTCTATACTAATTTTTGTATATATTTCTGTGGATTTCGCCCTACCGGTACAGACGGGTGGGGTGGTGCCTATGTTGTATGTGCGACCTGAGACCCGCAAATCATGGTTATGGTCTACAATATCTTGCTCTTAAATCTTGATTTGTCGATAGTAATGTGGACTGAGTCCTTGCATCTTGCATGCGTCACCACCACTGGTACGAATAGACTCACAAATCGCAACAATTCCTATACTGTTCAATGTTTATAGTACTGTTCTTGATGTAGCGTACTGTGGTACGACATTTGAAGAGTCCTTTGCACGCTAGCTGCTTCGTCAACCAAGGTTGTGGTTAGACAGGCAACATCCATGCAGCTAGCGCTGTTGGTGTACCATGCGTGTCCAGATTGGCAAAGAAGCCGTGCAAAATCTTATTACGCTATACTTTTTGTATTGTTCTACGTTGACATTATGGCGAGGCTTGGTATGCCGTTGTACCTGCCGCATGCGAAGAGTCCTTGTGCACTTAGAAATAAGCTACTTGTACAAGCAAGGCCGCTGTGGTTCTATCGGCATTCTTGTTAGTCATGCAGCGGGCGCTGATTGCGTATTTGAATCCAGATTGGCGAGGAAGCCTCGCACGTGCTGAAGTTGCACACTGCACCCGCGATCGACAAACATCATCAGCAAAGATACAAGAAAGTCAAGGCATTCTTTCGACATTGTATGATTGCCGACAGCCCTGTAAATAACCGCAGTATTGTTGATGACAGCAAACTTGAAGAGAATATTGTCTTCGTTGTCTTGTAGATCATAAGCAAGCTGATAAAGTCGCTGTGCTTTGAGAAGGATGCTTTGAGGTACGGGGGTTTTCGGGTGCTGTCTTGCCAAAAGTTGGTGTGACAAAGCAGAATTGAAGATGAGGATTGCTGCGATGTTGATCGTCTCGTAGGCATTAGGCGGAATAAAAATGCCTCTCTGATAGACGAATTCTCCTGTGGAAGCATTGAAAGAAGGCTCGCTGATATCGCTTTGCATCATGTATTGGTCGATACTATCACCCTCATGACAATTCGTTGTGGTGGCTCGTTGTTGTTGTACTTCTTCAGTTTGGTGGTGGGCTCTTTGGAACTCGCGATACTGCTTCAAAGCGGACGCGGCAGCGACGATAGCGTCACGGTAGTGCTGTTGCTTTATGAGAGCAACAGCACAGTTATTAAGTGCGATAACTTGCGTGGGTGTCATTTTACTTTGCATTCTATTTTATGAGGAGAAGTTTGGTAGTGTACGTATTATACGAGTTACGAGAGCTCCAATTTTGACGCTTCCTTTTCTGTTACACGATACTATACTGCACAGTACACGTGTGCCAAAAGTTGAAATTTTCAATTTTCCAGTTCGGATTCTTTTTGCATCCAAGTGCAAACAAGGTCGTACTGGCTCGAATAGAAAAAGGTCAATGGATCCAGATTTTGTTCGATGATTCGCTTCACACGCAAGGAATTTTTCGCCCAAATAGGGGACTGACTTGTAGTTTTTCTATTTCTATGTGTGTCACCTGGTTTCAATTATTATTACAAGCATGTGTTCTCTCCTCGCTTTTTTCTATTTCATCTTTCCTTGTTCTTCAACCATGCTCTCCATCGTTCCATTGGTATTTGTCCGGTCCGAGCTCAAAAGTATTATATTCGATACCATATATTGTTTCCTCTGGCTGGAAAGTGAATCTTTCCAAAATACCAGTGTTCGTAAAAAACTAGCTAGGTAGTCTTGATTTCGTTCTGTGCAATATTCAACTTTTTGCATGCAGCAATGGTGTCGCATTCCATTTCTTTGAGGAGCGAGTCGTAATCAACGTATGGTACGAAAGAAGAAGTGCAATTTTTTTACCTCCAAATGCTGCTGGAAATACATAAGACCTATGAACTCTAAGGATCGGAAGGACAAACGTGCGATCACTGCCTATAGCAGCAGTACGAGTCAATATTTTAGATTTGGATTGATTTCGAGGCATCCTTTCTTCCTCCTGGATAAGAAGTCTATTGCTCGTTCCTCACCACTTCTGTGAGTTGTCAACGGACGCACTAACTTGTCCGAACTAGTAGTACCTGGTACCGTACAAGATAAGATAGAGGCATTGAAATAGATGATGGACTGACTCAATCGACTTCAAAAAGAATGTCTGTCCTTTTGTGCGTCATCACTTCTCATGATCAAGCGAGTGCGTGTCGAAGGAATATAATATGATGATAACAATAAAATAATACATCGAACGATAATGACGCTAATTATGCAAATGCAAGATGGCCTGTGTGCCATATTATTCGTAACAGTACATCATTCCAACCGTATCCCGAGAAGTGTTACCTGGTAACTGAAAATAACGGTAGCAACATTGATGTGATATCTACTCGTCTCAATAAGTTTCCGAGAATTTGAATAAGAATCATACGAATGAATCGCGGTGAAAGAGGAGCTCTTATTGCAGGTATATAGTCGCATATTCGCAATTGAATTCAAGATCTGTTTATTTCATTCTGTCAGCTAGCCTGCCCTTGAGAGGCAAAGATGGAACTTCTCGGGTTGACTATCGAACGCATTGACCAGAGAAATCATCCTCAACAAGTTCTTGTGTGTGGTCAAGGATCACAGTGATATGAAGACTTGGAGGAGTCAACTATAAGAATTGTCCATTGCTCCGAGCAGTCCGCAGTCCTTTCCGGAAATCCAATACCTTGGGATGCCTTTCATTGTCGCGGTGAACGAAGGAACTCTGAACCTGGGTAAACCTACTTTGCTCTGTCGTGGTTGATTGATCCATTCATTCAGTTTTTTCTCAAGTTCGGTCGCAACAATGTACAATGTGCATCCAATACAAAATATTTGTTTCTGGATTGCTGATAGCGATTCCATTGCCTTTGGAAAGCCCGTCACGGGATTCTTCTCTCTGTTATTTTGAACCATCAAGCCGCCATGATGGAATAGTGTGAGAATGGCACAGATCGTGGTGCTTTATTGCAATCGCCACCGATATCAATTCAATCGTATCATTGAAATATGACGATAGCCTTGGACAAGTTCATGATCCTTGGCTTGATTGGCCGAATCGTCACCCAAGGCAAGACTGCTTTCATTCGTCTTCCGACATATTCTGAAGACACAATCATCGTGCAAGGAGTGAACCGATCGATCCACGAAGCCTGAAGGAAGGATGTCATGTAGTCACTTGTGATGTCCACGAATAAAGACCCCGTCATGGTTTTAACCGATTCCAACCGACGCGACAATGAATGACCGAAGATAATAATAACGCATGTCGATATGATCAATATGAATGATCTCAAGCTATTAGTAATCACATGGGGCACGATTTTGATACTTTTGACAATATAGATTTAGAGCCCCCAGCTTCGTTGGAATAGGTCGTTGCTCATGGACACTATAGGTTCATACCCCATTCGGAGTTGCATCAATGGTTATTTCATCGCATTTATGTCACGAACGTGTATGCACATAATAGGGACTATCAATTTGCGATTCATTCTCTCTCATTGGCTAAGTCATAGGCACTTCTAGCTTGCCAATAGTGGGGTAAAATCCATGATGGCCATCGTGCCGTTGGGTGCATCGTCATATATATAATGGATTGTATCATCAGGTTGCACGTTTATACATCGAAACATTATAGCTTCTGATGAATACAAATGGCGCTATATGGACGATCTTCTGGCACCATAATCTAAACCATCGGACTATATCGGAACTTGTTCAAGAAAACAGAAAAAGAGACAGCAATACAATACAATACAATCAAGATGACGATGAGGCACACGACAATAATATAATTGAATGCTATCAGGCTCACTATCTTTTATTCCATACAAGTTTCATCACTTGATTATCTCAAGAAGCGCATATGTCTTCAATGGAATGATTAAAGACGTTACGATTGCTCTTTCTTGGCACATAGAATCACCATAGTTCACCGCACAATTGATGATGATATAACTCTTTGCTATATACTATATATGTCTTGATGCTGGAATGACACTGGAGATGAATTCAGATTATATGCAAAAGTTGAATTTGGTGATAGATGCAAAGGGAGTGTGCATACGAGAGTACCTTCATGAAAAATATTGATGTATTACTAGTCATGGGCACACCGTGGTGGAAAGGACAACTGTACGATTACTGCATGTTTGAGGATCCCAGATTATCTGCGGGAATTGGAGGGTGTCCGATAAGGTTTTAGCAAGACTTTCATCTTGTCCGATACCGTGCGATCGTTTTAGCCTCCGTTTTGTTTTGAATTTGGCTCAGCCGCTGCATTTTTTGAGTTTTGCCTCGTTTTTTGCGTCGTGGAAATCCTACGAATTGCACGTAGAAAACGATTCGCAAAGTCAAATGCCGGGGCGCAGCGGCATTCTGACACCGCGCCGTGTTTTTTATTATTTTCAAGCTTGATCAAAGAACTGTTCGAGACAATAACGTCCTGTTTGAATTTGAATTATTCCCATCAAGTCCAACGATACCATCATCGCCACCAATATCATGTCCGAAACCGAAGAATACCGCAAGTTCAAGGTAAATAGGATGTGTATCGATGATTTGAATTATCTCTGATCTTCCTTTTCACTGGTATGATTGACACTCACACATAAACGTTCTGTACAATACTTCATCTTCTATTCCGCTTTCTATATTGTGACGCGCTGAAAATGTGACCTCACATCCTCGTACGGTAATAGGACCCAAACAAATTGAAGCGCTCGTTCTCGACCTTTCTTCTCTATGCCATGGAGAACTTGCAACCCTTGCAGAAGGAAACCGAATTTTCAGAAGCCAAGTTTGGTGTGATTGCCAAGGAATTGTCTCAACGATTCCGCAATCTCAGTGATGAGACTCTCAAGGGCATCTCCCACCGCGTCTTGGAGCATCCTTTGGAGTTCTCGTCCATCATTGAAGACTTTGAATTCACTGAAGAACCCAAGCGCAAAAAGATGAAGAAGGATCCCAACGCACCCAAGCGCAACATGACTCCGTACTTTCTGTTTAGCATTTCGGCCCGTCCCGAGATGCAAAAGGAGAATCCTAGCGCCAACTTTGGACAGATTGCTCGCTTGCTGAGTGGAAAATTCAACAGCTTGCCAGCAGAAGAAAAAGAAGTCTGGAAGGCCAAGGCAGATGAAGACAAGGTTCGTTATGAAAAGGAGATGGCAGTCTACCGCCAGACCAATCCTGCCTAAAGAACAAGTTCAATCTATCCATTGGGACTGCTTGGAAAGGGGGAAAGTTGTGTGACACTTTCATGCTGCACACACTATGTAATTGTTGTTGTCGTTGCTAGCTGGCTTGTCAGTGGTTTGGCTGTCTATGTTATGGACATGTGTCTTGACAGTCGATTAAAAGCAAGATAATGGTGGTAATGCTAGCTAGTAATGACTTTGTTCATTGGAACTATACTGTACGACCGACTTGGTTGGTTCGAGTAGCTATGCATAGAATGTGTGAATGATTCATCACGATACGTCTTAAGGTATCATAACTTGATCTACTTCGATTATGCTTCTTCATTTGAAGCTTTCCTTCATTCATATCATTCCCATCAGCGTTGTTCCATGATGCTATTAGGTAGAAATACTTGAGAAAGAGAGAGTTGCATGTTACATCGTAGATGATTTGGTGGAATCCTATGGCTCCGCCTCGACATGACGATTCATACTCGCCTCTCCATGATCTCAGACGGCACAAATATAGGTGCGTGACTCAGGTGTGCTTAAAACTCAGGACCACTACAGTAGTACATGGCTTCCAATAAGGTAAAGAGAAAGTATTGTAGATTTCCACCCAAAGGTATCTTCAAAGTTGGATCCATTCAGACAAGCGTCATATCAAAAAGGTCTCAGTTACAGATTTTTAAAAAAACCTGAGGTGTTTCAGGTTTTGGTATACGAGGAGAGGAGTTTAGGATCAGGTGTACTATTGTATATATCTCGTATGTGTATGTATCTCTATATTTATGTGTATATGTATTGTATACGGAATGATGTAATGCAAAAATGTAGGTACGGTGACAGCGAATGCGTTCGTGCCTTCTAAAAAGCTGAATGAAAATCGGATCAGGTTCAGTTGTGATTGTGTGGTAATGATGATCCATTGGGCACAGGGATGAATGTCAATCTGCTTTTGGCCATCACAAATATGTATTTGTTCGTGTAATATTTGCATGTGTTTACGAATGCAAAGCTCTTCAGGAGAGCCGCAAAACTTTCAAAAAGAATGTACTCCCCTGTCTCTCTTTTTCCATACCACGATGAATGAGAATGAATCAGTCCAGTGCCATGACACAGGCAGCAATGGATAGAATGGAAAGATTCGAAATCATAAACAAAATCAGACACATGGGCACTGATGGATCTGAAACCACGGATTTTGGTGATGGTGAAAGAAGAGTCAGTTCTTCGCGAGTCCACCACATGGATTCCTTGTCTTCATCACACAGTGAATAGGTTGGCTCTGAAAAGGAATTCAGCGTACAAGGTGGCTCAAATCGAACTCGCTTTCCAGCAGCCGAATCTGGATTGGTGGCTGTTCGAATGAGATTGTTGGAAGTAAGTTCTGTAGTCCTGGGTGCCACTGCCGTTGTGAGCTGTTTCGCTAGGCTAGAGGAGGCGGAAGCGACCGGGAATACTGGTCGTTGACACATGTTGTATTCTGATTGTAGATTGTAAGGGGAAGAAGAGTTGAGAACTGTGCATGTATCTTTGTAGGGGAGTGGGGGTTACACTCTTCCAAAGTAATAAGCGAAGTTGGAAATTGTTCTTATGCGATGATGGCTCGGAGTTGGAATTCTTTTTCAACTCCGTGAGTACGTTTTTATGTTTGTGTTGCGGACTTGAGGGTGACGTCGATGAAAAAAGCTACGTGTAGCACTGCTTGGAGCTGCGTGGCCACGTGTGCAGGATTCGTTTTGGCCGCGGCAAACGATAAGCAACTTCAACTCTTCCGATAAGCGAAATAGGTTGCTATTTTGGACCAGTGGTTTACCGCGTTTTTCGTACAAATAGTTTCTCTTTACCATCAAATTCTTCGACAATTCACTAAATAACGTGCTAAATTACCCTCTTGTAAACTTACGGAAATCACATACACATAATGAAAAAAACGGATTCGAAACGCGAAACAAATTAGCGGATGGTCCGGCGTATCGCCTCGTCGAGGCCGCCATCCTGCTGAATCCCGGTTGGTTCTTGAGTTAAGTCCCGCCCTTCCGATCGGAGCGGTCGGCTATTCGAAGCGAAGTTCCGTGCCGTCGTCCTGCTTGGCCTGTCTGCCTGCCATGCCCTGGATCCTTGCCTGGATGGCTGTCTCTTGTCACGATCGAATGAATGAATGAAAATTGCGAAAGAGAAGAACGCGGGAATTTGACAAAAAAAGCCTTTGTTCGCATCTTCTCGTTTTCCAGTCGAAATGAATGGAACATGATGTGAAAGATAAAACTTTGGCCGCTACTCCTTTTCATCACACAAGAGAATACCGTCTGTTACTTATGAATGGAACGACGCTCCTTGTCCTATTCAGATCACAGAAAGATAAATACTCTTGTAGCGAAATTCTTCAGAAACGCCAATCATGGAAGAACATCATCACCGCTACTCCCGTAGTGACAAGAGTTCGGGTATCACTGAACTTTGGATCCACGTTCTTGACAATTATTTTCCTAATGGAGCGACGCTCCTTGCCCTAATCAAATGCCACCAAGATAAATGCTTTTGTGGCGAACTTCTTGAGAAAACGCAACTCACGGAAGAACATCATTGCCGCTACTTCCAATGTGACAGAGTTCGGGTATCACTGAACTTTGGTTCCACGTTCTTGACAATTACTTTCTGAATGGAGCGACGCTCCTTGTCCTAATCAGATGACAGCAAGATAAATGCTTTTGTGGCGAAATCCTTCAGAAAAGGCCACTCAAGGAAGAACATCATTACCGCTACTCCCGAGGATGTGACAAGAGTTTGGGTATCACTGAACTTTGGTTCCACGTTCTTGACACTTACTTTCTGAATGGAGCGACGCTCCTTGTCCTAATCAGATGACAGCAAGATAAATGCTTTTGCGGCGAAATCCTTCAGAAAATGGTGTACCGCTATATCGTGTTCTGGTACCACTGGGGCTTGATGGGAGCATTCTTGGTATGGACCAACCTACTAGTAGTATAGGCCTACGGCCATGAGAAATTGCTTCGTGAATGCTGCCTCTTCTTGTTCATCGCCAGTACTAGATAGTCAAACCACAACTGTTAGCTAGTGTAATATCGTCACGTAGTAAAAGACCTTCAGCTGGGACTATGTTTGTAACACCTCCTATAAACTTCTAGCATGTATTAATAGTATATTATATATTATACTTCGTCATGGTATCCCGTCCTCCCAGCACGTTCCAAAAAGCAAAATTGACGAAGCCAGCATACCCATGATCGATTGTACTCCTTCTTGATTCACCATGATTGTTTTCGTGGTGAATGTGCTGCTTCATTGGCATCCCATCTTGTAGATTTTCTTTTAGGTTCGCCGCTGCTTAAGTATGTTTTTCGAGTTGTTGTGATGCGGATCGCATGATGAATGTAGTCCTTTCCACTGCGATGATCATTGTGTTTTTTAGTGGATGATTCCAGTACAGGAGGACCCGCTCTAACTTCGTCAAAAAAGGACTGTAGGACTCTGGTATTAACATCCTTTTTCGCTAATCCTCTTCTCGAAGAAGTGACTTTGGAAAATAAGTCGTCATTACTTCGCTTTCGTATGGGTACACTGGGAGGCCCTACGCATGGGTTGGAACATGAGGACGATTCGAAAGAAGAGCAGTATGATTCGGAAGAGGATGACAGCCCTCGTGGTTGACTGGGAGTAATGATAGTACCGATCTCATTCAGAGCGGCATCATCTCGGACAATCAGGAAGTCACTAGCACCAGATGATTGCGTCAATTCTGCAAAGTATGCTTCCATCTTTTTCCTTTTGAATGATATTTGCGATGGATTTGTCTCTTGGTATTTTGTGAGCAGATTTGCTTGGCTCTGTAGGAAATTGAGCTCTGTTCTGTGGGTTCAGTGAAACATACATGGAAGAATCGTTCATCGAAACAAAAGCAGCGTAAAAGTACTATGGAATAAGCCAATAAATCAGAAACTTCGAAACTAGTGACAAAAATGCCTTTCTTATTCGCGTCGCAATTGTGTTCCACACCAACAACTTTATACCGGTACGGCAACATTGCCGTATCAACTGCTTCTTTATTCGAGAGAGCTATGTTTGTGGTGGCGAAATTCAGAAACGCCATTCATTTCTGTCACTTCATTCTTCTTCAGTCGCTATGTTCATCAGGTTTTCAGTCCTCGTTAAAGCGTTCCATTCTTGTTTTTGAAAAAAGGTTGAGAACAGGCATCGCGCCAAACATATCGTTTCAAATACTTTCCATTATCAGAATGAATTTTGAGAAAAACGATTCATGAATGATCATGTATGGAGTGACTAACATGAGAAGCTACCAATAGAATAACATTAGTACCCAACGCTGTGGCCATTGCCTCTTGCGCTACATCTACTATACGCTTGCTTTGCCACGATCGTTCAAGTGTTCTGGTCCGAATTGATAGTTGCTGAGTGCAAGGGCAAGGGCAAGGGCAAGGAAAAATAATAAACCCTGCTGTGTTTCACCTTCTTCGTAGGAATGAGGAGACTTCAAATCAGAAGCCAAAAAGAGAGCCGTGTATGGCAGAGCTCAGAAAAAAATTGAAGTATGACACCACTCCTATCTTTGTCTAGCGTGGGGGAAATAAAGATGAGACGAACATTTCTTGAATGTACCCTTTTGTTCACCATGATGTCTTGTATTTCTTGTATGAGGGCGAAACACACATAGTGCAATGTCACGTAATAATTCTCAGTTAGCATACCTGAGATAATTGTTACATATTATACACTCTATATATTTATGATCGTGATCCCATTCTTAGATTGCCACGAAACACAAGTGAAGCGGCCATGCCCATTTGGCAACGATGCTCGTGAGGGAAGCAAGCAAAGATAGCGCAAAGATTGCACTTGACACACCACGAACGCTTTCGTGTACGATGCTTTTCATGCATTGGCATCCCATCGTTTTGATTGTTTTGTCGTTTTTCTTGAGTTCGATGACGATGGACTTGTGATATGGATCGCATCATGCATGTAGTCCATTGCATCGTGACTGCGATCCCGTTTGCTGGATTCCGCGGCAGGACCCATCACTTCATCAAAGAAGGACTTCAGGACTCTGGTTTTAGCTCCCTTCTCCCCTGATCTTGTCGTAGTGACTTTGGAAGATAGGTCGTCGCTGCTTCGCTTGCGTCTGGGAAGACTGGGAGGCCCCAGGCACGGGTTTGATGAGGTGGAGGAAATGGAAGAGCAGTATGATTCGGAAGAGGATGAAAATTGTTTATTAACAGTCTTCTTCAATACTGGTGACACGGCATCGTCTCGGACGATCAGGAAACCGCTAGCACCTGATGCTTTTGTCAATGTTGCAAAGTAAGCTTCCATCTTCTCCTTTTTTTGTATTTTGTGTGATGAAAGGAATCTGGGCCTGTTGATATTTTCAAAATCACTGGAAGAATTTGATACGAATTCTGTGAAAAACGGACAAATGCGAAGCAACAGATTGGGCCTCCGAAGGGGAAAACTACATTTATCAAATCTTCTGATCGCACGCAACGTTCTGATCCGAATTTGCTCGTGGAAACAGTATCATCTATGGTACGGCGAAACTGTAGAATAAGCAGTTTTCGAGGTCTTCAACTTCCGCTGACACCAGTCACTTTGATATACAAATTTCCAGGCTAAAATAGGAGAAAAAGTCATATAAGCTACAGTATCTGTTTGTTTCCAGTGTGCCCTTCATTCAGAAAATGGTTGATACGAGAACCGAGTTCCTACAAGTCGCGATGGGAGCTTCCCAAACTTCTGCACCAAAGTTCCACGTGCGAACATCAATCCGTGTTATTGAGTACGAGTATTGCCTCTTTACTTTCCAGTCCGAGATGTGGCGTTTCCGCAGGCGCGACGGAATACTAGATCCCACAGAATATACAGCGGTGTATGACTACAGTATTAGCATTCCTTTTTTAAGTAATGCATAGATTAAGGTAGGAAATATCCTATCATAGATTCGTTTCCATTGTGTTTTCTGATTCCGGGCATGGAAAACAAGAATATCACCAAGGTGCCAGTGCAGATTCGCAACCGAAATGCGAACAGAAACAATCTCCAACCGCTACCAGGTACGCAGCTACTGCACCTTATCTGTCTACATGTACAGCCAGCTACTTTCCAGACCGAGATAGAACGCATTCTCGCTCGCTTTTTGCCATGCACTTTCACTGATTGCTTCTCGTCTTCCTACATCAAGCTCGTAACTTGCTCCCACTGCCGCGTTTTGAACCAACAGCCAATCAAACAGCTGTTTGCCGCTTCGTAGTCGGTGACGCTTCATGATGTTCGCTCCGAAGATGTTGTTACGCATGTTGTCGACATTAACATTAGGAAGGCGGCACTTTTGTGTTGCAGAGAACATCTTTGGAAACTGCTCTTCGAGTCGTTCGACCGCCTGCGTGATGATCTTGTTGTCTCTTGCAGAAGCAACTCCTGGCATATCCACAAGCTTCACTGGCTCGGCCTTGTTGATCTCCAGGAAGATGGACTCGGCATGTTTTTCGTCCTCCACTGAGTCGGATTTCAAATTGGGGTAGACTTCGACAAGGACCTTCTCAAAGTATCCAGTGATCTCAGGCGAGAGAGTTCCGGCCTCAGCGTTCTCCATCTCCCTAAGCATCTGCATCATTCCAATTCGATGCTGCCCATCCAAAACTGACAAATTGCCTTCACTGTCTTCAGCCAGACCAATGGCACCAGGGAATCCATTACCCATATCCTTTGCCTTGTCCAATGCCATGGCTCGGGCTCGGCTGTGGCGATAAATTCGTTGCTTCTTCCAGATAGGAAGACTTCCAAGCGTTTCCGATGAAGTTAAATAGATCCGCTTGTATCCCATGTCGCAGATCATAGGTCCAAGAACTGGATGCACTGAGGAAACATCCGTAGGCTTTTCTTCTTTGGTTTCAGTCTCAGTGGCAACCTCCGCCTGATTGGTGTCTTCGGCTTTCGTCGCTTCTAGTTCCGCAGCCTCCATTTCTGCAGCTTGTAAGGCCAAGCTTCGTTCGGCAATCCGTTTCTTTTGTTTTTCTATCTCCTCTAGTCTTACTCTAAGATCATCTTCCACCTTGGCTAGCTCGCTCTTTTGTTTTTCACGTTTGTCAATGATGCCCTGAAGTTCATCGACTTCCTGGCTACCAACCTTCATCTCCTCGATGTGCTTGTCCATATCGACCAACTGTTGTTCTAGCTTGGTCTTTTCAACATCAAGTTGCTGTTTCGATTGCACCAGTGAGTCTTCCATTTGTTTCATTTCGTTGATGAGGCGTTCTTTTTGAATGGCTAGTTCATTTTCTACTCGTGCATTTGCGGCTTCTTCCATTTGTTTCACGAGCGCCTCCTTTTCTGCTTCCCACAATTCTTCACTTCGACGCGCTTGTTCCGCCTTGGCGGCGGCAATCTCTTCTGCCACGCTGGCACGGGTATCTTCTTCTTTGTCCTCCTCGTCTTCTTCTTCGTCCTCTGCAATACCTTCTTCTGCTTTGGTTAGAACATTCATTCGCTCCAAGAGCTTGGCACGTTCATCGCCAGGCAAGGATTGCGTCAGCGCATTCGCTGCTGTCGTTCGAAGCCTCCCCAAGATTCCCATGGCAAGCTCCTTGCTGGTACCCCTGGCCGCTTGTCCTAGTGCTTTGACAAAGGCTTCAATCTTTTCGTCATCTTCCGTCTTGGGTGTCGGAGGAGGTGGAGGCGAATTGATAAATTCAATGACTTTTTTGGAAGTCTTCTTGATGGATTCCAATGGCATTTCCACCGGCTGCTTTTCCTTCACTGGGGTAGGGAGTGTCTCGGTCATTTCTTTCATTTCTTCGGCGACCGCCAGAATTTCCTTGACTGACATGTCAGCCTCTTCCCCAGTAGTACTCTCATCTAAAGCTTCCGAGGAATCATCAGAAGAATCCTCAGCTTCAGCAATTGACGCTACTGCATCTGATACATAGGAAGCATCATCTGATACATTAGCTTGTTCAACGTCCTTTTCATCATCTGCTGGCTCTGGTTTGGAAGCAAAAAAGGCAACAGAGTCGCTGGCAGAAGTTTCCGTTTGAGAATCCGTCGAAGCTTCAGGTGTTGCAGGAGTTTCAGATGATTCGGGGGCTTCAGGTGGAGATGCAAAAAACACAGGGACTTCGTCAGAGCGCTTCTCGACGACATCCGATGCTGATGGTTCGGTATTTCCTGTGACCTTGTCGCCAGTACTACTGGTGCTGACAACGCCGTCATCATTGGTTGCCTCCACTTCAGGAGAAACTTCGTCGGAGGACGATTCAGATGCGACCTTAGCTGCAGCATCACTATCTTCAGCCATATAAAGCCCAGCATTTTTTTCACCAGTCCATTGGGAGTGTCTTCGGATCTTTCTATTTTGATCAATAACATTCGATTCGTGATACGATGATGATTTCACTCTGGAAATTTTTGATGCTGGAGTCAGCGGTGATGTGAATTGAAATCCATTCACCAAAATGGTCCCGCTCCTTAATAGGAGAAAGAGTGATAAAATAAGTTCAGGCAATTTCATGTTCGTCGAATGCAAATACTAGTGTCCGTTTGAAAACCTTTGTTGTTGTTGTTGTGATGATGTGGCTGATTGGTTATTATTCTGTTGAGATCTTTTTCCAGAAATTGAGAAGCCACAGCATGCATCTGATTGAACCATTCGATTGGATGGATCTTCGACACGGGAAATCCAGTACTATTCCCACGTAAGATGCCTCACCTTCAAATTGACGTCAGTCCCCCGGCCGGCGCTTTCGGCAAAGTCCCTCCGTTGTCCGCGAGCATCAACTCTAAAATCTGACAAATGATGAGAGAGACCGATCATCAAGCATCGCATGTATTATATTTGCCCAGATGTTCGAAGACTTCAGGTGCACCTTCCGACTCCACTAGATATTGATTCGATTGCTCTACTCGCTTCAGATATCAGATCTAATTGACAAAAAATAGACGGATATGGACTCTACAAAGCGGTTCCGTGCCTTCCTGCTGATCCTAATTCTGACACTGTCCTACTGCACGACATCTGTGTCATCCAACCATCATGGTGAAAATCAAGATGATGGAACCAGCAAACTTGTTGGGGAATTGATTGATTGGATGCTTGCCAAAGGAGGATCCATGGATCCTAGGGTAGAAATGAGGCGATGGAATCCACAAGACCCCACATCTTACTTTGGAGCCTTTGTCAATGCTCCTGTCAAGAAGGGTGAATTGCTCCTCAAAATACCCGGTGCTATCAAGATTCAGGTCGAGGACCCATCGATTCAGGATGATTGGGACTACGACGAACAAGTTTGTCAACTCAGCTGGATGCTAAAGACGGAATATGAATTGGGAGATGACAGTGACTATGCCCCCTACATCAACTACCTGAAGGCACAACCCTTTGGCCAAATACCGGCCATGTGGAGCAATGTTGGACAGCACCTTTTGTTTGAAGTCCAAGGAGATTGGTCCATTCACGATTTTGAAACACAAGGCGAGGGAGAAGACATAGTTATGTGGCTGTGGAAAAGTTTTGAGCCGAATTGCATGTTCCGCAATGATACTTTGAATCCATTTTACATTGCGATGGCTGTCCAACGAGGATATGACATAGCTTTGATTCCAGTGTACGACATGCTCAATCACTATAATGGCGACAAGGTGAACAGCATCACGCGACCTTCAATCTACGACAAGGATGGATTTGGGGTGTATGCACTCCGAGATCTCAAGGCTGGGGAAGAGTTGTTCTATTCGTATCATGCGTGTCCCGATTGCCGTGACACTATTGATATCTGGGGAACTCCTGAAATGCTCAGAGACTTTGGTTTCGTGGAACAATACCCGCATAGATTTCATCTGAAGAAGAATGGGACCATCTTTGTCGATGAAGTGGTGGCAGATGATGGAAGCAAATCGTATGTCGCCACGTGCCGTGATGGAGAGTGTCCCAGGAAGGAGTGGGTGACAGAGGAAATGGAGTACTTGCAGAATGTGGAGCGAAAGCAAATTGCCAAATCGAAAAGCTTTATTCCAAAATACGAGTATGAAACGATCAAACAGTATCACAAAGCCCTAACTGTGGCGCTAGATGCTGTGCTGCCATTGTGTACGTGAGACGAAGTCGTACGAGATCAATTGGAGTAACAGAAATTCTGGATTCGGGACAAAACATATTTGTGTCTTCAGTCTCGACAGTTTCGGCATGAATCTGAAGGAAGTGCGTGCGAGCGAGGACAAAGGCAGTTGTTGTCTCTCGAACGAATCTCTCCGTTCATCATTTCCTCCTGATAGCGGCGCGGCAATATCTGAAATGATAGGAGCTCTTGAGACATTCGCATTATTTGGGTCTGAAAGAATGCCAAACTACACCACTACAGAGATCCTCAGGTCCAGTGAAAGTGGATTTCTGTTCGGTACTTGGTGCGGTACATTTTTAAAATAATGGTACATATCTACAATTTGTTCTTTCTGAAATATATAGTGCCTCTTCTATGTTGCCACCTGTTTCCAATGTGCAATCGTTAAATACAAAAAATAAAAGTGTCAGAAAAGATGCCTTATTTCGCAGAACCGCGTCTTTCCGCGGGATCCCCATTTTCTCCATTTCATTTTCATTTTGATGATACCCAATTGCTGCATGTCAAATAATTCCAACATCGTCCAGTATCACAGAGACAAACTACACTTATTCCATTTTCAAAGCGTTGAATAGAGTGATCGTGTCGCTGAATTTCATAAGTGGAGCTTTCATTTTCGGTATTCAGAAGGCTGCAATCTCGACCTACTTTCGATAGCGACTGCAACCGCCGAGCTCATCATCATGAGTGACCGGCCGCTCATCTACATGCCTCCTCCGGCAATGCAAGCATTCTTGAGTCTCATAGCGATTCCCATGTCATTTCTCTCTATCATTGGGTCCTACCATATCATTCGACATGCAAGAACCGGAAACGGCCATTCAGCGTACCGACAGATCATGATGGTGTCGAGCGTTTGTGATATCATTTGGTCAGCGGCATTTGTTTTTCAACCTTTTCTTTCAGACAATAGTCTTGAATTCCAGCACGAGGATGAGCTGTGGATCTGGTCTTTTGGGTAAGTATACATGCAGTTAGGGACGAAATCCTTGTGGAAATTTAATATATTGCACCTGATGCTCAAGCATGTCGTTTGGTTCTTTTTCATCGTGGTATCAGAAACAGCGCTTCCTGTACATTTCTTGGAGCGATGACTCAGTTTGGGCTATCAGGTAGGTTGATCTTTGACGGATCACTGGACATGGTGCTTGGGCTTCGTAAAGCATCCTTCTGACATTTTCTTTCATCTTCTGGCAACGCAAAGCTCACTGGTATGCAGGTCTTCTGTCATTATATTTCGTTTCGACAGTGAAATTCCGAGTCAAACAAGCCACCTTTGCGAAGATATTGCCTTTTCTTCAAGGCTTCATAATCTTATGGTCTATCGGGACTGCTGCTACAGCTGCTGCAATGAAACGGATTCACCCATTGGGTCCCAGTCCAGGTTGCTGGGTCGCTGGTGACGGCTTTTGTGAAGGTAATGATTGCGATGCCACGGTCCTTCTTGGATGGGTGATTGGGGGCATACCTACTATCCTGATGCTGGTTTGTGTGGTCGTGAATAATCTTATTTTGTACTGTCATGTTCGAAGTACTGTAAAGAAAGGGCAACGGCGTGCCATGGAATCGCAAATGGAGCTATCAAGATATTCATCGAGGAATAGCAGCGGGAAAAGAGAAAATCCTCCAGCAAGAATAAGAAGTATTGACAGCAGTGATATGTCCGTGTCTTCGACAGTTAGTCAAACTGGCGAAGTGCAATCGGTCCAGGGTAGACTAAGTCAGAAATCGTTCATCTCGCGTTTGGGGAGAAGTGACGGATCCGTATTTACTACCAGTGGAGCTTCAGTTCTTCATCAAAAGAACAGTGTTCTCAGGTCATCCGAGAAACAATGGAAAAGGGTCCAAGAAGTTGGCAAACAGTCATTTCTCTACGTTGGGGCATATTTGCTGTCGTTTGGATGGACATTCATCATCAATTTCTTGGACAGTCAAAACTATGAGTTCAAGGAGAATGCTGGGAACTTCTTCCTTCCATTGCTTGTGTGCCAGTCGCTGCTACTACCAAGTATGGGATTCTTCAACTTTTGCGTTTACTTTCGGCCAAAAATTCTTACAATCTCTAGAGAGTACCCAAATGAATCACGGGTGTGGTGGGTGCGACGTGTAATCTATGGCAATGCTATTAAACCTACGCCAGCTAGTGCTGCGCGCCCATCCGCATTGATACCCGGATCATCGATACCAGAAGAACCACCAGCAACCCTCAGACTGAATCTGGGAGGACCAGTCGCCATGTCCTCTCTGGCCCGAGGCGACTCGAGCGCGTCTAGCGTTGATAAAAGGATGTCAAAAGACGATTGCAGTGTTATTATGGAGGGCTCGATGGAAGAAAGCAGTCGGAACAATTTTGAAGCTCGATCTAAGGAGCTCCAAACATCTAACGGACAGCAAACAAGAGAAAGATGAGGACCATAGGCCAGAAAGCGAACAGAATGAACGCGTCACATTCAACAGTACTCCTCAGCGGAAACTGCAGTCGGTTCTTGGCTTTGCTTCCTCCTGAATCTACCTTCGACCAAAGACTACGTTAGAACCTTTTGTAATGAGTTGCGCTATCAAGATTCAAGTCGAGGATCCACCGATTCAGGATGATTGGGTGCAAATTCCAACATATGATTATGCCACGATCACACAGTATCAAAGGTCCTAGCTGTGGCGCTTTCCTACCATTGTGCATGTGAGACAGATTGGTATTGGATCAACAGAAGCAACCGCCACGACGAGATCGGCACAAAACATATAGAGACAACAGTTTTGGCAAAATATGTGTCTGAAAGTTTGTGATTGTCAGGAATCCAGAAAGGTCTCCAGAACGAATCATCTACAGTATCTCTATGCGTTCCATATTTTACCATTCGCGGGGGCAAACCAATGCCCAAGTAAAGATCTACCGGTACGAGTAGCACATATTAGAGATCGCGTGAGATCCAGACCAGAACGAATTGAATTTTGTTGCCAACTTTTCGGATCACTTAAAAAAGGATTTTTGGGGCTCAGATAGCCCACCAAAATGCTCAGATATTATAACCACCAAAATGTACTATCGTACCGCAGGTAGGGATACGTGCAATAGTAGGTAGGCACTAGGCACTCGGAAGATGCGAATTTCTTAGAATATCGTTACTATCAATCTAAAAACCGTTTCGCAGCGCAGAAAATTAATATATAAAATATGTGATTTATATATTGTACTCGTATGTTTATTTTCCAGTGACTGTTCAACGCGTGTCGCATGTCGCATAGCCTCACCGGATTCTGAAGTGAAGCTTTTCATTTTCGATACTCGCAAAACCCACAATGACGTGAAATTCTCACAACTGTGTAACTTTCATCATGAGTGACCGGCCGCTCATGTACATGCCTTCTCCAGGAATGCAAGCATTCTTGAGTCTCATTGGAATTCCCATGTCATTTCTCTCTATCATTGGGTCCTACCATATTATTCGACATACAAGAACCGGAAACGGCCATTCAGCGTACCGACAGATCATGATGGTGTCGAGCGTTTGTGATATCATTTGGTCAGCGGCATTTGTTTTTCAACCTTTTCTTTCAGACAATAGTCTTGAATTCCAGCACGAGGATGAGCTGTGGATCTGGTCTTTTGGGTATGTATACATGCAGTTAGGGACGAAATCCTTGTGGCAATTGATTATCGCTCCTTTTGCTCAATCATGTCGTTTGATTCTTTTTCATCGTGGTATCAGAAACAGCGCTTCCTGTACGTTTCTTGGAGCGATGACTCAGTTTGGACTTTCAGGTAGGTTGCTGTTTGACGGATCACTGTACATTGTGATTAGGCTTCGTACAGCATCCTTCTGACATTTTCTTTCATCTTCTGGCAACCCAAAGCGCACTGGTATGCTGGTCTTCTTTCATTATATTTTGTTTCGACAGTTAAATTCGGCGTCAAACAAGCAACCTTTGCGAAAATTCTGCCTTTTCTTCAAGGCTTCATAATCTTCTGGTCCGTCGGGACTGCTCTTACAGCTGCTGCAATGAAACGGATTCACCCATTGGGTCCCAGTCCAGGTTGCTGGGTCGCTGGTGACGGCTTTTGTGTGGGAGACGACTGTGATGTCACAGTCCTCCTTGGATGGATGATTGGAGGCATACCTACTATCCTGATGCTGGTGTGTGTCATTGTGAACAATCTTATTTTATATTGGCATGTGCGAAGTATTGTAAAGGAAGGGCAACGGCGTTCTATGCAATCACAAATGGAGTTATCAACATATTCATCGAGGACTAGAAACGCGAAAAGAGAAAATCCTCCAGGAAGATCAAACAGTTTTGAGAGCAATGATATGTCCGTGTCATCGTCGTCAGTCAGTCACACTGGCGAAGTGCAGTCTTTCTCACGATATTCATCGAGGAATAGCAACGGAAAAGGGGCAAAACCAGGAAGATCAAGTCTAGACAGTACTGATATGGCCGTTCAATTTGCAGTCAGTCAAACTGGCGAAGTTCACTCTTTCCATGGTAACAGTCAGAAATCCTTCATTTCCCGTTTGAGCGACGGATCCGTATTTACTAATAGTGGATCCTCGGTCCTTCATCAAAAGAACAGTGTTTTGAGATCATCCAAGAAACAATGGAAAAGGGTCCAAGAAGTTGGCAAACAGTCATTCCTCTACGTTGGAGCATATTTGCTGTCGTTTGGATGGACATTTATCATCAATTTCTTGGACAGTCAAAACTATGAGTTCAAGGAGAATGCTGCGAACCTCTTCCTTCCATTGCTTGTCTGCCAGTCGCTGCTACTACCGAGTATGGGATTCTTCAACTTTTGCGTGTACTTTCGGCCAAAAATCCGTACGGTCTCCAAGAAGTACCCAAATGAATCGAGAGTATGGTGTATACGACGTGTGATCTATGGCAATGCTATCAAACCTTCGCCAGCTGCTGATAATGTGCGCCCATCCGCACTGACACCAGGATCGGCAATTCCAGAGAAGCCACCAGCATCTCTCAGACTGGATCTTGGAGGACCAGACGCCATGTCCTCTCTGGCCCGATGCGACTCCGACGGCGCGGGTAGCGTCGAAATGATATCGAATGACGACGTCGAAATGAAACCAAATTCTCTGGATTGCAGTGTTATTATGGAGGGCTCAGTGGAAGAAAGCATTCGGCGTAGCTTACGAGAAAGTGGAAGAGCATCGACACGAAGTGGACGAAGCGGGCGGACTGAACGCAGCAAGAACACTAAATCAATAATGTGAGGGGCAAACAAGAGAGCAATTTATGAACACCAATGAGCCGAGCCACATCGGAATGAGCTGAGGCTCGAATAAAAGAGAGGACAAGTCGCAATGGAAGAATGATAAACGAGAATTTTGTAGCATATAGATATGATTTGCAGTATTTTGAAATCTGTTGGTGTTTTTTAAAAAGTGTCTTATTTTTTTTAAGTTTCTGTACCTATGGTGTCGGCCGGCGTTAAGTTTAAAATTCAGAAAAATGCAGTGTCTCATCTGTCTTATACATTGGTTGGAGGTTTATTTGCCGGGTCATCAATTTTTTTTCAGGCTCATCATCAATACACTACAAACACATGTGCGTGTGAGACGATGCTTAGGCTACCGTTATTCAATATTTTACTGCTGCTGAATATCCTTGGACACGGTGCATTTGGGGAAGAGAGTGCATTCATAAGACACAGTCAAGAAGTTCACAACTTGATTCAGTGGCTGGAATCCGCTGGTGGGTTTTTGGATTCCCGTGTGGAAATTCGACGATTGGATCCGGAAGATCCAAGCTCCTACTTTGGTGTGTTTGCCAATGCCCCAATACAAGAAAATGAGATATTGATGAGAATACCTGGCGAATTAAAGATTCAAATAGTTGATGATGGCAATGACTGGGAGTACGATGAAGAAGTATGTGAACTCAGTTGGATGTTGAAAGCGGAATTCGAAAAAGGTGACAAGAGCAAGTTCCTTCCTTACATAAACTACCTAAGGACGCAAGTCGAAGGTCAGATTCCGGGAGCATGGTCATCAGCAGGCCAAGGTCTTCTATTGAAGGTCCAAGGAGGCTTGCGAATCAATGGCGCTTATGAGGAAGAAGAACCGTCATCTATTGTCAGCTGGCTCCGATCCTATGCCGAGGAAGAATGCGCAGTCGGTGACGAGACTCTGGATCCCCATTTTATTGCTTTGACTGTACAGCGTGGATATGACTCGGCTTTGATTCCGATTTACGATATGTTGAACCACTCCAATCACCCTGAGAAAGTAAATACCATGACAGATTCTTCGCTTCATGACTTCGACGACGAATTCACCGTCCAGGCGCTACGACATCTGAAGGCAGGCGAAGAACTTCACTACGCTTACCATGATACGAGCTCTGACGAATGGGGAACACCAGAAATTCTTCGTGACTTTGGATTTGTGGAAGGATATCCGCATACGTTTCACATATCCGATGGTGTGACCATTGTTGTCGATCAAGTTGAATCCGATGATGGACAACTGGAATATGTTGCCTCATGCTTGAATGAAAACTGCCCAGAAAGTTCTTGGATAGAAGAAAAAGTCCAAGCGCTGATGGAAGTAGAAGAGATCCTTTTGCCAGAAGTGGCGATGGCGAAGTTGCAAGTTCCTCCAAGAGAGCTTGCAATTATCAAGGAATATCACCAAGCTTTGCTTGTGGCTTTTTCTTCAATATCGTCCAAGTGCCCAGATCCGGATACGTAAGAACACTACCGTATACAGTAGATAGATGAATATTAAGGAGTAATATACATATTATAGTATTTTTAGAAATACAATATTATTATCAATTTCAATATTCGTTAATGTCAAATGAATGAAAAAATCAATCTCAAATACTCGCTTTTGGAAGAAGTTTTGGGAGTATGTATATGGGATCCCCCAATTATTGATTTCGCATTTCCAACACCGAACGCGCGGAGAAAATAACCGCGCACAGGCATCATCGCACTTTGACATCACACAATTTTCAATCTTGTCAAATCTGTGCATCACAATCACTTTGACGGCAGAGCAATGAGGATACCTCGACCCAGTTCCTTACTTGCCTGCATCACATTCGTCCCGTGTATCTTGTTGTCGTTATCCTCTGAAGATGGGGGAAATGGCGTCGATGATGAAATTCTCCAACAAATCAATGTCATGATGGAGTGGCTGATTGACGAAGATGGATCGATGGATCCTCGAATAGAAATCAGACGGTCCAATTCCAAAGATCCCAACTCTAGAATTGGTATTTTTGTCAAGGAGGCCATCCAGACAGATGAATTGCTGATTGAGATTCCAGGGGAGATCAAGATTCAGCTAGACGATATTATCCCAAAGAAAGAGTCGGATGATGATGGGTCCAACGACGACGATTCCTCCTCCGACGAGGATAAAGAAAAGGCCAGCAAGGACTACCAAGATCACATTTGCAAATTAGCATGGGCCCTGAGAGATGAATATGATGACGAAGAAGACAGCGAGTTTTATCCATATATAACGTATCTTCAGTTGCAACCTTTCCCAAGGGTTCCAGCCATGTTTTCCACAGCAGCTCAACATTTGTTGCTTCAGACCCAACGTGAAATCGCCGTTCGAACGCTTGATGGATTTGAAGAGTCGAATGATATCGTCATGTGGCCATGGAGACTGTATGAAGAGGACTGTATACAGGACGATGACGATGAAGGCAACAGTCTGAATCCGTACTTTATCACAATGGCAGTCCAAATGGGCTTGGAACATGCCTTTGTACCTTTCTACGATTTGGTGGCCCATCACAGTGACAACGCCAAGATCAATATCTTCACAAAACCTTCTATCTTTAGCGATGAAGATTTCGGTATATATGCATCCCGCGATTTGGAACCAGGCGAGGAACTTTTTCGTTCGTATCGAGAGTGTCACGATTGTCCTACAGGACGAGCCGACTACTTGGGTACGCCGGAGATCCTTCGAGATTATGGAATTGTGGAACCATATCCCCAAACCTTTCATTTTGACGACGATATCGTAGTCATTGTCGATGAAATGGGAGAAGGAAAATACGCTGCTAGGTGTCTCAATGACAAGTGTCCTTCGAAGCCAATGGTGGAAGCACGAATCAAGGATTTGACAGGAGTTATTGCATACATGATGCAAACTTCAGAACCCATCATGGAAAATTCCGAATACGATACGATAAATGAATATCACAAGGCACTGGTGGTGGCAATGACAACGGTTCTGCCACACTGTGCTGATGATCCAACAGCAGTGAATCCTCCTCATCATCCGCCCATCAGGAGTTTGGAGGAGCCGGCTACAAGTACTAACGAGAAAGACTCTGACAAGAAAGACGAGCTCTGAAATGGATCACATACAGTAGGTCTATGGGTGAATGAAAGACCTAGGGTAAGCGACGAGGGAATAGTAGTCCAGAAAGAGAATTACTTTGGGGTGGTGGGGCGCTGCTTGTTCCACAACCGGGACATGTACAATTCCAAGGCGCACAAGACACGATGACTACAAGTGAGCGTAACTGTGAGATGCCGCCAATCGAAAAGCTACAGTCATTGCAATATGACTTGCTTCGTGGCGAACCAATCACACTTCGAAGCACCAAGTACCTACTTCTCTCAGTGGATCAAAGAGAAAGAAAATGTGTACTCGCAACAAGTTAAATAGATGTTTGTTCCAAACAAATCTTCGCTGTTCAATAAGATAGATACTATAATAATAGAGATATGAGTACTGTCGAGGATAAAGTACCTGGTACTGTAGATCGATATCGATGAGATTAGAAACATAATTGACTAAGTCGACTACCCTACTCATCGATATGAGGATGATTCGAAGGAGTCACGCTTGGCGACTCCATGATGAAAACGATCATATCTCCCATGTCGTCTCGCACAGCATCATCTCCAACCGCATCATCAAGCGGTTGTTTTCACACAAATCACAACTTACATTATAAAATTCTTTACGCCAACTACATCAAACACTAGCATGACCAACACTAGCATGACCAACACTATCATCAACTACATGAACAAGAAGGAGGAGAATTGGGACAGTCTGGAACACGCTCTACCTACTTATATGCCACCTACGCCACCTGTTTCCATTCTTTGTCCTGCGAGAAAAGATTGGGGATCACCAAGAATCACCAATCATGTCAGTTTCACCCAAACCAATCAGAGAAGAAACTTTATGCCAGACCAGGAAGATATTCAATCCAGAAAGAAACGAAATCGAGAAATTTACGGTCAGATCAAATATCATTATCTGTGCGAGTGTTTTGAGGAACGAGTACTTCCTCAGCTGCGGAGTACTGTGATGGATACCCTTTGTGTCATTTCTGACGATCCAGAAGAAGAAGACGATTGCCACTTTGACTCGTCTTTGGATGTTGGATCAATTGATGACAACATTGATTCTGCGGAGGATCCTTTGGAGGATACTATCAGCAATGGCGAGATTCCAGAACCACTGCAAGAGCAATCTGACAACGCAGCTATTACTGGCATTCCTCCTGATGGAATGGGATCCGGATGGACTGAATGTGGAAAGCGATACAGCCTTCAACGGGCTAAGCTTCTCATTACACATATGGCGGAGGATCCTTTCACCAAAGCTTTGGGATCTGGCATGACGGAACAAGGAAGGCGATACAGTCGCCGAGTGGCGAATCGACAAAACGGTGCCAATTAAAGTACATTCTGCCACGACTTTGAAAGAGATGAAGTATGATAATAGTGTGCGACAACACACGAACAACCCATCAAAGAGTTCAATGGAAATTCACCCCCCTAATGACAATTTGTCTTTACAATGACAAGGATGTCACTTCATTTCTGCTGGTAAGTTTTCTTGACCGTTTCAATTTCATCTACTTCCTGAACCATGGTCTCACCATTTTTTCTTTTCTTCTTTCGTCATAGGTGATGATATGATTATGCAGCAAATCTGCAAGACTTGTTGTGTCTTCTCACATCTATAAGGGATCCTTCGGCTGGCTAGTGTTTGTCTTTGTGGTTTCTAGTGGATTGGTCACTCACTAGGATTGCATCGGCGGCACAACACCAGACGATTTCATGGCTTGCTGAGTTTTGATGCTTCCCTCCAGCCTTTGTTGAATGGTTGGGCGCGTCCATAATTGGCAAGAGCCCCAAAAAGCGGTCCCTTCAATTTTTTGAAAAAGAGTCTTGAACTCTACCACTCTGTTATTGGATTTGAAAGACAAAGGGGAAGTCTCCCATGCAATATCAGTATCATGTAATCCATCACCCTGCTCAAATATGGAGAGGAAGCGATATCGGTTAGACATGTGAACAGCTGACATTGTCAATTATACATGTATTATATAATTGACAATGCTCGGTGGTACATGCAGTTTCGCGATGGCACTGGAACTGAAGGGAGCAGCGGCGTCTTCAACCCATTTCAATATCCTTTACCATGACATTGTCAGATTGGCATGTCTGGTACTACTGATATTGAAACATAACAACCAACCGACTTTGGAACCAAATCTAAGTGAACAAAGTGGACGACTCATGAAAATGAATATTGAATTTCTAAAAATATACAACCATGCCCATAGGATAATACATCGTACAGTAGTTTCCTCAGAATAACATCTATCAGACAAAAAAATAGAGAAAAGATAGACTACTTCGACTACAATGACCGGGTAAAGATCTTATTTTTTTGGAATGATAAGGTATTAGCCCAAACTATATCATTAATTCGGTGCTTTTGGAACTGCAATAGATGGTGAAGCGGATGGCGCCAAGGATGGCACCATGGATGGTCGAGACGAAGGCTGCCGGGAGGGTCTCGAGGAAGGTTGAAGGGATGGTCGAGATGATGGTTGCAAAGATGGCAGCGTCGATGGCAGCAGCGAGGGTGAGCTGGAAGGGACTCGAGAGGGCTGCTTGGATGGAGAAAGGGTGGGCGACAGGGTCGGTCGTGGTGTTGGCGATTCGGATGGAGCCGACGATGGCATGGCACTTGGAACCAAGGATGGCGATTCGGAAGGTGATGGGGATGGTTCGGCCGACGGCGATTCCGTAGTCGAACCAAGCAAGACTACTGCCACATCCTCAAATAGACTGGGGGGAAGTCCCATCCTCTGGATCAGTGATTCTTCCGAGTCTGGAGGATTGACAATGCTCACAACCAAAGAGATCAATTGGAAATTGGACAAGTCCTCGTCTTTTAGGTACAAATCCATCTTGATCACAAACCGGTAGCATGGTTGTGGGGCCCCATCTTCACAGGATTTACCCAGTTGTACTTCTCCCGTGGCATTGACATTTCCAATGGCATAACGAATGCCATTCAATTGGCGTTGTTGATGATGACTTTCTGCTACCGATGGCAATTCCAACACCTTTCGTCGTCGTTGTCGTCGGTCGCAACCCGTCAAATCGGGCACCAAGGTTCGAAAGAACTTGTCCATAAAAGAGTCCACCCAAAAGGCAGTAAGCGCACCTGGGACCACAGTGACATCAAAATCCAATCCAAATGGAGTGAGAATCATATCATCTTGATTGGAGACTGGTGCCCGACCCCTGATATTGAAACAATCTTCCTGGTTTGGTGGGTCAAACAGTTGTGGAACGTTGGTGGGATTATCGGAGGGCATGCTCGTAGGAACGGAACTGGGAGGTTCCAAGGGTACTGATGGACTGGTGGTGGCAGCAGTTTCGTCTAGTGTTGCGGGAGTCTCCGAAGAATCGTCTTGCGTCAAGAGGAACCAAGCCACTCCAGCCGCAATTCCCAGCAGTAACATCAAACAAATAATGATTCCGGTCAAGAATTTTTTCTTTTGCGGATTGAGTCCACCCACATTATTCTTGTTTCGTTGTTGGGCCTCCATCAGGTTGGGAATGTCATCGAGGACTGAAGGTGGCAGTCCCTTGCTGCTGTCTTCTAGTGAAGGACGATTATTGCTGTTTCGTTTGCGAGTGGATCCTTCTCTTGATAGATTGCTGCGACGAGAACCTCGGTTCGATCTACTTGGACTCTTGGATCGTTCTAGTAGCATGTCCCTTCGTGATTCTCCTCCTCTACTGGATCTGCTGGGACTCTTGGAACGTGTTAGTAGGTCTCTTCTGGATCCTCCGCCTCGGTTGGATCGACTGGGACTCTTCGATCGTTCTAATAAGCTTCTTCTAGATCTGTGGGATTTGCTGGGACTCTTGGATCCTTGCAACATATCTCTTCTTGATGATCCTCGGTGGGATCGACTTGGACTCTTGGATCGCTCGAGTAAGTCTCGTCTCGATGATCCTCCTCCTCCTCTGTGATTGGACCGAGTAGGTGATTTGCTCGGACTTTTACTGTGCCTTCGGGTGCTACTTCGTCTTCGAGTAGGAGATGTAGTTGGACTTTTGCTGTGTCTTCGGGTACTACTTCGCCTTCTACTAGGAGATTTGCTTGGACTCTTGTCGGTGAGTCTTCTACTGCTACTGCTTCGTCTGTGATGGCCACTTCCTCTTTCCCCATCATCGTAGGTGCCACTTCTTCCTGTGAGTCCAAGAGAAAGGTGTCAGGTGTGCGTCATGTCACTGTTTTGACAAGTCCTCTCGAACCATTTCGGTACTTACGGTGTGGAGATCGAGAACCGCTTGTTCGTTTATGGCTGTGGCGTCGCAGCTTGTGATCACCATCATCCAAACTGATAATATCCTCATCACCGTCATCCAATATTTTTTTGGAAGACTTGTGATGGTGATCGTTTACTAAGCCACTTCGTCGAGAGGATGCGACCGAATCGGTCCAATGCGATTCTTCGTCATGCACGTGTCTCTTGGAAGAAGACGAAGAAGAATGTCTCTTTGAAGAATGATGTTTCTTGGTGTCCTTCAATCCCAAAGGTGGTGCTGCAGCGCCATCCAACGCTTCGATGGATATCAATTTACGAGAACTCCCTGATTTGCCCATTCTTTCAGGAGCCGATGTGGGAGGAGTAATGCTGTCGTTCTTGGGTGAAATCCGAGGAGATCCCTGATTTTTATTACTGGCATCGCTGTGACGCTTTTTGGGACTGTCCATGATACACAAGTTTCTGTTGCCGTGGTAGTGAGTGCGTTACTGCATGAATGAATGAATGAATGAATGAATAATGGACGCATCAGAAACCTCCTAACTGACGACTGCGACTCGTGGGAATTCCGCAGAACCTGTCCAAAAATCAAATCCTTCTCATATCAGATCCAGGCACGCTCGCTCAGAAATTCAAAAAATGATTTCCTTCGACCCGATGGATTAAAAGGAAAACCAGTCGAAGGGGTCAATCGTGCAAGAGTTCGCTGGATGGAGACGGATCACGATCGAAAAAATAGTCGCGATCATCATCTCGTTTGGCATCATTGTCATCCTCAGATTTTACTATCCTGCTGTTTCGATTATTGTTATCATTCCTTGGGCCAAAGTGAAACAGAAACATGGCGCCTTCTATCCCATCGGATATCTCAACCATCCTGGGCGACAAACTGTCTGGTGATGAGAAGCGTAAGTTATCATGTTACCTGTCAAATTCACCTGTGACATCTAACTGTGAAGTTCCCATGGACCGTGAATCTAATAACGTTTTCATTCCCACTCCATCCACTGCTGCTGAAATCATCCTAAACAGAAAAAGTAACGGAATACATTACTAGTCTGCAGACTCAAATTGAAGAACTTGGTGGAAGTCTTCCCGCTGAAGAGAAAAACACAGAAAACCAAACGGCAGAAGCAGAAACATCCTCAGGTGTTACCGTCACGGTCTACGATGCGGCGTCCGGTGCCGAAGACTTTGACAAGGCCGGCGAGTTCAAGCAACAAGCGGCAGATGCCAAGTCGAATGGGGATCACTCAAAAGCTTTGGAATTGTACAATCAAGCCGTCCTTGCCGCTCCTCCTTCTGCTTTGCTGTACTCGAATCGTGCCATTTGTCTCATGAAATTGGGACACTATAAGGAATCGGAACAAGATTGCAACCGCGCCTTGGAACAGAACCCGGACTCTGGAAAAGCTCTGAAAACAAGAGGTCAACTCCGCTTTCAACATTTGCAAGATTGGCACGGGGCCCTGTCCGATTTGGGACAAGCCCAGTCGATTGATTTTGATCCGGAAGTAGCCGACATGCTCAAGGAACTTTCCAAGAAGCGTGTCGAAGAAGAAAAGGAACAAGCCAAGGAACGATTGGCCAAGGAAGAAAAGATGCGAAAGAAGGCAGAAGAGATTCGCAAGGTCCGAGAAGAAGAAGCCGCAAGAGCAAAGGAGGAACAACAACAACAACGTAGTGCTGCGGGTGGTATGCCTGGAATGGGAGGTATGGGTGGCATGCCTGGAATGGGAGGCATGGGTGGAATGCCTGGAATGGGCGGCGCCGGCGGCCCTGGTGGCATGGACATGGGAGGCCTCATGGGTATGATGATGGGAGATCCTGAAATTCAGGCCGCCATGCAAAACCCCAAGGTCGTGGCTGCCTTTGGGGAACTCATGAATAGTCCCGGAGGCCCCGCTGGACTGTTGAGCAATCCTGCCAAACTACAAAAGATCATGTCGGATCCAGAAGTTGGTCCTATTTTGCAAAAGATTATGGGCAAATTGGGTGGCGGCGGCGGCGGTATGCCTGGAATGGGAGGCATGGGCGGTATGGGCGGTGGTGGCATGCCAGGTGCTGGTGGTGGAAATGATGATGATATTCCTGATTTGGACATGGGCGATTTGCCAGACTTGGTGGATTAAAAATTGGATATTGAATACAGCCTACAGTATTAATATTATTTTAGAGTATCAATCGTGAAATGGGGATTTTTTAAATTTTAGGTTCTGCATTGTGTTGAAGCATAGCATTTGTCATCTGTGAATAAGTTGGTCTTAGGATCATTAAACAATGTTCTATAAAAGAAGTTACTAGCAACAATGCAATAGCGGTGAGGTTGGTACTTGTACCTGGTGCGAGGTAATTGAATGAGAGGTCACGTGACGGGGTCAACGTCAAGCGTTACGAGTTACGTGGTATTTTCGTCTGTCGTGTGTCACGATGATGGATCACCAATCGTATATCGGTATTGAGTATGGGACAGTGATCGTAGATGATATTATACATCACATCCATGATGGCCACCACGGGGAATGACGTGATTCCAAAGACTTAAATCTCTCAATCTCTGCACTGAAGATGAAGCTACATTGATGCAAACACACTACAACGGGGTAAGTTGGATTGAAGAAGTAACATCACATTGTATTCAGGATCATGAGACCGCATCATCATCATCATCCGAAAAACAATAGAACAATGCAGACAGTATCTCCGGACCCGACTCATTCCATGAATGATATTTTTACATGTTTGGTTCGGTCATTGCGTCGTGCTAGAGAAATTTTAGAAAGTCATATAGTTGGACGAACGTGTCTTTATTTCTGTGACAGTTTGTCCTGGTCGACATGTCTAACATTTTATATAAATTGAATGTTACTCTTTTTCACAGGTAGCAGGAATGGTAGTGGTACGGTGGTAAACTATACGAGCTGATCAAGGAATAATGCAAAGGAGAACAATGAAGTACCGCGAGGTGGGGCAATTTGTCAAAGCAAACTGTGGAGTGAGTCTCGATCTGGTGGTTGTTCATTTCGACTTTCGACGCTTGGAAATCTCGTGCTTGAACCGATTGGCCGATGCAGTTCACAGCGAGCTACTTGAGACTGACTGGAGCATCAATGACTTCAGTGACTTGGAGGATGATATCTACAAATCTCTGGTGACAACGATTACAGTGAAGCATAAGTAGATGCAAATACACCAGTGTACCTCAGAGACCATGGATTCCATTTCTCCACTACATTGAATCGAGACAGAAGCGAGTCACCCCTTTTGCTTGACATAGGTTTCTTTTATATAGTTCCAAACATAGACAAGATACCAACCAAACCAAACACCTCTCAATAGCTCTGAGCACTCTAACATTTGTTTGCAACAAGTGATGGTCTAATGAAACTACGGGTGGAGTCTGCCTAATCTTTCTAATTTGGAGTATTATCAATAAGTTTTGTCCAGTCAATCGGCTTGAGATGTAGCCCTTGGGATCTCCAAGAACTGCACTACGTTCGGAATCACAATGTGTGATCCACAGACACACCGGCACTCTTCTCGTTCTAGCGCCTGTCGTTTGGCACCATCATTACTGCATATGCCCTTGAGTCGACCTTTCCACAAGGCCATTTCAAAGATCGAAGTGATTTCCATAAATCTGTAATGTGCAAAGTCAGAACAAGCTCCATCGTACAAAGCTTCCCTTAGTTCGTTGTCGTCTTCAGCAAGTAGTATAGCTTGCACCTTTCTTTGAATGTCCTCCATCCAGGTTGTAGTACCCCAGTGAACCAGTGGATCAATCGCCCATCTTTGTAGTGTCGTTTCAAGCAAGGGTGCAGATGTTTCAGTCCAATTGGTGACCAAGTAATCCAGTGGTTGTTTGCCATTTGCGTCTTTGCTATCCAGAATACCGGTATCATGATCTACATATTTTTCCAGAAGGCCTTCGAGGAGATCTTCCCTTGGACTGATAGTCGAAAAGAGAACATGGAATGGAGTCATTCCGAACTCATCCACAAATGGTGCCTTGTTGTTGTCCTTCGTCCTCTGAATACACTCGCCAAGTTCTTGGGTGGTGACAGAGGAATTGTCGTAGCAGATTCTGTGGACAGGAAAAGTGTCAAACCGGTGTACTAAACCGTCGACAATACCATCTGATTCTCCACCAAAGCGTCCATGTAATAGTGTGCATCCAACAAAAACATCTTCGTCGGCAGTGGACCCTTTTGGTAGAACAATATTTGCAAGAGCACGGCAACTACCAAAGACTTTCTCTCCAATCTTGATCGGTTTTGAATCGATGGGAACTATAACTGTAACCAATCCAATGCACGAAAAAAATGAATAATCACAAAGGCGCTCCAATGAGTTTGGCAGTCTCACAGTTTGAAGGGAGCGACAACGACTGAAGATTTTCCTGGGGATCTCAGTGATGGAGGTCGTTGACAGATCTGCTTCTATCAAGACGTTACACGCATCAAAGGCAGATTTGCCAAGGGTGTTCACAGACGAGGGAATCTTGATTCTTTGTAGCGAGCAAGAAGCGAAAGCAGCGTTGCCAATTATCTCTAGCCGATGGGGCGAAGTAGACGATGACGACTCTTCAAACTCCACTTTCTTCAGCGCTTTGCAAAACATAAATGAAACGTCCCCAATGGATTCCACCGTACATTGTATCTTGATTTCCCACAAACTTGTGCAGCGATAAAAAACACCATCGCTGATCTTGACCAACCGTTCAGGAAGAGTTACTTCCTGCAAATCACGACACTCATAGCACAATTCATCCGGTAAAACCTGAATGCCTGAACTGAAAGTCAGCTTTTGCACAGTTTTGGGTACTGTTTCTCCCTCATTGCCTTGGTATCGGTACGAGAGCTCATTTACATCCATCTTTTGATATTATATATGTTTGTGCAAGAACACAAATAATGCGGGCATTTACAATACTTTTCCCGATATTTCAATATACATGCATAAAATCGTTAGTTCTTTGTAGTCGATCTAGTCCAATCTGGTGTGCGGCACAATAATATTAGTATCTGGCTGTTGCAGCACCAACCGCGGTATAGCTAGCTAGACATGTTACTATATTACAGGTGTCAAAAGTACATAAGATCTATACCTATATCTATTTATCTTGTTCCATACTAGTTACTTTGTTTCTTTCTCTTCGATCCACTTGGAGAAGTACTTGGTGCTTCGAAGCGACTGGTGCCACAGCAACGCCTGTACAGGGTCCCTCTGTCGCCTTTTAGTCAAGTCACTTTGCAATGACTGTAGCTGTTGATGTAACAAGTCCCAGTTACGCTCTTTATCAAATTCCTTTCGGAGTAGATGGAATCCTCGTGTCTGTGCCTTGGAATAGCATCCGTCCGAATTCGTCATGAGTGCTATTGCACTCTCACAAAAGTCATGGACTGTGGAACAGACAGCACCACCAAAGTCATCCTTGTTCTGAACTATTCCCTCGCTTCCAATCGGAGTTGTAATTGCAGGCATACCATTCATCCAAGCATCTAGAATCTTTCCCTTGATGCCCGCTCCAAATCGTAAGGGAGCCAGCAGAATGTTGCGGCCACTCTAGTTATCAAAGATGTCTTGTAGTCGAGGTGTGTAGCCATGGACAAAGATTCCATTTTGTGGGCTGTGCAATTGAAGAATGCTTTCAGGGCAGTAGGCCCCATGGATGTGTAGTGATATTCTTTTGTTCGATTCAGGTACCATAGACAAAAGCTTTGGCCACACATGTTTCAGCAGCACCTGAACTGCGTCTACATTTGGATCATGTCGAAAGCCACCACAAAAGACAAACTTGGTTTCTTCATGTTCTTTTGGGGCTTCTCCATTGTCTACGACAGTGCTAGTGCCAACAATGCTGGATGGATGATCAACAAAGAAGGATGCCAGACAGAGCTTGTCCCTCGGAATCCCGTACTCCCGCTGCAACAGATCCATTTCATATGGTGAACAAACCAATGTCATATCGCAACGATGAATGCTAGCCAGCTCTCGTAGAAGTCGGTCGCTGTCTTTTCCTGGTCCATTCACCTTCGGCGCATAGGCCATGACTTCTGGAATCACATGTTTCAATGGATCGTATTCTCGTCCTCGTTCTTTACCAAAAGCCCGATCCAGTTTTTGGACTACTTCTTGACGTCCATGTCGCAAAGAATGCATGTCTTGCATATCCAAAACCATGGCAGGCTTCTTATGGTTATCCAAGGCTGATGAAGTGCCTTCCCAAAAGGCATGAGAAAAGGCTTCTTCCACATAAAATCGGTCAAAGATGATGCGTTCTATCCCCTTATCCGTATTATGCTTAAGCAGAAAGTTCTCAACTGCATGGCTCCGATTCATCGGCAAATGTTCCACCATTAGATTGGGGATCCACTGCTGATATTCTTGTTCCATTGGCACTCTCTGTTGTCCGGTTGTTGAAGTTGATGACGACAATTGATTCCATTCTTTGTCGGTAGTAGTCAGAATGACCGACCCGCCACGATCCGCTGCATTTTTTTGCTGATTTGTAAAAGTGAACGATCCGTGTGTCGTTCGTGCATGTTGACCCAACCGCTCCAGCAGAAATCGGGTTCGGACACCAGCGGCCGATGCGGTATCATCTGGAAAGACACTGGTCACCACCACAGACGATCCCAATAAGCCTTCAGTCTTATTTGCAGGAGAACTTGGTGCAAAGAAACGTTTCACAACCTCTTGGTATTTGGTGCGTTGATTCCAGGATGGTCTACTGTATAGATTCGTAGTATACTTTAGCATTTGCCTCACCCAGGAATAATCACAGGGTATGGGTGCTTCAATAAATGGACGATGTTTGTGGATTTACATTATAATACTCGTACCATGAACTACAATATGTAATGATGGGGTGTATGATGGGTCGAAGAGGTCGTCAAAAACCCACGTGGAGGTTATTGGTCGATACTACCATACGCCCAGTTCAAGTGTGCGGGACGGTGCTATATACAATACTGTACCTTGTTGGTTCATTGGTTGGTAGCATGCAGCATGATACTCAACATTACCACCCATTCGAATGAAGCAAAATAACAGGGTTCACAGGTCCCTCAGGTTTAGTGGTATCCAAAATGATGCTGAAGGTATAAAATGGTATTATATAATACTGTATATAAAATAAGAAGTACCACACAATGTACCGGTACCGTCTATGAGATTACTAATTTACCGGTATGCGGTTTGCGCATAGCATGTGCGAAAAAAAAATTATTTAGAGATTTTCCCGCAATGCGGCCACACTTCGAATTTTAAAGATTTGCCGTTGGACTCATTTTGAAAATCCTCGCATACTTTTCTTGCGTACCTATGCTACCAAAAAAAACCGAAAGCATGCGCCAAAGCAAAGCCGACGGTCGACCTGAAATCAAATGAATTACCGGCGTTCTCGTTCTCCTTCAAACTACAAGTACAACATAGACAGTCGAGCACCTTGACATGAATGAAGAGCACAATTGATTGATAACAGCACACCACCACATTAGCCACTATAGAGAACATATCGTCGCTATTGTACGAATTGAAAAAGAGCACAGTCTCATCAATTGAAATTCAGGTGGCATGGCAGCTAAAAGGATGAGACAAAGAGAAGCTGGCTACAACAATGAGGGGGTGGAAGTTGACCTTTATGACGGTGATGATGGCAGCATTACAGTGATTCATGATATAGATCATTCAAGGGATGATATTATGGCTGCTTCAAGTTCACATTCACATTCACGCAGTCGTGAAGCGTTGCACAATCTGAATCTTTCGGTAATACGAAAACCAGCACGAGAGGTCACATTTTCAAACATTAAGGTGCGAACCTATCCCATATGCGTTGGCGACAACCCAGCTTGCTCCGACGGAGTTCCATTGGCAATAGATTGGCAATATCAGAAGGAGTATAACTTCACAGTGGATTATTATGAACGAAAACTAGAAAAATGGGCCAACAATCCTGAATCCCCAATGCATCCAAATCGATATCCTCGCAAAACAGAAGCCGAACTTCGAATATCAGCAGCCGACAGATTGCAACTTTTATTCTCCTCTGGGGTCATGCCGCCAGATGCCAATCTAGCATTTCGACAGGTAGAACTAGTACGGCGGAATCGGGAAGCTACCATACGGAGTCTTCATTTTTGGCACATGATTTATGTCTGGGAAAGAATACAAAGAGCAACTCGAAATGCTACTGTAGGGCGAGCCTCCAAGAAAAAAGAACGGTTAATGCTTCAGCCGTATCGGAATATGGAGGGGGAAAACAACAGTATTGAGATCAGTGTCGATGAAATTCCTACACCCAGAAGATGGTTTACCTTTCGACAGTCCGACCAGAACAGCAGTCCATTGAACAACATTCACAAACGCAAAAAGCCTGCCCCAATAGTATTGAATCAATCCTATGAGACGGCAAGTGTTGCAACCAACACTCCTCAATCCATTGTCTCCTACAATGGAGATGCTCTCTTTCCACCAACACCAACTTCCAACTCACCCCTTGCCAAGACGATACGAGAACGCAACATGACACAATTTGAACCAAGAATCATTGATATGACCGGACAAGTCTCTGGTAGCTTTGAAGGAGATATTAATGCTAGTCCAATCGCAAGGTCACCCACCATGAAACGAACCAACAAGCCCAGAGACCGAGGATTTGATGATGATGACAGTCAGCTCTTGATTGGAGAAAGTATCATGGACCAAAGCATGGACTACAACAGCAATGTTGACCGTTATGCTACAGCTCAACACAATACCAGCATTTCATCTAGGATGGACGAAGAAAGCACACACAGTGGCAATTATTTCAAAAGTACAGCTTCCATGGGTGGAGGTTCCAACCATTCTCGCCACTCGCAAAGAAACGACAATGTCAGTGCCATCACAACACCTTCTGCCACTACAGGGAATATTAGCAGCAACATTCGACACTTGACGGGATTGCGAGGATGGTCCAGCGATAACAATGCGGAACGAGGCTATTTTCTGGACTCGGACGAACGGTATTATTAATTGACAATATCCTCTTGTTCCTTCCACAACAACAGCAGCAGCGATTGGAAGCAGTACTGATAACCCTATCCGTATTGGCCAAGCTCGCCATATCCTGTTGCTTTGTTCACATTCAAGCCTCCGATGACATATCTACCGCACAACAGCAATCATAGAATCCCATACAACCTCAAGCTATTCGACCTACAGTATCAAGCACCGATACGAATTAGTAGATACAGTACCGTCAAATTTGTCGCATGGTGAGAGAAGGAATCACTAGAAGAGTGGTACAGTACTTCGGGTCCGAGTTTTGGAATGCAACGTCTCCCCAATACTGAATTCCCCAAGAATGATGGGGACGAAAGAATCATATCATCATCGTCATCACACAACGTGGTACTTTACTTTAGTAATCCACCCAGCAGTTTAATAAAATGCAATTCTAGGTTTCCAGGCCAGGACCTATTGCAGTATTCGAGTATTATTTTATACATGTTTTAGAAAAAGTACAGAGCAAAGCGTTTCCTCAAGGTACTAGTCACTAGTACCTAGCATTCAACAACAATACTTGGTTGACGAACTCTTCTGGTTGGCTCATTTCTGTGTGATATCTTGTGAATGATGGCCAGGTTATTGGCAAAAAAGCAATCGTCATTGTAGTTGCCCAACAAGAAGCCGCCTTCCAACAAGGAACTAAGCGGATCGTAAACTTCACAAAAGTTCTCAAGTGCCTGGTTCAAAGCTGCTTCTTTGGAAGTGGATGTTCTGCGGCGAGAAATGTACCTTTGGAATCCGGGGTCCTTAACGACCTTTTGGGACAAAACCACATACTTCACAGTAGATTTCTTCTGTCGGGAACGTTCCAATTTGTATCGTTCCAGCCCAAAGGTTTCCTCATTGGAAGGAAGACCACTCAAGACCAATTCTTTGGCTTGTTCCCTGAAAGCACGGATATCTCTCTTGGAATACCAATTGTTGGTAAGATGCTCCTGTGTGATTTCCGTAATTGGAGAAGGAGCTGCTGCTGCGTCTTCGAAAAAGAAATTGAAGCATACTCTTCGTTGTCGGAGCGATCGTTTTCGAGAAGACGAATTACTTGATACTGCCTTTAGAACAGTTCGTTCCTTTGTGGATTGATAGTCGGTTGATTTGCACATGGTCAAGGAAAATTGTAGTTGCTGTGATGCAAGAAAAACCAAAGTTATGTGATCAAATTCAAATGATAAAAATAGAATTCGAATATCGTTCCTTTCGCAACTCGACTTCGTGGGATTGATCTTCTGATCAGGTGCCGGACAAGAGATACAGCACCACATACTTATTGCTCTGATTTCGAGATCGAGTCGCCAAGAGATCTGGTGCAGCACAAATTCTAAATTGACTCTAAATAAATATCCAGGCGAAGGTTTCTAGCTTCCTTCTGCTCATGTGATAGAAAGTGAGTATATATACTGAATCAATCCCGAAGTTGCGTCACCTTTTTTTCCGTCATGTTTTTCTCTATAATAAAAACCTTTAGTCCCAAAATACCCGCACATGTGTGCAAATCGCGTCACCATGGTGGAAATTGATGAAAAGTTTACTCCATTACCAGCAGGTGCTGTTGGACCAGCACGAGGCAAGAGTGTAGCAGAAACCTGGTATCTGGTGGATAGTTTCTTACAGGACTTCCTTCTGATCAAATGACAAAGAGAGTACTCCTATTTATTGACTCAATCCTGAAATCGCGTCACCAATATCCAGCCCTAGCACGTGGCCACTGAAACAAAACCCGAGGTCGGTTATTTTTACTTCCTTCTGATCGTGACAAAAAGAGCACACTTTCAACTTATTGATACATTCGCAATGTCGCGTCACCTCATCCAAATTATCTGCTGGTAGTCGACGGCATATTTTTGCATGTTTAAAAAAAAAAACACTTGACACCCTCATAAAAACAAAAAAACAAAACTAAAATCAATGATGGATACTCAATGCAGCGTCCACCAAAGATCAATGGAGAGCATCACACTCCCAACAGAGACCGATGAATCTGCAAGTCTCCACTTTCAAGCACCAAAGGAGGAAGAAGCCACCACTTCTTTAAGACGAGAGTATACTAAAGAAGTTAGCTTTAACGGCCGAATCCGATGCAGGTTCTTTAAAACACACATCACTGACCCGGAAAATCTCTGGTACTCCAAGCAAGAGCTCGCGGGCCTGCGCAAACTGGACAAGAGCCTCTGTCGACTGGCAATGAGTGGGGCTGCCATATCTTTCGTTGGAGATGACGACAGTGAAGAACTCTCCTTCGTTGGCCTATACACGGAAGCGGAACGCAAGCAACGAATCGTCTACCCAAAAGAAGCCAAGGCATGTGTCTTGGCTGAACAGTTGCAACAAGAAAATGACTATTACAACGAATTCTTCAGTCTTTACGGCTTCAAGCGGGACCAAGAATCCATTGCGGAATTTTACTCGATCTACTCCATCAGAGCTGCCAAGGTTGCTCATTTGAAGGGACTGAAGCTTTCCTGGCATGTCATGAGCTTGTCAGCAGAGAAATCCACTAATATCGATGTTACTCATCGATCATGCCGCCAACGCTCCAAGGTTACCTCTGACCGTCGCCCAGTACCGAACTCTTCGATCCGACCGCCTGTGAGAGGCCTGATTGCCCGCTTGACGACACCAGCAGCGGCATAGCCCTCAAATTTTTCAGGGTATGACCCACTGGTACATTGAACTGTCCTCAATAATTTTGTAATACTGTAGAGGAACTCTTATTTTTGACCATGTATTGATGAAGAAGCAATATGTAGTACGATATTATGTTTCTACTATATCCTAGTACATTACCTGTCAGTACGATCCGTATTGACCAAACTCACTTGCCTCCTACCTATTCCTTTTGTTCGCATTCATTCGAGCTTCCGATGACATGCTCCTGGTGCCACATAAACAACGTTCTGGTACATGGTAACATACCGGGTAGGTTCAGTAGATGATGCTATTTCCTCGAAAGATTCTTATTGGTGGGACCATGCATTTCCCACCTATTTTTAAAAATATTGATGCAGCTACAAAATCGTTCGGCAAGATACATCCGCAGCCAACTCAAAATCCGGCATTAAGTAAACTATTCTTCGATAGTTTTTGATTTCCTTCTGATCGGATGACAAAAAGGATTAAATCCCAAACTCGTGTCACAAGTATAGCCTTTAGCAAGATCAACATTCTACCGTGTTATTAAACAGTTCGAAGTGAAGCAGTTTACCTCACCACAAGGAAATGTCTGCAATACTTTGACTTTCTTCTGATCAGGTGACGAGGCCAGTAAGATTCAATCACAAAATCGCGTCACCAAATCCACATCCTGCTCTGGTGGTAGCATGTGAAGCAATGACTGTGCTCTCATAAAATACAAAAATGGATATGAACAATAAGCTCAACATCCCCCACAGGTACCATATGTGCACGGAAAAGAATGTGGAGCCAACAGAGAGTGATGAATCTGGAAGTCTTCACTTTGAAGCAACACCAAAGAAGAAGGATGGATCAGCTCCTCCTGTCAAAGGAGAGCGCAAAGTTTGCTTTGATAGCCGAGTCCGGTGTTTACACTTCAAAGAAGCAACTATCACGAACTCAGATGATCTCTGGTACTCCAAGAAAGAACTCGCGAGCTTGCGCAAAAAAAACAAGCGTCTCAGGAGGCTTGCAATAATGGCTGGGGTTACATCGTTTGCTGGCGACGACGACACCGAAGAAATCTCCTTCGTTGGCTTTTGTTCCGAGATGGATCGCAGAGAACAAAGCTATACCAAGGAAGCCACGGCATGCGTCCTGGGTGAACAAGAGCAACAACAAGAAGACTACTTCGATGAAGTGGGCAGTCTTTCTGACTTTAAGCTTGACCAAGAATCCATTTTGGAATTTTTCTCGATCTACTCCACCAGAGCTGCCAATATTGCTCACATGAAGGCACTGCAACTTTCCTGGCACGTTGAAAGCTTGGGAGCAGAGAAAACCACTGTTGCCGAAGGAACCCATCGATCATGCAGTCAACGTTCTCGCAGCCACCAACACTCCAAGGATAACTCTGGCCATGGCCCAGTCCGGAACGCTTCGATCCGACCTGCTGACAGCCTGATTGCCCGCTTGACGGCGCCAGCAGCGGCTTAACTTGTATACAGTGAGCAACCGGTTGCTTAATGATTTTGCTTAACTACGGTGGTGCTCTTCGGCGATAGAATGAATAAAAGCATATTTTTTACTTACAACAACCATATGATCCATAGTGGATACCAGTACTAGGCCCCTCCATAGCTAATCGGTCAATAGGTTCATCTCCTCTTACTTTTGTCCGATGACATACTAACACATCATCAACCTCGTAGAGTGTTCAGAGATGCATCACACACAAAGAAGATAGGATACAAAATATTTTAGATCGAACAGAGCAGCCATTATTGATACGAGCACAAACAATTCGCCTCTGAGTTTTTAATAAAAAAATACGACATCGCCAGATTCATTGGGCCATCCAATATATTTTATATATTACTGCAGTTTGAAGTTCAGCACTAAGTGTGGTGGGATTAGTGTTTGTTCTGATCAGCCAACGACAAAATATTGCCTGGTGTATTTTTTACCAAAAGGGTCGCGTCACCAAACAGGTTTGAAAAATACAATCCTCATAAAACGCAAAAATCCAGAATAATATGTCAATGAACAATACTCTATTCAGCATCCACCAAAGGTCCATGGAAAACATCACACTACCAACAGAGGCTGATGAATCTGGAAGTCTCCACTTTCAAGCCCCAAAGAAGGTCGAAGATGCTCCTTTAAGAAAGCGTAAAGTTTGCTTTCACAGCCGAATCCAGTGTAGGCGCTTTAACACACCACCTATCATGAACCCAGATGATATCTGGTACTCCAAGCAAGAGCTTGCGAGCTTGCGGAAACAAAACAAGCATCTCCAGAGCCTTGAGATGGTGTCCGAGATTACGTCGTTCGCTGGAAACGACGACACAGAAGAAATCTCTTATGTTGGCCTTAATTCTGAAATGGAACGCAGGCAACGAATCAATCGCATCAAGGAAGCAAAGACATGCGTCTTGGATGAGCAACTGCAACAAGAAGAAGACTTCTTCAAAGAGTTCTATACTACCTATGGCTTCAAGCTGGAACACGAATTCATCGCGGAATTTTATTCGTTCCACTCCATCAGAGCCGCCAAGGTCGCTCACATGAAGGGACTGAAACTTTCTTTTCATGTTGAGAGCTTGTCAGCACAGGAATCCGCTAATATCGGCGGTAACCATCGACCATGCAGTCGACATTCTTGCAGTCAACGCGCCAAGGCTACTTCTGATCATCGGCCCGGACAGAACCGTTCGATCCGATCTGCTGACAGCCTGACTGCCCGCTTGACGACACCAGCAGCGGCTTAACTCTTATTTTGCACTGGTAATACTACAGTGGCACTCTTATTTTTGATGATGTAACCAATGAATAGAAGGATATCGTTTTACTATTTGCTACTAGTACTAGTACTAGTACTACTGCTGCACCCACCAGCGTCCTGCCTTATTGACCGCCGAGCTGGCCTTACATGTTTCTTTTCTTCAGAAAAGTTCAATCTTCAGATGGCATACTCCACCACATTGCAGAGGCAGGCTTTTTTTGTTGTGAGATCCATAGCAAACAGTACCAGGTGTAGTAGAAGTCCCAAGAAAGACAGAGGATACAAAACAACTTCCTCGGTTTCGTCTGACTTTTGTCTATCCGGCATGCATGTGAACAGATGCCGGAAAGATTGTGTTTTTTGTTGCTTCTGATCGGGTGACAAAGCGAGCACTCACTCGTCGAGCCAGCTAAAATAGGTCGCAATTGATATTATTCTATAAAATATATATGAGAATACTCTGCTGCATCCACAGTCAGCCAACTTCATTGTTCGACGTTGTATATGTGACCTTTCAAAACCTTAGATAGTGAAACTCTTGTTTCTTCTGCTCAGCTCACAAAGTACTTGTAACTGGTCGTCCGAAGTCGCGTCACCAATACTACGGTATCCAAAATCTTCTAGGTAAAACTTTCATTATTATTCTCACAAAACACAAAATTGCAGGAAGACGACTATCAACGACAATCTCAGCCAGCACACACCAATCTCAGCCAGCACACACCAAACTTCGATGGAAAACATCACAGAACCAACAGAGACTGATGAATCTGGAAGTCTCCATTTTCAAGCACCAAAGAAGGACGAAGGCGCGCCTGTGAAAGGGCGCAAAGTGTTCTTTCACAGCCGCATCCAGTGTCGTACTCGCTTGAACAAAGCACCTATAACAAGCCCAGATAACCTCTGGTACTCAAAGCAAGAACTTGCGAGTTTGCGCAAACAAAACAAACGTGTCAAGAACCTTGGCATGTCTGGGTTTACATCCTTCATTGGAGATGACGATACAGAAGCAATCTCTTTTGTTGGCCTTTATTCCGAAATGGAACGCAAGCAACGAGCCCAGCGCATCAAAGAAGCCAAGAAATGTGTGTTTGGTGAACAAATGCAACAAGAAGAAGACTTCTACAATGGAGTTAGAACTCTCTACAATTTCAAGCTGGACCAAGAATCCATTGCGGAATTTTACTCGATCTACTCCCTCAGAGCTGCCAAGATTGCTCAGATGAAGGGACTGCGACTTGCCAGGCATGTCGAGAGCTTGTCAGCAGAGGAATGCACTTTTATCGATGACAACCATCGACCATGTAGTCAACATTCTTACAGTCAACGCTCCAAGGTCACCTCCGAGAATCGCTTGGTACGGAAGAAGCCTTCGATGCGATCTGTTGGAAACCTGATTGCCCGGCTGACGACACCAGCAGCGGCCTAATTCTTTCCACGATAGTATAAACCACTGCTGATGCATTGAGCGATCGTGTGCTCAATGATTTTGCAAGACTGCAGTGGTACTCTTTTTATTTTTTGACTATGTAATGAATAGTAGAACGAAGATATTTTTTTACTATAACTACGACTTTACCTACCAGCATGACCCGTCCGCACCTACAGTCCACTGTTGCTTTTGTTCACATTCAAGAATCTAATGACGTATTGGAGAAGCTACCTCCTTGCCTTTGGTCCCCACATCCCCGTTATAAAAACAAGCAGGCTTCAGAAAGAGACTGTACTTTGTGGGATTGTTTCTTCTGATCAGTTGACAAATATTAGTTATCGACTCAATCCCAGAATCGCGTCACCACCTTTTCCAAGTTCGACTTTATTCCATCTTTTAATTATTTCTTCTGATCAGGGTGACGGGTGACAACTAAAAAAAGGCGCACTTTCAGTTTCTCACAAAATCAACCCAGAAGCAAAAACAGATAAAACAATACAGGACCCTCCAGAAAACACAATGACTTCCAACACATGCATGCAAGAAACCTTCCTACACTTGTTCCAATGCGGTGGGCTAGAGTCCACAGATCCCTACGAGTCTGTGACTCAGCAGAAAAAAGTCTTCTGGGAGCCTCGTGCTTCCTCACGAGGACAGAGGATTGGGTTGTCCAGTCGTCCTTCTTCTCCTACAAGTATCTATTACATTCCTTCTCGTGAAAAAATGATTGAGATTCGCCAAGACTCCATGAATCGTTCCGGTCGATCTGGATTATTTTCTAGAACAACTTCCAGTACTCCGATGAGATTCTCATTTGAAGATTATGAGTATGACATGGAGGAGGGGGCGAATGAAAATGAAAATAACTCCATCCGAACTTTCAGCATCCGCACCAACGGTGCTAACCAGTTCTCTCATCCAGTGAAGAGAGTAAACTCGTTATCGACAGTAACGACTGCCGATAGCGCTTCCGTGATGGAAGACCTACAACAAGACGAAGCCCACCACATTGACATTGTTGCTGGTCGTGAGTAACTTGCTTTGCCTACAAATGGGTGCGAAACTCTTTTTTTTTACATAGGAATTACATACACATACATACAGACATACACAGTACATAAATAAATCAATAGAGAATAATTACAACGTAGTACATTACCCTGAAACATGTACAGTGGTGGTGTCTCTTCAGTACTCAAACTAGTAGCTAGCGAGTTGGCATCGAGTCTTGAGTGCAGCACCAAGTTGATTCTTTTGGGGCTACACGTGGGCACGGATATAACAGCAATATAATGTGTTTCTCCTCAGCCAAATCTGAACAAGAAGAACTATAATAAGTAAAATAGCAATCGTGGTTAGGTTCCCTTTCCACATTCTTGTAGTACAGTCCGATCATCAGAAGTATCTGGTATTGATCTTCAGGGAGGCGAAAAGGATTTTAAGATGCCCACCCATTATTACATCTTCCATGCTGAGTGAATGCATCAAGATGAGTAGCTATAGAGTAAGGGAATGCTGAAGCCAGTGGTGAGGCTCAACTCCGAAGAGGTTGTCTACCTCGTATGCAGCAAGGCTATAGGATCATGGTACATACTCTTTGTTGTTGTAGTGTAGTAGTGTGATATAATGTACAGTCTAGATTTGTTGTTTATATAGTACAGAACAAAGTGTTTGTTCTAGTACCTAGCATGCAACAGCAGCAACGGTGCGTTGACGAACTCTTGGCAATGGCTCTTCTTCTTCTGCATGGCATGTTTCATCAATCATGGCCATGTTGAAGGAAACATCAGAAATGGATCTCTTGTTTCCAGTAGTGTTTTCATCCTCAGCAAAGAAGTGTTCATCGTAATTGTCCCCGCCTTCCAGCAAGGAACTGAGCGGATCGTAGACTTGGCAGAAGTTCTCTAGTGCCTGATTCAAGGCTGCTTCTTTGGAAGTGGAGCTATTGCGGCGCGAAATGTAGGATTGGAATTCCGAGTCTCGGTTGACCTTTTGGGACAAGACCACGTAGTTCACGGTAGCTCTCTTTTGGCGGGAACGTTCCAGTTGGTACCGTTCCAGTCCAAAGGTGTCCTCCTTGGGTGGAAGACCGCTCAAGACCAAATATTTGGCTTGTGCCTTGAAGGAACCGATCTCTCCCTTGGAATACCAAACGTTGGCAACATGTTCATTAGTGATTTCCTTCAATGGGGAAGAGGCAGCGTTTTCCTCATTGCTGAAGCAGACTTTTCGTTGTCGGAGTGTTCGTTTCCGACTAGAAACATTGGGTGATAGTGCTTTTAGGACAGTGCGTTCCTTTGTGGATTGAAAGTCGGTCGATTTGCACATGGTAAAAGGAAGTAATCGTTCTTGTGGCTGAAAACTAAAAATATGTACTCTGCATTTTTTTATAAAAACTTCATTTCACGTTCCGGCGGTTTCGCAAGTGACTTGGCGAGTGATTTAATGGGAAGGGGTCTTTTGTTTGATTGACATAGCGATCACTTATGAACTCAGTACCGAAATGGCTTCGCAACTGTTTATGAACTCAGCCATGATTGAATTCGACTTATCATAGATAATCTATTGGGCCTTACGGGAACTCTTGAAAGGCAAAACTTTGATTGGATTAGACACAACATATAAGGTCTTGGTTCGGATTGTTTAAAGCCGGGAATTTAGACCGGACGCTTTACGAAATTTGATGGAGCTTTTGAGCGGCCGGGGCTTTGGGAACACTTATATCGGCGAAAAATATTCCAGCCCTTCACAAACTTCGTGTAAAATACCCATGTCAGAGGAAACAAAAAATCACAAACACATGAAACACTATTGGAATGCAACTGCACCAAAGACAGTCTCGAGACGAGTCAAATAGCCAGCGGATATTTTTTGCCACTAAAGGTGCTAATACAATACTACTATAGAGCGCTTGTGTACACACTCGTACTTGGTATCTTTTCATGCACCGCATGTGGGAACCGGTGGTGCTTACACTTATGTAGTTAGAGGAGTGATGCCTTCGGGGTGAACAAATGCGAATCAATCAATCAATGATCGAATCATCTACCAGTACCGGTGAAAACGAATGCGAATCATCATTCACCGCAGTACCGCCGGAAAGATCTATTGCAGCACCATTACTCCAGTGTAGATGAGAGCCATAAAGCAATACTGTAAACAGTTGATGTCACACCTTTGCATACGAGGACGTTCTGTACACATCTTGTGCTTCTCGGTGATTGAAATTATGAAGCCTGTTATATTATAATAACTTACAATGAAGTCTTGTTATGTGTTTCTATAGTGGTGATGCTTTTTAGTCTAGAATGAATGGGACTATTCTGGATCCGACTTGGCAGTAGATGTAAAGAAGGATCTTGAATTCGTAATGGTAGGAGTCGAGAAAGGTATTCCATCAGCAGCATCGGTATTGGATGCAACGTCCGTCACTCGTCTCATGGACGGTGGAATCGCAAAGGATGGTGGTGGTGGTGGTGGTGGAGTAATACCACTACTTTCCAGTAGATAACCATCATCACTGAAAATTGCGAGTGGAGCATTAGGGGTATCTTGATACGGCATGCGTACAGCACTTTCCTTGCCATCTCCCTCGCAATCATCGTCATCCTCTTCCACATCACTCAATAGTAAAGGTTGATACTCTTCTCCGTCTCTTGGTTTGGGCTCACTGCTAGGACTGTTGAGCCATGTTGTAAGGGATTCGTTCCTGGAATTCGCAAAGTAATTGTATTTCTGGGTCTTTTCTTGTCGCCGTTGCTTGAACTGAAGTTCGTAGACAAATCCATCCTCTTCTCCACCACCACCACCACCACCCTGTGATGCCAATGAATCGTTGGCCGAACCATCAAAGGGCAAATCTTTGGATGCTTGATAGGCTTTGAGAACCAAAATGGCAGCAATCCAATAGGGCCATCCAGGCAAGTCGGTTCCTTCACTAATCGTCATGAGACCACCAAAAATGAGTGGCCCAATCCCTTCGGTGAGTGCCTTGACACCATTGATGGCTCCCAAGGCTTCTCCATTCGATTCCGGATCGACTGTTCCACTGACCAACGAGCTCAGACTTGGATACACCAAATTCCCCAAGAGTGAAAATCCCACACAAACAAACAAATGCCAGGCTTGATTCGCTGCCCCCAGAACCAAACACTGCATTGCAAAACTGATCAGTCCAATTTGAATGGCCTTCTTTTCTCCCACCCATGGAATAATGAGGCGGACCAAAACGGCTTCGGCCATCATGGTACAAAGTCCCAACGCGGACATGAGTTCCCCCAATCGTTCGGGAGTCAGTCCAAATCGTTGGACGGCATAAATGGACAATGTGGAAATGACGGCCCAGACACCCGTGTAATAATAAAATGCTACCTTTCCCACAGTGTGCAAAAATGGATCCCGTAAGAGATAGGTCACACTTTGCATGGGAGACCACGTCGTGGTAGTAGTAGTAGTAGTAGTACTGGCACCATCTCCACTGCTTCTTCTAGCAGTCGTGAACAATGCCTTGAGCGAGGTTGACAATGTTTGGGTGTGTGACAAGGATTCTGGCAAAAAGAATTGAATGTAAATCAAATCCAAAATGGTCAAAATCAAAGAGCAGGTAAAGACATAGTGGGTATGGGAATGTGCCAAGTATCCTCCCGCCATGGGTCCAATGGTAAAGGACAGACCAAAGCAACTGTTTGAGATGGTAATGAACAAGAAAGAAAAGCAGCAGTTAGAATATCAACATCCATGCATCGCAATTATCACATTCATCACACAAAAGCAAAAGCTTAATGCTTCACACTTACGCAAGCGCTAGGCCAAATGCCGAAACTCGTTCGTTTCTTGTCTCGACAGTGTCGCTAATATAAGCAAACACGAGTGTAAAGGTCGAACTGAAGATCCCTGACAAACTGAGCAGCACGACAAAGAGTGGAATTGCAGACGGCGGCATGGTGTAGTGTATTCTGGTAATGACTCCTTCTGGTAGATCAAGTGTGCCATTTCGGTAGTAGGAATACAGCAAGCTAGTATCGTTGTTGTTGGGATAATGATCGACATCATAATCCAGTACTCCCAAAATCTCCTCTCCGCCACCATATCCATGACCATGATGGTAGTGTTGTTGCACCAACACGGTCGTGGAACGCCACGAAAAAAGTGCCAGAGAACACACCGGAGCGCAGGACCCCAAGACGGTAATGAGCAAACATTGTTTCCGTCCCCACAAATCACTTAATTTCCCAAAGAGCGGACAGGCAAAAAAGGCTAAGAGTCCTCGAATGCAATCTGCCGAACCCAGCACCAAATACACTTTATTGCCATATTCTTGCAACAAAATGGAGGGCAATATGGCTCGAGTCATTCCAATGGCCAAGAATTCCAGCAGCAATACAGGCAAGACAAAAATCCATTGATGTTGTTTGTCGTTATTTGCAGTACCGGTAGTACCACGACGACTCCGATGATGCCTCAATAACTCGTCTTCTGCTGCTGTTGTTGCAAGTAGCCATTGTTGACCAATCACGGTTGGCGAAGTTGTGGATGAAAGATGCGGCAATGGCGATTCTTCTGGCATTCTCGTCCGACGAGAAGGTGAAAAGGTGGCCAATGACATTTTGATTTTGATTGTACGATGAGACTCGTTGCCTGTGGCCTGTGACCTGTGACTGTGACTGTAGTGAGCGATGTGGATGATTCCTGTCGATTCAGTGGCTTGCCGCTTTGCGTTTTCTCTTTCACGTTGCTTTTTTAAACTATATTCTTCTACAATGGTCTTTTATCATGGTAATGGATGCGTGAAATCGGAATTGAAATGGATACCTACACACCACTGTGGAGTTTGTACTTTTTTGGATATATTGTCATTGAAATTATCATGACTGACGATGAACAGACAGAAGAAGTCTGGACTAGAAAAGGCTCAAGGCCCACACGTTTCATCTTGTTCCTACAGTACATCTCAATGAGCCGATAAGAGTTTGAAATAATTCATTGATACTACGTATACCCAATCAGAAAAATTATGCAGTCCCACCGATAGTTGCATTACTACATCACTTGTTGTTACTTGTTGGTAGCAATATTATGCAGGTTCACTTGTAGTAGACGTGTACGTGTACACGTCCAGTATTAGTCCTAATTGAATGAATATGCTTCTTCTTTTAGTCAGATTGACTTTCAACGCCATATAAATATACAAAATATCGAATCACACCATATTTATATATATTCATCAAGCACAGTACTGGATTTACATACGCTCATAACCCATTTTGTAGTTGGACGTTGGGACCAAACAAACTTTGACGCCGAAACAGTAAATAAATGAACCATTTATCTGAAACCGCATAACAACAACAACAGCAACAACATGCCCGAATCGAACAAGCAAGCAAAGAGGCGTCAGCAAAAAGCCAACCGTGAGGCTGGAATCGGAGATGAACAGGGCAGGATGGTACGACAAAAGGATCCGCCCAAACTTATCAACTGCACGATTTGTCAGCTCGCCATGAAAGTCACCAAAACGAATACGGAAATCACACAACACAGCGAATCCAAGCACGGTAAATCAATAGAGGAATGTTTCCCGGGGGCGACGGAAGGAGCCGCCGAATTGGTGGCGGCGGCCGCCAGTAACAAATCTGGCGGAGGATCCACCAGCAATGGTCCCACCAAGGCGGAAAAAAAGAAAAAGGCTGCGGCGGGTCTCGATGATTTACTGAATGCGGGGCTTTCCACCAAAAAGAAGGGCAATAAGAAATAAACTCCGCACCACAAAACATGGAGGAACAACAAGCGACGAGATATACCAATAAATATATATCATCATCGGCGGCTGCTGCTGGTCATCTCCTCCAGACCATCCTGCCTGGTGCACCACCACGTGCAACTAGTTTATTTGGTTCCTGCATGTTTTGGGAATTCGAGGCAGAAAGGAACTATTATATATATAAAGCAAGCTGTAGATGAAACGTATTTTTGAACTAATGCTCACCACCATTTGCAAATGCGGTCTGTCAAGGAATCAATTGAGGAACAGAAGTATTATTCTGCATGTCGATGGTTTAATGGTGGTTATGGACCGCATACATAATGTGATCTGATTCGGAGTATTACATGAAACGTGCTTGTGAGTTACATCTAAAGCTGATGAGCATCACATAAAATATGTGGAGAGTGCAATTTATTTACTGTCATCGGTGAAACAGTCGATCGGGTCGGATGTTATCCCTTAACGCTTCGATTTTATCCGATATATTATATCGGATATAAAAAAAATTACGCACTACTATTTGCACCATACTACTACAATAATAAGCATTAAAATGATCATTACAAAGGGACAAATCTAAATATGAATACTTCCTAGCAGGTACAGTAAGCTTAGTTGTCGCTGTAGCTCCATTTTGCTTCTCCAGAGCCTTCTGATAAGCAAAATCGGCCACATGGAGTTGCTCATTTCCTTTCTTGATAGCAACAGTGTGCTTTTACTGTTTTCTACTGAATCTAGGCGCAGGAAGCCATGGCTTAGATGTGGCAATCATTCTAAACGTCTTCATTGGTGCTCCGCTTGGTATATTGTCACATAATGCGTTGGCCATGTAACTCTGCCACAACGCAATTGCCAACAGCCTACTTTGCAGGATTGACAGCCATGCAAATACAGTTACACACTGCAATCAACACTAGAATCACTTTCGAATGACTATCCTTCACCCTTGAAGGTGCTGGCCTTTGTCTTGCATGACTATTTACATTCGGGATGACGAGCAACATACTCAGATTTTTTTGGTCCATCAGACCACCAAATTGAGCCGCATGGTCCTCTCCCATGCCTATTGCACCTTCTGATAGGGCCGAGAAGTGCCATTGTGATAATACATATCAATGGCAAATGGTAGGGTGGAAGAATATGCGGTCTTCATGACCTGACAAGACAGTTTTGTGTTGGTGTCAGTTTTGGGGCAAATGGGTCTGTCCGACTTCGGAGGTTCATCCTTGTTTCTGTGATGGGCTGAGATATAACATGTAGCGTACCGATGAATTCCTTATTTCACTGGCATTAAACTTATTTATGGCAGTAAAAGGTGTATTTGAAGTTATTGCGTGAAATGTGTGGAATTTTTTTTATCAGATATATTATATCGTCTAAAGCGTTAAGGGATATTGATGATGACATTATAATATTATACAATACTCAATACACTGTATACAGAATATTCAATATGTGAATGATGATGATGATGACTGCAACACGCTACGATGTGACGGAAGACGGCCAATAAATATAAACTCGCAGTAAAACACGATGCACGGATCCATTTGTTGTACAAGCAAGGACTGAAGCTACGTTGAAGGATGGAAGTAACTGAATACCAGTTCCAAGGCATTGAGGGAGAAACAGTACCAAATTTTGTTCTAAAACTGATTGTCAATCCAGGCATTCGGGAATTGCCTCGTTACTTGTGCGCAAATCAGTTTGATTTGCAGGAAGTAAGTCTACCTGAAGGATTAATCAAGATTGGTCATGGGGCGTTTGATTTCTGCTGTTACTTGACTGAAATCAAGATATGCAGCACCATAGAGTCCATTGGGGAAGCTGCGTTTGTGCACTGCAAGCGGCTAGCAAAAGTAGAGTTTGAATATTCCTCCTCTTCGCCCCATCAAATCAAGGCAATTGGCAAATTCGCTTTCAGTTGTTGTGTTTTACTACAACGAGTCAAGATTCCCTCGTCGCTGAAAGTGATAGGCAACGATGCCTTTCATGCCTGTAAAATCTTGATAGAAGCAGATCTGTCGACGACTTCCATTGCTGAGATCCCCCATGATGTCTTCCTTGATTGCCGCTCCCTGCAAACTGTGAGTCTCCCAAAATCATTAGAGCTAATTGGACAAAATGTATTCCATAAGTGCACGAGCTTGGTTACAGTGATGGTGCCCGTGGAGTCCCATGCGATCGAGCTTGAAGGCAACTCAATTGGTTTGTGCAACGCTCTTGCAAATATTGTGCTTCCGAAATGGTCCATTGCCAATAAAGAATATTTTGATAAATGCACACTATTGCAAGACCGCTTTGGTAAAGAAGCAGATGATATTGGCGCTTGTTTGACACACCGGTTTGACAACTTTCCTTTGCACAGAATCTGCTACTATTACAATTCCTCTGCTGCCGCCCTAGAACTTTGCGATTGTATTCAGAAGACAAAGGAGGAGGAGGAGTCACCGCTCGTGGATAGGTTCGGGATGACGCCATTTCATGTCCTGTGTTCGACCATTGGACCAAGTCAAGATCTGCTCCAAGTCCTTCTAGATAAGCTTCCACACTATGTTCTCGGCTGGAGAGATGCTAATGACAACATGGCAATGAATTACTTGGTGAATAACTGGACTGACGAAAACAAGATTTTGCTGCAAAAGGTCCTGCAAAGTTGGATATTTAGTCGATTGGAGCACTGGTGCTCGGAAAGTGGGAGGAGGCGAATGATCCCCCTTGTGAATGCTGTACTTGCTGAAGACGACAAGGAGCGTAGAATCACTGCATTTGTAGAAGCATGCTCGGTCTTTGCACAGTACGAAGGTATGGAAGCCACGTCCATCTTGGAGATGACTCTGTGGAAAGGGAAAGTTAATCATGAATGGAGCAATGATGGTTCCAACCGTCGGGCGCTAGAACGAGAAGAAAGCAGGTTTGTCTGTGGATCGAGCATTGTGATGCCGAGTGTAATGATGTTCTTGACAACAGCCCGGCGGTAATAGCTTCATCTCTCAAGTCAGGTGACTTGGCAAGATTTTCATTTATTGATAATGTACCAAATATTATTATAATAGCTGAGATATTATATGTATTATAAAAAACACTGTTCGTATGATATCCTTAGACCATCGCTTCTTGCTAACATTATTAGAAGGTAGAGAAAGGGTTGTTCAGAATCTCCTTCCTTCATGCCTATGCTTATATGCTCCCTTGTCCACCCATTATAACGGTACATGGGGAATCTTTTTTAGGCATCTACAACATATATGAATCATAGAAATCATAAATATAATGTTTTCATTTACTTATCCTTGAGCTATCATGGATTGAGCAAAACTAGTCAAACTAATGGCATCAAGAGTAAATCCGTACACCAATGGGTTGGACGAGCCACATAGCATATTCAATGAATTTGAAGCATCCAAACTGGTCAATATGGATTGGCACAGAGCTGCGAGTCCAATGGCAATCAGCATCGGGAGCTTCTTTCCTCGCAATGTGGACATTGCGTGTCTGAATCGACGTGTTCGACGTGCAGATCGTTGATGATTCTTCTTGGTCAGTCTCACGAAGGAATCCAAAATCAATGATACCGAAGCATTTCTTGCAGAAGATTGCTTTCGGCAGCATTCCCTGGGTCCAGTGGGGGCGGGACGTCGGTAATCAAAGGGCTTTCTATTTTTGGTATGTTCGGGTGTTGTGAAAATATCCTCTTTGTTCTCGCTGATGCTTCGAGGAGGGGACGTTGTCCTGGTGTTTTCATTCATTCGATCAGGAGATAGCCCCGACACCATAGATCCACTAGACGGTGATCCTGGCGTTGAACTGATAGGTGAGGAAGCAAACGACAAGCTTGTTGTTGGAGATGCTGAAGCATTTTCATTGGCCTCCACTGAGTTTTTGCTAGTGATTTTCTGTGTGATTCTCCGCTTCAAGCTAATGGCCTTTTCTTTTAAGGCTTTGCGTTTGGACGGAATTCTGGTGGTGTTGATGACACTACCACACGAAAGTAGCTTGCGAATCATGGAGCTCTTTTTGTTTTCTTGGACGGGAATGTCGTCCAGATGGTCTCGGAAGGCCTCATCGTAGGACTGAACTTCGAGTATTGTTGGTTGAATTGGTGATACGGGAGGAGATGAATCATTTGCGGCATGCTGTGGATGGAAGTGATGCGCTTGTCTTTGTTGCTTCGAACTGCTAGGTGACAGAATGCTGTCAAAGGAAATATTCAAGTGATGGATATCTTGCTCGTCAGTTTCCTCTTCTTGATTGGGATCAGAACTTTCAACTTTGGCATCCAGTGCTTTCTCGTTTCCGGATGCTGCCGGCACGAATGAATCGCATTTGCTGGCATCCTGCTCTCCATCGATATGGAGAATATCACAAGGCAGTGCGCTGTCCATCAGAAGAACGGGAATTGACTCCATTGAAGACTCAATTGACGATGTACTTTGGGCGTCGGAGTCCAAAATTCCGACGATGGTGCGTCCAATTCGAATGTTGCCCTTCTCTTCGTCTGGTAATGAACCTTGCTGACTCAACAATCCAGCAAAACCAGAAGAATCCCTACTGTAGCGCGACGACGCTTCGTCCATCCGCACTACGATGGAAGCTATAGATCCCATCGACGAGTCATCGGAAAATTCACTGTGATAGCTGGCAGTGGCACGCCCAATAAGTCGCACCGTCGCTTTTTCTCCTGACGGATGGCGTGGTTTCGGGTACAGTGTCTCCCGACGATAGCTATCGTCGTCGCTGCTGTAGCAATATGGAGTATAGGCGGTCTGAAGATGTACCTTGGGTTGGCTCACAGCCTTATCCCCCATGTGACAAATTCCTTTGGGATAGGGCAGCGAAGGAAGGAACCCATTCGTCGACTCTTGAAGTAATTCCTCATCCAATCCCACCGCGACACGATCTGCGGATGATACTTCGTATTCCTCATCCTGACTCTGTAGGCGTCTTGGTGTTGGCAGCAAGGCGCTAGCATGTCCCAATGAGCTTGATAGAGAAGAGGACGAAGGCCGTGTGATGGAAGTTCTCAGTTCCTCCGACGCAGGCTTCGTCTTGGTTTTCAATTTGTTTCCTACCGTGATTCTGTTTTTCTTCTTGTTGTTTCCCTTGGTGGTCCCTCCAAGACTGACATGTGGCTTACCCGATAATGTCAAAGCACGATTCTTGACACGAGATAACCATCTCTTTTTATCTTTCTTCTTCTTCCATCGCTTTGAATTCGTACAAGTTGAGCCAACTTCCATATCCTGCATTTGATTCATTGAGGAGTTTGGCTCAATATCGTCAGTTATGACATTCTCGTCATCGCTGAATACGATGGACTCGCTTTCTTCTACCTTCCATTTATTTCGAATTTTGCGCAAATGACTCCTGGTAAAACTAGACAAGAAGGGCTTGCCAAGTTCATGCTCCACTTCTTCGGTGGAATCGTTTTGTGGCTGTTCCATCAGCTCTCGCTGTTCCTTTTCTTGCTGCAACACCTTCTTGCGGTGTCCAAGCTGTCTTCGGATGCTTCCAAAAGACCGAAAGCTTTTGGCTGGCGGTTGTCTGCAGTCTTCCAGCCAGCCATCGTTGTTGCTGTCACCGTGATGCTGAATGGTCACAACAAGACTCTTCTTGGAGTTGGCTGTCGTATTGGAAGGAGAATAGTTTCTTGCATTCATTGCGAGATTCTTGTTCGAGATGTGAGTAGGCATAGTAAGTAGTATTGCAGATCAGCACTGTGAGACTCGATTAAGTAAGACTCTGTCAGCAAATTGAACGGACGAGAATGCCGTAGTTTGATGGAAGTGGAACATGAAAACTTGAACTTCAAAATCCTCGCGGAAAATTTTGAAAATCAAACTGAGATTGGCCAACTTATGGTTCACATTTTCTACAGTCCGCCCGTAGAGTTTGAAAATACACGCCAGCCGACATGAACTCGTGATTGAATATTGAATCGTGAATGAATCCAGGACGAGGTAAATGAGAGTTTAGGACACAAGCACTGAAATATAGAAGCTAAGTTTATCATAGAAGATTAACCAGCTGATCTCGAATCATTGGCAGAATAAAACGTGTCTCGCTGCCGAAACCACCTATTATTTGGGATTTCCTCATCTCCAACAGAAAATATCTCATCATATTCCACATTGTAATCATAAGGACCCAATGGCATGCAATCTGCCAGCTCTAACGAGCATAGTAACCCCCACAGCGTCAAATTCTTGGGTCTCATGAGTCTATACGGAGGTACGCTGGAATAGTCGGCGGAGTATATGGTATCTTTGGTATACTCGGTCGAAACTCGTGACATTGCATCCCTCTCTAGTACTCCTTTTGTTTCATTTTGAATGGGCGTCTTTATCGTTTCATCTTGAGCTGCAGTCCTTGTTTCTTCAGTTTCTTCTTGGGACAGTTGTCTAGTCTCTGGTACTTCGTCAACCTCGGCAATTTCGGCAATCCAGGCTCGTTTGGATGCTTGGGTTGTTGTATTTGGATCTTTCTGTCTAGCTCTCCGAGTATCCAGAGCTTGGGCAATCGAAGTTCTTTTAGCCTCTCTAGGCTCAGTTGTTGCATCAGTACTTTTTAGTGTCGCTGAAAAGCTGGGATCAATCTTGTGGCTACCCTCTGGGTCAATTCTCCTAGTACTTCGTCGTTCATCTTCTTCGCTCTCATCCCTCTCCTCACTCTCGTTTTTGTTTTGTTGTAGAATGCTTAGATCCACCTTGTCCAATGAACTTATTTGTGAAACCCTGATACCTTTGATAGCCTCCATGCTGTCAAGTGTTTTGTCGGTCGTAGAAAGTGCGGCGCGGGAGGCGACATCGCAATCCGAATACTCTTGTTGTGATACAACGGACCAAGCTTCACCTTGATAGTACTTCGATTCGATTGTTTTCTTCTTTTGTTGCTTCATGTTGTCGTATGGGCCGGTGGAAGATGTTTCTACTTGAAAGAATTCACGGTCGCTTGCTTTTTGCAACAGGTTTTCATTGGTGCTCGCACTGGCGGAGGGAGGTTTGTTCCATGTCCATGGCATTAACCAACTTCCCCAATAAGATTCCTGTGGTTCCGGTGGACTCTCATTTGCCGTCTCCTGTAGACCAGTCTCCTTTTCCTCTTTGGAAGTACTTCTCGTGCATTCTGATGGCTTCGTATTGAGTTGTCCTGCTTCTTCTTGTTGGGTGGTTGTCTCTTCGGCTCCTGTTTCACATGGTGTATTGCCTTTCTCCTCCTTTACACTTTCGTGATGGTGGTCAGTCGTCTTTGCATTTAATTCTGAACTTGGACTTGAAGCGCATTCTACTTTGAGATCCTTCGCTATGGCATGTTGTTTGGAACCGTTTGAGGCAACATCTGACGAAGTGCTGCCACTACCATGCTGATCGATTGCAGCATCGCTCGTCGTCGTTGTTGTCTCGTTCGAGCTAATGTCCATAATCAGAGCGACTGCACCAGAACATTGAATCTTTTCTCGTAAGCCACGAAGATTTGGGTCAGCTACTTTCATCAACTTGTGCAGCTCATCTTCTCCACGACCGCCTTGAGCAAATTGGTCAAACACCTTTTGGAATATCATTGCAATCAAGACGACATTCTTTGACTCGCGGTGAAAAGCAAAGTAGCATCGACCAAATGGTGCCTTTCTTGCCTTTTTGGGAAGGAGTTCATATTTCTGGTTCAGCTCTTCGTCTTTAAACTTGTTGACTTTCTTCTTGTTCTTTGTTTTATCGTTGTCGTTGTCGTTGTCGTTGTCGTGTTTCGTTGTTCTTGTTCTTGACGACAACCCTCCTCGTTTCCTGGAGTCTTTCTTTTTGTATGGAATTTCATTCCTTTCTACTTTTGCAGCAACACAAACTTTATCTTCGTCGACCGTCTGCAGCGGCCTGCTTCGTTTCTTCATTGTTGACCTCATACAGGCACTATATGATATGTCGGAGTGAGTTGGACGTTGGGATTGACATGGATGATGATGATGTGCGCGTGTTCATCGATATTTAGGAATTTTGTGGCGATCCAAATAGAAAAAATTAGCCGCAGTTGACTGTCGTAGACATAAGTATAAAAATCGATATGCGATAGATGTTCGACTCAAACGCCATCTTCGACTCAAATTTCAGGCATCATCGCAGGATGGGCATCATAACACAATTAAAATGCGAAGATCACATCAACAGCTATACAGTCGCGGCATACTTTAATTGAAGAGGGAACCTTGATAATCTTTCGACGTACCATAACTCGGGAAACTCTTGCAGCCTTTTTCAATCATGATGAGAAAAAGAAGTATGGTGACCCAAGAAGAATTGGTCAACGTGCATCATTCCTTTGTCATGAAACACATATCCGATTCTGACGGTGACGGACTCGTGGTGACAGGAACCTTTGTCCAGTACGTATTTTGTTCCAACGAAGACCTGATAGAATCTGAAAACAACAAGAATGAAGAGGAAGAGGACGGTAGTGATATAAAGGGAGTTCACTTTGAGTATCGTTTCAATGATACATCTGCCGAAGATGAGAAGTATTTTGTACAATATCAAGGCGTTGAAATTCAGGAGCACACGGACATGGGAAAACTGTTCAAACACAGTTACTATATCAAGATTCCATTGGCCCTGGATGTAAAATTAGACTGCTTTCCATTTCGAGTCATCAGTGCCAGCCTACTGGTGGAACTGACAACCTTTACAACGGACGACAAGAAACTGAGGGTACGACCGGATCTGATGGTTCACAAACGAGACAAGACCAACATGTTCTCCATTCAGCCAGACTTGTGGCGTGAGGATTCACGGTCCCCAATGCAACAAGCGAACGATATCATGGATCAATCGGAAAACTATGATCTAGTGTCTCCATTCCCACGCGTATCTTACATTTACAATTCTCAAAAGAATTATTGCCCCAAGTTTCGCGTTCAATTTCTCATGGTGCAGAACGGTACCAAGAAACTGCTGGAAATTCTCGTTCCCATGGTTTTGATTGCTGCTCTCAATACTTTCCACGTCATGGGGGGAGAAGTAACTGACATTCCGGATTACACTGGGAATTCGGCAAACTTTGCTCTGTCGGTCCTCATCTTTTTGCCCACCATTAGCAGCGGAACGGGTCATATCCAAACCTTGTGGAGGGCAAGCAACATGTACATTATTACAATCATCCTTGCTTTGGCGTTGTCCAGCGTGCCGTATGAATGGGTAGGATTCAATCATATTGCAAGTGCGGGTATGATTCTGTACTGGGTTTCCTTTTTGTTTCCCATCATCAATTGCCTTCGATACGTGAGGTTTGTCCGACATGCCAAGTTCCACAAGGCAGGAGCCGGAATGCATTTTTGGGCATCGGATGACTATTCTGATAGTCGAAATGATCCCTATGATGAAACTCAATACGATGCCAAATCTTCCTTTGTCAAGGTTTCCGAGATTGTCAACGATAGTGATGAACAAGGCTTGCAATTGAAAGCAATGGACTTTCGAATTCGAACCGTAAACAAGTCTCAAATTTTGGAGTTTGCTTCCATGGAAGAAATTAAAGCAAGGCTCATAGAGGAGGTCATGCCGTTGCATATTCAGAAGAGTGATGAGGAAGTCATGTTCATCTAAGGTGAAAGCATCATCCTGCGACGCGAACGCTGTATATGCTTGCCAACGACGAGACGGCAAGCAGTTGGTGGAAGACCAGAACCATGTATGTCGATCACAGGACCCGATCCAAGTACCGGTATGCAGACTGATCCCAGACTATTTTCTACCATTTGTTATGGAGTGAAAGCGAGGCTGTGTATTCAGAAGGTTTTGATAGACACGTCATTCTTGAGGCTCTGGCTGATGCGACGTTCGAAGACCGAGACTTGCTGAGGCGGCGCCGTGTATCTATCATATGGCCAAGATGAGATGTGTGTTGACTTATTTCGATCATGAAAACCAAACATATGCTTCAGATGGGGCCCTGGATTAGTACCGAACCCCAATACGATGATGCATTGACACGATGCGATGATGCGATTCATTCATTCTGGGCGGATGGACCAACCTCGCATCGCCGCACCGTTACTGTATCGTGAAGACATAGTTCAGTCAAAGTACGCCTCGTTGTGTCACTAAGAGGCCATGGAATATGGCACTGTTTTGGCCGTAGGACAACCCTTTGGGTCCAGATTGCTGACATGCCTATATGACAGCTGAAGTTTCTACCTGTTTTCCTTTGCTTCTCTCTCCAATTATCCAAACACATATAAAACATATAACCGTTCGAAGATCGTGACTGCACCTGATCGTGAGTCAGATCCATTTTTTCCACACCACCACGCACACATCATCGTCATCATCCTCCATCGAACAACGAGGAACCTACCGCTTTCCAAAAGACACACGAACGAAAGAAAGTTTTTCTTTGGCTCTCTCTATCTACCGGTACCTATCTACCGGTACATCGTAACAGCAGCATAGCTTGCAACTTTGAAATTGACGGAGCCTTGTTGTTATTGTTATTGTTATAGTTATTGTTATTGGATTCTTCAGTCACGACATAAGAAGTAAAAGCTTGTTGTTGTTTCTTCATCCTTTCCTCTGCGTTCACGAGACAAACACACCATCATCGTATCATCATGGGATTGCGCAGCCGTTTTCGAAGCCGCAACAAATCAGGTGGCGCCAGCACCAGCGGTGATATCTCCACCGCCTCGAGTGATTCCGCTTCGCCTACTCATTCTCCTCCTTCACCAAGTCAAGCCAAATTGATTGCCAAATTCATGGAACAACACCAGAAGCAGGGTGCCAACAAAATGCCATCCAAACAACAGTTACGAGCCTATTCCTTTCTCAAGAGGACCATGAGCTCTGGTGGCTTTTCAGCAGCAGATGCTGCAAATGGCGGCGACGGTTTGCAACAACAAGAACAACAACAACAACAACAACAACAACAACAGGAGCGCATGATGGAAGTCTTGGAAGCCAATGTCCAACGATTGACCGAAAAATGCGAGGCATTGGAATCCCAAAACATTTTGGTGGCCGTCCAACAGTTGGACTTTTTGGCACGATCCATTGCCTGGGCATTGACGATTGCGGTCTTGTATCTGTACTGGAGATGCATTGGATGGGGGCTTGAGCATTACCTTCACTTGTCAGAACAGATTCAAGAACAATTATTGCCAGCCCAGCAGTTGGATGACCGTCAAGCCAAACTTGGAAATCTACTTTTTGGCGCGGTTCAAATGCTATTTTTGGCAATTCCCTATTTGTACAATAAGAGGACTCATGGTTCGATGAAACGACGTTTTGAGGTCTTCTCCATTGCCTTTATCATTATCGGACGAATCAAACTGTGCCGATGGAGAGAAGCCGTGTTTGTGCAACACGAAGGTTCTAACGACAACCACAACAACAACAATAACAGTAATGGCCACTTTAGCACCATTCCCCGATATGGAGAGTCTTGCACGGAGAATGGAATCTGGGAGGCAAACTACGAAATTTCTGCGCGCTTCTTGTATTTGAGTATTCTACGATTGCGTGGTTTGTGGACCAAGACGGCTCAGTACTTGAGTTCCAGAGCTGACTTTGTTCCAGTTTCCTACATTCGAGAATTGTCCAAACTGCAAGATCAGACCCAAAGTACTCCCTGGAGTCAAGTGCAACCGCTTTTGCCAGCAAACTTGTTGGAACGATTGGCGCATATTGAGGAAACACCCATTGCCAGTGCGTCAATTGGACAAGTCCACATTGCCTACCTCAAGGATTCCAATGGCAATCGCGGCGAAAAGGTTGTCGTCAAAGTCCAACATCCACATGCCCGTACTCTCATGACGGATGACTTTTGGTCCCTCAACGTCTTGTGTCGCATCATTGGATGGATGGAGCCCGATTATGCGTTCATGGAAATTCTCATGCGCGAATGGGCGACCGAAGCCCGCAAGGAACTGGATTTCAACTTTGAAGCGGAAAACATGTTTGAAGCCAATTCCGAATTACGCAGTCTCTTCCCCACGTCGACCGATGTCATTTATACGGCGGCGGCAGCAGCAGCAGCCTCCAACAACAACAATGATAATGACAAATCCAACCAGAAGTTGACTCCCTTTCAAGTGGTGGTACCGACTCCCATGAAAGACTTGTGCAATCGCGACGTATTGGTCATGGACTTTTGCGAGGGATGTCGAGTGGATGACTTTCACCAAATTGATGAGTGGGGTCTCTCTCGGAGTGCCATTATGGATGGAATTTCACAAGCCTTTGCTCATTTCATGTACTGCTGTACTATTTTCAATGGTGATCCACATCCCGTAAGTGCGATTTGGTCGCTTGTTCTTGTAGTAACTTTGCCTTCCTCCTTTTTACTCACACTGACATTTTCTTTGTCGCTCTGTTCATTATTTTGTTTTTGTTAGGGAAACATCTTGGTCCGACCTGGTACACAACAAAATGACAAGGAAGGTTTCACCTTGATTTTACTCGACTGGGGACTGGCAAAGCGTCTGCCAACGCAAAAACGAATTGCATTTTGCCAAATGGTCTATGCCGCTGCAACGTTTGATTATGGACTGCTCCTCGATTCGTATACAACTGTCGGATTGAAAATGAAACGAGAAGATGCGGGTCAATCCATGGAAGATATGCGATTCTTTTTGCGTGACATGGCACCCCGTGAGGAGACACGAAAGCGCATCAAAAAGAAGATGAAGGCGGACAAGCAACGTTTCAAGGATAATAATGAGAAAGTGCCCATGGAATCCAAAGCCTATCCTGGAGAATTCTTTTTTTTCATTCGAGTCAATGAATTGTTGCACGGTTTGGGAGGGAAATACAGCATCAATCTTGGATATTTGGATGCACTGAAACCATACGCAGAACGAGGACTGCGGGCGTCTTCCTTTTATGACTTGACTGCACTAGCACCGCCGTCCAAGCCCTTGAAGGTAGCCAATATGCACTTGCAAACCAAGCTCGAGAATTTGTTGGCCAAAATGAGTAGTGAGCAATCTGTGGTGGGCGGACAAGTGTGCGTATTGGATAAGGGTGGATCCACCGAAGCCAGCGTTGTAGAAGGAAATCTAGGTGGCCTTCGTAGCCATATTCCAATGACTCGCAATTCTGTGGTTCTCGGATACTCGTGTACAAAGGCGATTACTGCCACATTGGCTCACTTGATGGTCCAGGAAGGCTTTTTGGAGTACGATGAACCAATTTGCAAGCAAGTCTGGCCAGATTTTTGTCCAACTGCAGATCCACCCAAGAATCTTGCCACCGAGTTGGGTCTATCGGAAGACGAGGTGCAAAAGCGATGGCAATGGAAGCGACAAATCACACTCCGCCATCTACTGGATCATACCAGCGGTCTATGGTCTTTGTTGCCCGCCAAGCTGACCATCAAGAAGATGGTATCGTGCGAAGATACTTTTGCGTCATATGCATTCAATCCTGATAAACCACAAGAAACTTTGCTTCCTACCTCGGAACCCGGAGAAAAGTGTCAGTATCATTATCTATCGTTTGGTTGGCTCGTGGCTGGAACTCTGTGCGGTGCCTATGCTCTCAAAAAGAACCAAGACAGTGTTACATTCCAAGAGATTTACCAAGATCTCTTGGAACCCAAGCTGAGCCAGCGCACAAGGGATGCTGGATTCTATCCCATGGGCGGACACGGAAACCACATTCCTGCTCAAACCGCCACGTCCGACTTTCGTGCCAGCACCATGATGCAGCGTCGACGAGAAGCTGAAATCATGAACAGCGATAACAAAAGCGAGCAGAACCCAATGATGAAGGTGCTAGAAGATTTCAAAGGCAAAGAGTTCTTGTTGGACCCACGCATTTGGAATAGCCAAGACGTGCTCAAAGCCAATGTTCCTGCCGCTGGTGGACGCTTTTCAGCCGAAGGATTGGCAAGTTTCTTCCACGACCTCAGCCACGGAAACATTTTGAAAAGCGATGTATTGAGTAGCGTCCTATCGAATGTTTCCAAGCCGACTACTGCTGGCAACGAGTTACAAGGTGTTACCCGTATTGCAAATGACATTAGTGCTACCAACACCCATTTGAGTTTTGGGTATCAGCGTATCCGAACGGATCGTGATCCTGTGGACAAATTCTCTTGCTTGGGTCATGCGGGAGTTGGTGGATCGATTGGTTTCTGGCACATCAAGACTGGCCTGTGTGTCAGCATCATGTTGAACAAATCTGATGGCGATTTGGAAGTGACCAAGCAGATTCTTACATTGGTTGCAGATCATTACAGAATATAGTCAATACGTTTGTCAATACGTTATAGATACCTACTATTTTTTAACTCTCAAGTATGCATCTAAGGTCCAAAAGCTACGTCGATTTTACCGTCAATAAGCTGTTTCACCTTTTCAAACCTATCCTCGGCCGTCTCTCTTCTCTTTCGTTCCTGTATCAAGTTATTCCTTTCTTCTTCCATACCAAGCTTATATGAGGCTTTTAGGTTCTGATTCAACTGCGTCAAGTCCTGATTCACGTTGCAGAAAAGCTTAATCTCATCCCTGGATTCTTCCAGAAGACACTGCACGGCTGACTTTTCTTGCCTTTCTTGCTCGATCTCATTCTTGGATTCTTCCAGAAGACTCTGCATGGCCGCTTTTTCTTGGCGTTCTTGTTCGATCTCATCCTTGGATTGTTGAAAAAGATCCTGCGCGGTCAATTTTTCTTTCCTTTCTTGTTCCAATTGTTTGGTGAAATACAAGACTAATTCCTTTCGATTGAGTCGTTTCGTGTCATCAGTCTCCCAGGGAAGCCTCGCATCCTCAGTTTCCGAGCTGCTTTCTACAGAGGATTCTTCAATATCTGTTTCATCTGAATGCTTGCTGTGGTCCAACCAGCTCTTCGTTTTGCCGGCATCATCATCGTCACTTTCAGATGATTCGTCAGATGATTCGAAAATGTCATCACCTTCAGGCTCACTTTCAGGATCGTCTGATTCATCCTCATCCGAAGATTCTGCATCAACCTTTTGCCGGTTTCGAAGTCTACGGTTGCTGCCGGCGGCCTCTTCGTGCTCACTTTCAGAATCACTTTCAGAGTCACTTTCAGAGTCACTTTCAGAATCACTCTCAGAATCATCTGACTCGTCTTCATCCGATTCCAAAAGAAGGTCTGATTCGTCCTCCTCCGAAGATTCTACGACGACCTTGCGTCGCTTTCCACGTCTAGGTCTACTGTTGGCTGCTCCTGGTTTTGGAGGTGGTTGAATTGTTTTGAACCTCCGAGAATTCGTCCCTGGGTTCCAGTCAAACCCAATATCACTCAGTTCTTTTATTTGTTCCAACGTCAATGGAGTTTTTTCTCCCCGTTGGTACCGTTTGTACTCTTTTCGCTTAATTTTGACCCAGTACATGAGTTTGCGGTTGGTGGTATACGTTTGAGGCACTTGACAATGGCCATGGAGCTCGCGAAACTCCTTTAGATCGTTGATCCGACGCTCCCAAAGTACCTCTGGATCCAGTCGGACCTTCCAATCAAATCCAACCTTGTTCAAATCCGCAATCCGTTCCAGCGTCAAGGAGGAAATGCCAGTAGTTTCCTTCTTTTGCCACTCCAATCGCATCCGATGGACAAAACTCGCGAGCGCCTTGTTCTTTGCGTAACGAAAGGGTACCCGGCAATGCCCATGTTCCTGTTTGAAGGCTTCCAATTCGAGAAGGTGAGTCTTCCACGATTCCTTCTTGGCGGATCTCGCAGCGTCCCATTCTAATAGGTACGTGTGTTGGAAATGTAAAAAAGAGTTGTAGATATAAAATATATTATTGTCAATAAGAGAAAGCAACAACAAGTTGTTAGATACACACACACGCACACACACGACAGTAGAATTCATAAAAGGAAAACAGATGAACAACTACTAATGGTATATGCCGGTAAAGATTGGGTTACAAATAAAATATATATGTACTCACCGAATCCAATCTTATTGAGTTTCGCGATGCGGGCCTTGTTGAGGTAGGATTTATTGTCCGTCTTGCGGAACTTTCGTATTCGGGATACCCACCATCCAAACGATTTGTTCTTGGGATATTTTTGCGGAACCATGCAATCGCCATGTTCCTTCTTGTACTCCGCGAGTTCTCTCAGGCGTTGCTCAAAGGATACCGCGGGTGAGTTTTTGCGAGGAACGACGGGTTGGGTTAAGCGGCATTTTCTGGCCCGTGGCATGGTTTTCAATTATATTGCGTTCTTGATTGATTGATTGATTGATTGATTGATTGGAACTATGATGTATGGGTGAATTTATTCAGAATATGAAAGATGATGAGCGCATCGCGCACAGTATCTGGCATATTCAAAAATACATTTTCTGACCAACACGACCGACCCCACTCGACCCACCGGACCGGTTGGCCAACGGAACCCGGAGTTTCTATACGAACACTTTTTGTCGTTGTCAATAAAAAATTACCGCCACTTCTCCGATTAGCTTTCGTTTCTGCCACCCTACCGGTATCTATATTGCAAACTTCAGCACCATGGTGACACTGCGCCCTCGAAAAATAAAGGCCACCATCGGCACGACCAAAGAGGTGATTGCCACGAAGAACAAATCATCTGGCCGTCCTGCTGCCAAAATTGCAAAAATGGCAGCCACTTGTTCTTCCGCGTCGTCGTCTGGCGGCAAAACAAAGACTACCAAAGCCACGAGCAGCCTAAAAAAGGCATCGAAGACAAATGATGCGAGATACAAGGTCACCGAAACCAGCACGGCGTCCAGTTTGAAGGGGGCCAAGGACCCAGAGGGCATTCTGGAAGAATACTTGACGACCATGGTTGCGGATCACGACGAAACCAAACATGCCGCCATTAAGGAGCTACATGCCTTGATTCGTCAAAAAGCACCTAATCTGGTACCCGAGCTACAAGGAAAGAGTACTCTGGCGTATGGTGGATTTGATTATGTAACCAAATCCAAATGCACTGGCCGGTACGTGAATAAGCAAGCTGTTATAGTACTTGATTGCTTTCCACTTGTTGCTAACTGCAATTTTAAAATATTTGCTTACCTCTTCCATTGCTTCGCCTCCTTCAGTTGGTCTCGTTTGTCCATCATGGTCAACAAGAAAGGTCTCTCCTTGGTGGTCTGTGGATACAAGGATGGCAAGTACTTGTTGGAACATTATCCCAAGAAATACTTTGGCAAGGTACTATCGGTTGGAAAATCTTGCATTCGCTTTACGAAACTAGAAGACTTGAATATGGAGCATATTGGTGAGGTCTTGGAAGAGTCCAACTCGGCAGATATCAGTGCCATGTTTGCTTGATAAAATAAACAACGAGAATACTAGTATTGATATTGAGATTGTCTTGGATATATGGATCAATACCATTACAATATGTTGAATGTACAACATTGTATTTCGTGTGATCTATCTCGCTCGCTCGACTCTGGTTTCGATCTTTTGACTAGCTGGAATCTATTTTAAGACTAATGCAGCGCCTCCACGTCTTATCAGCCAAGCGTGCCAAACGTTGTGGCTACAAAATTCGAATTCAAAGTGCGCAACGGAGCGGCAATAAAACACGACGGGAGAGTTTTTGGAGGAAAGGAAAACGAAATTAATAAGACAGGAAAACCTACGGTACAGTACTATCATAATAACAACATCAACAGATACCGTGATTATACCGACACTTGCATTCAACATACATATTGCAATACAGTGTCATAGTTCATAGTGATTCACTGATCGAAGGTTCCCAATGGAATATGGAGTACGATCATTAGACAGCTATTACGATGACAGTTATGGCAATTACACCAACAGTTCCTTCACCAATAATACCACTGACAAAACTCCGGATGACGACATTACGTCTCAATACATTGCACCTTCCGATGTTTCGGTCGATGCGGTCCTCATTTCACTCTATTGGAACGCTATCGCTTTTGTTATCATCATGGCAAGCTATGAATGTTTACGGAGGCTCCTTCCTGCCGTGTATTCCTCACAAATCAAACGACAATTCAAGTTGGGTGGAATGCCCAAAGACGATGACGAAGACGAAGATGAATTTACGGCAGTGGATGAAGTGAGTTCACCGCCTAGAAGGCATCGTGGAGTGCGCAGTTCATCGGGAGCTTCCATGGCCTCCCATCGTCCCTTGCCTGACATTGTGTCGCCCTATTGGGTCACATCGGTCTTTGCGGTCAGTTGGAATACGGTACGCAAATACTCGGGCTTGGATGGCTACTTTTTCTTGAGGTACATTCGAATGAATCTGAGGATCTGCGCGGTGACTGCCTTTTGGGCCATTGTCATTTTGGTGCCGGTCTATAGCACGGGCAAGATTCAAAACGGCGAAAGTGGTTGGTACCATTTCAGTATGGCCAATGTGGCCAAGGATTCGTGGCGCATGTGGATTCCGTCCTGCTTTGCCTATCTCTTTACGGGGTTCATCTTTTTTGTCATTAAGCAAGAGTATCGACACTTTTTGGAGCTTCGGATGGATTTCTTGGCCCGTGGGTCCAGTCATGTCATTAAGCAACATCACTATTCGTTACTGGTGGAGAATATTCCATACGAGCTACGAAGTGAGGCTGCGTTATTTGAATATTTCAATGGCCTTTTTCCTGGAAAAGTACACAGTGCTTCAGGTACGAACATTTGATGTTTTTGTTGTTTCTTCTTGACGACGTGATGTTGCTGATTTTGCGAATGATATTTACAATCTTCTTTAGTGATTCTGAACCTCAAGGACCTCGAAACCGTCAAGGCCAAGACAACTCGAGTTTGTCGGAGACTGGAAAAGAGTATCGCTCATTACCATGCGGAAGGCAATCGACCAACGCACATTGTGGGCAGTCCAAGGATCAACATTTTGGGTGTGGATCTGGCTCCCTTTGATTGGACCTGTGGTTCCTATCCCAATGTGGCCTATGTGGACAATCGGACCTTGAATGAACGGCCCGCCAAGGGAACCCATGTCGACTCGATATCCTATTATGTTCATGATTTGGCCTTTTGCAATATGCAAATGGATTTCATGTCGAAACGAAAAGTAGAAATTGCTTTGTCTGGAAACAAGACTACGGACGCTACCAATTGGGTGGCCAAGCTCATGATATCGGCCTACGAAGTCGCGGATCAAATCTTGGTGGAATCGGCCGAAGACAATGCACTGAAGGCTAACCACACTACTAACGTTGAAGAGGAAGGAGGAATCCTTCAGGCAGAACTCATGTCTTCCTTTGCACGATACGGTTCCTTTGGTCCACCGGGTGTATCCACTCGAGGATCCATGCTCTTGAAATCTGGCGATTTGGAAGAAGAGAAACCGGGAATGACGAAGATACGGGTCAATGATTCCTTTACCTTGCTTCCGGATAAAGGGTCCAGTGTATGTCTATATCATGAGATTGATTGAACGAATCTGCTTGGCATACATGTATTCTAATCATATTCTTTTTTCATCCTTTTTGCTCGCAAACAGCCATCCAACGAATCACGATCTACGTTTCCACCAGATACCTTTGAGCCATATGTCCTTCAAGACATGTCCAAATCTTCCAGCCTTGCGCAGTCCTATGACGATGTGCCCACCAAATTCACTCGGGTCAATAGCTTTCGAAGACTCGCCGGAAGACTCGGGCTTGACTTTGTCGTTTCGGGCCTCAAGTTTGCCAATAGTCAGCTGGATCAGACGAATGTGGGCGTTGTCCGAAGTACCATGTCGTCGACTGGATTTGTGACTCTGCTGGACTTGACGTCGGTGACTACGGCCGCGACGACTCCATTGACTTCCAAACCTGGGACACTGGCAGTGAATGTGGCCCCCGAACCCAGAGATATCATTTGGGAAAATGTCAACATTACCAAGAAAAGTCGGGACCGTCGGGAACGAGTAGTGAATGTGCTCTTGGTGCTCGGTCTATTCTTCTGGATCATTCCCTTGACACTGATTCAGCTCTTTGCGACGGTGGAATACATTGCCAAAATTCCAGGAATGGAATGGATTGCACGCGAGGAAGACGTTTCGAGATTTGTCAAGGGCTATCTTCCGGTCGTTGCTTTGCTATGCTTGATTCTGATCCTTCCCGTCATTTTCAAGTTTATCGCGCTCAACTACGAACGTCGAATGACCTATTCCGATGTTCAGAAATCCATGCTGGGACGATACTTTTACTATCAACTCTTCAATATTTACATTACCGTCACAGCTGGTAGTTTGGGTAAATCATTGTACGAGATTATCAATCATCCATCCGAGTTTTTGGAACTTCTTGGTGAAAAGTTCCCAACCATGGTCGGATACTTTATTGCCCTTCTGGTCACCAAGGTCTTGGCTGGATTGCCCATTGTCTTTGTTCGCATTGGAGCCCTTTCGAGAATGCTTTTACAACGTGCTCTTTCATCGAATCAAAAGCTGACGCAACGAGAGCTGGACGAGATTTATCGGCCTGAGAATGTCCAGTATGGGTGGGAGTATCCGTCTCAATTGTTGGTGATTGTCATTGTGAGTTGTGTTGTGAAACAATTTCTCTTTTGTCATTCTCGTGCTGACACGCATCTTTCTGTAGGTGTTTACGTACGCGGTGATTAGTCCCATTATTCTGCCTGTCGGGGTCTTGTTCTTTGCTGGATCTTTGGTGGTGTACAAGAAACAAGTGTTGTATGTGTATCAACCAGTGTAAGTCAGCTATTGTGGTGGTTGGTGTTCCCATGTCTTTCTTTCTGCCTTTTTTTCCTCATCACTTTTTCCACACGACAGATATGAAAGTGGTGGAGCCTTTTTCCCAGCAGCATTGCAACGAAGTCTCTTTGGATTGGTCTGTGGACAGCTCACTTTGATTGGGTATTTCTTGACCAGAGGTTTTCGAAACAGCGCACTATTTCTCTTGCCGTTGCCACTGTTCACCATTTGGGGAATGAGATATTGCGACAATGTACGTATATATGGGAATGCTGATACTATAATACTATGATATCGTTCACGAAAAAAGGTATTGTCTAACCAATGCATGGAATGAATCTGAATACCTTTATGGCCGATGTAGCACTTTGCTGGTAAGTCTTGATGTCGATCAAACCTTGTCGGCAATCCTTTTTCTAACAGCACCCACCAATATTTGTTTTAGATCCATCTAAACGATTGAGTTTGGAAAGAGCCCGAGAATACGACCGCGTCAGTGACATGAGAGCCAAGTCGAGATACAATCGAGATGACGAAATGGGCAGTGGAAATGAAGTCCGTCGAACTCAATTCAACAAGGACTGTTACCGGCAGCCAGTGTTGACCCAAAAAGCGCTAGTGCCCAAAGCCTATCGGCGGGGACAAACAGACCCGCTAACCTTTGATTGCTGTCAAAAACTCAAGGAGCTTCAACAGTACTCGTTAATGGAGGATGGCGAAGTAGTAGAACAGACCGAGTGATAACAATAACAATAATAGAGTTTCTCACTCCAAGTTGTTGTGGAATTTTATACAGGACCGTAACCATGTAAGTCCAGAGGAGACGAGGCTTAGTTTGTGAGTCACGAGGTCCAACCAAGAGGAAACCGACAGTACCTAGTGAATTAGTAGTGTTGAAAGTCACCAATGCACATGACTGGACGGCATATGACTTCTGCTTGACGATGCGAAGCGAAAATTTTCCTCTCGCCAAATCTTTTCCTTGGCTCCACAAGTCAAGACACTTTGTTTCTTCTGCTCAATGGTTGACGCCGAGCTACTGTACAGTGTTTCTTGGGACCAAGAATCTATTTCTGGCTCCTGGTTCACCTCACTGGATACATACCGGTACCTCCACGATCAAATTTTCGCCGTGATTAGGTTTTGACTTCTGCTCAAACACTGCCAAGAAAAGTTTGTTTCTCGTGACAATTCTTTTCCCTGGTATTTTTCAATTCAAAATAGTTAACAGAAAACAAAAGAATATGAAGCTCGTCTAACGTCCATATATTGCGTTACGAAACTAAGTGCATGAGTCACGCGATCAAAATCTGGCTTTATTTCTACTACGCATCCAGAGCCATCAATTTTTGGTAGAGCAGAAGTATTGGATTGGTGTCGAAGGGAAAATGACAAGGAAGAGCAAACAAAAAAGTCATTTAGACACACAATGCAAAAGACGTCTTTGATTTTGAATCATCTCACAATTTCAAATCATCGATCAACTGAAAGACACAATCCAGCAATTGAAAATGAAGTACTTTTTCACTTTGGCACTGGTTGCCGCATGCTTTGTTCCTGCTAAAGCAGCAACATGCAACCCTTCTGTTCAGGAAGTGAAAACTATTCCGTACACCATTCTTGGAGAGACGCTGAACTTTGATATCGGTTACCTTCCTGATGCAATCTCGGACGTCACCATTACTGCCGAGTTTCTAGGAGATCTGAATGCAGTTGTTTCTGCCGATGTCCAGTTGGGGGCGTCCACGAATATATGTACGCTGGCCGACAGTGAAGATTCTTCGCCATTGCTTGGCCTTGGACTTGGCCTTGACGTAAATTGTGGCAAAGATTCCAAGACCGTTACGATCTCGGCAGAGGTTTTCAATCAAGACCATTCCACCATCAGCATGGCGATTGACGCAAAACTTGGAGTAACTTCCTTGCTTTGCAACGACCAGGGAACAATTTCCATTTCTTACGTGAAAAGCTGTCCTTCAGCTTGCATCCCTTCTGTTCAGGAAGTGAAAACTATTCCGTACACTATCATCGGAGAGACACTCAACTTTGATATCGGTTACCTTCCTGACGCAATCTCGGACGTCACGATTACTGCCGAGTTTCTAGGAGATTTGAATGCAGTTGTTTCCGCCGATGTCCAGTTGGGGGCGTCCACGAACATATGTACTCTTGCCGACAGTTCCGCATTGCTTGACCTGAGCCTTGGTCTTGGAGCAAATTGTGGCAAGGATTCGAAGACTGTTACAATATCGGCAGAAGTTTTCAATCAAGACCATTCCACTATTAGCATCGCGATTGACGCAAAACTTGGAGTAACTTCCTTGCTTTGCAACGACCAGGGAACTATTTCGATTTCATATTTGAAAAGCTGTCCTTCAACTTGCGTCCCTTCTGTTCAGGAAGTAAAAGCAATTCCTTACAACATCATTGGACAGACTTTGAACTTCGACTTTGGCTACCTTCCTAACGCGATCTCGGACGTTACGGTAGTTGCCGAGTTCATTGGCGACTTGAATGCAGTTGTTTCCGCTGATGTCCAGTTGGGGGCGTCCACGAATCTATGTACACTTGCCGACAGTTCCGCATTGCTTGACCTGAATCTTGGCCTTGGCGCATACTGTGGCAAAGATTCCAAGACCATTACAATCTCGGCGGAAGTTTTCAATCAAGACCATTCCATTATAAGCATTGCCATTGATGCAAAACTTGGTCTTACTTCCTTTCTTTGCGCTGACAATATTGGGACAATTTTGGTTTCTTACTTGCAAGATGTGAAAGACTGTGCTTCTTCCTCTGAACCTCCTGTGACAGCACCTGTTGCGCCTCCCGTTTCGCCTCCTGTCCCTGCTCCTACTAGAAGTGAAACCGGTGGAGATCCTCACTTTACTACCTGGAAAAACGAACACTTTGAATACCACGGTCAGTGCGATCTCATTTTGGTCCATGATGCCGACTTTGCGGATGGACTTGGATTGGACATTCAGATCCGTACCAAGATTGTCCGCTACTGGTCCTACATCAAGACCGTTGCCATCAACATTGGCAATGACATTCTCGAGATTGAAGGCTCCGCCGATTCTGAGGATGCCGAGGCTCACTACTGGTTCAACCTTGAGTATCAAGGCGAACTTGACACTTTCGCTGGTTTCCCCGTCACCCAAAAGCTTCCATCCGTCTACAAGCGTCATTACAGTATCGACTTGAGCTCCAAGTATCCAGGAGCTTCCATCGACGTCCACCTGTACAGGGAGTTTGTTCGTATCAAGTTCAACGGAGACGAATCCTTCTATGGCAACACAGTCGGTCTTCTTGGAGACGTCAAGACCGGAAAGACCCTTGCTCGAGATGGAGTTACTGAATTGAACGACTTTGTCGATTTTGGAGATGAGTGGCAAGTCTTGCCAAGCGAACCAATGCTCTTCCATCAAACGGCACATCCTCAATTCCCAGAGCTTTGCGTCAAACCGGAAGACCCACGCGGGGAGCGCAAGCGTCGTTTGGGCGAGTCGAATATCTCCGTGGAGGTAGCGGAAGCCGCCTGTGCCATTTTGAAGGATCCTCTTACCATCAAAGACTGTGTCATGGACATCTTGAACACTCAGGATTTGGACATGGTTGGTGCCTTTTAGATCATTGCAAAGCAAAGCAAAGCAAAGCAAAGCAAAGCAAAGCAAAGCAAAGCAAAGCAAAGCAAATGAATGATTCAACGGTGGGGGTCATGTTGTTCTAAAAAGCTACAAACCCAAGGAAACGATACATATACATAATTTAGGACATACATATATACAGTACATGAGATGACGAGAACATGAAGTAAACATCATACCTGCACCTGCTGGTCTTCTTGTTAGATGATGAAGAACTGCCAGCAATCTTCGCGGAACGACCCTATCCATAGTGTCACTTCATCTCTAGGTTTTGCATTGGAAGTTCGTTGACTAACTGAACGACTGAATATGGACCAATCATCCATCAAATCATCAAATCATCAAATCAATCAATCCATTAGATACAGCAATAATGAGAACAGGTTGCAGAGTATCTTTTTCGGTCATTGGAAATTATGGTCATGTCACATACGACACCACAATGCGCGCGTGCTTCCGCACGAAATTCTGGAGAAGACCCAAGATTGCGGCGCGTCCGGGATTCAAAATCCGCGCCATCTCAATCCGTTGATTATCATTGTCCACACGGACGGGCATGTTTTCCCCAAAGCTGCGTACCGCATTACATGTTTGTGCGTGTTGAGAATAATGTCGTATCGGTCGCTAGCAATAATATTAACGGTAACCAAGTACGGAATACGAATACGATTGGGCAACACGCAGCAGCAGCAAGAAAACAAGCAATCATAAAAACCTCATAAAAAAACACAGCATCAACAAACAGCAAACAGCAAACAGCAAACAAACAAACAACTACAACAATATAAAAAATGGCAGGCTGGACAACCATCAAAGCACCGACCAAGAAGAGGTCTACCACCACGAAGAAACGAAAGTCCAGCAAGAAGGCAGCCATGGGATGGACCTTGCCAGCCGAAATGAAACTCAAACTTGCTTCGTCTTCTTCGTCTTGCACGACCAAAAGTAAGAAGAATGACAAGAACGCTACTAACAATAACACTAATAATAATAGCACCAACAAGAGGAGCAGGAGCAGCCCCAAAAGCGTGGTATTGGCGGATGCGCTTGCTGCTCCGGAACCCAACAAGGCAGTCAAAGTATTGGATATGCCGTCCAAGGAAGTATCATCCTCATCATCATCATCCTCATCAGCACCATCCTCCGAAACGGAAGATGAAGATGATGCTCCTAACAGCAGTACTACCAAGGCTGCAACTCCGGTCATTGAAACTGCGGTAACATCCAACTGAGACAAATTAACATGATGAATGAATGATATTGACTTATAATAGCATTTTGTTATTAATGATGATTTATATATAATATATATATATTATTCTTGTGTCTTATTGCCATACTTTTTCTTATTGGATAGGAATGCTATTGATTGGTTACTGCTGTGGAATCCATCCGGTCATTGACACTGCGGTAACATCCAACTGAGGCACATATCATGAATACTATACTTTTACAATAATGATGATTTTGATGTAGGATTATATTATTCTTGTATTGCCATACTTTTTTCTACTGGTCAGGAATGCCATTGTTGATTGGTTGGTTATAGAAAGGAATGAATCGATTTGTTTACTACTAATAAAATGCTATACTCCTCGTTTATTGTTGCCAAGAACAATCTGTTGCAATAGAGTTGCCATTTGCACTACTCCATGAGGATGATGAATACCAGCATCATTCTCTTCCGTTATTATTTTCTGACGCAATTCCTGGCAATTCGTTCGAATACTATTGCTACTGCTGGATGATGAAAATGAAAATGATGATGATGATGAATCGACCTTGCGGACAGCCCGTACAATGTCGCAAGCTTGCAACAATTGCCTTTTCGAAGTAGCATCACCACCATCACCACCACCATCACCACCAGTTCCAATAATAATCCGGACACCAAGACCCTTTTGTTCCAAGAGGGAGGCAAACAAGAATTGATCTCCCATGATGGGATGTACCAGACACGGGATTCCTGCCCGTATCGTGGCATGCACCACACCGGCACCCCCATGACAAAGCATCATGGAACATTTTGGCAATACATGGGCGTAGGGAACAAATTCCATCCGAAAGACCTTGCCGCTGGTGAACAACAAATCTTGATATCGAGGTGGACACGAGGTAAATTGAAAGGGTTTCCCCACCAAAATAGCAGGAATATCCTCCAATTCAATAAGAGCATCCATGACTGCCGAAAGTTCGGAAAAGGGCATGGACCCAAATCCAATGCAAATGGGTGGACGAGTATTCTTCATCTTCTTGCAAGACTGTAGAAAGGTTTCCAAGTCTGGATTCAATGTTCTCTTGTAATTCCAAGGAATATAGGCATCGGCCAAGCACCCAATCTCGTGGACATTTGGACCAACTCCCGGAGTCCCCACAATGGATGGAATCAAATGATTGGAATAGCAATTGACAATGTGTACTACTTCTTGATGATGATGAGGATGAATCTTCGAAGCATGATCATCATCATCATCATTCGCATCTCCCCCTCCTCCTCCTGCTAATATGGTTTGCAACTCGGACCAGGTCGGTGGTACCAATCCAAATTGATCATAAGCAGCAATCAATCGATCCCTGAGGAAGATTTCTTCCAACGGATGATCAATTTTCCAATAGGTTTGTTCATAATATTGATTGTGATCGTCATTATTATACAACAGCATGGCTTGCACACAGGTTTCTATTGGTACCACTCTATAGAGAGGAAAGATGGTATTGGGTACCAATGGTTGCAAGTGCAGAAGCACCATAGGTATTTCCAATACTTGCGCCAATAGCAAACCAAGTGGTCGCGACAGTGCCGACGACAGCAAAATGGTATTGCTCTTATTGGCAATGGTGGGTGCTATGGAATCCAAAATCCACCTGGCACATGGCAATACCAATTCTCCCATGATTTCGGCTACCGTTGCGACATGTTTCAGTTTGGGATCTTGGTTGTTGTTGTTGTTGTTGTTGTTGGTAGTAGTATTAGGTTTGACCTTGTAAAAGTCTTGGGTGGAGAAGGGAAGTGCATGCAGTCGAAAGTTGTTTTGGTGGAAAGGATTTTGTAACGACGAATCGTCGTCGTCATCATCAACATCAACATCATCATCATCGTCACCAATAAGTGTGGTTGTTGTCACCTGTTTCACCCTGGATTCGTATTGAGATTGCACAAAGAAATCCACCTTATTATTGGTGCTATTAGTATCACAGTGATTGCTGTTGGTCAAGAGTTCTTGGGCTAACGCCAGATACGGTTCGGTGTCTCCCCAACTTCCAACGGATATCATAATGACGTGCATATTATTGTTAGCTTTTGCTGTAGTCATCTATCTATATTATTGCCAAAGTAAGAAGCATCGCCTTTACTACCATTGTATTGTCATATATATGTATATATATCCCTCAACAATTAATACGGTAGGTTAAAAGGATGGAGCTAGCTTGAGCGACTACTATTGTACAGTAGGAAATTTTGATCTAATCTCTATTTGCAAGACTCATCACTCATCGTTCATCATCAGGCTATATTCCTCAATTGAAAATATTTTCGCAAGACCAAGACGCAAAAAGGGGGTTGAGGAGGGTTCGGTTTATTTGAAGGGGTGTATTTTGGTGCGTGATCCCAGAATGAACAGTTTTGTCTGATCTGACGGTGCAGTCTGATCATACTTTTAACAACGCGCTTTTACTGCCTTGTTCGTTGTTCGCGTACTATAATTGTTGAAATCGAAACAAGAGCGGAAGTGTGCGCTGACTCATCTTTCACAGATTCTTTCGATCAGAATAGAAGCGAGCTTCACGAATTGATGATAGGCCTTCGAGCCCTAAATTATTTCCCGAACTGTTCCAAGGACGACTCACACGGTTGCTCATACGCTGCCACAATACTAAAATTCTTGCCGTGTTTCTGATCATCATCCCATCGTCATAAGAATCACATCTTTGATCGAAATTCATCAACGACACACACAATTTCCGTTACACAGATTCTAAACAAGACAGACACACAACAAATCTTACAATGCCTTGGCTTATCAAAGTGAGTATCTTTTTAAGTCTTTCATTGCACTGAGAAGGGTGTGACGTTAGGATTCTCATTCCAACAACCATATACTTCACACCAGATGTATGCAACATTGCACACACATTACACATTACATCACACAACTTGCACTAACTTTATCGCCCCTCTTCAACGCATCTCAATAGGGAAATGACGAAAACCCATCCGACAACTTATTCTTTGTCCACGTTCCACGATGTGGCGGCACCAGTCTGATGCATCACTACGAGGTTCCACAAAAGGCCATGCAAGGACGAAGTTTGGGTGGCAAACTGGGCATGATTATATTCTTCAGACGGTACAAAGTTCTGGAGAGTGCCAACTTTCCTTGGAAAACCAAGACCTCCTTGACGTGCCTGGCGCTGGCAGCCTTTTGCATTTACGTTCGCATTGCGGCCGGACCAGAGGCTTCTTGGATTGTCAAGGATTCGAGCGTCAGCGTGGCCACAATTTCGTTGCTCTTATTTGTCTGTCTCAGCTATCTCTTTACGGCCCCCACCATTGGCCGAGTGACTGCGATACGACGTGCCTACCTGGTGCTCATTCACCACGTGTTGTGCCGGTTCATGGAAAGCATCGAATGGTGCACGGGGACCAACAAGACGGGGTACATGATGCACTTGACATCTACCAAAATATTGGAGAATGAATACGTCACCAAAGAAGTATTTGATCAAACCACTACCATGGCCATTGTCCGGAATCCATATTCCAGAATGGTTTCCATTTACAATTACAACAAGTTTGGAGACTTTGAATCCTTTGAGGCCTTTTGCCAAGATTGGTATCATCGCATGACCAAACCCTATCGGGAACGAGGGGAATTGGACGAATGGTACACGCCGTGCCACACCATTCCTCAATTTGAATTCACACATGCTGCTGCCTCGAACAACAATAATAACAACAACAACAACAACAACAACAACAACAATGTGATGAAACCACAAGTCCAATGCATCATCAAACAAGAAGAATTGAAACTACTCAAGAAAATGAAGCAGGGCAAGGATATTGATGAAGAAACACCTGCTGCGTACAACAAGTCGTCCGTTTGCAATTTGCCTCCCATTGTCAGCAAGGCCTTGTTGGACATGCCACACACCAACTCGAGAGCGGGTGGCAAGAAGTGGCACGAATATTACAATCAAGAAACTTTGGATTTGGTATACGAAATGTACCAAAAGGATTTTGAAGTCTTTGGATACAATCCTGTTTTGGAACAACGCACGGACTTGAAACCACCCAAACTGTTCTCCAACGAATCCAAAACTGTGGATGAAGAAGTAGAAGTAGAAGCCAAGTTTGTCAATGATAGTGGTGTTGAATCATCATCGTCAGGACGAACCGAACGCGAGTCAGATGACAGCAGTGACGAATACCAACAACTCCAAGATGTGCCATTGCGTACTTCTACTACTACTACTACTACTACCAGGAGCCAGGAGGATGAAACTAATTATGAGAATGACGACAGTCAGTCATCCAATCGTCCTCCACGATTGGAATCATTGGATAACAGCAGCCGAAGCATTAGCAGTGGCAGCAGTGATAGTGACAGTGACGACGATGATGAAGATAATAACAGCCGGCGAAGAAGCCGATTTGATGTTCAAGTGCTTGATGCGTAAGAAAATACTCTATGTATCTACATGTGAAAGGAAAGGAAAGGAAACAAGGTGTACTATATCTGCAGCACACAAACTCTGTAACTGTACAATACTATCATTAGAATACAACGAATCACTCATTCAATTATCCAAGTGTAGCACCACAGTAGTAAGTAGTAGCTATTACTACAACCAATGAACCAACAAAGAGAGAAGCGGTATCCAAATGCGACCTTACTTGGGATGGTTGTGAACTGATACACATTATGCAATGATGATTGCACACTACAATACTATCGGTACTCCGCAACAAGTCTTGCTTCAAGAGTTCCCGTGGTAACCGGAGACGAGCGAATTTGCAAGCGCAGAGGGACGCGGTGGGGTTCCCGTATACGTGGCAGTTTCCCAACCAGCGAAATATACACGTCAGCGTTGACGTCAGCACTCAAGTCGGTTCGTTGGACGTGGATAGATCGCACCACTCACTGACAATCAAAAAGGCATTGTTTAGCTGTTTCTCAGAAATCAGTCTCCTTCATCAGAAAATGATAATTTGTTCTACTTTGACAATGAATACTTATGTAGCTGTCTGGTTCATGGGGAGATTCGATCAGATTGGACATGGAATGATTAAATTGACGACGGAATGAATCGACAAGTAACAATATCGCTTCAAAAAACAAAGAGATCACTATCAATCCTTATTACCGTACATAAACACCAGAGAAGAGCGATAGGCCAAATTATTTTAAAAGATCAACACGGACAGGTATGTTTACTTCATTTTATCGTTATCAATATCTTATCCATATATCTGTATCCTAAATCGTGTATTTATATCGTTCCCTTGGGTGTATGACAAACCACCACCACTGTTTTCAAAATCATTCATTGCTTTTCTTTTCTTTGCAATGATCTAAAAGGCACCAACCATGTCCATGTCTTGAGTGGCCAAGATGTCATACACACAGTCCTTGATGGTGAGAGGATCCTTCAAAGTGGCACAGGCGGCTTCCGCTTGTTCAATGGAGATATTCGACTCGCCCAAACGACGCTTGCGCTGTCCACGTGGATCCTCGGGCTTGACGCAAAGCTCTGGAAATTGAGGATGTGCCGTTTTGTGAAAGAGCATTGGTTCGCTTGGCAAGACTTGCCACTCATCTCCAAAATCAACAAAGTTGTTCATTTCAGTGGCTCCATCTCGAGCAAGGGTCTTTCCAGTCTTGGCGTCTCCAAGAAGACCAACTGTGTTGCCATAGACGGACTCGTCTCCTTTGAATTGGACTCGGACAAATTCCTTGTATAGGAGGATGTCGATGGAAGCTCCTGGGTACTTGGAGCTCAAATCAATACTGTAATGACGCTTGTAGACGGATGGAAGCTTCTGGGTAACGGGGAAGCCAGCGAAAGTGTCAAGCTCGCCTTGATACTCAAGGTTGAACCAATAGTGAGCCTCGGCATCTTCAACATTCGCGGAACCTTCAATCTCGAGAATGTCATTGCCAATGTTGATGGCAACGGTCTTGATGTAGGACCAGTAGCGAACAATCTTGGTACGGATCTGAATGTCCAACCCAAGTCCGTCAGCAAAGTTGGCATCATGGACCAAGACGAGATCGCACTGGCCGTGGTATTCAAAGTGTTCGTTTTTCCAGGTAGTAAAGTGAGGATCTCCACCGGTTTGGCTGCGAGTAGGAGCTACAACAAGAGGCACAACAGGAGCTGCGACAGGTGGCTCAGGCAATGCACAGTCTTCATCCAAAGCTCTCAAGTAAGAAATCGAAATTGTCCCCATGTTGTACGCGCAAAGAAAAGATGTGATTCCAAGTTTTGCGTCAATTGCAATGCTTATGATGGAATGGTCTTGATTGAAAACATCTGCCGAGATCGTAACGGTCTTGGAATCCTTGTCACACTTTGCACCAAGGCTAAGGTCAAGGTCAACCAATGCGGAAATGTCGGCAAGAGTGCATATATTCGTGGACGCCCCCAGCTTGACATTGGCGGAAACAACTGCATTCAAATCTCCCAGAAACTCGGCAGTAATCGTGACGTCCGAGACTGCGTCAGGAAGGTAACCAAAATCGAAGTTCAAAGTCTGTCCAATGATGTTGTAAGGAATTGTTTTCACCTCTTGAACTGAAGGGACGCAGGAATGGCATTGTTTCAAGTAAGAAATCGAAATTGTTCCCATATTGTCAGCGCAAAGGACGGAGGTGACTCCTAGGTTTGCATCAATCGCCATACTAATGGTGGAATGATCTTGATTGAAAACGTCGGCTGAGATCGTAACGGTCTTGGAATCCTTGCCACACTTTGCTTCAAGGCTAAGGTCGAGGTCAACCAATGCGGCACTGTCGGCAAGAGTGCATAAATTCGTGGACGCCCCCAACTGTACTTTGGCGGAAACAACTGCATTCAAATCTCCTAGAAACTCGGCAGTAATGGTGACGTCCGAGATTGCGTCAGGAAGATGACCGATATCAAAGTTCAGCGTATCTCCAATTATGGTGTACGGAATAGTTTTCACTTCCTGAACAGAAGGGACGCAAGCTGAACAGTCTTTCAAGTAAGAAATCGTGATTGTTCCCATATTGTCAGCGCAAAGGAAGGAAGTAACTCCAAGTTTTGCGTCAATCGCCATGCTGATGGTGGAATGATCTTGATTGAAAACCTCTGCCGAGATCGTAACGGTCTTGGAATCTTTGTCACATTTTGCTTCAAGGCTAAGGTCAAGGCCAAGCAATGGCGAAGAATCTTCACTATCGGCCAGCGAACATATGTTCGTGGACGCCCCCAGCTTGACATCGGCGGAAACAACTGCATTCAAATCCCCTAGAAACTCGGCAGTAATCGTGACGTCCGAGATTGCGTCAGGAAGGTAACCGATATCAAAGTTCAGCGTATCTCCAATTATGGTGTACGGAATAGTTTTCACTTCCCGAACAGAAGGGATGCAAGCTGAACAATCTTTCAAGTAAGAAATCGTGATTGTACCCATATTGTCAGCGCAAAGGAAGGAAGTAACTCCAAGTTTTGCGTCAATCGCCATGCTGATGGTGGAATGATCTTGATTGAAAACCTCTGCCGAGATCGTAACGGTCTTGGAATCTTTGTCACATTTTGCTTTCAGGCCAACACCAAGGCCAAGCAATGGCGGAGAATCTTCACTATCGGCCAGCGAACAGATATTCGTGGACGCCCCCAACTGGACATCGGCGGAAACAACTGCATTCAAATCTCCTAGAAACTCGGCAGTAATCGTGACGTCCGAGATTGCGTCAGGAAGGTAACCGATATCAAAGTTGAGTGTCTCTCCGATGATAGTGTACGGAATAGTTTTCACTTCCTGAACAGAAGGGTCGCATGTTGCTGCTTTAGCAGGAGCAAAGCAAGTGGCAAGCAGTGCCAAAGTTGGAAGAACCTTCATTTTCAATTGCTGGACTGTGTCTTTCAATTGATCGATGATTTGAAATTGTGAGATGATCCAAAATCAAAGTAATTCTAATGAGAAATTGAGGAACCCGAAATCGTGCATTCAAAAGGAGTTTGTGGTGACCGGGATGGTGAAAAAGACTTTATTTTGTTCGCATAAACTAGCCGATCTCGAAACATTTATGTTAGTCTTTGGCAATTGAATGTTTACCAATCGGTATCGATGTAGTATCGGCTTTTAAATTAGACCGACCTTTTGCAGTGTATTTAATTATAGAGATGTTGATGAGCTTGTGCGGTCATTGTGTTGAGCCATTGGTGACCGGGATGGCGAAAGAGATACATTTTGTTCACATTTACTCCTCGATCTCGAAAAATTTATGTCGTCTTTGGAAATCGAATTTTTACCTACCGATATCTCACCTGCCTAAATAAGCCTGACCTTTGAAGATTAGTTAACGAAACTGATTTTGAATATCTAGTGAGGTCATTGTTTTTCAGTAATTGAACCGAGGTGAGCAGACATTTCAGTTCCTGACGTAAAAAGGAACAAATGTAAAAGCCTTCACACCTAGTTTCGCAACTTTCATTTTCAGTTAAATATTTTCCAGCGCGGAGAAAAAAAAGACCACATGAAATGAAACAAGCATCTATCTTGAAAAGAATTGGGGCAAGAAAAACTTTCATTCCTGTGGCGCCAAGGAAAAGAATTGGGGCAAGAAAACCTTTCACTTTGCGTCGGAAGGCATCATCCAGTCATGTGCAATGATGACTTTCATACTGACTCAATGGGTTTCCTCTCGGCACCTGTGCACTATTGGTTGGACTTCATGACCCTAATCCTTGTTCTGTACCGGTAAGTCCATATACCGGTATACCGGTAATATCATACCAGCGAATTTAAAGTACTATATTGTTTAGCGCTTTTCAAGATACATGCAGTCAAGTACAGTACGTGTACCTGGAACGTGTACTGTAATACCGGTACATATGTTTACTTCACTTTATCGTTTTCATATAAAATGTGCCCATGTGTGTCCACCACCGTTGCATCATTCATTGCGTTACAATGAAGTAAAAGGCAGCAATCATGTCCAAATCCTGAGTATTCAAGATGCCCATGACACAGTCCTTGATGGTAAGTGGATCCTTCAAAACGGCATATCATAGGCGGCTATCATGATATTCGACTCGCTCGCCCAATCGACGCTTGCGATCATGTGTGTCGGAAATGGACCAGGTTCTGGAGTAGAAAGTTGACATTGGAACTCCCCGAGTTCTACATTGTGATATTGAACTGCTTTGACCGTCTGGTTTATCGGGAGGCTCCTCGTTCGGATTCGACATGGAACCATTGAAGTGACGATGGCATCGACAAGTAGGAACAATAGCTCTTGAAGCAACAAAGAGACACCGATGACACCAAGAGCGGAGACTGTGATAGACGACTGAATCTAAATTGCACTTCTTCCTTGTCATTCTAGAAGAACGTCATAGATATGAAAGTCAGACGTGTGGAGAATATATGACACTGCCACAGCAGAGACAGAGCCCAGACTATTGAGGTCACCAAGTTGTGTTACTTTATTTTATCGTTGTCTTATTAATATAGTCCTATGTTTGCATTATAATCCTTAATTTAAAAAATGTGTTTCTTTTCCTTGGGTATATGGCAACCACCGATAAAATGCATCCGTTAAGTTACAAGAATAAACTAAAAGGCACTAACCATATCCAAATTTTGAGTGTTCAGGATATCATCGACGCAGTCCTTGATTGTAAGCTCTGAGAGATCTCTCTGAAGTTGAGGAGTAGCTTCTTCCTGACGATCCTCTGAGGTGACTTGAGGTGTGGAAGCTTGCCTTTTCTTCTTAGAACGCTTCTTCTTGGAAGGAGTCGCCGGTTCAGGCGTTGATGACATTCACTTTACTTGTATCTATTCAGCGATACTTGGGCTCATAACCTGCGAGGATTGTCTGTAAAGGGACTTGAGGGACAGTCGAGGCACTAGACAATAGAGTTGCTATTCTTATTGATGATAGTTCATGAAAGTGAGGATTGCTCTGAACTTGAGCAGAGGATCCAGCAGTAAATACACGTATTATATAGAGAGTATTAATAGTATAGAGTTCGGGAGAAGAACTGAGGTGCTTCTGCTCTGATTGATGACTTTGGACGCGTTATAAAAATAGAAGCAGATTTGATCGCTTGACGACTGACTCACTCCTCCATGTAAACTATTTACCGTAGAACTTAGTTATTCGTTTTCGTTTTATAAAATAAATATTTTAAAAAAATTGAAAATACCACGGAAAAGAATGCTGTCACAAACGAAAGTTGATCGTGGAGGTACAGTGTATTTTAATACACGTACGTGTACGTGTATGTATCCAGCGAAGTGAACCAGGAGCCAGGAAATACTGTAGATTCTTGGTCCCGAGAAACACTGTAGCTTGGCATCAGCCATTGAGCAGAAGAAATAAACTATCTTGACTTGTGGAGCCAAGGAAAAGATCTGGCGAGAGAAAAAAAACTCCCTTGGAATGAAGCAGACCAGTGGTCATGTGCATTCTTGATGACTTTCAATAATGCTAGTACTATATCACGAAGTAGGTTTCCTCGTGGTTCTAGCGAGCAACACAAAACGCATCGAAACACAAAAAATGATGGCCATGTACATCTGAATGCATCACCCAACATAGATAGTATCCATGTCTGGTTTTACTGAAGGCCTTTTTATGAACCGTTGCAATTTCAAAGTCGGAAAAATTCGGACGGCGGTGCGGGCGCTCACGTGGATTAATATCAAGAACCGCAGCTTTATTTTTGCGTCGGTACGATGCATGTATTGGTTTGGTTGTCCTCTGTTGGGTGCAATTGACGATTGATTCATTCAGTCCTTTGCTCTGCTAATAATTTCCTCAATGTAATCCAAGAGCAGTAGCGGCACCAGGGAAGTGATTTACAATAGTATCTTCGATATATAACACGACAAAACCAAAAGTTATTGCATAACAGATAATGACTGGATCAAGAACCAAACAAAGTTCCGAAATGGACCACGAGGCATGGTTTTTGCCTAATGGTCACAAAAATGCTTATCCTTCTTCTTCTCTCCGAGGAGGTCTGAGTGGAGCATCGATGCCAGTTTCGGCTGTCACTTTTGGAGGGGAAGAGGCAAATGGAAGCTCGGCAACGAGGAAACAAGAACAAAAGGAACAGCGTTGCAGGGTGGTCCGTGCGATAGTATTCGTGGCGGTTCTCTTGGCCGGGGCTGGTGTGGGTGTCTTCTTTTGTCTCAAAGCTGCCCTGACGATGACTTCTTCGGAGTAGGCCGTTGCAAATGATGGAACAACTCTTGCAGACGCTCCTCCTTCTGAGACTCCTTCTTCCCAATAATCTCCCACCTATACTCTTGGAACTTATCCAAACCTCATGCATCCAAGGCCGACTGACTGTCAAGCCATTTCCCGCAATCGAACCATCGCTGGCGGCGACAACAACAACAATACGAACCAAGAAGGTGGAGATGCTTGGTTTTTGTTGTGGAATTGGACGTATCCTTGTAACATGATGGTGCCACTAGTACTAGCATCCTGTCGCCAGTCTTGAGTCATGCCATTTAGGCTGATGCTGGTTTCGATGAAGATTTCGATGAAGAAGTCGATGACTACGTGTCTACCTATGAAACAGATATTGATAAGGAAGGATCTGACTTTTGAGTACCCTTGTTCGATGAAAAATGCCAAAAATGAACCAGTCACCCATCCAGTGAGAGTCGTATACAGTAGGCCATACTGCAGGAACTGGCAGTCCCCGGACCTTTGAGGTCACAGCATTAGATACCAGATGTATTTACGTTGCTAAGAAAGGTTCCATTTGTACTATTCCACCATTTCTTACAGTAGTACCTGTACTGTAGATAGACAAGAAAGCAGGTTCTCTGCGATGCAAGGTGAATGAATAATGACTGATCGCGTAAGACATGTCGCAGACAGTCACAGTTACAATGTTTGCCCAATGAAACAGTCAGAATGGGACTTTATTAACCACCGTTCGCTGTGACTTTTTGCGAAACATCGAAATTAGCGCAATCTGGAAAAGGCTTTTGCTGGAGTGCCCAAGATTGGTTTCGACTGGACATTATATTAAACTGCATAGAGGATACCAAGACTGTAGCCGTCCTCAATCGGATAGGTGTGGAAAGGAAAGGAAAGGAAAGGGACTCACTCCTTCTAAAAATCTGATCTATATCGCTTGAGGCAAGTCTACTTTTCGGACGGCAGCGTGGTATAGTCTTAAAAAGGTCACAGGTAGAAAACACAAAATACCTTGGTTCAATTTTTGGACGGCTTAACGAGGGGAAACGAAGTTGAAAGCGAGTTCACAGCGAGTGGGTAGCTAAGTGGATATCGAATCCAGCTGAATTCACCATCAACAAAAATATAGCAGCAGCAAAATGGATGGCAAAGAACTGTCTTTTGATGCTCGCTACGACGGAGGCGCGGATGAAATCATCTCGGATAGTGATTCAATAGACCATCCACACCACCCGCCTGGTCCGCCTGGTCCACCTCAAAGTCGATCTGCTGCTCAACAAATGCATGAAAGCATCCACAGTGACATTGACATTGACATATCCAGCTGTGATGGGATATCACCAGATGTATCTCCCATACAGAATTCACGCAAACAGCACCACCAACACAGCAAATCATTAGATGGTTTGGACTTTCAAACAAGCACGCAACGGAGAAGCAGTCGAGATTTAATGGGGAGCAGCGAAAATGTGGGTAAAGAATCCTTGCACATGACGGACTTGTTACAGCTCTCGGATAGCGAGCTGAGCGAACAAGACAGCTTTGCGGATGCCAATAGCAATGAAATTGTCACAGATGATGATTTTAGCATCAGCGATGATGAGGTTGACGAGGATGACGACGACTATGATGATGACTTTGATGAGGACGGATATTACAAATATGCTGAAAATGAGGGCTTTCAGTATCATGAGACTGCATATCACTCAGAATCTGATGACGAAATCACTGTCGAAGATGCGCTGGCAACAATCATGGAAGGCGAAGAAGAGGAAGAATCAGATGAGGAAGAAGAAGAGTCAGACGAGGAAGAAAACGACCGGACTCATAGGGGCGGGTCCATTCATCAATCCTTGTACAGGTTCGCCCTCATGGAGGAAGAAGAAGAGAAGGCACTGGAAGAATCGAATCACAGCGTGGAAGTTATGGAAATGGCACTGGGAGGAGAGTCCAAAAGTCCACCCAAGCGGTTTCGGCCTCCAGGCGAATTCTTGGATGAGGGGGAGGAGGACTTGAACGACTCGGGATACTTTATGAACAAAGCGCCGCTTTACGAGAAATCCTCCGCTATGGAATCTGCTGGAATCATTGAGGAGGAAGACGATATCGCGAGTCTCTTGAGGAGTGAAAATTGGAATGCGCTGAAACCCTTCTTGAATAAGCTACGAATGTCTGACGATGATTACATCCGTGATGAATTGACCACAATGGACCTTTTTGGACACACAAAGATGTATCCGATCCACTTTATTGTATGGAGAGCACCCAACAGTTTCATCAAGAATTTTATAAGCTCCCTTCCGCACAGAGACACAAGCGAAACTTTGAGTCGACTGGATTCCTTTGGAAACTCGCCACTTCATTTGGCGTGTTCCGGATTAGATGTGAATGTCGAAAAGGATTCCATCGATATCAGCGTTGTCGAAATCATTTCGGAATGTGGACCAGAAACGCACGAGATGCTCAACAAGCAAGGAGAATCGCCACTGGCACTGCTCATGAATTCCAAAGCCCTCAAAGCGGATCCCGCCAAGCTGAAGGCTTCCGAAGCCACTGCCGAACGATTAGTACGATCAATGTTGGCAGGTCGAAAGCATCTCATCAAGAGAAAGAATATGTTTGATTTCAAGACTCTCTTGCATACAGGTGCTTCCTTTGGTGTTCATGAAAAAGTTTTGATTGCACTTTTGGAGCTGTCGGATCCTTCCATCGCGGGGATGGTTGATACTTCGAAGCGGATACCCCTTCACTATATTGCTGGTTGTGTCAGTGGGAAGCGACCGCAAGCGTCTCTCGCTGAAAAGCTGGTGGAGGCAAACAAGGAAGGAGTCATTCGAACGAATACTTCGGGTGATACTCCACTTCATGTCTTTGTCAGCGACATAACCCAGCGGATCAAGGAGGAAGAAGACCTTAATAGTCCAAACACCGCAAAAATGGCCGAAGTTCTTCTTGGATCCAAAGAAGACGAAAATCTGTGCTCTCTTTTGGTGAAAAATTCCGCTGAAGTACGTGACTGGTTGTGTATCCTGTCTTTTTTCCTGAACCAATTTTCTGGCACATCACTCACTTTTTCTTCTTTTCAATTTAGCTTTCGCCGTTACATTGCTGTGCTCTTTACAATGCGCCGAAGAACATAATGGAGGAATTCTCGAAATCTCCTTTTTTCGCAAAGGCAGCAACAATAACCGGTCCAAACAGTGCTACGCCCCTTCATTTAGCATGTGCTTCGTCGAAGATCCGAGCAACATTAGAAAAGTTGAAATTCTTCGGAACTGCAGAAGCAGCAGTCATGAGAGATCAGAAATCAAGAACTCCCATGCATGTTGCAGCAGAGAATCCAAAGATGACCAAGCATTTTATCAAGGCACTAGTAGAAATCAATCCAAAAGCTGCCAAGGTCCGAAACTCAAAGGGTAGGATGCCCTTGCACGTCGCCTTGCGGAAGAATGCGAAGGACACGATTATCAAGGCACTTCTGAAAGCAAACCCGCAGGCAGTGAAAAGTACATTCAGCGGCCGAAACTCTGTATTTCACGAGATGTGCGAATACAACACTTCTGTAGCTATCATGCAATCCATGTTGAAACTGCACCCAGCAGGAAGCAACGTGAAGAACAAGTCGGGCAATCTGCCACTCCATGTTGCGATAGCCTTTGAGTGTTCGATTGATGTTGTGAAGGAACTTTTGGACGCATATCCAGCTGGTGTCACGTCCAGGAACAAGAATGGAGAGACTCCTTTGTAAGTGCATTGGGAACATGCGACGGTGAAAAAAATATTTTGTCATCATACGCTCATCGTCATCCTTTCTGTTCAATAGGCATCTTGCCGCAACCAAAAAGTCTTTGGAGATTGTTGAATTGCTTCTCAATAGTGGTCCCAAAGCCACTATTATTGCAAACAAGGACGGCCAAAAGCCCTTGGATGCCGCAAAATTGGTCGAGGGGAATGACGAAGTAGCCAGCTTCATCGAGGCAAAAACTCAAGCATACCGTGAGGAGCGAGCTCAGCAAAAAGCCAAAACAAAGGAGAGGAGAACATCTTCGAAAACGGGAACGAAAAAGAAGCGTGGGAATAACCGTTCGAGAAGTAATTCGGATGATTTTGATGAGCCCGAGGAAGAAGAGTCGAAAAAGCCGTCGTCGATGTCGAGGATCATGATGAAAAAGAAACGGGCGAGCCGACCGAGAAGTAATTCAGCCGATTTGGATGGTATCGAGCTTGAAGAAGAAGCACCGAAGAAGCCTTCCTCACTCTCCGATATGATGTCTAGAGCTTCTGGCTCCAAGCAGAGGAGGCGGGCTTCCGGTGGTGATGGCAAAAGTGTCGACCCCGATGCCAAGCAAGATAAAAGACCAATACGGCGAATGTTGAAATCATTCCAAGGGAGCAAACCGAAGAAAGAAACGAGCGGCTCAGATGAATCCGGAGAGCAGAAAGACAAGAAGACGACCGTCCAATCTATGAAAGAAAAGGCCAAACGAGGACTGACTCGGTCCAAGTCGGATAAAGGTCTTCGTCAGGCCGGTGAAGTAAAGGTGGCTTCAGAAAGCAGCCCTTCACAGAACAGCCCTTCGGAGAGGAAATTGAAACCATCCAGATCATTCAAACTTTCCAAAAAGCTGGCGCTTGGGGATGACGTCGGTACTAGTAGTCCCAGAACCAGATCAAAGCGCAATATCTTTTCTAAAAAGAATCGCAGGGCCAGCACTGGACAGGATTACAGTGAAGAGGATGTTGTTCCAAGCAAAGAAGTCGAGAGTACCAGTATCGACGAGCCGAAGCCGCCGTCCGTGTCTCCCATTCCATCGCGGAAAATTCGATCCGGCAGGAAACGTGAGTCCAAGACGCCGCCACCTGGTGCTGATCCAAATGCTGCTTCTCTTGTTGATTCAAATGGTGCTCGTCTCGAATCTGGAGGCAGTGCCAAGAGGAAAAGTCGGAAGAGCCCCAAACGAAAGAGCAAACACGATCGCGATCAAGCGTCCAAGGAGGAGTCGAAGCCTTCCTCAGAGTCATCACTATCAAAGACCTTGTCAGAATCATCCGTATCGAAACCCGATTCGTTCAAGAAACCCCTCTCGGGATCATCCTTAGGGAAGCCTACGTCGTCGTCATCACTGAAACCTACTTCGGAATCATCAGTATCCAAGCATGGCACTTCATCGTCATCCGGATCAAAATCTACGGCTGACTCATCGTCGGTCTCGGATGCAGCATCACCATCGTCCGTATCGAAAGGTGCTGCTCCTGCTGTTGCCGAATCATCAAAGGCACCTATCGATCCTCCTAGCAGTGACGAACCGTAAGGTTGAAAGAGAAAACTAACAGTTCTAGAATAAATTTTCGAAAACTATTATAGTCACAAGACTACTTCTAGCTTGCCGTTGTTGCGTCACTTCATCTATGCATGTTTTGTGTCCTTTGGATTTCAAATCATTTTTTGATTTCATTTTCTTTTTTATATATAAATTCTTTCTAATAATGCATTAGGACTAGGACTATGCGTTGTTTTCTAATTTCCTTCATTATTCTCCTCGTCCATCAAACGATCCTCAAGAAGCACTTGTGCTTGGTCACAAGTGAATTCATCACCCCATTCTGTCACTTCCATGCTTTGATCCAGTGCTAGGTAAATTTGTACTTCCATGGCCCCTCGACAAAGGGATTCCCCAGAGACTGGTTCCACAACTTCCAGTACCATCAAGGTCAATTTCAAATTGAGTCCAGCAACCACTTGTTCCGATCCCCTCACAACTCTAGGTACAAAGGCTTGTTGATCACCCTGGAGCGAAGACATGAACTCATAAGGCATATCATCGTTTTCAATTGCAAAGAGTTCCAAAATGGCAAACTTGGCGGCATTTGCAACCATCGGGTCGCTCAAATCAGAAATCGGACCATATCCACCCACCAACTGGCGGCGACTAGCAGCCGATGATTGAAATAGACTGGCGATTAACACCAACAGAAGGGACGAAATGAAGTTGGTCAGTTTCCACATTTTGATTTCAGGTATTTTATTCGTTCAGATACGAAGGAATTTCAGTAAGAAAAGAGTCGGTGATTGATATTGTCGTTTGAAAGCGATTGGTCTAGGAGGCGTATCAAGCAGTCGGAAGAGGCTTCTCTTGACAGGAAGTTGTGGAACGGTGCTGATGTTTTGCTGCTATTATTATGTTCTTTTTCGGTCGTGATTCATTCGTGATTCATTCCCAAAATTAGCAAATAGGGGAACTTCCCCTATTTTAAAATTAAACTGTTCGTCCTTTTTCTTCTCCCCTCATTGAAATGCTGACTGGCTCGCGCGGATCTCAAATAACGAACAACAGCGCAAGCCCGATTGCTGTGGGCAAACTGAAAATCTGAGAGGACGAACGAAGCAACAGACTAGTCAAGACTTGGAGATACTGTACTGTAGCATCTTCTCTTTCTGTGTGTGTAATAATACTCTTAGAAAGCCAAATTCCAACCAATATATTTCACAATGGGTTCAAAAATGGGAGATCGTGGACGATGCTGTGCAGCTTATTCCGTTGTTGGGGCAATGTTTACCGTAAGAAACTGCCAGCATTTTGTTGTTTTTTGTAGAGTCTGATATGTTGAGATGTTGTTGGCTTTCTGGGTTTGTGACGGATACGAAGCTGAACGTTGCATTGCGTAACAAACGACGACAGGTTCCATTCAATCGATCAATCATCCAATCATCCAATCATGCTCTTGTTCTTGTACTTACATTATCGCTTGCCTTTATCCGTTCTTATCATGCTTTCTCAATTACTTTCACAGCTTTGGGTCGCCATTATGCTGCACGTTCAACCCTTTTTCATCTTGGGAATTGACGACTCGGCAAAAGCTCGGGATAACGCCTTTGGCGCCTTTGTAACATTCTTGGCCACCTTTGTCGCTTCGTCGGTTGGAGTCTGGTACGATTCGAACATAGAGCACGATGAAATTGAAACCGCTGGTGCCGGAGCCGAAACGGAATACCAACTGGCTCAAGATGTCCCTAGTTATGGAACCAACTAAGGCCCTAAACTACTGTTGTTGCAGGCTGAAGCACCACATAACATGATACAATATCACACACAAAAAGTCATCATCATCATCATCTCCACCAACATCATCACACTGCTGGCAGTTGCCACATACCAAGAGAATACTATTACTATGCAATCTAACTCTAGAACCAGAAACGATTTTCCATTTACTATTGCACTTATTCTTCTTTGAAATTAATTGTGAAGCTACATTTCTTGCTTGTGCTAATACTCTCGAAGTATCAGAGTCAATCTCTTACCTACTTACTGCTCAAGGAACGAAACTGAATGCTATTCATAATAGGGCACATGAACTCAACTCCTCCAAACGAACTATTTACTATTTACTATTTACTATTTACATTACAGAGGATCTAGTGCGATCCTTTTTATTACATCGTATCCGTGTGTACTACCCATTTCACTTGTTACAATTCTAATAATAATCAGAAACATTTTCTGATAAAAACAATGAATGCGGTGAGGCTCAAACGCCTGAGGCCAAAGGAGCAGCAGCAGACACGATCCTGCCGACAATAGCAGCAGCACGACTCTGCCGACCATTTTCATGTAGTATTCCTACAACTTACCAGAGGATCCACTTGCAGTATAGTGTGAGTGAATGACCCTCCTCGGTCTGACTTACTAACTAGTAGTAGTAGTATAGACTATCTCATCTTTTTGTACGCCAACCAGCCAACCACGGCGATACCCAAACCAACAACCAGTATCACCACTGTGGAAGATGAAGGCTTCTTGGGATCATCATAGTCGTCACCACGAGGAAGGCTTCTGCTTCCACCTGGTATCAATGGAGTAGTCTCATTGTTGACATGTGCAGCATTCTCCTTGTCGTCGTCAAGGTCATCTTCGTCATCAGACAAAAAGTTGGCAAGGAATTCGTCTACGACTTCTTCCTCCTTTGGTTGGCTGATCGGAGCTAATGGCTTTTGAGGTTCTTCTTCCTCATCCGAGGAAGAATCATCTTCCATGGGCTTGTCATCGTCATCGTCTTTGGCGAGCACAAAGGTGGAGAACACCATACTATCTCTGCCACCAACTTCAGAGTCGTCAGTCCTTTCGGTATCATCCTGGTGCTGGGGCTTCGTCCAGTGTTCCGGGAGTGGATGTTGCAAAAATGCCATAATTTGGGGTCTTGGCAATTCCATGACGGTGTCCACGGTAGAATCAACATTGTCCTCGTTGAAAGCTTCGGCTTCCAACAACTTTTGCTTGACCAAATCGCGGGCGGCGCTCCTCATGGCTTCTTCTGGATTGGATTCCGAGGCTTCTCCTTCCGTATCGCTGTCACTGCTGCTGTCTGAATCGTCCACGTGACGCTCGCTTTCTTCATGTTCCGATGGTTCAATTCCATCCCACGAGTATGGATTGAATCCAAGACGAATGGCTGCCTCTTGCTGTGCGTCGGTCAAGTCTTCCCAGACCTTGTCACTTTTTTCTGGCTGTTTCTGTGCAGTCCAACTCTCTTCATCGTATCCCAATGTCTTGGCGGCATTTTGAATCGGAGCAGGCAGGTCGTCCCAAGCATGTTTGCCATCATTGATCCAATTGTACGGCACGGGTGGTTTCGCTGCACTTTTCGAAGCGGGAAGGACGGGCTTTTCTTCCAAAAACCTCAAAATTTCCATGCGAGGCAACAACATAATCTCGTCCGCCTTCTTTTCCAAGTCTTCCGCTGAGACAGAGGAACCATCCACACGACCGGATTGCATCAAGACAACAATTTGGTGCTTGACCAAGTCGCGGACTTGTTGTCTGGCTTCCTCATCAGCAGCCTCATTCTCTTCCACCGAAAACTTGGTAGGAGAACCACCATCCGAGGCGGCAGCTGGTGGTCCTCTTCTAGTAAAAGTTGGAGGTGGTACACCTTTTCCATTCTTTGCCAAAAAGTCAATGACACCATCCACTCCTTTTGCCAAAACTTCGTCGACTGCTGCTTTTACTTCTTCGCTGTCTACTGTTTTCCCTTGATATTCATCCATTTCCAACACAGTCTTGGTCACAAGTGCCTTGCCGTGTTCAATCATAGCTTCGGCCTGCATTTGCTTGCGATTCAGATCCTTTTCTTCCTTTGAATACCATAGGTTACCCTTTTCTTGCTCGGAAGCTTTTTCAAACTCTTTGGTCGAGTTGCTGCCATCATTGAAATTCACGTGTTTGGAAGGCATGTTGATGAATGATAAATGATGATGGTGATGATGGTTGATGATGGTTGATGATGATGAAACTTTTGAGGGCGGAATGCAGTGAAGTTGCTTCAGATTTCTCTATTGACTGACTGAGAGCAATAGAAAGATAGCGTAGTAGAATCAAGACAAGGAGAGGAAGAGGAGGAATGTATATCTGTCAGCCAGAATACAGTCGCTAAATCAACGAACTATAAGACGGAAATATGAAAAGAGGAGAGAGGGTTTGATTTCACACCACAATTTACGACGTACGATCGACAGAATAAAACGGTCATCGGCGAAGTCATTCCAAAAGTTGTCGAGTCGTCCGACTACACGTACGCACATGCTGTTCGTTCAAAAGTGCCGACCAAAACTTGACGAATTCATCACCTTTTCTATCTTCAAGTGTACCGGTAGAGTTACGATAGCAAAAGAATGGCAGCCCATGTATATTATATTTCTTATTCATATTTAATATGTCTATTCCCTAACTAGTCCTAAAGCTTGAATGACCATAGTGACATGAAGGTCTCAAGTTGACCTGAGAACTTTTGTTCTTCTGGAGCTTTTTCTTTCTCTTCCGTGGATTCAGTTTCATCCTCGGTAAGAACATCACTGCTCCTGTTCTTGCCTTCTTTTCGGAAGTTAGCGTAGAAGTCGTCGTCGTCATCGTCGTCGTCCGATGAATTTCTTCTCAGAATGGAATTGGAGATGTATGGTATATCAGCACCATCGTCACTGTCGTCATCCAAGACCTCATCCTTCTTGGTCAATTCTCGGACAACACTGGGGTCAGCACTGATAAAGTTAGCAACCAGATCCTCGGCGCCATCTTCCTCATCTTGAGTAATGAAAGAGGAAATGAATTCTTCTTCGTCGACGCTGCTTTCATCATCGTCTGCAGCGACGGATTCCTTTTCCGACGACTCGGAGAAATCGTCACTCTCATCATCGGAATCGTTTTCTCCCACTGCAGATCCTTCGTCCTTCTCGTCCTCTGCATCACTGTATCCTGTGTAAAGGTCACCGTTACCCTCGTCCCAGGTATCCTTCGTGTACCCCAATGTGATAGCAGCCTCTTGTTGACGAATGGACAAGTGTCTCCAAGCCATGTCACTTTCTTCAGGCTGCTCGGTGTGGTTCCACGTAACCTCATCATAGCCAAGGACTTTGGCGGCATCTTGAATGTGTGGTGGAAGGGCGTACCAGTACGCCTTGCTATCCCAGACCCAATTGAGTTTTTCCGGGGGAGGAGGCTGGAATTGGGCTTGTATTTGGGGTGGCAAGAGAGGCTTTCGAAGATATTCTTGGACACCTTCTTTGGGCAAACTTAGAATTTCCATTACCGCCTTGTTCAGCAATATTGCTTCGGAAGGATCCTGGCTAGTAAGATTCAATTCAGTTTTTAGCTTGAAGGTGACCATTTCTTTAATCTTGAGCATCATGGCACGTTCTTCTGGAGTGACTGGTTTCTTGGGGGTCTTGTCGTCCTCAGCTGATGGTGGAGGAGGAGGAGGAGTGGGGTTATCCCATTCTTGAGGGGAACAGCCGAGAATGCGAATGGCGTTTTGTTGCTCGGGGGTCAGCTCAGTGTACGCCTTGTCACTCAAAGCAGGCTGCTCATTGTTGTTCCACAAGGTCTCGTTGTATCCCAAAACCTTGAGGGCTCCCACAACAGGTGGGGGAAGGTAGCTCCAATAATCTTGGCATTCCTTGATCCAGTTATACTTCTTCTTTTGCATGGAAGCACCTGCTGGTCGTGGCGGAGGTGGTGGAATTTCACGCTGCAAAATAGACAAGATCTTTGGGCGAGGAAGAGACATGATTAGATCCACCTTGTTCGCCAAGACAGCCCCTCTTAGATCCGTTTCCTTCAGCAGCTTTTGCTGAACCATTTGGCGGATCTTTTCTTCTCCATTGGAAGCAGGGACAGCTGGCGGGGCTTTGGGGGCAGCCCGCGGAGCATTAGAACCAGCCCGCGGTGGCGGAGGAGGTGGTGGTGGGGGCAGCTTGACACCGTTTTTGGCGAGAAAATTTAGTATTTCATCAACGCTCTTGCTCATGATGGCATCCACCTGAGGTTCCACAACAGCACGGGTGGCATTCTGCTGACCACCGGCCTTTCCGATCATTATCTTGGTTACCATATTGCGAACCTGGTTCATCAAAGATTCAGCCTGAAACTGCTTCTTGAACCGAAAGAGTTCTTCTTTGGAATAAGCCTTAGTCTGGTTTTCCAACTCTGTAAACTGGTATTCCTTCACCTGGTTGGATCCTTCATTGATCATTACGTGCTTGACCATGGTGGTGTATTATGTTTGGAGTTAGGTCAATGGCTAAGTCTTGGTGATTGAACGAAGGCCGATAACAGTACTGACGAAATGAGAGAGGAGAGTGGGTGATGCAATGTCCGGTCAGAAATGCCTGTCTCCAGATGGGGTTCGTTGCCTAATTTTCCCAAATAAATACCGGGCATAGAGAACATGTCAAAAGGGTCATTTGACCGGTGAACTAGTAGATAAGGCCCAAGAAAGGACCAAGCAAAGCGAAGGCGCGGCGGAATAAGCTATTTTAATCGAAGGGGTCAATAGCAGATCAATAAATGGCCATCTAATCTTCCTGCCGGTGAGGAGACCAGACACCAAAGAAGAGATTGCTACTCAGTTATCATCCGATACCGGTACGGTAGGAGGTGCAATGTGGCTTTTCTAAATTTTTTTGTCTCATGTGGACCATCTGCTTGAAAGCGCGTACTATGTCTACAAATCATTGCTATCTCCAGTTACTTGCAATCAGCAGCAGTTAACATACCCTAATCGAAAACAACCGTTCCCTTTCGTCGCAGGGTGAAATCGATTCATTCCATTGTTTCTATACCGGCAGCATGAGTAATGATATCTCCTTCTCGTATCCATGAATAATAACGCTCTTGTATGGTTCAGTGCCCGTGCCCGCCTATGGTGAACTTGCTTGCTTCTTGACGTCACCAGCCAGTCACCAGCCACCAAACCTCAGCAAGCGCCCCAAAACGACCATCCGCCCGGCCATACTGTAACCTTCTTAATTGTTGGATTGCTTATTAATGGCACGTGGCAACAACACTTTCAATGCCATCCAATTGTCGAGTACCAAAACAGGAGTCGCGGCCAAGGCAATGGGAGAGACTGGATCGTATCCCATGGTCAACACCACTTTGGCTGTAGCTTCACCATTCTTCTCCAATACATTGGTAATGTCAAATTTCATACTGCATTCCTTGGCAATTCCGGGCAATCCCTCCGGTGCCTTGACGACCAGTTTGCCTGGTTCGTTCTTGGTACAGGTCCAAGTCACTGATAACAGATTCATTCCAAAGAACTCCTTGACTCGATTTCCTACTTGTAGAGGATCATTTTCATTGTAGCCGTCCAAACATTTCACCGAGTCGGAGCTGCCCACAATCTGAGGCCAATGGATGGGTCTCGACAAATAATCTTGCAGTTCGGCGGCAGTCATTTGGTTGGTCTTGGCCGAAGTTCGCAATTCAATCAGTGCGTGCGTGCCGGATGGAAGCATAGTCAGGAACAGGGACAACAGGAAGATCCATTGGAGAGGTCGGAAGGAGAGTCTCGTGTTATTGTTGTTGTTGTTGCTGTTGAAGTTCGTCATTGTTTTTTCTTCAGGAGGTGAGGAACGACCACAACAAGAATCTTGCAAAGAAGCTCAATTTTATGCTTGCTGGTTCAAAATGCTTATCTCTCTCAAACACAGAAGTCTATGCTACAATTGTTTCAGCCTCGGGTTTTGACTGAGGAAACCAATGAAAGAAAGCAGAATGACTGGAAGTGAGGTCATGGTCCTATCGTACAGTAAAATATGCATCTTTTCTGACTATAACTCAAATATCTGCGTCACACTTTTTCCGCCCCCGTCTGTCATCCGTCTGGTCATAAGAGTCAAATCATGCCCGAGCAACGTTATTTTTTTCAGGAACGGCCGGGAAATAGAAATTTAGCATACAATTCTTGGGAGTAAATATTGATTTTCCCGGCCGTCCCAGATTATTCATCCGATAAGAAAGGTGAAACAATAACATCACATCATTCTGTTTCTGCTTGTGTTGCCATCGCATCACACCACATCATCGCACACAAAAAAGATGCGACATGAAAAAAATTCATAAGTTTCTTGTGAGCCATGCCTGTCTTTCCAAGGCAGCAGCATTCCAAACTTCTACATTACCTCTCTACTGCTCTACTCTCAAGAAATCATCCTCGTCAAGAACAAGAATGATGGCATCTACAACGAAAGCCGCCCAATTTGAAGGAGATGCCCTGTGGCCTTTGGCATGGAAAGAGTCGTTTGGAGAACAAACGATTCGCCAACGATCTTATGGTGCTACTGACACGACTACTACTGCTACTACCTTGTTTTGCAGTTGGTTCTGCCCATTTGCCCAGCGAGCTTGGATTGCTCTCGAGGAAAAGGATGTTCCCTACCGTTATCAAGAAATTAATCCATACGAAGTGGATCCTACTGAAATTGGAGGATACACCAAGAAACCACTTCCATTGGAGGAGAAAGGAAAGAAATATCCTGGATTTCTCGACTGTTCTCCTCGAGGCTTGGTGCCTGCCTTACAAGTTGACGGGGAGGATCATACCGAGAATGTGGAACGAGTTTGGGAATCCCTACCCATTATAGAATACATTGATGAACGATTCGAAACCGATGCCTCTCTCATGCCCAAGTCTCCCATTCAAAGAGCACAAGCTCGAATCTGGGCCGATTTTGTCACGGCCCGAGTCCAAAAAGCATATTACACCATGCTGATGGATCAAGATCCTGATGGTCAACAGAAAGCCAAGGATAATTTTCGAAAGGAAGTCGCCACCTTTTCGAATGCCATGGCGCCACTATCGGAAGGACCTTACTTTTTTGGGTCTCATTTTACATTAGTGGATATTGCCTTGGCACCGTTTTGGCAGCGATTCTTGTGGGTGGGAAAGCATTATCGTGGGCTTGATGTGGATGGAGAGGATGCCACGGATCGTGTCAAGGAATGGTGGAAGGCAGTCTCCGAGCGACCGTCGGTCCAACGAACCATGGTGGGAAAAGAGCGACTCATTGCCAGTTACAAGCAGTACAGTACCAATGAAGGGACATCAGATTATGCACAAGGAGTACAATCCGGATTGACGAGTAAGAAACGACAAAAGACGACCACAACGACCGCTGGAAACTAAGTAAGTGATGGCAGTGTACACGTACACGTACCAATGAAGCATGATCATTGAATCAATCAAGCGTCTCTCTACCACTCTATCCAAGTAATAATTACTCCTTTTCAATTCGATAATATAATGCCTATAATACCAATCAAAGCCAAACAATAAACTGCGGTACCATTATGTTCAAATCGAGTGAGTCAGTCGACTGCGTCAGTAAGTAGAACGGACGACGCAAGGTCCAAACACATTTGGGTTCGAAATATACCTGCGAAATAACAGACGATCGTGACGAAATAATTATTATAAACTAAACATCATCGCCTATCAGGGAGAAGAGATGTGCGATTGATATGCTGCGATTCATGACACTAAAATGCTGAGATATGATGGCGTTGGTTTTCTCGCATAAGTTCGACTCCAACTTGCTGTGAAGAACAGTGCCAAAAAAATATATTTATTCATTGATTCATTCATTGATTCGACAGGAGACACTTCATCCAAGAACACAACTGTATGACAACAATGAAACTCCACTCTTCCTCTTCAGCAGTATCATCATGGTCCGCCCTTCTTTTGTTTCCCTTGGGTTTTGTTGTTGCGAGTGCCCAACCTGCTCAAGGCAATCGTCCCTTTGGTGGTGGCAATTTTGGCAGTCTACCTGGATTTCCAGGATTATTGCAACCAGATTTTATCAGCAAAAAGACCTGTGATGCGAGATGGGAATGTCCCTTGTCCTTGCATGGGAATGAGGAGGATGGCGATGCCAATGATAATGATAACACGGATTTAATGGGAATCTTTGTATGTCGCCAGACGTACCATCCCATCTTTGGTACTCTTCAAACCAGAGCCAAATGCATTTCCATGGACCAAGCCTACGAAACAGACGAGTGTGGTTGCTGTGGTGATGACGACTGCCCAGCACCCATTCCAAGATTTCAGAACATTTCTTGTGATGCTACGAGTGCTACTACTACCACCCCTCCCGACGATGGATTGATTGGTGACGAGGAGGGAAGTGTTTTTACTACCACTGCCAAGAATGACGATGATGATCCACAAGATCGTCGAGGCCTCCGTGGCCTTACTGCTGCGGAAAGAAATGATCTTCCCGCCAATGCGGTTATGGTCTGTCGCCGACATTACAATCCTTACACGGGAATTCCAGAATGTATGAGCATGTACATCGACCCTTCGAAGTCTATCGAAGGAGCAGACTTTTGTGGCTGCTGTGATGGGATTTGCCCAGACGATTTGGACACGGCAACTCCTTTCTTTCCTCGACCAGACCATGTGGAGCTGACTTGGTGCGAGGCGAAAGAAGATTCTGGCAGATGTACTTTGCCACCCTCAACAAGTAATAGCAATGGTGGCGACGATGCTGAGACCACAGAAGGTGTCTTTGTCTGTCGTACTATGGCCAACATGTTGACAGGAGTCGCCGAAAGTCAAGCACTTTGCATTCCCCCTGATCGGGCTTGGGAGACTGACCAGTGTGGATGCTGTGGGGAAGAGTGTCCAGAGCAGCCAATTCCAGTCGATTTGGAATGTAAGATTAATGGCAACGGGGTTCCTCTGGAAACAATCACTCAAGAATGTCCGTTCGAAAATGGGGATACTGGTATCTTTGCTTGTCGATCACTCTTTCACCCATTAGATGGGAGTGCCATTCAACGAACGTTGTGCTTGAAGGGCAATGAAGACGATGGGGGCGAAACTGGCTGGGCGACTGATCAATGTGGCTGCTGTGGATCCTCCTGTCCTGATCCACCCCAAAGAGGTTTCCCTACAGTGGACAAGCAGATGATGGAATCGTCCTTGGAAGAAGACGGTTTGAACTCTGATTTTCGGTGTGGCCTTAGGTATTGGGTTGGTATTATTGACGTTGGTTGCCATTGCAATGGTATTGTTTCCGAGTTTCAATCGTTCTCGCGACAACAACACCACACCCTACAAGTATTAATCACGACGGGAATTTAACAACAGATGCGCTAAATGAATCGTACTAGCAGTATTCTTGTTATATTCACTTTTCAATAATAGTTTACAAGCTCGTCTTATTGCTTCCTACATTTCATCACTGGGGTCGCTTCATTTCGAGAGAACCAGTGCCATCTTCCGCCATTCCCACTGGCCAATATGTAACGCCACCCGCTCTACCAACTGCTTGTAACTTTTGCAAATCGACAATCCATTGAGGAGGAGAGTCGTCGTCCTCGGCCATGGGAACCAAGACATCTTTCCGTATATGAAATTGCACCACTCGGCCAATCACGATTGTTGTAGTATGATCTCCGTCATCATTCTTCATTTCTTTGGTTTCGACCAATTGACATTCCATGGAGACAGCGGCCTGTTCCAATCGTGGTGGCTGAACTTTGTCACAGGGGAGGGTGGTCAGAGTTCCTTCCACTAGCTGGGTCTCATCCTCACCAGGAGCAAAGTTCGCGGCACATTGATTTGCTTCTGACAGATATTCTGTCGTTAGTAGATTGAAAACCCATTCTTTCGTTTCTTCAATATTGGTCAAAGTATCCTTCTTCTCCATTCCATCCTTTCCTCGTTTCAAACCAATTCCATGTGCCACTGTCGGCGGATCGTGACTCAAGAGTCCAGTATAGGAAAACGGAGCGCAATTGACGACACCTGATGACGAGCGGGTCGATATGACCGCCACTGGGCGAGGTACCACTGATGAAATGCATAAACTGTAAAGTTGACCTCCAGTCAAGTCATTGGGATCCACAGAGTACCAACTCGACTGATCTTCTACACGTGGACCATTATCATCATTGGAAGATTTCTGTGATGAAAATGACAGGTTCTCGTTGATGAGTGGCTGCAACAGAAGAGCCCTTGGATTCTGGCTCAGGAGGCCGAATACCAGGGTTTGAGACAGTATCAGAGTACAGAGAATGCAATAGGTCCGAGTCGTTGTCAGCATCAGCATTGGTATATCGCTCCTTCACCTGGATGCGGTCGGATATGAACCACAATGTTAGTATAGTATATTATAAAAAAGGCGACATTATTGAATAGAAAATATATATACCACAGTATTCATTCAAATTCAACATCATGTGTTGTCGTTCGGATGTCCTTCCGTGATCAATTGAAGAGGGATTGATTTCTTCCGATACGTGTACGTGTACGTGTACGTGTACACGTGTACCGGAACATTTGTTTGTTGGAGAATGTTGTTTTCACGCCATATTTACCGAAAAGTCGAAAATATTGTAATGTACTGCAACATTTTATGGTACAAAAACTAATATATTTTTAAAAAAAAGCTGAAGCACACACTGGTTCATTCGAGAGTACCAGCGCTGTAAAAGATAATCAAAAGACCACAATTTGAATATATATATATGACAATAAGACATGTCAATCTGTTACTATACTACAATTATAGTAGTAAATAGTGTAAAATGGTGAAAGACGCCGTTGCCCCTTTGTTGGGATGATCAGTCCAGTGCCATCATCGCGATACTGCATGCACCACCGAGTATTGCAATAAAAAATATTATTATTGGCAACAACGGCTGTTCACATGTCTGACGGATATCGCTTGCTCCCCATATTTGAGCAGGGTGATGGATCACATGACACTGATATTCCAAGCGAGGCTTTCGCTTTGCCTTTCAATCCTTTGGAAATAGTAATCTCAATCGATGATCTTGTTCTTGAAGTAGGTACGCCAATCCCAAATCCTAAAGGGACCACTTATCTGGGATCTTGCTGATCAGGGCGCGCTTACGAGCCTCGACCTGCCCATCCCACCCCCGTCGTCCCACCCAAACGATTCGTTTTAGGTGGCAAAACAAGACTGGAGGGAAACACCCAATCGCAGCAAGCCATGAAATCGTCTAGTTTCGCGTCGCCGATGCAGCCTAGTGAGTGACCAATCCACTAGAAACCACAAAGGCAAACACTAGCCTTCGGAAGGATCCCTCGGAAATGTGACAATAAAATAAACGCGAAAATGTAAACTCGCCAAAATGACCTAAAAGAGAAAAGGAAAAAAAGTGAGATCATGGTTAAGAAAGTAAATGCAATTGATGGGGTGAATTTCCAGGTAAAACTCTTTGATGGGTTGTTCGTGTGTTGTCGCACACTATTATCATACTTCATCTCTTTCAAAGTCGTTGCAAGAATGTGCTTTACTTGGCACCTTTTCCTCGATTTACCACTCGGCGACTGTATCGTCGTCCTTTTTCCGTCATGCCAGATCCCAAAGCTTCAGTAGAAGGATCCTTCTTCTCTCGCGAAAGCTTGAGCTGTAGTCGTCGACTGTAGCGCTTTCCGGATTCGGTCCATCCAGATCCCATTCCATCAGAAGGAATATCATTAGTAGCTGCGTTGTCAGATTGCTCGGTTGGTGCTGCAAAAATCTCGCCATCGCTACCATCCTCCAAAGAATCGAAGTCGTCATTAATCAATCCAGCATCCAAAGGCGACTCGTCAATGGTACTCAAGTCTTCTCCCTCTGGATCTTCGATGATGACATGAAGGGAAGGTTTGAATTCCTTCTTCTCGTTCACGTCGTCGACTTCTTCTTCCTCCTTCTTTGGATCTTCGATAATGACAAGAAGGGTTGGTTCAAAATCGATCTCCTTTTCAGACATTTCCTCCTTCTGGCCCTTGCTTCTTCTGGCCCTTGCCTTTTTTGCCCACTTGGCTCTCTCGGCCTTGGTCATCTTGTTCAAATTCGCCTTCTCGCCCAAGATCTCCTCGGCCTTCTTGGCCCAAATAGCGTCAGCTTTGGCAAGTTGAGTCGATCGTTCATTGGCGATGTCATCGTTGAATCCAGCATCCAACGACGAGTCAATGTGCCTCTCGTCGCCGTCTTCTTCTGGATCTTCGATAATGACAGGCAGCAAAGGAGTGAAGAGTTCGTTGGTTCGTTTGGCCCATGTTGCAGCGCAAGTTGGAACCGTAGATGATGGATTCATTTTGCGACGCTTGGTGGGTTTGGAAGAAATAAGACAGGAAGTTGCGGTTCGCTTGAGTGACAATTGTGCTTGTTCTTCCATGCAGGGCTCGTCGCCCTCGTCATCCAAATCCATGGGTACAGGAATATTGGAGAGCATGTCATGAAGGACCGTTGGAAGCATTTGTCGGTGGTTCTTGAGCGCAATGGCAATGATTTCAGAGTCGACTTCGCCATCAATAAATCCAGTATCCAAAGACGAGTCAATGTCACTCAAATCTTCTTCTGTTGGATCTTCGATAATGGTGGCAAGCACGGTAGGTTTGAAATCAATTTTCCAGCGTCGGGCATTCCGTCTCTTGATCTTGCGGTCAATTTGACGAATTAGCTGCCTTCGGGACTGAAGATCTTGCTCGTCGGGAATGAAGTTTCTCCTTCGAGTCTTAGGGGCGAATTGGACTCGGCTTGAAGAGGTTGGTTTGGGTGATCCCCAATCCTGTCTTGAAGGACGAAGAATGGACACAGGAGTATGTGGAACGAATCTCACTGTGTTCTCTATCTCTGGAATTACTTCGTCGTGCAGTTGAATGCGCCATTGAATCAGACCCCAGCATTCCCTGCGAGATTGTAGCTCTTGCTCGTTTGGGACAAAGGTTCGACGAAAGATTTTGGCGAAACGGACACGGTTTCGTTTTCTGGTGAACACACCCAACCAACTTCGGTTTTTCTTGCGAGACCGGCCTTCTGGACGACGAAGGATGGAAATAGGAGGCTGTCGTCTGTTCCATTGCCTGCAAAGTCTCTGATAGGTTCGGTAAGTGTCGAGTACCATGTACCGAAGTAACACGATTGCGACTGCACAAACCAAACCGGTAATGATGGTTTCTTGAACTGGTTGTTCTTGTTGTTGTTGAGTGATGGCACTCATTCGAGGTAACTTGGGAAAGCTGATGCTTTTCAAGCTTTCTTGATTGACAAAGGTAGTGATGTAGTTGGTCATGATTGCTGTTGTTGTTGTTGTTGATTCAAAGAGGTTCATAATGGAAATTGTGAGGTGTTGCGTTGAGGCGTGCGTGTGGAGTGAAAACCGCTCCGGTGGGAGATCGCCAATTTGCCATGTTTTTAACACAATTGACTCCTTCGAATCCTCGTTTTCAGTTTGGTGGTATCGGTGCGGATATGGATGGATTTTGTTCACTGAACAATAAGTCCTGATGGATTCAGAATGCTGGTACCATACGATGTGAATGAATCAACGCCCATTCATACGAAGACCAAAGGGGAAGATATTGTCATATTCATCAGGGTTATCATTGTTATAATTCCAACTCACTCGATCCGCCCAAGCTGAGCGGCGATGTGACGGTCAGCATCAGGAAAAACAGACCATTATGAATCATCGTAAAGAAAGAGAACTTCGTACCTCACCTAACAAGAGGACTATATCTCTCATTTTCACCAGCCCCCAATTGAATATCAAGCGGACCCAAGAGAAGGGATTACATCCCAAAAGAGGCGTTCTAGTCTGAATAGAAATAGGGATTGCCAATGACGATCGATGGCTTTGGCTACCGCTAGTGTGGGTAGACCTTCTTTGCTTATTGGGTTTGATTCAACAGAAATTGACGAAATCCGCATTATGACTGCAAGGTAATTTTAAAAGGAAAATGCAAAATGCCAGCGCGATTCAATATCACCGACAAGATTCTCGGTTGACCTATACTGCTATAGGACTATAAAATGTACCTGGTCCAACTTCTTACCATTAAAGTCTCGCCTACCTGTCTCCCTTTTTCTACTAGTACCACCACTGACAAATGATATCTTGGAGCTCTGCATGAATGGTCCTACTTGAGCTGCAGTAAGACTTATTGATTCTTCCTGGACCAGACACCCAAAGTGCTTCCCAAGGATGTGATGCGCGTTCTTACATATGCCCTCTCTGAAAACAAGCTTTGCTACAAAGAGCTGCATCAGCTAGAGAAAAGGAGACTCGTACGATAGATCAGGTTTGGTTCTCTGGAGATGGAGGCGGGTTTCCTTTGTCAGTCCTTTATGGACACTAATGGACGCTTAGATTATTCGCGAAGACTGCAGAATGTAAGGAATGAAGCTGCCGCATGGGTGTGGACTGCGGAAGCCGCGTGATGATTTTCACCCATGTCGTTTCGTCTCCTCGAGATGCTGCATTTACACAATTCTCTGCTCCGGAGTTTGTGCTCATCAGAACAGGACAAATTCGAAGTGAGCGCAAGAAGTCACTTTTAAGAAAAGAGTCAACTCGAAAATGTCTCTTGTCTGTTGAAGGAGCTTCGTCAATGAAGAAAAGGAATGTTCGACTTGTCTCCTTAATCTTGTTTCGAAGAGCTTGCCAATTCGTCTGGTTGATACTATTTTATGATCGGGAAGTTCATTGAATAAGAGGAAATGCATAAAACCACATACAACGTTTTCTTTGTCACGTTGGGACCATCTGCTAATGGTATTGGCACTCAAAGGAAGCAAGAAGTGCTCGCCGCCCTAGCATTTCGTGTGGCCCGTAGAAGCTTTGGCTCGAACCCGGCGCCACATCTACATATAGGACTGTCGCTGTCGACGTGACGCTGTCGTCCATGCTTGCCATGGCCGCAAGTTGAGTTTTACCTCTGTTCCACAGGATGCAAGGATCATCGCGAAGCAACCAATTCCGTCTGACGACTTCTGATGGTTCCTCCCTTCTACAAGCGTGTGCTGCATTGGCGTTGTTCTCCAGCCTATTCTCCATCAGGAATGTTTCACCCAGTCGTGATGGGGTTGTTAGATCCAGCCAATAATTGCTGTTTGGTAGCGGTGTCACATCTGCTGGAGGGTTTTATTATAATTCCCAAAATTCATGTTATATATTATTGGAGGAATAAAGGAAACAACTGGCGATTGCATCAAAGGTAATAAGAGATATACCTACATTACAATGATTGCTTTTCTCCTTTTTATTGGTCGGTGTGATTGGAGGGAAGAAACCTCAACCCGTCCTTTACTGACAGTTTACACACATTCAACATGACATGACACATGTATGTGTGTTGAGCGTTGATGATGAGAGAGTTCCGATTTCCTAATGAGAATCGAACCTATCGTCACAAGAACATGCCAAAAAATACTTTTGAAAAATATCGCTTAGTTCAGCTCTTTGTTCGTACCTAAAAAACATACTATGGTTCTCAATTTGCCTCTCCTTGCGTCGGAACGGACGCGCCATCCGGACAAGGTGACATATGGTTTGAAGCAACCATTAAGTAGATTTGTAGCATCATGGACCAATGATGACAACTCGTAGAAATTACATGACCAAAGTACGGAGAATGTTCCACGCCATATTCTACGAGCTGAAAAATCTTGGCTCGAGAGTTCGCCCATCAACTGAATTGAGAAAAAGAGAAAAAAACGAGAAATTCTCTTTCTCACAATAACATCAAGAAACAAAAGAAGGGTTCATCCGAGCATGACAACTCTTGATTCCTTCACCAACCCAATCGCTCCAATGCCTGAGAAACCAATCACACAATCACCTACTCTTGTTAAGGAAGAAGAGAGGACAATTCCATTTCTTAGGTGAGTTATGAATGCTGAATTCATTTAATCCAATCATCCAACATGTCGCAGTGAGAAAAGCATGGATTGCTTGCGTTTGAAACTCTCGATGAGCAAGATTCTTTTTGCAATAACACAATCGAAACTTCTCGGTTCTATCGATAGTATTTTATGCTTGTGGGTCGCCTTGGATCATCGTTTGGATCCAGGATACAACCCCATAGCACCTTGCTGAAAGGGTTCCGAATATTTTTCTTCTGGAGAAGGCCCATAACCTCAATTTTGATGTCATTCTTATTCGGGCGCGCTCGGTCCTCCTACTAGTTGGCGTAGAACCCTACGATACCAAAACATCATCACATGTTTGTTTTGGTGTCAAGCACACTGCAGAAAATTCTCAAATCGTATCTTTCTCACATCATTTGTTTTTTTTCCTTCTTCTTGATTTGACAGACGACTAGTGGACATGCTCACGGAAAACGAAGAGGTCATTTCCTTTTGTCCAGGAACTATGCAAAAGGGAAAAGTCACCCTGGGCCGCATTGTGGTTCATGATCGACTCAAGGTAGAATCCAATATTTTGCCTCGTTATTTCAATCATAGTTCCTTTGCCAGCCTTCGGCGACAATTGAACTACTTTTCCTTTACTCGCTTGGGAAAGGGGAGGCAACGCGGGGCTACCTACTGCAATGAAGAAGTGATGGAACTAGAAGATATTCTCCGTCTCAAGAGACGATCTACCGCAGCTCCGCCATCCACCACCACAACAACAATCAAGACATCATCAAGAGCAACAACAACAACAACACTACCATCCACAAATCATGTCACGGATGGCAATAGTCGTAGCCTCAAACGTACATCTCGAGTCTCGATTTCATCCTTTGAAGAAGTGAATGCTGTTCATGCACCATCCACCAAAAGGGCGAGGCATTCGCTGTTTGAAATGTCGACCTCCTTGCATCAAACCGTTTCGGATTCGGAAGATTCTACTTTGAGTGGTGGGGACGATCACGTACACCGAAAGCATCATCGCAGGATTACTCTGGATCTTACAACGCCATTGTCCAACGGGGAGGACGATGTTCTAGCTGGCTGCCAAGCCTTGCTTTCGTTTGCCAGTTCTTCTGTCCATTGAACTGCACTGATGGTTGATTTTATGTGACCGACTGTTGACTCTTTTGCCGTTCAAAGGAGTCACTGTTCATCGGGGATTGTACTGTACTATTACTATTCATCTAAATTATTCTAAGACTGCATAACCAGCATTACACTACCACCTTTGCCAACTACCGCATCCACGAATCAGATTGGGTCTAGAGGCAACATGAGAGATATCACAACAGTTTTCCTACTCATCTTTACATGTGAGAAATATACTAGAAATTGGGACTGACTGACTCCATCCAACAAATCATCACATTACCATCCAGTATCGGCTCGAGAATGCCGCGCTGGAGGAAGCGGAGAAAAGCTGCCATAGCCACCATAAATTCCTCGATTGTCAGTGCCAAAGGCGCTGGAGGAAGAAGATCCGTAACTGAAATCAATGCCAGGAACGCTGAGGGTGCGATTTCGACGACGAGGAGGGTTCTTGCCAACCCACTCCAGCAATACTTCTCGTTCCTTCTGCATCTCGCTCCATCTCATTGTTGGTTCAAAACCCAAGGCTAGGAGCCGACGAGTTCGGACATACCTCAATTCACCTTCCGGTCCAGTTCGTGTGAGCACCAATGCACCTGTTTCGTTCGCTTGCAAAACCGCGGGACTGACAAATGGCTGTCGCATGGTTTCTCCGGCTGTAATCATTTCTTGCAACGATAGGATTGTCTCGGATGGAGCCGGAGGTTCTTCTTCATCAGCCAAGTCCATATTGGTCCATGCTGGCAAGTTGTATAGAAACTTGGACGAAATCCAAAGAGTCGCCACTGTTCCTCCGAGCAACACCACAAACCAGTAGGCATACAAGATGATCAATCGCCAGTCGTGGGGCTTCACCTCACTGAATGTCAGCACGGCACCTCGGTAGGACTGAATGGCGTTGGCATGGGAAAGGGTGGGAAAACAAAAGGCCGAGTGGGCTGGGGAAAATGGTCTCTTCTTCAAATCGTCCCATCGTGACCAAAGACTGTGACAACTGGCAAAGAATCCAATCAACGAAAGGGCGCACATGAAATGCATGCAGGGCAAGTAGATCATTCGATGGACTCGCTGAAAGTTGGTCACATCCGGATTTTCTTCTTCAAAGGAAGGTTGTGCCATGATGGTAAGGGCGTACAAAGAAAGTGCTGGAGCTGACATTTGCATCCAACCAACTGTTGCGGAAATCTTCTCATTGATGGCAACTCGAATCAAACTAATTGGAAAGAAAAAGATGTTCAATGAAAGTGATATCTGAAAGATAGGAGAAAAGCAAAATGAGAACGAGACGAGCATTTGACAGTTCAACAATATCAAAACTTTAGTAGACTCACCGCCATGAGAAGATGACCTGGCATTGGATAATACAGCCACGTCTTGACAGCCGTCAAACCGATACCGATTGTATTTGGGAACCACGTAGGTTCCGGCATGATTTGATACGCCAGAGCAATGTAAATGTACCAGATTACGAGACCAAGGTGGACAGTAGCAGCCAGTGAGACCATGACTTGGCCAATGAGTCCACGACCAGCAAATACGCAAACGGTCGTCATGCACAACAATCCTGCGGGACTCGCAGTAACTGGCGATGCCATCTCATCAATGACAGCTCTGGTAGCGACCACGACCTTTGCCACAAACATCAAAGCCAGAGTACCAGCCACCACGTTACAGCCAAAGTGAAAGTTCACAGCGACTTTATACATCGGTACAGTAGTATCGCAATAGAAGCAGCCGGGGAATTCAGGAAAGGTACACTGGGACGAGTGAAAGTGGACACGCTCGCAAGTTTGCAAGTTTTCTTCCGTGAATTTGAACCAGACAATTCCCAATGTCGCAAATGCCATGGCAACAGCTCCGATTGCAGCTGGAAGATTTGCAATGAACATATTAATGTTGGTAATGAATCGATATCCCTTTGACCCAAAGCTTGCGAACCATCGAAAGCATCTTCGATGCAAGCGTTGGTATTCCTTCTGTTCCCTTTCTCGTTCCGTTTTCGCCAGGTATTCGGCCTTCCACTGCTGATGTACTTGCTCCCGCTCCTTTTCCAGCATTCTGGCTCTCTTCATGGTCCATCGTCGGTAGTCATAGGAAGAATCAGAGGTGTCACTGTCGTCCTCATTACCAGCAGCAGCAGCAGCAGCTCTTCGCCGGGATTTCTTCATTTTTCTTCGACTTTTTCGCACGCTCTAAGGGGGTTTGTCGGCAATAGTTAGGTTTTGATCCAGCATGTCATCATACATCACAGAGCATCAGCGGCACAGTAGTCACAATACTTGAATTACCTTCTTATGCCGGTCCAATGCCACATCTGATCCTGAATTTCGTTTTGAAGAAGATTTATTCTTTGCATCCGTTTCGGAAGACCTTCGTCCATAGTATTTCCCGCCCGAGGTTCGGCTGTCCTTTCGCAAATTATTAGTTGCTTCTTGTTCGTTGGTGGATATCCCCGAAGGTGGTAACAAAGATGTTTTTTCGTTCACATCGTCTTCTGAATTGGTGTCACTACTACGAGCATATATATATATTTATCAATAGGATGGTGAGAATACACAATACTGAACGATTCATGCAATGCGGATGAAATCCAATCCAATCAAAAAAGACAAAGAATCCATCCGCAGTACCCAAAAAAAAGCCTTACCTGCTGGAATATCCACTGTAGGAACTGTTTTCATCCACCATCATGGAAGTTGTACCATATTTACCACCACCACCACCATCAATAGTACCCAGATCCTCACTGGATGCTGCTGCTGCATCTGCATTTGGTGCTACACCATTATTATTATCATCCTTCTCATTCGTTCCCCATTCATCATTGTTAATGGATGCCAAACGTTTGTGAGTTCCTCGACTCGCTGGTGGACGACTATCTTGAGAACTCAATCGAGACCGTGATGGACTGTCCACGCCGGGCACAAATAAGCGAGGTTTGGACGACGACGACCGATAGGGAGAAATGGGGGCTGGATTATTATGATTCTTGGCCACAATACCAGCGGCGGCGGAGGCGAGTCCACTGTTGTTGGAACTGGTCGAATTACGACGATGAGAAGATGGCGACGACCCGCGTTGTTGCTGGTGTTGCTGGTGTTCACTGTCACTGCCACCACCAGTACTTCCAAGTGATGACATGCTTCCATGACTGTCGGTTCGAACATGATGCGGTCGACTTTTGGGAAGCGAGGCAGTCGAAATTCGATCTCGCGACGAAATAGAAGTTTGACTCGACCGACGCTGCTGTTGTGGTTGTGGTGGGTGTGGTGGATGTTGGTGTTGCGGGAAAACCTGTGGCAAATTCGGTGGAGGATAAAACGGCATTGGATATGGTTGCAGAAACGGAGGTGGTCCTCCTCGTTGTTGCTGTTGTTGACCTCCAGCCGATATTGGCGGCGGTGGTGGCATCATGAAGCCTGGTGGGAAACCAGCATGCTGTGGAGGATGTTGCTGCTGTGGCGAATGTAGTTGATGATGTTGTTGGTGCTGGTGTTGAATGGGTGGCGGCGGTGGAAATCCAGGTGCCCCAGGTGGTGGATATCCATACATCCCATAAAATGCTGCAGCCGCAGCTTGAGGATCCATTTGCAATTGACCAGGAATCGGTGGTGGTGGAGGCATCATCATCATCATGTTGGGAGGAAATGGACCCTGCTGAGGAACCCGCTGCTGATTGGGTGGTTGCTTTGGATTTTGTTGATGTTGTTGCTGCTGCTGCTGCTGCTGCTGTTGCTGCTGCTGTTGATTGGGTGGTTGCTGCTGTTGCTGTTGTTGTTGCTGAAGTTTTTGCAGCTTTTTGCGTTCGTGATATGGCAACAAATGTGGGTTCACGGTTGGCTTTGGTTGTGATCTTGGTGATATAAAGCGAACGGATCCCGAACTGGCATTGCTATCAAAACTTGCAAACCGATTGTGTTGTTTGTGTTGTTTGGGTCGACTGGAGCTTCCTGCAGAACCGTAGCCGGATGAGGTCGTACTTGCGAGATCGGATTTGCTACTCTTGTCATGCACAAAACTGCCACCACTCGCATCGGAATCATAGGGAATGAAAAAATCAGACGAAGTTTTTTGGCTGCTTCGTCTTCGAGGCACGGTATCAATCGTCAACATGGGAGATTTGCCAGAAGAAGACGCCGGAGAAATGTAAAGCGATGGGGATTGTGGATGGGAATTGGGCGTCAATGTAGCTGACGCCGGTGGAAGTGGCGGAGAATTGGAGGCTTGGGACATGGTATCAATGTCTTCATCGGTGATGGTGGAGGATTGCCGGCGATGATGACTCTTTTTCTCAGCCGTTCCCTTGGAAGCCGCTTGCGTTTTCTCCTCATTGGACTGATCCATCTTTGAATTGCCTCAAATTGGGGTAATGCTCAAAAGATGATGATGACGAAGCCGGGTCAGCAAATTCTGATCAATGGATCGATCGATCGATCGATTGATGAAACCTATTGGAATCAATCAAGTATTCAGAACGCTGATGTTGCGCTATCGTTCACTACCTGTACCTGTACCTGTAATGTATGAGTGACAAAGACTGATGTAGGACATGTAACTGTCGTCGTGGTAATGTCTGCTTTTATCGTTTGCGGAATCTATTGAGTTTTGCCATCATTTGTTCATCGCCTTCAGTTACAGATTTGGATTTGCGGTTTCGTTCGTTTGCCGAACTTATTGACCGCGGTACTTTCACGCCGTGGATTTCTACACGGCGGGTGACGGGCAGAGCGGAGTTCGAAACTGATGTCACGCTGGAAGATCTCGCGCCAGCATGCAAGCTCAATGATCTTACTTGTCAGTAGCACATGATGTAACAGAAGCACATGATATCAGGCCAAGAGTGGAATAATAATAGAGAAAGCCAAGACAAGACAAGATATGATATGATATGATATGATATGACAATAATACTGCTATTCATAGTGCACGTGCGAGACACCAACATGATACAATGGAACAAGTAAAATCTCAAAAAAGAAATCTTAGGTTTAGCTTCCTTCTTTTTTAATTCGTAGTGTTAGCAAGTGCGGTCGAGCTGACCACCGCTTCCGAACTTTCGGATTGTCCACTGATAACCGCTTCGTAGGCTCTTTGCAACTCATCGTTCCAGGCAAAATTTGGATCTGGCTGTTCCCCTGACAGACAGAATCTTCCTCTGCGATAGCACCACATTCGAGAATCGTTGAATGCTCGGCCTCCACTTGGATCTGTTGGAACCACAAAGCGTCGCCCCGTTCTCGAGTCAGTCAACAAAAAGGTACGAACCATTGGCAACGGGTCATCTTCCGCCAAACTTGACTTTCCCGCAAGTGGTGGCACCGACTCGTGGCTTGGTAGTTGCATAAAGACGTCCCCAAATCCTGGCAAGGCACCAAGACCGCAGCATCCACTCACCAGAGAGGATCCTGCATCGCTCATGTCCACATCCTCGATCATATCTTTAGCAGTATACAGACCAGATGATCCTCTGCTGACCTTGCGTCCACCTTGTATGCGATTCTTTGCATCCACAGCCAGCTCCTTGGTAGTTCGCAAAAGTCCTTCCTTGTTGGTTCTCTCCAACGAAATCAGCGCCGTCAATAATCGGTCTTCCATGTTTTGTCCAAATGGCAAAGCACTGCATCCTGCAATAGGAATCAAATGTGCCGTCAAAGATGCAAGGGCTCGCACCGCAAGTGTAGCACTCAACATGTCGTCCCGGCCGCCGCCAACGATGGCACCAGGTGTGCCACCGTCTACGCAAAAGTCAGAGAGGACTCGAAGAAGGCTCTCAAAGACGGGGCCCGTGGCGATACGTTCTTTCATAAAGTCAGGGCCACTGGCCAAGGCAGCAATGCATCCCACGGAGGAGCGTAGTGTAAAGACGCCGTACTTGTATCCATTTCCACCCTTCCCCGAAAGGGTATTGTGCAACAAAGATATAATCTTGGGAATGACATTTTCCGTCTTGCGAAGAAGGTCATAACACTCATCTCCTTCATCGTACCGACAGACAAAGGTGACTGCCATGGCCGCCTTGAGGCTTTGATAGTGATCCAATGTCAAGAGAGGAGCCAAGAGTTCAACAACTCCGGCTTCGCGCAAAGAAGGAACTGCTTCATCGCTTTGAGCAATGTTCATGAGGAATCCCACACACCAAGAAGCAGTTTGTCCCTTCCATTGAGTTGGATCCGGACCAGCTTCGTGTAGAATCTCCATGAGAGGGGAAAGGGCACCACTCTCCAAAAGGGGAATGGCATTGTCCAATGACTCAGCCAACAAGGTCAAAGCAGCGACGCACTTGAATCGAGCTTCTGTAGTTCCATCTTCTTCAGCGACTCGGACCAAGACTGGAAGAATGTCTCCCCGTTTGACCACTGGCACTTGGTTCTTCATTTCGGCAGCAAAAGACCAAAGGATCGAGCAAGCCTTGGTACGAGCTTCTCCGGTATCCGTTTGAATGACATTCAAAATGGCATCCACAAAGCCGGGATAGTTGAACATGGGAATCTTGTTGTCATATCCAATGGCAAGATTGGACAAGGCAGAGCAAGCCTTTATGCGAGCTTCCGTGGAAGATCCTTGTGCGGTCGTTCTCTCGAGAACAGTCATCAATGCATCCATGACCCCTGGTGTTCGAAAGACTCTATGCTTGTTGGCCTTGCTGATGGAAAGGTTCATCAAAGTCAGACATGCATTGGTAGTGCAAGGAGTCGCTCCATTCTCCATGGTGCAGGTAGTGGCAGCCACTTGTCCCAAGGCTTCCACAAGTCCAGGAGTTCCCAATAGAGCCGCATCGTTGGCATCGGCATTTGATAGATTCTTGATGCAGGTAGTTGCCTTGAGACGAGCTTCGTCCGAACAGTGAAGCATGACTTCTCTCATGGCTTCCAAGACATCTGGAATCTTGGCAATCTCAATCTTGTTGGCCTTGCCACAGGAAAGGTTCATAATGGCAATGCAAGCATGAAGACGAGCCTTCTCCGAGGCGAGTGGCAAGGTACACCGAACGCCATCCTGGCGCACATGAGACACAAAGGGTCCACCACGTGCCACCAGCGCTAGTGTGTTCAGCAAACCATAGGTTCTCATCAAGTAACGATCCGACTCTTCCGTTGCAGTCAAGGATCGAACAGTCTCGACGGCATATTCCCTCCCCAGCCAGTCGGCGTGTTCCGAGACTTGCAGCATGGTACGCTGGACAAACTCCAAAATGCGGCGATTGCTAGCCACCGCTACTCGTCGGTGTGACATCTTGGCATAGTCCGCCAACATTCGAGTTCCCAAAGTCGCTAGCCGAGGAGTGTTCAAGGCTTGCAACAAGGCCACAATACAACCGCGTTCCGCAAAGTATTTGAGGTCGGAAACGGTAGTGTTGGGACCAAACGATAGATTGATCGAAGTGGGAGAGGCTGGAGTTGGAGCTGGAGCTGGTGGAGCAGCAGAAACGGGAGACGATGGTTCCGCCGAAGAGCTATCAAAGGCAGAATTTTCCTGCAGAGATGCTGGACTCTGGCTGGAAGACGCCGAGATCGCAGAATCACTCTGTGGAGAAGAAGATTGTTCATCATCTTCCACCACATGAAAGGATTGATTCGAAGAAGCAGCACTGTCATAAGTCATATCCAAAGCAGGTGGAGCATCGTCCTCTTCGTCCTCAGATTGTTCATTGGGAGGAATGGACACTTGCGATACCTGCGATACCTGCGATACTTGATGCACCAACTGCAATCGCGGTACTCCCACATGGGGTAGATGATTCTGGAAAGAGGCGGAAGTGCCATGAGTGGTGTTAACGGTCGTAACGGTCGAACCGAACGAAACATTCGCAGCAGGTGGTTGTTGCGGAGGCACTGTGGTGTGAGTGTTGCTTCCATTACTGCCATTTTGCTCCATGTTAAGGTGATGCGAGGTAGGATCGATAGAGAGTGGATCAACTTGTGCATTCGTAGGTGGTCTACTAGTGTCACTGCTAGAATTGTGCTGTCCCGCCATGGCGTCTTGTGGAGGGGTGGCATCTTCTTCGGTCGTATCCATCATGGTGGCAACTGGTCCTAGCGGTAACGGATCGTGCGGTGGCGGCATTCCCATTGGCATTGACACATCATAATCGAACGTCAAGAATTGATCCGGGAAGGTACCAGTGGCTTCCCTTGGTGCCATGGTTGTTGTTGTGATGGACCGCAACGAGGAAAAATAAGAAATACCGGAACGACCAACGCCTCTGCAGTACTTGAGTTTTTTTTCTGCCAAAAACGTGCGCGCTACTGATTTTCGCTATGCAACCGAAACAAGCGCAAATTTGTTGACTCTACCTCGCTTTGCACGTGTGAAAAGTACGAAAGTCACGGAAGGAAAACAGGACTCAACTTCCACCACGTGCTGTTTGGTACCTCAACGGATGCAAATTAAAGGCACTTTTATCAGCCATGTCGTATGCACATGGCGCACCATCATGATATTCCTTAAATTTATATTCATATCTGTAGATTGTATATCTACCGTTCTAGGATAGCGTTCTTCGTAACCGTTAAACCATTCTTATTGATCGCGGCCATCGAGCCTTTTCGAGCACTCCGAACGGCCGTTCGGAAAGACGATTTTTTCACGAATTTTGAAAGGGGCAACTTTTTCTTTGGCGAAACGAGACGTTGAATATGTGCACCTCACTAATTGTTCCACATTGGCATCCGTCGCACCGACAATCAAAGATCGCGTTTGATATTCCCGTCTTGACTCTTGGTAGAATCGCCAAAATCATTTGAATTGGGTCAAGAATCCATAACCGACTATGAGGAAGTTGAACACGATGTCCTCGTGTTGCATCGGTTCAGCATTCTTCTTGGAATCGTGATGTTGCCACGATTTCGATGGGATTTTACACGAACAGTGGGTGATTGTGGGTTCAAGAACGGTCAAGGCTATACGATAGCGACAAGCTGCAGCATGGCTAGTTGATGATATCTTTTTAAAACGAGCAATCATGATTGGATTGGATACCATAGTCTAACGAAAGAACCCGCGGGACGAATGTCAACTACCTCCTCGCGTCCACAGTGGCGTTGCTGCAGCTTGGAACCACCCCTCCTACCACATTGGCTACTATTCAAGCAAAAAGGGCACGTGGCAGTGGCATGCTTAGCCCCATAAGCACACGCACTCCATCATGAATGAATCAAAATTCCGACTACTTTTTCGATAGAAGAATCAAGTGTGTCTTCACCATGTTATGGCCGACTACCTCAAGCCATACTCTCTTTCAATTGCCAATCAACTGGAAGATTCCATTACCATGCTGATCAAGAACTTCAATAGAGATTGATTCGCTGGTGACATGCTGAAACACACCAAATGATAATATATGTTCACACGGCTACGGGATCGATCATTGGAGCGAGACAAACGACGTTCACACGTTGCAAAAGTGGCAGGAGCTCGAGCTAGTACCTCTGGCATTGTTCTTTCTGCTGAAAAATGAATACAAGTACTTCATTATAGAAACAATACTTTAATTTCAGCATCCTTGTAAGCTTTTCAAATAGAGATTCGATAGTAGTCGATGACATAGTTTTTAAAAGGTAGATATCACAAGATGATTGAGCAGCAAGAACAGCAATGTCGGTCGTGGTGGCAGCAGTGGTGGTTGTGTTCTTATTGGCTTCTTCAGCAATCAATCATATCATGGACCATCTCTGTAGAATGAATGAATGAATGAATGATTCAACGTCTCGGACTTTGCTATCGATCATATTTAATGCTGAACCCATAGTTGCCATTCATGCATGCATTCTTCTTTAACCTGTGCCTAACGTGTCAATAAATAAAAAATAAAATGATGAGGATACGCGGTATGAATACGACCACTCCGACTTGACTTTGGCATTTTTTTTAAAAAAATCGCGACCAAACTTGTTATTTTACTGTCATCATCTCCTACCGTATACAGTATATCACTGTCATCCTCCTTTTATCCCTTAACCCTGACTCCCAGAAGTCCATTATCTGTTTCTTCTACAACAGAAAACCAAAAGGCGTACGGTAATATACCTTCAGAGCCATGGTGGTCCGAATGGCAAAGGACGCCAAGACCAACAATGGTTCTGGCATTGTCAAATACTTTGCTGTGATCCTTCTTCTTGTTGGAAGCTCGCTTGTTCCTACCATGTTAAATACCAAAAGCATGTATAGAGATTTACATGCCATGGTATATGCGGAAACTCCTTCCAGCAAACAAGTATCATCAAGTCAATCGAGAATATCAGGCCGAAATTTTACAGACGGTTTGCTGGATAATGACAACAATGATGTTATTACAAGAACGACTCCAAAAAGCAACGGCTTACAAGAACCCCACGACAATCCTCGCACTGATTCCTCCATTCCCGTTCCGCACTTTGAGAAACAAGAGGGCGTCGCCATTGTCACGCAAATCCATGGACCTCATCAATACAAACTTCTGCGGCAGTCCTTTTGTTTACTGCACAAAGCTTACAATTCCAGACTGTTATATGATTATATAGTCTTTTTGGCAGAACCACTCGCCCAAGAAGACATTGACGAAGTGACCAAGCTCGTGTATCCTGCCAAATTGACCTTTGTCAGCAATGCTCCCAATGGATTCCATGCCTTACTAGAGGAATTGGAACCCGCACGGCGAGATAGTCTATTAAAAAGATGCAAGGATCCAGACATGTACAACTTGAACTGGGGTTCCGAATGCCCCGGACGATTGGCCTACAGTTGGCAGGCCGAGTTTCGATCACTCAGGGTATGGAGACAACCGGCGTTGGCGGACTACAAATACATGTTTTGGATTGATTCCGACATGTTTGCCACTGGAGTTTGGAAGCAAGATCCGGTTGCTTACATGGTGGCCCACGATCTAGTGGTCTTATTTGCCCATCACGGAGGTGGTCGGGCGAGGCCCCAAGAAGTGGACAAAACACACGAAGTTTACGGCAAAAGTTTCTGCGATCTCAGTTTGACAAAGGACGGATTCTTTCACTCCGTAATGAGTAAAGCTTGTCATGAACGATATGCTGCCATTCATGGATTCTTTCACATTACCAATCTCGACTTTTATCGGACAGATGAGGTGCACCAATGGCTCACCACCTTTCGACACGATTGTTTCCTGTGTCGGGAGTACGACGATCAAGTAGCAGTGACGGTTCCCGCGGCAGTTTTGGCTCCCAATCGATCCAAGGATATGCGAAAATCTGGCTTGATCTTGAACAACTACCACAATTCCATGATTGATGGTCAAATAAAATCCGTTCCAGCAGGATTCAAAATGTACTGGAGAAAAATCGGGGCATTTAACTTCACTGAAGCCGATGGATTTTGTCCAATCACGGAAGCAAGCTAGTTAGATTTGTATTACTATTATTATACTACTGTATAGATGCCATTGTATATATTATATATCAAAGTTGTCAGATCCAGGGAGCTACTGTACTATGTAGGCTGTAGGTGCGTGGGTGGGGACCTCTGGCAGCGGAATGGAAAATCTGAAAACCGCATTTATGACCTCTTCGACTACATCAAATCCCCGAAACAATAATTTTTATTATCATGGTCCATCATCCGAGTATCACATCACAATAACATCAACAACAATACAACCATCGATCAACCTTTCAGACAAAATGTCTTCTCCACAGCCTTATCACACCATGTTGACTTCCGCTGTAACTCACAAGCACATGGAAGATCTGATACAAAAAGTCAATCCTCAGCTGAGCTCTGAAACAGGGTGGTCCTTGCGTCGTGTCGTCTTGTCAAAAGATGCAATAAGTAGCACTAGTCAAGATGTTGTTTTGTGGACTCAATACAGTGAAGAGTCCTCGTCTCCTGGAAATCCAGCCCATTACTACGGGATGGTGCTGTCCAAGACTAATACTGAGGGAATAAGCAATACAGGAGAGCAAGACGACGAAACAGAATCATCGTCCACCAACCAACTCTTGATTTCCTTCTACCTGGCATATTCTACTTGGGATGGACGATGCTTGCATGTGGATCAATTCCCTTCTCGAGAGGAATGCCCTGCTACTGTGAAACCAGTATTCTTGCTTCAGAGTTTGGCGCAACTTGCCATCCAACTTGGTTGTCGGCGTGTGCTGTGGATGCAAAAAGGAGATCCCAATTGGTCCTTTGTTGTCAATGATGGCCTAACACCTACTGATGGATCATCTTCAAAGACTAGTAATGTCATCAAGCCAGAGACACTGGATGAGTGGCTTATACTCAAACTGGATCGAAAGGCAATGGAATCCTATGCTGGAGGCTCGTCCTCTGATAATGGCAGCCAAGCATCAGAACCAGCCGCTGAAGCAACAGGAGAAGCATTGGACCGACCCACCATTGAAACCAAAATTCAACAAGTTTGTGCGGATCTCCAAAGTACTAGTTCATCGTCTCTAAAATGGCGATTGGTTTTGGAGCAAAGCGCCATGGGGAAAGACACCAATTCCATTTTCAAGTTGGTCCAAGGATTGGCCGAATACGAGAACGAGCCTGATGCGGTCCAATGTCGGGCTAGAGACTACCAATTAGATGGCAGTGGATCACATCCACTCTTTTATTGTCTTCTTTTGGAGGATACTACTACTACTACAAACACGACATGTGGCATGGCATTTTTCTACTTTGGGTACACATCAAATGATGGTAGATTTCTTTGCTTGGAAGACTTGTATCTGGAACCAGCCTTTCGCCAAAAAGGCGGAGGCACCCTGGCATTGAAGGCACTGGCCAAGATTGGAATGGCCTTGGAGTGTAGTTACTTATTGTGGACGGCTTTGGATTGGAACCAACCCGCGCTGAATTTGTATGCCAAAATGGGGGCCGTAGTCCAAGATGGATTGAAAATATCCCGCTACAAGGACGAGGAGTTGCTTCGGTTTGCAAATGCTGGCATTTCCAAAAGCTAGCATTATTTTTACATTTTAAGATTGCTGATGACCGGTATCATAGTACTGTTTCTTTAGTTTAAAAAGGAAGGCACTGAGCTCCTTGACTCCACCTTGTTGAACCTGAATTGGATTCTCGAATAAGCACAGGAATGTCCATGTTCACACTATCATTGTAGAAATCATCATTATCCAGCGGATCGAGCAATAGTTTGGATAGATCCAAGAGCCCGCTGTAAAAGATGGTCAACAAGGCAACTGCCGGTGTGCTCCAAACCCCCACTTCGCTGTACAAGGCAAAGGGCGACAAGAATATAAAGATATCCACCAATATTTGAACAATGTGTGCGTAGGCAAGCGGGATCACAGCTGCCAGCAAATGTGGAATGCCGGCACAGGTCGACCTCAGTTCCAAAATTTTGATATAAATTTGTTCTCTTAAAACAGGATCATTTTCCAGCGAACCATCCTTCATGGCCTGCAAACATCTGGTCAAAATCCAAATCGTGCAGGCATTGGGGTAACCGACTTGTGCCGGCAATAATTTTAAGGTTTCATACTCCTTCAGACTCAAGAGGCCACGGCTAATCATTCTCCGCAAACCAGTATCACTGAGGAGAATCTTCAATCGTTTGGAAAAGGTGGCCCACATTAGAATGTGAAAGAGTCTCATGTACGAACTAGTGTCGTCAATAAGCTGTTTGGCTTCGGCCGTATACATTCCATTCTTGTCACGTGTCGCGGCGGCTGCAATCAAGAGTCCCAAATCGTTCATGCGACCTTGAATTTGTCGGGTCAGGGAGTAAAAGTCTCGCCACAAGGAATATGCCTGACTCAAGAAAAAGGTCAGAATGAATGTGGTAATGGTCATTAGGTAGGTCCATACCACCCGGAGCCCAATTAGTCGTGAGATGATGTGATTTTGCGAGTCCGGCAGCATTCCAATGGCCCAGTTTGGGTGAGAATAATTGTGAATCACTTTTGAAACCCCCAGGGACACAAGAACATTCACGAGGACCGTCTTCCATACCACTTGAGGAATGGTTCCTTTCCACCTTGACCAGAGCCAAGCCCGCATGGGTACGAACTGCCGAACAATGTGACCATCGACATATCGTTTCTTGACTCCTGATACCTTATCAATCACGTGGTCCACCTCTTGCAATTCGTCTTTCAGGAGCTGCTCGTCTTCTGGTGTCACATAGGCCATGAATTTGGCAAAGGACTCACGGTCCAATCGAAAGGCCGAGACTTGAGTGGCAGCGACCACTGTGGCGGAACGTTGCTTATTATACAACAACGCCAGTTCCCCAATCATGCTCCCAGGCCTCGCGGTTCCATAGGGGTCAGGCAATGGTTGGCCGTGGACCAAAATCTTGCACCTTCCGTGCTGAATGACAATCAGGAAATCAGTTTCGGTGTCTCCCTGTTTGAAAATGACGCTGTTTTTGGCATATAGCACACGCTTGCACGAATTCACAAGTTCCTCAAACAGACCTTCTGGAAGGTCATTGAACGGGATTCCATGCACCAATGACTTTTGGATCAACAAGACTTCCTCGGATGATAGCGGGTCGTCTAAATTAATAGTAGGGCGTCGTTTCCCTACCGAAAAGTGGAATGGCTTTGCTGCGACATTATACCTGTGTTGTGAGAGCAAACACAGTAGCAAAAAGTGAACAACATAATGGAACATCAACACTCTCTCGCTATATACTGTGTCTTGTTTTGATGACGATGATGGGAGAGTTCTGATAGATACAATATGTGCGGTTTTGAATTTTGATGACGGTTGAAGAAATCTATGGGACTAGTTTAGTCGTAATACCGATTTGAAACCAAGCTTTGCCCACTTCGTGTTTTGAGACTTTTTTAGTTTTTAGATAAAAAATTGTTTTGTCACTGACACCAAACCAAATCCAGGGTTTTCTGGTTCTTGTTTTATGGTGGTGGGGTCTTTAGTGAATTTTTAGCCAATAAGAGTTAGTCGATTCACTAAAGATGAGTCTATTATTAGTCGTATGAGCCAATCACAGCTCTCTATCTCTAATGATAGATTCGACTAACTCTCTTCCACACTAAATTAGTACTCTCCACAGACTTCAAATGATGTTACAGTAGGGGGATGTTAGGTCCAAGCTCCATACGGCCATAGCAGTTTCTCTTTGTCAAACCACGTATAATATCATCATCCATCACCGCATCACCATCATCAATCCAACAAACGATGAAATTGACATGATCTTCTCATAAAGTTGGACAAGGAGCATTGATTGAACAGAGATTTTTCATTTGTAAGATGACAATTGCCATGAGCCTTCTTCGTTTCCTGGCAGTATTCCCTCCTCATTCTGTCGCTTGTTTTATGTCTCCTCAATCATCATCATCATCATCCGTTATTGGTCCGACGATAGCATCCCGTTATTATCCCTCTGCGATTTTGGAAATGTCTAACACTCCAGAACAATTCCCTCCAAGGGCACCATTAGAGGCCATCATGGTATGGGATCATGTGAATCAAGTGTTGGAGGAGGTCAATCCGAATCTGAAGGACAAGCTAGGAATTTCCTTCCGACCCATCACAAATTGGAAGGAGACATTCCATCAGCAGGATCGGGTGGATGCCCCTCTTTACTTTGGCATTGAAATTGTAAATACAGATGGTGATGACGATAACACCAAAACAGACGAACTTTCGTTTCTTTCCTTTTACATTGGGTATTCCACATGGGAAGGCCTCTGTGTCTTTGTGGACGAACTCGGTCAAATTGATGTTGTGAGTGAATACTCCAAAAAGGACCAGCTCTTTTTGCAAGTCTTGGCCAAGATTGCGGTCCGACTTGGTTCGAAACGTTTGACTTGGAAACGACGTCCTCCTCATCCGAGCTGGTATGGAACGAATCCAGTTGGACCTCCCGACATTCTGGACGAGTTGCACATTTTTCACATGGACCAAGAGGCAATGAAGACATATGTGAATTATTATGATGAAGATTCTTCTTTGGGACGACAACAACAACCTATCAAGAGGTCCACTATCTCACTGGATAGATCTTCGGTAGAAGCTCAGAGCAAGACCATTCTGGAATCATCATCTGCGTCCCAGAATAATTGTAACAAAAAGTTCTCGATGCGATTGGCAAACGCCAACCACCTCCAAGATGCCCATGCCATGGAACAGATGGTCAAGGGACTGGCTGTGTATGTCAAGGAACCATTGGAGGATATCCAATGTGATGCAAATGACTATCTCATTGACGGGAGTGGCAGTCATCCACTGTACTATTCCTTTTTGTTGGAAACAAAAACAACCACAACGGAACTGAATGACACGTCAGACCCAGCCCGCAGGCAAACCTGTGGGATTGCCGTAGTCTATTTTGGACATTCTCATCAAGGTGGCCGTTATCTGTACTTGGAAGACTTGTATGTGGACCAAGCCTACCAACACCAAGGCGCTGGAAGCATGGCATTGAAAGCATTGACAAAACTGGCACTGCAAATGAACTGCCAATCCTTTCAATGGCTGGCCTTGGATTGGAACCAACCAGCCTTGGATTTGTATCAGAACAAAGTGGGAGCCAAGATACAAGAGAAGAAAAAGGTGACGAGGTATACCGATAGCAAGCTGAAGGATTTTGCCAATGGATTCTCGAGCACATTGGCTGGAATGACCATGTGAGCAACATCAGTTCGATAGGAAAATAAGGTAGAATCTAAAAATAATGGTGGTAGCATTGGTAAAAAAGTAATTGGGAGTACTAGGATTAAAAGGCTATAGTCGGCCGAATCGAGTAGGGTTTGAGTTGTGGCAAATACAATCGCTTCCAGATATTGAAATCAGTGCACTTATTGCTTCAGTTCTCGAATCCGTTGTATCCAGAAAGGAGCACTCATCTTGGTATCATCCACCGACACATCCTTGACCACACCCTTATCGACATAGAGCGCAAAAGGTTTGCATCTACGAAAGAGTCCCAGGTTGGTCAATTCGGGTGTCTGCTCCAATCCCATACCACAGGCCTTGGTAAAGACACCGGACGGATCCCCGAAAAAGGTCATCAGGGAATTGGCGTTTCCCGCAGCAGTGGCTGCTTCGACTAGTTGTTTGTTCCAAATTCCCACTACAGCACTATCATTGCAGGAATAGACAATGATATTGTCAATTCCAAGCTGCTTCAGTTCCTCTTGATGATGGAAAAAAGTTTCAAGGATGGCACTGTCGATAAAGGCAGCCGTAACACCCAGAATCAACACGGATTCATTGGCTGTATATTCCACCATGTTGACCTCCGAGATTGGGTTGAATCCCCTAGCAAAGAAAGAATGAACAAACATGCAGAAACAATAACGTTAGCAACCAATATTGACAGATATTCTTCATCTTCCTCATATCATGACAGTCAAGATTGCATGTATTTTTTCTGCCCAATAAGCATATGGGCATACACAAGGTATTTACATACCAACTCAAACAGACATCAGGAATCCTGTCCCCAGGCGCAATACTCCTCCTCGATAGAACATCCACACTGGCGGTCATGGGAAAGGCAGTGTTGGGCTGAGCGGAAAACCCATGAGAAGACTGAAAGCATAGTAGTAGTAGAAGCTGAAGGAAGACGGTGCACGAAGTGGCTGATCGACTAAAGACCAGCCTTGTCATTGTTTGAACTGAAAACAATAGGGAGGTGTGGATACTGCTGAGAAGAAAATGGATACGAAAAGTCTGATGTCAAGAACGAACATATTCTTCGTTCGATCGAAATCTCATCTCTTTTATATTTTCTGTTCGATCTGCGCATCATTTCATATTTCGCCTGTCCGCTGACGCACGTAAAAAACGCCGACTGCTCCGACTCAACCAGTTCCCATCACCCATCAATCTTTTGGATGCGTTTGATTATTTCGAACAAGCACATCAACCTCAACAAACCATCACATCTTCAGTCTGCGCAGTTATTATTGAGTCTTTTTCCAAGATGACAGCTCAATCATTCAAATATCTGTTTTGTTCGATATGCCTTTTCAGTCTGCAAGTGAATGCCTTTATCACGACTTGGAATCCGGCTGGAAACCAGCACACCATCCAAACAAGCACAACAACGCGGAACAACCAATTTCCTGATGTGACGCCGACACTAATAAACCAACCAATACGATCCACCGCGACTAGACTGTTCGAGTCAGCGTCCTTGATGGATCTCCTAGACACGTTGGAAGACAAAAGGGACATTCCATCCCTCCAAGACTGGGCCGTGGAACAGGGGGTCCACTTTGCCGAAGGGGTTCTATTGGTGGACAATGGACTGGGCGACTGGGGAGTCGGCTTGAGTGCCAATCATTCGCATGTGGCCAATACTCCCATTATGACCATTCCACCTCATTTGATTTTGAGTTCTCAAGACGCTCGTATTGCACCCGCCACCCAAAGTTTCATTGAGAACAAAATGGCAACGATAAGCCCCGGGATGGACTATTACCATAAGGAGTGCCTCTTGATGATGGTGGTCTTGTTGGAAACTTTCAACGCTGCTAGTAGTAATTGGTCCCCCTGGCTCGAAACCTTGCCCCGTAGCTTTTCAATTGGTCTCTTTTTGGATCCACTCGAACGATCCCATGTCGGACGCATGGCCCCTGCCTTTTTGGAACAACAAGACAAGCAATGGAATGCCTGTTGGAATGCCATTCAACAAGTGGTAGACGATGAATTGGTGGAACTGCCAATTGGATTTCGAGACTATCTACGGAATTACATGATGAATGAGAAGTCGAGCAGCAGTAGTAGTAGTGAGGAGGAGACAGCAGACGACGAACGAACCTTGAAAGAACTCGTCCAATGGGCCTTTGGTGTCGTCTTTACACGAAGTTGGCGAAGTCCTGATGGAAAAGCAGCAACATTGGTACCATTGGGTGACATGTTCAATCATGATAGTTCCATGGCCAATGTCTTTCCCAGTCTCTTGCAGCAAAATGATGACGATGACGAGTCTCTAGCTGCTAAAATGCCGGAAGGATCCATTCAAATGAAATTGAAACAAAACGTCGAAGTAGGATCACCTTTGTTTATATCCTATGGAATGGGAGACCAACCTGCCCGATTCTTGGTCAATTTTGGGTTTTGGGATCGATCGGCCAGTTTGATGGATGCCAACCTGACCGTGCCTAATACTGAGGATTGGATTGTGGATCCATCCGAACTCGTCGTCTCGACCCGTTCGGGAGGAGTTTCGGAAGAAGTTTGGAATTTGGCCGCGTATAAATTCTTGTTGCTCAACGAACAAAATGCCATGACGGCTACCAAATTGGCTCAAGCGCGCAAGGATAACGACCAAGCTTCCTTTCAAGCCATACTGGATGACTATGATATTCCGGCCATTATGTATTTACGAAAACATGCCTTGCAGATTATAAGTGAAACCTATCCAGACATGGACCTGTGCCCGGAAGGAAATCCCATCGAATCCCCTCGTCGATTTGGAATGATTGCCCGTTACAACAATGGAATGCGCGAGAGTTGGATGCGGGTTGCGGAATCCTTGGAATTCGAGCTGGAAGATGCCTTGGCGAAACGACAAGAAGGACGATGATGACCATGATGACGATGACGACGATGATGATTTTGTGGACGGGCACATGCACAGATAGCTCCAGCAGTGATGAATGAAAGTGAAATGCATGTGAATTCCTTCCTTCCTCAAGTTTTTGACGGTAGCGGCGGATCAAAGCACATTATAGTGCTCTTTCGTACAAGGAGGAAAGCAAGTATAATGGCCATTAGCGACCCAATGCGTCAAAAGACAATCGAACGACATTTATTGTTGAGCAATGAAGTGATGGACAATAAAGGTCCTAGTCGAAATTCGTTTTACTTTTTTTCCAATCATGTTTTTTTTATCTATTGGTCCTCTTTTATTCCAACTTGATGCCTGTTATCCATCCATCTACCCCATAATTGTTGCATTCTTTATTTACAAAAAGGCTCTCAGCAAATTAAAGACACTGAATCCTAAAATTGCCTTTTGTGGCATGGGCATGAGTTGCAAATTGGCCAGGAGCAATTGTGGATCAAAATTGCCATCCCCCGTCATTCCATTTTGCATACAGGTCCTACCAATCATGAACAGGGACATGATGCTGCCCATTCCAAAACCACCGGATTTCTGAGGCGGTGGTGGCGGTGGATAATCATAGAGAATGTCTTGTGTTGGAGGCACGGAAGATGCTGAAGTTGCTGCTGAAACTTGTTCCTTGAGTTCCGCTAACGACGCAGTGCCAAAGGGAAGACTGGAAGTCGCATCATTGTATCCCATTTTGTAGGCTTCATCAATGGCATTCTTGGCAGTCGTCGTCGTTGTCGTCGTATCAAGTAGAGATCTTGTCGCGGTTCTTGTTGCCTCTTGCATCATGGGAGGATTGGGCGCCACGGATGGTGCTTTGCCACTGGACAAAAACAAGGTTCGTCCGGCAACGAGAATCATAAAGAGCACAAATCCACAGGCCATTGGGTTGGTCACTCGTCCCCTTGCTTGTGGGACCGTTTGTTCAATGGTTTCCCGACACCGGGTTGGAAAGTTTCTTAGGATTAGCTTCCACTTTTTAATGCCAAAGGCTTGAATGTCAGGCGCCACAATCAAACCCACCAGCATGATGAGAGAGGTGAGCATGATCATTTTGCTGAAACCAACGAAATAGATCAATAGTAAAAAGACGACACCCATGGCACCTGCGGCATGTTCTGGTTTGGCACGTCCCCCCAGCATTTGATTCGCGTTTCCGTACAGTTCAGTCATCTTTTGTTTGATCCTTGGATCGTTCCGAATTTGTTGGTATTGCGCCTGATACTTTTCGACAGTGGAACAGGGCTCCAAATTTTCAGGTCGTAGCATGGCCTGAGCCCCGTTATTGCACAACACAAGGACGTATCGGGTTCGTTCCTCAGAATACCCCAGCACTAATCCAAACTGGCCATTCATTTCGGCCCGCGCCGTGTTGATAATCTTGACATAGGTCGAAGGAGGACTGGTGACGAATCCACTGGGGTCTGCCATGATCGTCTGATTGTATGATCGTTTGTTTGTTGTTTCAGGGTTGTTGTGTTAAGTATTGTTAGGTTGTTTCAACTATAGTGTTCTATACTGCAGGTATGGTTCAAACGGGGACCCAATTGGCGACGCTTTTGAATTCAGTCGTTGTTATTGACAGGTTAAAATAGGGGGGGATGTGGATGAAAGGAGAGGAAAGGAAGGCATTGGAAATTTTACGTGACGTCAGACATTGACTCAATGGATTCATTCTATTGAATGAATCAATCATCTGGAGGTGCGAGCGAGTGAGTCAGTCAGTCAAACACACTAGCAAGACTGACATTTATTACCTGGCAGAAGTTACTGTAACCATTAAATCCGATAACGAAAGCTTATTGCATACACGAGCATCACATTGTCTGTTGGACGAGCTCTCCTCTAATTGAGATTTAGAGAACTTTCTTTGGCCGCGATGTCTACGTTGAGCGCGTGCGAGGCCAGACCGTCAAAAGAACATTTGACAGGCATTTCTGGCATCCGTCGGATGTCTCATCCCTCATCGCAACTTCCGTATCTGGCAAGGACGTACCGGTACTGTACAGTGTACCTGTGAGCTTTACTTGCACCTGCTTTCTTCTGGTCATCCATTCTACGATCTACGAATAGCAGACCCTTGTCAACTTTGAAAGCTGCCAAGGATATTTGAGTGTTGTATTGTACACCGTTGTTGCAGACTGATTGACCGTATCTGGCATATCAGACTGTCTAAGGCCACCTGAAAAAGTCACCTGCGAGAAAACTCACCTGAAAAGAATATCGAAACTTTCTGATTGATTCCATTCATCAACACAAAACACATACACTCCTCATATACTTACAAGAACAAAGAAAGAAATATGCTTTCGAAACAACATTTGGCCAATCCAGGCCTTCGGTATCAACAAGCCCGACGAGACCCAGGAGAAGCACCTCCACCCAGCGTGGCTGCTTCCAATATGGCTCGGATGCCAGCAGCAGCAGCGGCACCTCCAACTCGTGCTAACAGCGTGGCATCGCGGTATATGCAGGCGGCCAATCCTCATGTGGCTGCCAGTCAAGATGTCTGGGTCAACAATGTTAGTGGAGGAGGAGGAGGAGCACCACCACCACCTGCTGCTGATCCGGATGGAGGTGTGGTCCTGAAACCAGCCTTTATTCAGAACAATGCTCATCCTGGCTTTGAACCCCCCGAAATATATCGGCCACCACCCGTAATACCCACACCTGCAGCAGCAGCAGGACGAGGCGGAAGATCCAGGAGCAGCAGTCATGACGGCGACGAATTCTATGGTTCCACCCATACATCCACCACGGCTGCTACTGCCCCTCAAATTGGTGCCGTCCGCATGCCAGGATTGGATGGACAATTGGACAATGACAATGACATGAACATTTCTCTTCCACCAGCAGTGGATCCCTATCATCATGTGGTGGCACAAGCAGTTGACGATGAGTCTGCAGGTGGCATGGACAAGGATCTAAGGGATCGAGTGGCAAACTTGGAAGAAGATTTGAAAAAGTCTTATATGATGTTGAGTGCCCACAGTCGACATGGAGGTCTATCGGCCGATGGCAGCGATGCGGATACCGATTTACTACGACAGCGAGTCCAAGAATTAGAACAGCAACTGGCCAACCCCGCAAATCAATCGACTCATAGTAGGAGTCGTAGTTTGACCACCGGAGATTCCGATGAATTTGCCAATCCTTCACCCTCGGAAGGCTTGGTGACGGCAGCCTCTTCCAGAATTGTCGTGGCGGTGGTGGATCCAGCCGTTACACCAAAGCCACCGCGTGTTGGCGATGTCGAACGGGGGAATAGTGAAGATGAAGACGAGGACGAATCCAAGGGTATTCCAGTTGGAATCAAATGCCTCATATTGCTGGTCCTACTAGGGGGGATTGGTGCTGCAGTCTTCTTTTTGGTTCCCTTTGGTGACGACGACGATGAGGGTGTCGGGATAGTGCCCGTTCAAGTGACTCCCACCGACGCACCAGCCGTTCCAGCAGAGCCAACCTTGTCTCCCACCGACTCTGTGGTATTCCCTATTTGTCCATCGCACTTCCAAGGCAGCAACAACAATAGTAGTTCCTCCTCATCCTCCTATGTGGCCACTGGAAGCAAGAATCAAACCTATATTCTTGATTGCAGTATTGCTGGTGATGTCTCGGCCATTCAAATTGACCGCTCAACTTGTGAACCATCCTGTGCCTTTTTGTTGGAAAAGTCGGCCTATGAAGACTTGTGTGTCGACAGTTTCTTTGCGTTGGATGTTCCGGACGAATACTTTGGTGATGGTAACACATTGTTCGAGCTGGGTCACTTGGATATTGGGGCCAACGTGAGTTGTGCCAATGCCACCAATTATATCATTCCCGATCCCAGTGCTTCCCCGAGTCTGGCACCTAGTTCTGCGGCATCGGAAAACCCAACCTTGGCAGTATTGATTCCTACCGAGCCTCCGACACCGATTCCTACTGTAACGCCAACACCGCCTCCGACAGGAGTACCAACCCCCCCGCCTACTCCACAACCTACTCCTTCGCCTACTCCCGAACCAACGCCGCCACCCACGGAACCACCAGTCGATCGATTGGGCGAAGCATTGGAGCGATTCTTTCCTGGAGAATCCCTTAGCGAAACTTCGGCCGAGTACCGAGCCTTGGAGTGGGCGTCTCAGATTGATTCTCGGAATGCCGCCATCAATTCCGTCGAATTCCGGGAACGATTCACTTTGGCCAATCTGTTTTATGCCACCAATGGAGACTCATGGACCCGAAGGTCTGGATGGACTGGAGAAGGGAACCATTGCGATTGGCAGGGTGTTACTTGTAGCAATGAGCAAGTTTCATTACTGGATCTCAATGACAACAACATGAATGGACCCATAATCAAAACTTGGGACAATCTGGCTCTTATTTCACGGTTGCGAATGATGGAGAATGGTCTCGTGGGAACCGTGCCCACTGAAATGGGAAGAATGTCGAACCTTGGCCGATTGGAACTCTCCGATAACTTCCTCGACGGGGAATTTCCAACGCAGATTGGGGATCTAGCGCAGCTCACGAATTTGCAAATCCGCAACAACCTCTTCCGAGGAGAAATTCCAACACATCTGGGCCGCTTGACTCGATTGCAATCCTTTGTGGCCGAGTTCAATCAATTTTCTGGTCGAATTCCCGACGAGCTGTCTGGCATGACCAGCTTGCGGAACATTTACTTGGGCCGCAATCAATTGGCGGGACCGATTCCTGCGTCCTTTGAAAGCTTTTCCCAGCTGACCCTGCTGAGCATTTCCGAGAATCGTCTCTCGGGTTCTCTTCCAGCCGAATTGAGTCGAATGACCAACTTGCAACGCTTCTCCGCTGCGCAAAATCAGCTCTCGTCCTCCATTCCGGATGATTTTGGTGCTTGGACCGCCATGACCTACCTCAGTGTTTTTGACAACCAATTGACGGGCACAATTCCGTCTTCAATGAGCCAATGGACGAATACCGACACGATTTATTTCTATGAGACCGGTGTCACGGGATCCATGAACAGCTTTTGCAGTTCTGGCAATGTAGGTGATTCCAACTTTGAATTCTATGCTGAATGTGGTCTGGAATGCAGTTGCTGCACGCATTGTTGTACGAATCAGAATTGCGGCCAAGTTTAGATTTTGAATGTAGAAAACGGAGCAAGGGTTGATGAGAAGACAACTCGTTATTTTGTTTTTCCTACATTGCTACCCTAGTTCTGTCGCTTGCGTCAAGAGCTGTTGATAAGAAAGATGTGTAGTGCTAGTAAAAGGTTGAAAATGTCTATTATACAATATGCTTGCTCTAGTTTACAACTACTGCATTCTTTGGCAAATTGGGTCGCCACAAGGCTGAGACAAATCATATTACACCCAGAATCCATCAGTGCTAGTATCAACTGTCTTGATGATCTTTTGGACATACTTATCCCAGATATACTCTTGTGGCTCGTTGGATGTCGACGTTTGCATTGCTCTCGTCACCCTTCGCTTTTTTTGTCTCCAGGAAACAGCTTCGCTGCATTACAATCTTCGTCCGAGTCTAGGCTTGACAGAGTCGGAGTTCGTTGTGATGAGTTGGCGGTACGTTTTCGGTTGTCTTCTTTGCTTTTTTTGCTGGTGTCTGGGCCTTTTTCGCTCGTTTCCACCGACTTTTGCCGACTGTTGAATCAAGGCATCGATAGTTTTCGTCGTCTTGACAGGCATGGGATGCTGATAGTCGACCGCGGGGAAAGAACTGATCAAGGGAGCGTTGGTTGCAATACCGCTGCTGCCTGCAAAATGATCATTAGTATCATGTTGATGTCCGAGTGCGTCATTTTTGCTCGTGTTTTCATCGTCTCTTCTTCCATTACTTTCACCAATCCTAGGACGATATGTGGGGTTGCTCTTGTCAATTCTGTGTGCTCGCAAGAACGAGACTTTGCGCTAGGATCTGGTTGGGGGAGCCAAGGAGGGTATACATACGAAGAAGCTTCGGCCTCACCGTTATCAAAGATATCTTTTTTGGAACTGTGGTCAGCACTTCCTGCATCGGGATGGGAGTATTCTCCGGTCTAACTATGCCCATATGATTTGCTGCTCCTTTTCTCATCGAAGTCTCCGTTTCTACCACCATGGCAACTTCTGCAATTGAGACTTGCGTCATCAATCTGTGAACGTTTGCAGAATCTTGCCATGTTCCCTTTTGTGCCGATGAATTGTTTTAGTGGGCAATTGGGAGCCTTCTTCGGAAATGTAGTCGTAGACTGAATGACACGTTTCATTGTGCTCTTGTGCTTGGCATTGCCCCCACTTTCAAGGTTGAGTGAAGCGACAGCATGTTCTGATGGCGGGCTGCGGCCCTTGATTGAAATAGCCGAGCGTATCAATACTGTCTTCTTCTTGACACTGTCTCCGCTTCCATAATGATTGCTTGTATTATTGTGAGATCCGATAGCATGCTTGCGCAGCCGGTCCGGGGACCTCTTTGGAGACTTCGATTGGCTAATGCCTATTGATTTGGGTTTGCTACCAGCATCAGATCCACTTTTCTGCACTTGTATTCTGCTATCTCCGATAGTTTTTACTTTTCCTTGCACACCATTCGAAGAAGAAGTCGAATAGCTGCCTGTTGATTGAAATTTTTCAGCGACTCTAGGCTTCCAATAACGCTTTCGATAGTTGGAAAACCAAGTATTCAGTTGCTTGAGTTCCATGCCCGTGTCAGCCATCATTTTAGCCTTTTCTGGATCGGTTGGATAAGGATAAACAATGTGATCGGGACTTGTCATCCAATCCGTGAGGTATTCAAGGGCTTGTGCTCCTATTCTATTGGACTGGTTTGTATTCCATGCTTTTCCTTTCGCAGTGGAAACACGCTCACGTTTGCCACCACTACTTGAGGTTGCTTCGATTTCACTGGATGCGGTCTTGTAATTCTTTCTAGGATTTCCTCCATTTTCTGTACTCCATTTGGTCGGATCTGCAGCCGGTTTGGCATTTGGAAGTTTGGAATTCGTGCTAACTTTTAGACTCATTTGCTTCTCGTCCTTATCCCCATCTCCAGCATTCTTATTGTGACCTCCCATTTCATTTTCCAAGTTGATAGCACATTTGGGCGGGCGAGCCCTCTTCCGAGCGGTATGATCGCCAAGGGATGGTTCATTGCTGTCACTATTTCCTTTTTTAACAATTCGAACTGCCAAAGGAATAGACTTTCGTGGACGCCCAGGTCCTCTCATTTTAGCAGGAGTAGGATTGGAAGCCACTATCTTGCTATCAATATAAGTTTTCTCGTCATTGCCAATGGCAGTTTTTCGAGGGCACCCAATCCGCAGAGGGACTGGAGGATAGCGTCTTGCTCTTACTCCCACTCGCCTTCTTGTCATCGTTGAATGAATTTTTTCGTAGACGCCCCGGCCCCATTTTTGGAGCGACAAGAGGACTGGGAGATACTGTCTTGCCCACTGATGATTGCAACTTGTTACCGACTTGAGGCTTCCAGTAGCGCTTTCGGTTGTTGACAAACCAAGTATCTAGCTGCTTTAGTTCCATACCCGTGTCAGCCATCATCTTGGCCTTTTCCGATTTAGTAGGATAAGGATGAGCAATGTGTTCTGGAGACATCATCCAAGCCTTGAGGTAGTCAAATGCCGCCGCTTTTCCATTCGAGTCTTTTCTATCTTTGTTGGCGGCACTTTGTGGTGGCCAACCAGAGCCTCCCTTTGCAGCTACAGCAGGACTAGTAGATGCTGGTTTGCTGTCATCACCACTTCCGCTCGTCTTGTTGTCATCACTCAGTGCAATTTTTCGTGTAGGACCAGCCCTCTCTTTGAAGCGGCAACAGTTTCTGGCGGCCGACTAGGCCCTCTCTTTGAAGGTACAGAAATATGGGGAGATGATTTCTTGCTGTCAGTGCCACTCGCCTTGGCACCATCGTTGAATGCAGTTTCTCGTGGACGCCCAGGTCCTCTAGTGGAATCGACAGGAGGCTTCCAATGGCGCTTTCGAGTGTATGCAAACCAATTATCCAGTTGCTGAAAAATTCCAGTGTCAGCCACCATTTTTGTCTTTTCCGTCTTGGTAGGATAAGGGTGAGCAATGTGTTCGGGAGACATCATCCAAGCCTTGAGGTATTCAACTGCAGAAACACTGTGGCTGATGTGCAGTGACCGACCACGGCCTCGTTTTGTAGCGGCAGTAGGAGTAGTCGATGCTGTCTTACTAGCACCAGCAATCGTCTTGTTGGAGTTATTTGGATGCCCAAGCCCTCTTTTTGCAGCTACAGAAGGACTAATGGGTACTGCCTTTCCCTCACTACCAGTTGCCTTCCCATCATCGATGGCAGGTATGGAAGGACGACCGCGAGCTTTCTTTGAAGCGACAGTGGTACAGGTAGATGCTGTCTTCGTCTCACAATCACTCGTTGTCTTTTCATCATCAGTGACAGTCCTCAGTGGCCGACCACGTCCGCTCTTTGGAGCGACATAAGAGTTAGAAGATTTTGTCGTGCTGCCACTACCAGTCGTCTTTTCATTGTTGATGGCACCACCCCCTCTCTTTGGAGCGACAGGAGAGCTAGACGATGACATCTTAGTTTCAACAGCACTCATTTTGTCATCTCTCTTGTGGTTTTTTTCGGCCGACCACGTCCTCGCTTTGGAACTGCATGAGGGCTAACATATGACGTAGCAATCGTGGTCTTGTCATCATCGATTAAGGGCTGGAAGGTGATGCCTTGCTATCACCACCACTCATCTTGTCGTCATCAGCGACAACTTCTGGAGCAGTCATTCGCTTTGGAGCGGCAGTAGGACTGAGAGATGCTTCCTTTGTCTCAAAATCACCAGTAATCGTCCTGTCCTGATCGTGGATTGCAACTTTTCGTGGACGCCCACGCCCTTTCTTCTTAAGTTTAGGTGGACGACCAGGACCTCTCTTCTTCTTGGTGGGACTGACACGAAGAGGAGAATCATCATTATTCATGCTGCTGCTTTTGGACTTTTTCCGAGTCGTTCCCTTGTCGTTGCTATCAAAGGCTTCATCAAGCTGTCGTTTGAGACGAAAAGTCGACTTTGCCTTTTTGGAGTCTGTGGTAGCTCCAATCTTCAATTGACGTTGCGTTGGATGGGACTTCTTTTCTGAGACTAGAGAGTCATCCTTTTGGCTGTCATTCTTGGCATGACTCCTGAAAGCATCCTCAGCGGGAGGCATTTGTAATCGTTTGCCCTCATTCTTGCTGGACAGCTCAGAGGCTGAAGACCTAGCAGAAATTGCAGAAGAAGGAGAAATGGCTTTATCAGAAGAGGCACTTGGTTTCCTGCACTGAATCAGGCTTGTTGCTCTGAAAGCTGCTGCGGATGCATTTTCAAAATTGACAGACGGGGAACCCCTTGTTTTTTTCCCCATGGAGTGCCTTGGACATTCGATCATAAGCTTTGCCAGTGTTTGGGCAAATCCAGACAACAACATCTCGTGAAGAATTGTAAGCCGCCCGCCAATCACTGCCCAATCCCTTTTCTCGTCCTTCTTTCAAAGCTTCCATGTGTTTTCCGGCTGTGAGAGGTTGGCAGGCATTCTTGACTTGGGCATTCTTCTTTGCCTTGCGAGGAAGATGTACTTTGCTGCCAGCCATGATGCCTCGAAGCAATCGCGGTGTGGGTTGCATATTGATAATAGTCCTACCGCTGTTATGCTTCGATCGTTTCAGATTTTGATAATGATACGATGATGATGATGATGATGCGACGAGATGCTGCGATTATTTATTGAGATTATTGTGGTACTTTTTTAGAAGAAAACACATAAAAATAATAACGGATGGAAATTGGGGTCGAACGAGTCCAATTATTCTGACCAGATTGATGAAAGAAACGAAAGAAAGCGAAATAAAAAAGTTGCTCTCTCTTACCCTATTTTACCGGTACCATACTGCAGTATTATGCTCTATAGCAACAAGTGATGGCAACTTCTGTCATTTCACGAAATTTAAAATATAGGTACAGAATAGTCTTTGTATTATTTGTAGAGTCAATCAACCTGGCACATATTTGTTATTTGGCAGCTTCTTCTTGCTAGCCTACAGGTATTGATTTTGATTTTCATCAGCTTTTGGTACCACGCAAAACCCCCATTACCAATCTCAATAAATCCTTTGAGCAGAGTTGCGTCCCACAACTGCCTACACTTGTGGCATGAGTCATCAAGCAAAACTTGAATTTTTGAATTGAAAGAAGTCAGTTTTTGTATATCCCTCCTTGGAACCTTTTCACCCTCATGATCTTGGTAGCCATACTCCTAACAGGCTGTTCCAAGGAATCATCATCTATGGGCACGGTACAATCTTTTTCATTCCTATGGAATGATTCCCAAGAATATTGCTACACTTGGAATTACAACATCCGATCCACAAACACAACGGCACTCTTCTCGGTCTAGCGACTGTAGCATAATAATATCAGTGTTCCGTCCACCGTTGAGCTTCGCCTTCCACAAGGCCATCTCCAGGATCGATGGGACTGTCATATCTACATAATGTAAAAATACAGAATACGCTCCATTGTACAATACTTCTCTTTGTTCATTGTCGTATTCAGCAAGTATACCTTCTACCTTGCTTTGCATGTCCTCCACCCAGGAAGCAGTTCCCCAGCGAACGAGTGGATCAATCATCCATCTTTGCATTGTTTTTTGAAGCAAAGTTGCTGTTGATTCAGCAAGCAAAGATTCAGTATCTTCAGTCCAATTGGAGACCAGGTAGTCCAATGGTCGTTTCCCATTTGAGTCTTTGTAGTTCACAACATGGTATGGATACTTGTCGAGGAGGACTTCAAGCACTTCTTCATCTGGTTCGTTAGTCGAAAAGAAGATGTGGAATGGGGTCATTCCAAACCGGTCCACAAGCGGTGATTCCTCGCTCTTTGCTGTCTCAATACAATGACCCAGCTTTTTGGGAGAAACGGACGACCAATCGTACAACATTTTGTGAACAGGTTGGCTGTCAAACCGGCTTATCAAACCGGCGACAATTTTCTTTGCCCTTTCTCCGAAGCGACTTTGCAGTCGTGCACATCCATCGAACGATGTATTGTCGGCATTGGACCCTGTTGGAAGCACAAAGTTTGCAAGAGCTTCACAGGATTCGAAAGATTGGAACCCAATTTCGATAGGCTTTGAATCATCCAAAGGCACTATTACTACTGTCACCAAGGAAGGACATTTGTAGAATCCATAATCGCAAACACGCTCCAATGAGCTTGGTAGACTCACAGTCTGTAGTGAGCGACAATGGGCGAACCCCAGGCGAGGAATCTCCTTGATGGAAGTTGTTGATAGAGTTGCTTCTATCAAATTGTCGCAGGATTGAAAACAAGAGTCACCAATCAAGTTCACAGACGAGGGGATCTTGATTCTTTGTAGCGAGCGGCAACGTTGGAAAGCTTCCTTGAAAATTGTCTTTAGCCCATGGGGCGGCGAAGATGATGAACATGATTCTTCAAACTCAACTTTTGTCATGGCTGAGCAATCCGTAAACGCTTCTTCCCAAACAGATTCTACGGTGCCACGAATCTTGATTTCCGACAAACTTGTGCAATATTCAAAAGCCCTACGACCAATTTTGATTAATCCTTCAGGCAGCGCCACTTCTTCCAAAAAAATACACTCGTTGCACAATTCACTAGGCAAAACCTGAATACCTGGATCGAAAGTCAGCTTGTGAACCCAATTTGGTACTTTTTCTCCCGCATTGCCTCGATATCGGTACTCGTTTGCCTCCATCTTTCAAGAATCGTTTGCTTTTTGTACATTCAATAACAAGTGTGATGGTAATATAATGTCACGCTTATTGATATATATGTTGGTAGTGGTGCGTGCGCGGTGCTTCACGGAAAAATGATTTCATCGCATTTGAACCGATAGAACTATACTCTTGGATAGAAGTATGTCTACTTCGTCCGATAAGGTTGGATACCCCGCCCACCAATCTCACGAGAAAATAAATGAAAAGGAAAAAGAAGCAGCCTAAGTCTCAGTTTTAGAAAGATCGACAGTCTACTAGAGCAGGTTGTAATCAGCTTCATAATCCAAGTTCAGTGGTTGTCGCGACCAAAAAGCGGGCGGGTGGCCTGTTTACTACTCCTACTAGTAGCTGCTAGACGAAGAATCCTTCTTGTTTAAGCTGGGCAATCCAACTGTTGGCACGCTCCTCGGACAGATCGTATTGGTTGTCCTCGTCAAACATAAGCCCACAGAACTTGCCATCCTCGACCTCAGCCTTAGATTCAACATGTTCGTATCCGTCAGTGCTTGTGAAACCATAGACCTTGGCTCCGGCAGCAGTGAATTGATCATACAATTCCCCAGCAGCATCACAATAGTAGTCACTGTAAGATTGTTGATCTCCACAACCAAAGATGGCGACCCTCTTTCCTTCAAGGCCCAAGTTGGGGAGGGTGTCGTACAGCCATTCGTCCCAGGCAGTACCAGAGCGGCACTCGTCTTCACCCGTGTGCCAGGTGGGGGCACCGACAATGATACAGTCTTCACCCTTGATGGTATCTTCAGTAGCATCACCTGTCAGAGGAAAAGAAAGAGATACGTTAAACATTTTGCATTCCTCGCAAGCTGGATCTTCCGTGATCTATTGTTTGCGAAGGTAGAAGCACTCACCGATGTACTCGATTGGGACACCAGAAGCTTCTCCGAGGTACCCGGCGCACTTCTCAGTGTTTCCAGTTTGGGAGTCAAAGAAGATAGCAGCATCAAGCTTGGTACCGACACGTCCACCAGACAGGGTGGTGAATCCAGAGGCTAGAGGAGGAGCGACGAACAAAAGGACGGCAGTGATGATCTTCATGATATCTTGTGTTTTATGAAATTATGAGAAGATCCTGATCGGAAATAGTCTCCAAAAACGGAACATTTTGTTTTCAAAGCGATGGCAGTAGGTTGTTTTGTTGGATCCTACCGATCCGGCGACGTTCCCAGCTGCAGCTTGTGCCAGGCACAACTTTTGAGCTGTGAAAAAAACAATTTGGTTGATTTTCTCGTGAATGACACGTGCACGGCATGCGCTCCGCGCGTGTGCAAGGACACGAAACACACAACAAAATAAATAATTACGAAAAAATGGAAGCAGAAAAGGAAAATACTGTAGCATCAATACGCTACCTCCAGCGCAACCTTATCAGCAACGTCACCCCAGTCGTGTTGTAACAACGAGTGGGACTTGATTACGAAGCTCCAGCTCAGCCTGGATCGACAATGTTGAGAATGCCAACGATGATAATGTAAAACATTGACCCAAAAAGGACCAACAGAAAGATTGTCCCTCCGAGGACGCTTGGTTTCGCGGACATATCGAAGAGTTGGTCCCGAGTCTGAGGAAGTGGGAATGGGAGGAATATTGGACTTGTCTTTCTCACTGCTGTCAGTAACGACAATTTGAACAAACCATCGATGGGTTCCCAAGAAGCACTCAAAATGGAAGTATTCAGCACTTTAACAGCAGAATCTTTCTACGCATCTCTGGGATTCGAAAAAGTCAGAGAGACGAGCATCCCAATCCGAGACAATTGCCAGTTTCCAATAATTGTCATGCGAAGAGTAGGCATCTGATGAATATTTGGATCTAGTCTTTTGCCTAGGTTGAGGTTTATCCCCTCATGATGTATTCTTCTGTTTTGAGTCCTCTTGTTGCGACAGTGTTGCTTCGTTTCGCTCGTCAACAAGCGCTCGTTCAACGTGGTTGTGGTCCCTATGCTCTTCGGGAAATCGAACATCTAAAGCCCGCAAGAGAGTAATATCTTGCCGAAATCCATTATTTCTCGGTGAATTTTTCCAGCGTTTCTTGAACAGAACAAGCCATCCAACAAGCTTTCCATCCCTAGTGCTTTCCTCCACTATGACATCCACTTCAGCGCCCTGCCCTCGACAAATGACATTCCAACAAGTGTGGTCCAACAAGTGTGTTGTGAGAGGACCTAACAAGAATCACATCTGTCCACAAGGAAAAGGAGAGTGGTAGCAGTCCTGGAGATTTTCATGATGCTTGGCAAGCTGCCCGTGATTACCATTGGCGTCAATCGTAGAAGTACAAAGCTCAATAGGGAAGATGCAACCACTCAGCCATGGAGCCAAAAAGTGGACTGATGCAATCAGTGCAGACCTGGTTCAGGTTATGTGAGTGGCATAACAATGGGCTCAATTTGAGATATCTCTTACCCTTTGGAATTTTCTTTCCATACAATTACCTTGTATTTCAACATCCGGATCTTCGCGATCATAGCCAATGTTTTTGTCCTTGTTCAACCTGCTGAGAAATTGAACATCGATGATAGGTCCTCTTCTGTAGCGTACTCTCAAAAGTAGTAAAGACCCATTAAAAAATGCTTGATATCGGTTTTAGGTCAGTGTAGACCCAAAATGCAGCGCATGGAGAGACTCCAACAAAGTGATGCATGTAGCGGAAGACATTTGTCTTCCCCTTGACACGTTTGATATTCATTATCTCCGATGGAATGAGAATGTGTTTGATTGGCGGCTCTTCGTCCTCCATGGTATATTGTTTGATAATATACCTACCTTTGTTCCGGGACGCACCACAACGGACAGATTTTGCCGTTTTCACGAACGGTACGTGATTTTGATCTTGGTGTTTTCCAAAAAGTACGATTGTTCTCAGAAATGACTGGATTCTGTTGGGCCTAAAGTATGTTGTACGTACATACCATATGCACGTCGTACCTGGTACTTGGAAGCTTCCTTTCATACTTTGACTTCCTCGTTTGTCCGTCCCCCAAACCAATCCACTTCTGAGCCATCCCCATTATAAAAGCGTTTTATTTGCAAAAGCGGACACGAAACACACCACAAAAATACAAGTCAAAAAATAAAATAGCATTTTATCACATTAGTCCTATAATACTGTAGATGATAGATAATACGCTACCTGCAGCGCAACCTTATCATCAAAGTCAGCCCTGTCGTGTTGTAAAGACGAGTGGTACTTGACTACGAAGCTCCAGCCCAGCCTGGATCAACAATGTTGAGAATGCCAACGACGATAATGTAAAACATTGACCCAAATAGGACCAGCAGAAAGATTGTCCCTCCGAGGACGCTTGGTTTCGCGGTCATGTCAAAGAGTTGGTCCCGAGTCTGAGGAAGTAGGAATAGGAGGAATATTGGACTTGTCTTTATCACTGCTGTCAGTAACGACAACTTGAACAAACCATCCAAATTACCAGCCTCCAAGGCTTCAACACTAACATCCCAGATGGAAAGTAACACACTACTGATGGATGGTGCAAGTCTGTGGCAAGAAACTACCAACGTGAGGATGGAAAGGGAATGCAAACACCAGAATGCTGATTGTGAACTTACATCATACCAACGTTCCACATCGTCGTGTATAAGGCATACGAAGCACCCTCACTTCCTGGGGGGCAGAGATTGACAATCATGATTGATGCAGGCTGAATAACAGAACATTTCGAGAAGTGAGCGTCAGCTACGAGACAGTGTTCAGTGCCATACACTGCCTCTTACCAAGAACTGGACACCTGAAATGAATTCTTGTGCTGCATCGTCTCCCAGCGAAAACCAAAAGTTAGAGAGCCCAAACGTCTTTCCTTTGATCAGGAGAAGTTGCGTGCACGTCAAGAGACCATTGGTCAAGATACAGAATTGATACACTCGACGCCAGCTTGTTTTCAAAAAATATTCTTTGTAGGCCATAGTCCCAACGAATGTAAAGATGTAGGAAGCCACCAGTAGCCAGTTGAGTTCCTGTGCGGTAAAATCAAGTACAGTACTAAGATACTGCCTCCAAGCGGAATTTTGGACTTGGAGCAAATTGAAAAAGTATAGAAATCCAAGTGGTTGCCAAACTGCTCGAAAGCATACCGCATGCCAAATCTCGGTGAGATGTTCTTTGATGGGCTGAGACGGCCGCGCTTTGCTCTCGGAAAAGGCAAATAAAATTGGAACGATAGGAAGGGGTGTGCATGCAATCAAAAGAACAACAGAGCCTGGCCCATAGTGACTGTACATAACAGTGGAGAGAGGAGCAGCGACCATCATTCCAAAGAACCGACTAGCATAACATGTAGATTGAAGCTGCCCCTTCCTTGATTTGGGCTCGAGTCTTGCTTTCTCAGCCTGAAGGACACACAATGTTAGCATTGCAAAAAAATACGCTCATTGCACAAGTTTATTTGGACTCACGACAATCGAATCTCCCATGACATCGGCCCTTTAAATTAAATAGATACATAGAGTGTAAGAGCACCGGCATCACCGTAAAGTAAATCCCCGAAAGCACATGTTGACTCACATCCACATGCCTATACTTGAAACCAAAAAAGTGATGCTCACTAATTCTACTGATGGCGCATCCTTGGGCGGAACAGCATCCCCATATTCATTGTATGCCATTCTCAAATCTGAGTTTTGGTGTAACAAAATCATGATGAACGTTACCGAAAGCCATCCAATGAGCATATAAGACTTTCGTCGATATCCCAAAATGGGAAAGTTGTCCGACAGGAATCCAAAGATTATTTTCATGGTTGCTGGAATCATTAGGACAAGACCAATGGTTGCTTGTTGTGATTCATTGGCACCAAGATCCAGTGGATAAACATTCAAAAGTGGTCGGTTCAAGCCTTGTGTTAATCCAACGCACAAGTAACAGGCTGGAATGAGCACGTTCTCCCATCGAAAAAGCTGCAACTCTGGCGGGCACTCATCATTGCCCTTGTCGTCCTCGTTCTGTTCTGGTTCCGTTGCTGGCTGGAGTAGCTGGGTTTCATCTTGACTATGTGGGATATTGGAGTACTCTGTAAATTTTTTTGTTGCCATTTCTCTTCACGTCGTATAGCTGAAGGGTTTATTACTATGTACAATAGATGATGGGGTGTCAAGTAAAAGATTCTGCGGTCGGTATTTTTTGCTGGAATGGAGATCGATATTCATATGCGATGATCTGACGAACACTAACGAAGTTCCGCAGAAAGTAAAGTACAATACAAAAATAAGAGGAATACAATAAAACACGATACTCTTGGTATTATTATTGACAAAAGGAAGCCTTACTTAGTACCAGACATTAAAAATAAGCGCCCCCTCTATGATATATACTATATATACTATTCAACTTGTGGATACCCCAAACAGTCGCAAAGCAGCACCAACAACCGCAAATGTCAGTTTGAAACCAATAAAAGCAAGTGAATAGACGAAAAGTGCAACAGCAAGACCATGTGGCTTTGCCACCACAGTCTTGTCATTGGCATCCTCTTGACCTTTAATGGACTGAAGGCATTCCAAGGCGGTCGGCAAACCTTCTTCTTTGGATCCTTGTGGTTTTGGTTTCATGTCGCCCACAGCCCGAACGCCTAGTGTGTAACTCTTGCTGGGATCCAAGGCGGTTGGATCGCTGACGGTTAGGGCTGCCAGTGCCGCAACATCTGAGCGTGGTACCCGACCTGGTGGCGGAAGCATTCCGCTTGGATCAACCTGTAGATTCGTTTTGGAAAGATTCTTTATTGAAAGAAAAGAGTAGTGTTGATTCATGGATTAGTCAGGAAGTTGGTGATTGCAGATTGAATTATTGACAACAAGCGGGTCGGCTTCCATTCGAATTCAATTTTGTCCACAAATAGTGACTTACTCTATCCTCTTCTGCAAGTCCTCCAGGACGAATAATGACATATGGGACATTTGAATTTCTCAGATACTGCTCAAGGGCGAAATGATGTCGACTGGTCATACTCAAAACCGACGAAAAGATCATGCTCACAAGGTTGAACGGCGAAAAGCCAACGGATAGGCCGGTCAACCGGACAAATCGTCTGCACTGATATTCCGCGGCCAAATCTATGAGTAGCTTTTGCGCCCGGTAATTGGCGTAGTATGGATGCGAGGTGTCATCGCACCATTTGCTGGTATCTTGTTGAAAAAGACGCCACGGTAGGAAATCCGTCAGTTTGGAAAATCTCATGGCACCGGAAACACTGATGATCGATTGGCAACCTTGGACGGCAGTTTCAAGAGCCTTTCGGTCCGCTTTGCCTAAATCACTGACCACAAACTCCAGCATCGGACTATCACCATCATCTTTGGCTTTGGCCGACGACATCATTTCCTTCGCAAAAAGCTCGACCGCTTTGGTTTCGTTTCGGACTAGTGCACGGACCCGTAGCTTTTGATCCAAAAGAGTCCGGACTACCTTACGTCCAACCTTACCCGTGGCACCCACCACTAAAACTGGTTTCGCGGAGTATGGGTCGCTGTTGAAGCTGGACTGGTGCAACTGTGTCGATGGTGTCATCATCGATCTTCTTGTCTTGCGTGAAACATCTACGTAAAAGGCATCTGCGCTCCTAGTGATTCCCAATGCAACAAGGACTGCAGCATAGGTCAATATCGGTACATGTAGGTTCCTGTTCATAGTGCAAAGGATATGTTGTGCATCAATGGATATCTTGTTATTTCTTATTGTTTGATGTGATGATTGCGATGGCGTTCTCATCTTACGAGTATAATGAGTATGTCCCGGATTTACAGCAATCGGACTAGTCGAATCATGCACAAGAACTGAAATTTCAAAATCCATAATATGCATTCGCTTGTAAGGTACTGGTACGCATTAGAATGCACTTTGGCAACGGTATCGATAGATTATTGCTTTCTTTTAATGACTATGAGATTAGCGACGCCCATTTCTTCGATTGTTGCGTCCACCGCCACCACCGCCACCACCACGTCCACCATTTCGAGCCATGGCGTGAGGTCCTTTGCCATCCGCTCCCAACAAGGGAGGCGATCCCTCTTCTTCAATTGCGCCCTTGGCCAGACCCCACAGAATAATGCTGATTCGTCCTTTTCCATCCTGTTCATCTGGTGCCAATGCATTTACCCCATGCTTCCAGTGAATGTTGGCATCTCGTCCAAAAGAAAAGACTCCATTGTTGCTTTGAGGAAAGTAAAGGCAACACTTGGAATCTCCCTTGACTTCTTCTGACGCTCGGATAAAGGCCAATTCGCGCATGGCTCCAAAGGAAGCCCCGACTGTAATGTTCTGGTTCTTGGCTCGTTGTGGATTAAAGGCAGCCGAATCGTGATGAAAGGGTTTCCAATCTGACGAATCACGATACCAATTGAATCGAGTACCCACACTGCCCTTGGGATCAATGTTAAAGTACTCACACAAACGAGCCACGATCTTTTCATACGTTGGACATCCCTTTGGATTCTTGCTAATCAAGTGAGCACCTTCGTGCCAAGAGATCCATTTCGCGGACGATCCACCTCCACGGCCTCCCTTGCGGTTGCCATTTCGTTGGTTGTTATGGTGTTTGTTTCTGTCTTCCTTTTTGACTTTGCCGTCTTTATGTTCTGTCTCCTTGTCGATCATCTCAGACTTTTCCTCGTCCTCCTTAATCTTGCCGTTTTCAGCTGCTTCTTCTTCTTCTTCTTCTTTGGCTTGAAGGGCTCTCATTTCTTCCACTAGTTTGTAGTAAATGTCCCAGTCTTCTTCCGCACCAAAGAGCTCGGGAACAATGACCACATCATCGTGCTTCAAGGGCTTGTTATACGTTTCAATGCGAGAGGACCCAATTTGGACTCGCAAGTCAGGTCGGACCAAGGTGGAGGCGGGATCGAAGGATTCTGTGTTTCGTCTGAAAGTGTCAACATGGTATTTTATTGTAAGCAATGATTATAAATAAGAACAGCTCTCTTATGCTGAAGACAACACGAAGTATTGCACACCATACAATACCCAAAACATCAGATGAGACTTACCCAGCTCCACGAGACGACGCCTTCTTGGTGATTCGCTTCGTTGGATCTTCACCTCGGGGATCGTCATTCATTCCACCTAGTTTCTCATCAGCAGGTGTCTTGACAACCTTGTAATAAGGAAAGACGGTACGCCCGTTTTCTCGGTTGGAAGGAGAACGATTCTCGGATCCACGATCAGGACCATAGTGTCCACTATCTCTTCTATCTCGTCCACCTCTGCTTCTGTCTCGATGATTTCTCCTGTCATCATCATCATCACCGCCGCCGCCGCCGCCACCTCGTCGATTGTCATGATGATGACGATCATGGTCTCGACGACGGCCTCTATCATAGTCGCGATCATAATCTCGACGATCTCGGGAACGAGAACGTCCTCCTCTCGACGAATGATGATCACGATCTTCGTAACGGTGACCACGCTTGTTGTCGTCATCATTCTCCTTACGTCGTCCTATTCCTCCTCCACCACGACCACGCGATGATGATGGTTCCTCACCACCACCAGCAGGTGGTGGTGGTGGTGGTGGTCCACGAGAATCAGCATCTCGACGGTTCCTGTTTTCGTCTCTTAACGGTTTGGATTCATAAGAAGAAGTCATGATGTTTCTATGTTGTGTTGTGTTGTGCTTGATGTGCTGTGTTGGGTTGTGTCTTGGGGCAATCAAGGAATGAATATTACAGTAGTGTATAGTATTGCAGATAGTCCTACCAATGCCAATCGCACGACGATTGTTTTGATGATGATCGCGTCAAACATTTGTATGAAATAGGGCGGGAAAACCGCGCTCCGATCGCTCCGTACGTTGCACGTACTTCATACATACCATGGATCTACGAGGGTTTTGTACCAGCTCTTTTTTTGGCTCACACTTCAAAAGGAGCTGACAAAGTACTGTACCTTCTCGCCCGCATCTCGCAAGACAAACTTCAAACTGCATGGCTACTCTAGCTAGAGCAGAAGTGTCTGAGTCGTCGACTGTGGATACCAGATATTGAACAAAGAAGGGATCCTTGTGATGTGGTGTTCTTGCCATTGTAGTACACTAATTGTGAGCTTGTTATTTTTTATTCATATATGCAACGACACTTGTTTTTGGAGGACGAGCGTCGGCCTTTTCTTATTGTTTACTGCTGTGATTTCATGGCATAAAACACGTTGTCATACTTTCCATCCATGATGTCTAGCGCCTCACCGATGATAATCTTTGCGCACTCGTTTAGTGCGTCCGGAGAAGCGCCCATTTGTTGCCCTGTTTTTGGCTCATCGGCCATGATCATTGTCGACGACGGTGGTGTGGTGGTCGACAGGGTCGTCGAGGAAGAAGAAAATGGTTTCATGCTCCTTTCTTGAACCACTGTAATGTTGTAGGTAGCTCTGAAGGTATTGGAAGCAGTGCGTTGAGTAGTCTCCTGATCAGCGTCAATGTCTTCCATCGGCACATCATTGTTTGGTTGTGCTGTAGGACGTTGGCGGTCATCACTGGCATCATTGTTGATGTTGTAGTCACGTTCGTCGTTAGTGTCAACGTTATTGTTGCTATTGCTGCCTTTGCTTTCGTTGGAATTGGAGTTGTTATTCGGCGTTGAAGGATGCATGATGGTAGATGATGGTAGATGATGACTGCGGTGAGGAAAACCTTTGGAATGTGATCTGATCTCGATTCTGGAAAGAACTTTTTTTGGATAGAATAAAATTACACGTGTGTGTGATAAGGTCCTACCGGTTGAAATATCGTTCATCGCCACGAACACCCATGACTTAATGAAAGAACATGGTCAAATTTCCCGAAAATGTCGAGGTGACGCGAAGTAAGAGCAAAAGTGACGAGGAAAATAGAAGATATACCTTGAGGTGCTGCGTCTGCTTCTTTTAAAACAAAATCCGTCATTTTCCGGCAATCTGTTAAAATACAATGAAAATAGAGAGTGACTGATGATTCTATTTTAGGTTCGCCTCAAGTGTCGCCCCGCTTCGCCCTGCTTCGCCTATCATGCAAGAGCGCCCTGCTTCGCTTATTTGCTTTGTACCATTTCTACAATCAATCAGCAGTGAACTTTTAGACCCAATATATATTGACATTCTGCATATCGTTGGTGTAACAGTAAACAGGTATAGAGCAAAGCCTTGACCGTTTTGCTTCCGCTGGCGGAAAAAGGATGGCTGCACTTAGTACATCCAATGGTGGCTGTGCTACTAAGCACAGTTCTTTTTGACGATGAAAGACTATGCTGCCGGTGTGGTACACATTTCAAGACGAAAAAGGGTGGGAATAGAAGACTACCTTCCAGTCTCAAATCACATTGCTCTTGAGAGCGATGTACTACCTATTAGTAACTTACCGCTTTGATATAGGTATATATACAAAGACAAAGACGGCAACCACCTCCATCATGTAGATGCAATCGACCATACATTTGATGTCATATAGATGATTGAGATGCCAGTCGGGGCGTTGGCATGTTGGCATACCGTCCTCTTGAAGGTCGTACTGCATCGTTTCTACAGCTCAATGCGGCAACGCAAAAAGCAACTCTTCCGATTGAGCGCTCATCTTCCTTGAAATGTTATAATCCGAACTTGCATGGCATCCCTTTGTCTCCAACTATTTTATAATATACGGTATCTTCGTTGAAATCGCACAGAGACAGGAGGTAGGTCCTAAAATATATGAAAATAATCTATTGTTATATGATAACTTTGTTGTATGAAATCCAAATTTGACGGTTGGGCAGTCATTTGCTTGCTTGTTTGAGAGGTTACTGCCGCTGTGGCATCGTAGCATTACTAGCCAATTTGTCATCCTTTCGTCCATGGATGATGCCTAGAGCCTCATCGATGATGCTCTTGCTGTACTCGATTCGCTCCTCAGGAGAAGCGTCGTAGCGGAGTCTTTTTGGCGCAGAGGACATCATACAAAACAGGGAGGATGGTGGTGGGCGCACTAGTGGAATCATTCTCTGAGCCGTGATGTCGTTGCAAGTAGTAGGCCTGGTTGTATTTTTGTTGGTCCAACGGTCAGCACTGATAAATTCCATTGGCAAATCATGCGTCGTAGGACGCTCTTGGCGGTCATCGCTGGTACTGTTTGTCAGACGACGTTCTTCTTGGCGGTCATCACCACTGACACTGTGGTTGTCGCAATAGCTGCTGTTGTCAGCATCATTGACACTGAATTGCCCGTGGTCTTTGGAATTGCTACTGGGAGACATACCGATTGTGGTTGAGCTTACAAATGAGATTCTGTAAAGATTGTGAGAAGAATTGAATGTGAAAGCTGTGACTTTTAAAAAATATGTGAGGTTGAAGCACCACTAAGGAATGGGATTGACAGTTCTTCCGCATCTTATTTGAACAGTGAATTTGATATATATTTTATAATAACAAATCCGATCCCCTTTAAATGAGAAGGTGACGTGAAGATACAAACGCACCACAAATGACTCAATAAAACTGGTTTGCGAGAGCATTCACTTGAAGTTTGAGGTCTTGTCTTCTAAATTTTCCGGCAATCAATTATGATTTTCCAGCATGGAAATCAAATGTGACTTTTCTCTTACATTGTCATGTTCAAAGGTGCCGTCGAAGCAATGACAAGCGCACAAAGATTGAAGTTCGCAGCTCGCCCTGTAAACCAGTTTCCGGTCGTTTTCGTGATCACCTAATGAATTGATCCCATCTTCTGTTTCTCTTCTTCTTCTTCTGGCGTCATTTTCCTTCCATGAAGAGTGTGAACTTTTGGGCGCACAAGGACCCACTTCAATGGACCCGTGGTTTCCAACTTGCGCCAGCAACATTAGATCAAAAGTTGCCGGAAATTGGAAAAGAGATCGGATTGGGAACTTCAGTCTTGGTGAAATTGGTATTGCCTTCGCTTCACCTTTGAAATCTGTATGCGTTCACTGTCATGCAAAGTTCACATTTGATTTCTGTGTGGGTCCACGTGTTGGATGGCCGAAAATTACCTTGAACTTCAAGCGAATGCTCCCGCAAACATGTTCCGTGGTATCACACATATTGCACAGAAATATATCGCTTCGAAAAAGCGTTTCATCGTTGAGTGATGTGGAAATATTCACACACATTCCATCCATCTAACCTTAAATTTTCTTTGAAAAAACACTTGAAAATCTTCTCACAATATTTACGCAGAATCACACCAAGCTCATATCACAGTCACCATCAGAATCAGAATAATGTCTCCTTCAACTCCCAATAACACTCCTTCCGGGCCTACTACTACTTCTTGCAACCAAATTACGGTCCGGAGCATGCTCCCACTGGTGCGGCCACCACCGGCCTCCCTGTTTTGGATGATGTCTGCGCCAAAAAGACTCCGCTACGACGCTTCTCCTGAGGAACGAATCGAGTACACAAAGAGCATCATCGATGAGGCTCTAGACATCATCCATGGACGAAAGGATGACAAATTGGCTAGTAATGCTACGGTGCCACAGAGGCAGTAGCCGCAAGGCCGCCATCGTTTGCCCTATATCCCGTAAACAAGCAGCGCATTTTTATTGATTCTGACAACTGACTGCCAAGTCGTTCAATTTGGATTATTCAAAGTTGTAATAATAGATTATTTTCAAAGACATACCATAGCTGTACTGTGATATATTCACAAGCCGCTACTAGGAGCCCCTCCTCCGTATTCAATTACTGCTACTGCGGCTACCAATCAATTCTCACTTACAACAGAATGGATTCTGTAAAGGACAGCCTCGTGCGAAGATCAGCTGATAACGCTGTCAATGAGGTTAGCTACTGATAGATAATTAGGTAGTGATTGCTTGTTCATTTTACATGTTGATAGATTTGATAGAACTGTGTCAAGGTTTTCTAGCAGACAGCTTGTCATTTCAGTCGTTAGTTGGTGGGTTAGCATTGGATCCGAGACTATGGGATCATCAATCGCTGTGAACGTTGCCACAATGCAGTGCTTTGAAAAAATCTTATCGTTAAAATCGAGCAGAAACAGGAGGTGATATAATAAATGCAAATAATCTATCATTTTAACTTTGAAAATCCAAATTGGACGACTTGGCAGTCAGTTGTCAGAATCAATAAAAAATGGCAAATGATGGCGGCCTTGCCGCTACTGCCTCTGTGGCACCGTAGCATTACTAGCCAATTTGTCATCCTTTCCATGGATGATGTCTAGAGCCTCATCGATGATGCTCTTTGTGTACTCGATTCGCTCCTCAGGAGAAGCGTCGTAGCGGAGTCTTTTTGGCGCAGACATCATCCAAAACAGGGAGGCCGGTGGTGCTGGCCGCACCAGTGGGAGCATGCTCCGAGCCGTAATTTGGTTGCAAAAAGTAGTAGTAGGCCTGGAAGTGTTATTGAGGGTTGAAGGAGACATGATTCTGATTCTGATGGTGGTTGTGATATGAGCTTACAAATGGGATTCTGTAAAGATTGTGAGATTTTTATACTTTTTCTAAATTAGAAAATGTGAGGTGAATGAATGGAATGTGAGTGAACGATGAAATGCTTCTCGTAAGCGAAATGTGCAATATGATAACCACTGTAATATTCCGAACTCCGATCCCTTTAAATGCCAAGGTGACGTGACGATACCACGGAACCTGTTTACGGGAGCATTCACTTGTAGGTTTCCAGCCATCCTGCAAGTAATTAGGCCCACATGGAAATCAAGCGTGATATTTTGCTGACATTGAAAGGGGAAGCGAAGGCAGTGCCAATTTCACCAAGACTGAAGTTCTCAATCCGCAGCCTGAGGTCGTTTTCGTAATCACTTAGAGCGGATTGATCACATTTTCTGTCCCTCCTCTTGCGCTAATTTCCCTTCAATCAAGAGAACTTTTGCACACCCCAGTATCGTATCGCCGGGTATTACTACTATAACTTGCGTCAGCGACGTCACATCAAAAGCTGGTTGGCTTGTGTGATGTTGACCAGAACACCCACCAGAAGAACCCGGATCATCCATAGTAACAGTCAGAACATTTGGGCTACCTGGTGTACTCATCAGATTTCAAGATGAATGAATGGAGGAATAACCAACTACCAGTCTGCATCTGCGACTTGTCAATTCAATGTACAAAGACAAGGATCACAGTCGAGCGAAGGACCAACAACCCGATGGTTCATGATTCCCCGTTTTAGATGCAATAACCCCTCAATGAACGACTAAAATTACCAGCTGCTATCTAGAAGCCACCAAAGCTGTCCTTTACAGCATCTGTTCTGCCTGTTGAAAGTGAGAATTGATCGGTAGCCATAGTACACGTAATTGGAATTCATAAGAGGGCCCTAGGAGCTTGCTGTGACAATCATGGCCGCAGTGCAGCACTCTTATGTAAACCTCTTCGATAAAATCGAATAAAAACGGAATGTGTATATGCAAATAATCTATCAATTGTTTTTGTATAATCGATGCGCAGTTTTGATTCATTCAACCAAATGACTGATCGCTTGTTTACAATATAGCGGGCGAATGATGGAGGCCTTACCGCTACTGCCGCTGCGGTTTTGTAGCGTTACTAGCCAATTTGTCATCCTTTCCATGGATGATGTATAGAGCCTGATCGATGATGTTATTTGTGTACTCGATTCGCTCCTCAGAAGAAGCGTCGCGATGGAGTCTTCTTGGCGCAGACATGATCCAAATTAGAGAGGATGCTGGTGGGCGCACTAGTGGAATTATTCTCTGAGCCGTGATGTCGTTGCAAGTAGTGGGCCCGGAAGCGTTATTGGGAGTTGAAGGAGACATGATTTTGATTCCGACGATGATGATGAATATGATTGTGAGAAGAATAATCGAGTGACTTTTTTAGAAATATTTGAGGTTGAATGGATACTGTTTGTAAATATTGTTCTGTGCCGCCGTATCACTGACTGAAGCAATATATGTGCGAATAACTGTAAAATACTCCGATCCCAAGGTGACGTGATGATACCACGGACCTCTTTGCGGGAGCATTCACTCCGGCCACACCCCAGCAATTGGTTAGACCCTTTTATAAAATAGAAATCAAATGTGAACTTTGCGTGACATGAACGGACATCAAAGGACCAAATGTGAAGCGAAGGGATGCTAATTTCGCAATCCGCCCTATAGTATCCAGTTTCCGGTCGTTTTCGCAATCACTTTTATGAAGCGAACTGATCCATGTTCTGTCTCTCTTATGCCATTTACCTTCAATAATCAAGAGAAAGTGAGCTTTAGGACACTTAATAAACCCACTGTTTCCAACTTGCGTTAGCGACGTCAGCTCAAAATTTAGTTTGCTTTGCCCCTTCTGGTTTCAGTTCTGAGAACAAAACAGGCACTTTTGGTTTCAGTTCTACTAACGACAAAACAACAACAAGGGGATCCATCATAGCTATCACACACCAGTTACGACAAGTGCTGGGCGGGTTGCCTGGTGTACTCACTTCAAGACAGTCTGCACCATGGATTTACCACTTTAATGTACAAAGACAAAGTTTCAAGTTGACAAGCCTGCTATATTTCGAGAGACCGATCACAAGGTAATACCAAGAATCATAGATAGGTTCAATATAAAACTGTTTATATGGACCAGGTACAAAAATAGCCTCAACAACAGGAGTTGTGAACAAAGGACGTACATGCGCAACACGAACCCTTCGATCGTCAACATATAATATCTCAGATCCAAAACGCACATCGCAACAATCGCAAAAACAAAAGCTGTCTTTAAAAGTGTTTGGCAAACATCACATCGGCGACAAATGCAAAACTCAATAGACCCTGGATATGCCAATTATCAAGGCCTTCTTTTGGCCTCATGGTTCGGACCGCTTATTCTATGCCTTGGAATAATACCAACAGCAGATGCCTTCGTCTCATCACCTGCTTCCTCCACACTTCATCTATTATCCTCCGCCTCATCCGCCACAATTGATAATTTTCCGCTTCGAGAACAACCGTTTAGACGGCGTACTCAGTATTGCACACTGCGACAGTCTGTCGCAGACGATAATGAAGATGTCTCGAATGACGCTGTCCTAAAAGAAGAGCAAGCGGTGTCATCAGAACTCCCATCACAGGCATCGGGCTTTTGGACTGGGCCAGAATCTGCAAGGCCCCTTCACGACTCGACGTACACCCAAATATTAAGTACAGTCCTTCCGGAGCTTGGAGCGCAGCTACGACAAGAATACGATGATCACTTTGCGGACCCAAGACAGCCTGATGCCGCCCGTTTTGCCTGGGATCCATGGTTTGTCTCTGTGGGAGATACTGGAAATAGGCTCGAAGCAGCAGAAGAAAAAGAGGAAGAAGGGGAGGGTGTTGATTCCGATGAGGAAAAATTGCTGTTGGTGCCCGGAGAAGTCGATGCAGGCAAGAAGCAAACTCAATATTCCTTGAAACGCATTCAGACATCCCAATTCTTTTCTTCCGATTCCTACGACCTTCTCGTCGACGAGCTAATGGTAGTCGGTCGATCCGTTGGCTTGCATGCAATAACACCTCCATGGACTTCCATGTACACGGACGGTGATCAACAGAACTGGCACACGGATGCTCCGCACGGACCACTTGCCTTTGTTTTGTCAGTTTGCGCCGACGAAGGAGACTTTGAAGGCGGCGAAACCATGCTGTTGCAGCCACAAATACTCGATTTTTGGAAGGGATTCGACTCATCCAATGGGTTGGAATGTGGAAATATTGTACGGTAGGTTGAAAACATGTTTGTTGATAGTACAGTCCTCTCGTCCATGCGCATTGTATCTGACGGCACACGCACACACCGCTCTATGTCGCCGTGATTGATTCCATCACAGACACATTCCTCCATTTCCGTTGGGACGATGCATCGCATTTGATCCTCGAGTCCCTCATGGAGTCAATCGAGTGACTGGGAATGGACCAAATCCCAAACGGGCCCGAGTGGTTGTTCATGGCTGGTTCAATGAGCCACAAACAACTTGGTTTGGAGCCTGGAATGACAATGTGGATGACAGTAGTGATGCAGAAGACGAGGAAATCCCAGAAGATGCCGCAATCTTGCTCGATCAAGTCCTTCAGCCCCTAGTCTCGACACTAGCATCCGGAGAAATTGGACGTGTGGTCGGGTACTTGGCAGTGCGAATGGACGTGACACCCGAGGGTTCCGTGGAAGATGTCAGTGCGGTCTGTGATACCCTCCGAGCGGATCCAGAGGACTTCCGTGGAGTCATTGGATACGATGAAGCCGACCGACCAGTCATGGAAGATGCCGTTGCGGATGTTCGGCTTTCCATCTTTGAAACCTTGAAAGATCTGTACTTTGGACCAGCGAAAGGTGAACGAGCAGTGATTGTTCCTTTTGATTTTGAATAAGACCTGAACCAGCCACATAGTTAACGAAGGGAAAGGGATTTGGTACTAGTGCTAGATTAAAATTATGATTAGTGCCAGCCAGTCTGAAGTTGTAGCAATGTTGTGCTGTACTTAGGTACCGGTATGCGATGATGGGGCCTGTACCATTGTGATCGAAGTGGTCAAGTTGGAGTGACGTGGCTCGAAGGAATCATCAATCAAAACGACAAAGAAAATGTGATGACGACGAGATCCCCACAGTCCAAACTTCCCTTGTCAAAACCAACCATTCGATCATGAAGTACCCACACTGTCTTTTCTTGCTGGCAGCTGCCTTTTTGTGCTCTGCTGATGCCTTTACCCAATCCTTCAGCCACTGCCGGGGACGACACACCACTAGCATTGTTACGACCAGTAGCATGTTCCTGAGCGACATTCCATCGGATGTGGATGATTCCATGGAAGAAGAACCCGCCGTATCAACAACAGAAATCGAAGGCGACGTTGTCACTGTGGAGAGTGAAGATGTTGAAACCGATTGGGGAACTTTGGTCTCTGATGTTCTTGACTTGATTCCATCCACTCTAGGAGAAGTCTCGGAGACTGCCCGTGCCGAAATCAACGAAGTTTTGTACAAGTTGGAAGCATTGAATCCAACCGACGAACCAGCAAAATCTTCTCTATTGAATGGCGAGTGGGAATTGAAGTATTCTGGCGGATATGTCAGTGAGGGAGCTCTCGCTTCACCAACCAGGCAGATTGCTTTGTTCCTGTACTCGGGCGGCTACAGGTACGTTTCTTCGTGTGGAAAAGTTGGAACCTTCCACGGTTCAATCAGCCAATCTGCCCAATTCTAACTTGACTCCTCTTCTATGTTTCTGTCTATCTATAGTCCCGGTATCTTTGCCCTTTCCTTGGCCCGCAAACTTCCAGCTGGCCTCGTATCGGTTGGTGATTTGAAGATCAACATTTTTGACCAACAACCACGAGTACAAGCGTCCGTCGACTTGAGTCTTCCATTTGCTGGTGAATCATCAGTTCAAGTAAAGGCTGCACTAAAGACAGAATCCGATATCCGGCTACGGGAAACCTACGAGAGTGCTGAAGTTATGGTACGTGGTAACTACATGTAGAGTTTGGATACTACTGGAATGCCAACAAAGGATGGGATCCGACTCTCTTCGTATATGACAAAACGTATCGTACACGCAGAACTTACACTTTCTTGTCCTCCTATATCCACCTTTTATCTACCCACTATCTATATAGGGCAACACCATTGAGATTCCCGAAATGCTACAATACTCTCGAGAACTCTACGTCACCTACCTCGACGAAGACCTTTTGGTGGTTCGAGATGGAAGTGGTATTCCAGAACTGTTGGTTCGACCAAACAAGGTTTCGACCATGTAGTCAATCAATGAATCAACTGATTGCTATTGCAGGTGACCGGGCGTGTACGAAACATTTGTATCAAAGACACACTCAAGTCACTGCCTCCAAATATCACCAAAAAATCGATATGGTTCTCATCATTGTGATCCATGATGAGGCCAAGGATACCTAATAGATAGTTAGTGTGCTGCATTGATAGACTCAATTCCTTTATTCGTGCTAAGTAATTTGTTTCTAGTAGCTATAGCTCAAGCAGTTGCAAATGGCTCGACATGTACTCTTGTGACAGAATACTGCTTATCACGGCTGAGCAGGATATCTCCCAGAGGATGATTCATTCGCCAGAGATTTTACCATTGAGCTTGGCATGGGTGGGTGCAAAAGCCAACCTTTGGTGCTTTCGGCGGAGCGATACTACAGAATTTAAGTGGAGAAGTGTAATGCTTTGAAAAAGTAATGATCAAGAATGTTTTGGGATAGTTTACAGTATAATTTTATAATAGTAACAGTGTAGTGTACAGTATGAAAAATGGTGCACCAGGCATTTCGCTTGACTTCTGTGCGTTTGTTTTCATTTGTGTCTCGTCACAAATGATTGTGTACTTCAATCGTGATCCGTCTGTGGACGATCTCTTCTCAAAAATCCGGAAGCAAGAGACCCGATGGTACTTGTCGTGGCGGTGATGATGATCCAGCGATAGTAACAGACGGACCATAGTTGGTTCTCTGATTTATTCTGGAAGATCCACCGTAAAAGTCATCCTCTTCGTTGAACATCAAGGAAGGTGAGGAAGTTGCCGATCCAGGAAATTGATGTGTCACGGCAGTTGGAGACAATGTGAAATCAGCGGACGCTGTTGGTGTGTCTTGAGAAGAAGGTCTTTGGATTCTTGGTCGAGAGGAGGAGCTCATTGTGAATAGTAGGTACAGTACAGTATAGTAGAGTGAGTGTAATTTAAGTGATTCGATGGAGAGTCTGAATGGTTTGTGTGGGAAAGACTTCAAGGGGTTTGAGAAAAGACCACAATGCAACATCGGATGCGGACAATCCAACGGAAGTGGCTTCCTCGATTGACTGGTCTTTCGAAACGTTTAGCTCTTCAACAGATATCTTAACGGTTCACACTTCCTCAACAGACATTTTCAAGTTGAACGGATACTGTTGACCGGACGCGGTCATTTGTGCCCTGCAGGTGTATGTGCCATTCACCGTCCTTCCTTCATCCCCGTACAGGCGAAGATCGAATGACAGAGAAAGAAAAAAATCAGATGTCAGATGTTCTGCAATACCTATTGAATACTCTCTGACAACGTACAGTATCATCCTCTATCATCACTCCAATGCACCAACAATGCATATCACCATTGTAAAGAGGATATTCCTCATCACAAGCTTACTGTTTCTTACGCTTTGTCACAATGGCGCTGCTGCAAGAACTCAAAGCAATCCTTACAAAATCCTTGGCGTCGCGGCATCTTCCAACCAAGATGAAATCCAAAAGCAATATCGAAAGAAATGCCTTCAGTATCATCCCGATAAGAACGTGAACAAGAGCAAGAAGGAACGGGACAAGTGCGAAGAAATGTTCAAGACCATTCAAAGCGCCTATAATTTGATTGGATCACCGGAAGCCAAACGGAAATATGACATGTTTGGGGATCGCGGGACACCATTTGCATCAGCATCCTCAGCGCAATCAGCACAGTCCTATGCTTCGAGCAATGGCTACACTTCATCGGCTCCCTATGGAACAGATCCAGTGGCACAGGCATTCTTTCGAGCCTTTCAGTCGGCTGGTGCTGGTGGACCTAAATTCTATTACTCCAATGGTCGCTTTGGAATGCAATCTCCCTTTCAAGACAACGCTAATAGTGCCTTTTCCACTGCTACACAGGCGGGCATGTCTTTCAAGTCCATTTACAAACAACAAATCAAAATTCCATTGGAAGACTTGTACGAAGGCGTCAATAACTTTCAATTCAAACTAGTGGATAATCTGTGGACCCGAGTCCGGGCGGCGATTCGAGGAAAAGTCATGCTCATCAGTTTCTACCAAGGATTGATCTACTCGCTCCCCATTCTACGAGCCTCCAGATTCTTGGCATTTTGCGCCTGGCTCGTCATTGTCCATGCAACCCTGCCCAAACCAGACCCATCCAAAGTCTATCAATCCGATTTGAGACCAGGTCTCAAAGGCGGGGAAGCCCGGGTCAAGTTTGCATCCACCAGTTTCATGACGCCCGAAATCATTTTTGAGATTCACGAACGACCGCACAAGCAGTACACACGTATTGACAATGATTTGCACACACAGCTCACAATCACTCCAGCCGAGGCCAAAAAGGGTTGCCTCAAAAAGATTTCCTCCATTGACGGAAAGTCTACCATTGAAGTGGAAATCAAACCCAACAAGATGGAAGATGGTGAAGAGATTCGCATTGTGGGCAAGGGCTGGCCCATCAAGAATCATTCTAATAATTCTCAAAATAGTAATAGGGGTGATGATGGCTACTTGTACGGAGACATGGTCGTCAAAGTACTGGTCCGAAAACGAGCCAGGCGAAAAAAGAAGTACCCACAATCGAAGCATCAACAAAAGGACTAAGCTGCCACACAACTCTAGCATGGAAGTTTGGAAAGCGATTGCAGTGGTAATTACTACGAATAATTGGTGATTTTGAGGCTTTCGCCTGACTATCCAGTTGCTGGACTCTTTGGAGGCACACTTATACTGTAGCTCAATGGACAAAGATGAATGGAAATGTAATGAAACGAAACATCGATTCAGGAGGAAGATGATTCCAGCGTATGAAAAGCCGATATGGTTGTCTTTTGCACGTACATAATGGAAACTTGAGGACGGGATCAAATGGCATCTAGCTGTATTTTAATGACGCTTCCTGCGGTAGGGGGGTGATTCAAAGGCTTCAGATGAAGTGAGTACTAGCATGTGCCTCGATATCACCCCGACCACTAGCACAGTATAGTTTCGGGTTTTGCGCACACACGATTGGTTGCTAGTTGCTGGAAGATCGTCTTCACGTTGGAAGAGTAATCTCGCTTGGCGGGAACATCTTCATGATTGCGGTTTGCACGCGAACCATATCATACCACTACCAGTTCTTCGCATCGCATCAGGGGATACGTGGAAATGACTACTGTTGCTTTTGAATGATGTCACATTCCCTACTGTAGTTCTTTTCAAAATGTGATGCCACAAAACTGTGCTGTTTGCGCGAACCACCAATGGTTGATTGTGGTTTGCACGCGAACCATCATACCACTACCAGGATCAAGGCATGAGAGTAGTTTTGTTACGCAAGTTCCATGGTACCGGTATCTACAAAAACCAACCGCAAACATGGATGTTTCTTCCGAACTTCCATTTCAAACAGTCGCGCCGAGATTGAAAACAATAAATCCCATGCCCGTGAGCGCTCCGTTCATGTTCACGGTCAATTCACTATTACATAGATTTGAAAAATGAAAAATTATGTGAGCCAAAGGGTTTTGCTTGTGCGGTCAATCTTGATCGAAAAACCTCTAGTGTTTTGTAGCCGTAGTTCGCTTCTGATCGGGATCATTAAAGGAGTAGTTGCGTTTACAGCGCGTTCCGGTTCACGGTGGATGTATTATCTTCCGTTCCGTTGAAAGACCGCAGGACATTTGCGTTGGAACGCCGTTTCGCAAAGTATCTGGATCATCCGCGACATCATCAGTTCAATGCCATGCATATTGATCAATTCATCGAATGTCCCTTCAGTGGAGAAATGGGAACTTAAAACCTTCGCCTATTTGAAATTTATGCGAGATGATGTTCGAGCTCAAATATGGCTAGGGTGAAGAACCGGAGATTTATGTTGCGAAACGCGACATTTTTACACTCGGTGGTTCTTCATGCGATTGAGTCAGTCTCTAATTGTAAAATCCTAGGAGTATTGAAAAATAGCATGAGCCTGGCTGGAAAATACAAAGTGATTCAGTGGCTCTGTGAAAAGCTGATTACGCATTCACTCTCAGGCTCATGGTCACACTACGACCACGGCAACGATCGCTTCGATACAGCGACATATTTACAAATTTACTAATCGTTCACATGGAAAACACTGATCAAACAAATGGAAGAGTCTGCTGCTGATGGAAACAAGGAGGCGACAAAGTCGTCCTCTGATGTCAGCGATCAGCCAACGCCGGTGCAGCGGACTGCAAACGATATACTCTGTGGCCGCGGGGTCCCAATTCTGAACTATCACGGAAATATACGGCTTCATAATATCATTGATTCTTACAGAGGCAGCTATCTTAAGTCAGACCGCAAGGAAAAACCCGTTTTGGTGCGGCAGATCGTGAGGGAAATAAAGGCCGGAGGAGCAAGATTCCTGAAGCGGTCCTCAGGTAACGATTCCGACTCCTGGGTTGAGGTCAGCGATAGCTACGCCCACGAAAAGGTTAGTCATGCTCTTCGCTGTAAGAAAGCAGCTGCCAAATCAGGATCAACTTCGACGTCGGCTTCAGCAATCAAGGCATCTCTCGCGGGCCCATCAAGCGGCGGGGCGCAAGTGCAACAACCACAAGAAGCCCCACCAAATATCTTTCAGACAATGCAATTGAGTTCAGCATTTCCGTCCTTACGTGGATCCTTCCAGCAACCATTTCAGCAATCACAGCTACAGTATCGACAGAATCCGTTCGCATACGCCCTGCCTCCTTCTCTCCTTGCAATTGATCCGTCGATAGAGAGAACAAACGCGCTATCGAGGCTAACTTCTCCGCGATTGGAGCTGGCATCACAAATGGAAGCAGCCCGGAATCCTTTTGCGTATCTGAACTCGAATATGAATTCCAATGTGCCTTCTTTTGGGTATGAGAACATCTTTCCACCAAATCCGGCACTCGCTGGTTTGACTCGGTCGACAGTTGATTCTCTTAGCACTTCCATCAGACAACAAAGAGAGCTTTTACAGCGCCAAATGCTTTTCGCACAGGCCCTACCTTCTACAGCTCAAACATCAGCTAATACTCCGAACGAGCAAATGCAAGCTCTTCAGAGGCTTCGCCAGGCGCACGCATTGGGTCAAAATCCTATTGTTCCGACTCAACAAGGTCTTGTGCACACCATCTCAAGAAAAGATACGACAGCAGATGGATCTCCAGGGAAAGACAAGGTGAAGGGAGCTAAATAGAATAGAAGCATACCCTTTGTGTTTTAATTAATGTAAGGTATCCATTACTTTTATGTCAGTCTGAAGTACTCGGAAAAGTACTGTATCGGTAGGTTAGGGTTAGGCAATTGCATTGAAAAAAATGCGCGAAACGACGACTCGCGACTAACAACGAGACGCAAGCTGCCGTGTAACAGCACACACGACTAACAATACAACATTAAAATACCGCGTTAAGTAACAATCCTTTTACTAAGGTAATGTACGCATCTTCTGTGGGATACGTCATTCTGATCAGAGACTCTTCCAGAGAAAAAGAAAGTAGGTCGCGACATCGACTTCAGAGCCGCAGGACAACAGGTGCAGCACGATTTGGTCTTATTCGTCACACAACAGGTCCACGGCTGCATAGTCAAAAGGTCAACACCCCCTTTCCGATTCGATGGATCTCACAACCTCTCGCCTGGCCAGCGAACTATAACCTATCATGAAGCATCATTGCTTCGCAGCTCTCCTTCAAAGGGGTAGAATGCCGTGTAACAGCACACACGACTAACAATACAACATTAAAATACCGCGTTAAGGTCGTGGTAACAATCCTTTTACTAAGGTAATGTACGCATCTTCTGTGGGATACGTCACAAGCAATGAGTTGCCACCGTTTTCTGGCTACAATATGGTGTTCGCCACCACGCGAACTCCGTGTGTTCCGCAAGTAAGCGCTTAAATAAGAAACGTGGACGGAAGAGCTTTAATCGAAATGGGGGGAGCGATCAGTGGCGGATACGATGCATGCGGGCGAGATTATTACCACAGTTCGTACTGGTACGGCAAATGAAACTTGACTTTGATCACTTCCACAATTGAAATTGGCGTTTTGTGCTCCAGTACGGTACGTACCAGGTACCTGGTACTCGTAGACGATCCTTATTCCATGAATGCAAGCAGATTCTGGGGGAAGATTGTCATTGTGACCGGAGGAGGGAGCGGAATTGGCGCTCGTCTGGCAAAAGCGTTTGATCAAGAAGGCGCCGTGGTAGCAGTATGCGATATTCGGAAAGATATAGCAGATGATGTTGCAACGAATCAACTACGAAATCCACTACGCCCAAAAACAGGTTATCATGTAGATGTGACAAATGCAGAACAAGTTCGGTACATGATTCAAGACATCCTTGAGAAATATGGAACGATTGACATTTACTGCAGTAACGCTGGAATCATTCAACCATATGATGAACCAAAAGAGGGCGAGTCCGGCATCACGAGGTATTCTGAAGCAAAATGGAAGCGTTTGATTGAGGTGAATGCGTTAAGTCACTTGATCGCAGTCCAGGAACTTTTGAAAAATTGGAATCAGGGAAGGCCAGGCTCAAAACCAAGTTTCATCATGACAGCTTCAGCGGCTGGACTACTGACCCAAATTGGCGATGCCAGTTATGGAGTGTCCAAGGCGGCAGCTGTATCTTTTGCAGAGCACTTGGCAATCGAACACAGTGATAGACTACGAGTATTGTGCATTTGCCCTCAAGCGGTAGACACGTCATTCGGAGAAGGGATGGTTCAGAAAACAAACAACTCTGCCAAGAAAGATGGTGTCATTAGTCCATCGATAGTCGCGGCTTGTACGTTGGATGCACTTTCCTCGCAGGTCGAAACAGATCCGTCGCTATTCATCTTTCCGCATCCTGAAGTCGCTACATATGTCAAGCGAAAAGGAGTCGATCACACGCGATGGCTCAAAGGAATGATCAGATTCAAGAAGAAACAGGAACAACAGATGATGAAATCAAAATTATGATTTATATATATAACTAGTTCTCAACTCAAAGTCTTATTTCTTTCCGGTTCTATTTCGCAGCTTCTTGAAGATCGTCTTCATGCCACCTTTTTTCCCTTCAGTGTCTAAGCTATCCCGAAGACTCTCAGTGTCCCTGGACCCAGTGCTGTATTCGGAGAAATCGACACTAATGTCTCTGCTGTTATGCCTTTCTGGTGCTGGAACAACTTCCGCCTGGACTGCGTGCTTTTTCATAATCTGAAAAATCTGTTGTTCCAATCTCTCTTGGTCATTCATAACGTCGTTCACAATCTCCATAGCACTTGGAAGGGGAGTAGAAGTGGCCATGATTGGCGGAAGCGTAATATCCCGTTCCACAACTGCTGATTGTGCAATAGGGGACGCTGGTACTCCTTCTTCGGCAGAGTAGGTTGAGGTTACATCGTGCTCATTATCTCCGTCACTTCCACTTGTATTTCCTCGCACAGCATATGCTCCTGGTTCAACAATAGAAATTGAATTAGACGGATCAGGTCGGCGACTCTCTTGGTGTGAACGCCTGTCATGGTTGGAATGCCGTTCCGCCACTACGCTTTCATGCACACATGGAGCGCTTGGGTTTTCATGTGCACCAGATGGGATGATGGTTTGCAGAGCGTTTCTAGCTGGGGCCCTCAGTGAAAAATTCGAATCGGATAATCGATTTCCGGCCCCCTTCTTTCCTTCCTGCATGGGATCGGACCTTCTGGATTCTGTTCTTAGTGTAAGCCCAGGAGGATCGTAAGATGTGGTCGAGTGGACAGAACTAGTGATTGGATCGTCACCAGGATCTATAGCAGTTCGTCTGGCAACACTAGAACCCACTGACTGGTCATCGCCAGGATCCGCGGCTGCTCGTCTCGCGACACTAGATCTCACTGACTGAATACTCATAGGCGTGCTGTCACCAGGAACTTGAATACCATAGCTCTTCTCAGCCTCCTCTTCTGTTCGCAGCTTTGCCTTTATCTCTTCTAGGCGATTGTACAGCGTCTCTGCCGAGTCAAAATCATGTTCATCAATTGCTTGTTGCAAGGATGCGTCCAGACTCATGATCCTACTTCGAAAATCCTCGGCCGATGGTACCATACTCCGCATTTCCTTCAGACGGTGGATTTCTGGTTTGAGTTCTCTCGCCTTGGAGAAGTTTCGAGATGCGACAACATTGTTCAATTCCTCTTCCATTTTTATGATCTGTGCTTCCAGCAAAGCCCGACTTTCTGGAATGTCAGTATCACCAAAACTGTTCCGTTCAGCTTCAATAGATGCAATGGTACGCTTTAGTTCTTTGTACAAATTTTCTGCTTGGAGAAAGTCTTTGTTCTTTGCAAGTTCAATTTCAAATTCCAATTCTTCCCTTCGGTTTTCCAACCAAATCAGAGTTGGGAGTTGCTCCTTGATCCGTTCCAGCTGTTCTTGTTTATGTTGCAATTCCAGAGCTTTTGCAAATTTGCGTTCGTTCTTGGCAGTCTCAATCTCGGTCAGTAGTTGTTTCTGCCTTCGTTCCAAGCTTGCTCTTGAATAGGTTTCACGTCGTCGTTCCAATTCATTCAGCATTCCTCGACACATTTCGATATACTGTTTATTGCATTGTCGTTCATAGATATCTCTTCTCTTTTCAATTTCTTCAATCTTGCAATCCAATTGCAACAACTTCTCCAAGGTAAGATCGTTGTCATCCTTGTTGGCACTCAAGAGTAACAGGTCTTGAAATTGCTGTCGGGTAAAAGTCTTGGCCACATTCACAGTGCGCCGAGGATCGCCGCCACCCACCATATCCCAGAGCATTTGTTGTCGTGGTGTGACAGTATTCATATTATTATTAGCATCCATGTTAGTTTCCGAAGATGGAATAAGGACCTCGCAGAGTTGCCGAGACGTTTCAATCCCATAATACTTTTCCTTCAAGAGTCCTTCGGGACACAATCTTGAAAAGAGACGGGCCGACCATTCAAAGCTCAAGGGTTCGACCGAGTAGCATTGATGTTCCATCTTCAAATTGCTAGTCTGGATTCCATCTTCGTCATTGTAAATGACAATGACCTTGACATGCCGGGTGGCATTGATGAATTCGTCAATAAAAATGCCCAACTTTTGTAGCGCATCCTGGTTTGAAATATGTTTGGCATCTACCACCAACAGAGTCTTTCGATGTTGAAATGTCTCGACCAGCTGAAGAATTGGCTCCCAAGCTTCTTCCAAGAATTTATTTGGACTTGGTTCTGGTGATCTGTGAATCAAATCCAAAAGAGGTTGCAAATGTTCTTCGGTACGATGAGACAGTCTGGCTTGAGAGGTATCGATCCATTGAATGTCTGTAAAGTCCATCATGTTCAATCGATAATGGACGTATTGGCAAACCGCCTTGACCAAGGCCGTCTTGCCCATTCCCGAGGGCCCATGAACACAGACCGTCCTTGCGTGCTGGAGCAATTTCAAAATGCGGTACTGATCAATGGTCCGTCCAATGAATATTTTGGGTGGAGGTGGAAATCCTTCTGCCCCTCCGACAACCGCACGACGTTGGGAGACATTAATGTTTCGTTGAAAGAATACCGAAACATTGTGATTGTTGACATTCTGTTTGTTATTGTTATTGCCACCACCACCACGACCACCTGTCCCCAAGAGACGATATTTTTCCACTTCTTCTCGTCGATATTCTTCTGGAATCTTGGGATTGGCCAAGGTTGCCTCCTTGGCAATATCAAAGGACTCTTGCACAGTCTTTTTGCGAGCCAAATTGCGATAAAATGTCTTTTCGAAGAGTGCTGGATATAAGGAGCGACGAAATGAGCATAGAGAGTGAGGTGGTATCCACATAATATACAGCATCCAAAAATTCAACATATCGTAATATGCATCACACACCCATACATAACAATTAGTATTATACTCACCAGACACTCCCGCTCGCAACTTTGCATTCTCCTTGCAACATACCACATGCGGAACTCCCGCATCCACAAAGGCTTGTCCAATCGACTGCGAATTGCAGGCCGATACAAAGACAAATTGCAACTCCCGTCCACCCAATTGAATCCACCGTTGCAAATTATCATTGGCCAGTGGTGCCAAACCACCCCAATCGTCTTCCAAAAACAAAAATCCGGCATCCCCATGACAGGAGAAATGCAAGATCCGTCCCTTGTCTTCCGCCAAGAATTTTCCCAGGGCATCGTGGGTGGCAATTTGGAATTCCACCGCCACATTCGACCGTTTGAAAATCGAGGCCAATTGGGTCCGTTCTTCTTGCAAATCCAGCAAGTCACCGATGGGAGACAAATTGCCATTGGCATTCATACCGGCCAAGGGTGCCGCCTGAAAGATGGTCAATAAATCGGATTTGGTGACCCATTCATTGTTAGTATTATTGTTAGCAATAGTATTGTTCCGACCGTTGTTACTGCCGCCGGGAAAGATGGAAGAGGCATCTGTTACCACGGTATTGCCGTCGGAATCATAATTGAAGGAATATTCTTCATCTTCCAATATGGTGCCTTGGGGTGTCGCAGTGCGATGATGACTGCCATTGCCCATTCGTTGATGGCCACTAAAGTTCATAGTATTGTATGACTATCTGTGGTTGGCCCTGTCTATACTATGGTATATAGTAGGTCTTCTGTTGAAACAATCAAGAATAGGATGGAATGATATTATTTTCTTGGATCTTGTGGAGCGCAGGCTTGCTTCAATTGACTTTACGATCTTGATTGATTCCCACTTCTGTCTGACACAGTCTTGACTTGGAACAGTAGGAACAGTGACAAGTGTTCTAATAAGATGATACGCAGACGTGCCTAATCTCGTTTTTATTATTCTTGATTCATCCCTGATGCCGCGCTTTATTGCGCCTGCTGATGACGAGAGAAGTTTGGTGCGATTTATTTGGGAAGTGACTAAAACCGTACTTTGTTCCCCCACTCTTCTGTTCTCCAAATATAGTGACTGACTACTGACTACTACAGTAGTACTGGCTGATTGATTTAGATTGATTGATTCATTCATTCATTCACCAAAAGCCTCGGCTTTGCAACATGCATATAGTATGGTATTGTTCAATACCATACTTGGAGTCACTAGATTAGAAGATGCAGAATGGAAGCGTCCATTCCTGTGCTGTTGTACGATAGTACTACTGTATAGTCATATGCATGACATCATTGCCAATCTGAAATCGGCAAGTGTCCGACATCACATGACTGAAACGAACCGTCCGATGCGATGCAGAAAGGATGACTGACTGACTGACTCATACGACCATAAAGAACGTGGCCTCCTTTTGTCATTCACGTAGACGAACCAACCAATGGCTACGCACGGAATAAATTGAACGGCATTTCTGTACCACGGTTGTTGGTAGCGGCTGTACCGGTACCGGTACCGGTATGCAGTCCGTCCTCTGCATTGGCGAGCGGCTGGAACAATGACCGCCGTGTGAAAATCTTCAAGCGCAGCAGCATTGGCAAGTACAAGGCCATCATCATCACACAAGCAACAAAAGTTATTACAGCATTCTAATCTCACTACATTATACGTAGCGTTGGATTCAGAATACCTTCTTTGATTCCTTGATTGCTAGTACTGTAGATTCAAGAGAATCAGTCGCAGCGCAGTCCTTGCTTTGTCATTCCGTTCCATCAAATCAAATCAATTTCAATTTCAAATCAATTTCAATTTCAAAATGCAGCGAAACAACATTCTTTTCCTAGTGCTTCTCGTGCTCTACAGCGGAGTCATCTCAGTCTCTGCTGCAGATGCCGCTGCTGCCACCACCAAACCACTCGTAAAGCGTGTCAAGACGGTCGGTCCGGATCGTAAAAAGTACAAGGAACTCCAGGCAGACATGAAGTCTCAAGCCAGTGCTGCTGCCGTTCGCGTTGCGGCGGAGGCCGTCGACCCCAAGGCTATTCGTCGGGAACGCGAAAGGTCTCACCGCCGAGAGAAGGTCAAGGAACGCCGAGTGGCCTTTGAAAAGGCTCGCCGCAAACCGCGCACGATTCTCGTCAACAAGGACCAAATTGATACCAAAACTCTGACCAAAATCAATAATCAAAAGCGTCTCAACACGAAGGAAAAGAAGCAAATTGAAAACATTGAACTCAAGACCTACCGCGATCTGCGAAAGCAGGGCGTGGACGAGGTTTCCAATACCAAACAATCCAAGATGCTCCGGGAATACCGTCTCCGCAACAAGAAGAGACGCGGGGTCTTTCGCAAAAAGGAATCCAGCATGGCCCAAATTTTGTTTCCGGGTGTCTCTCCGGAAGATTACATGCGCGATGAAAAGGTCTGGATCTACACGGATCTCGTCGAATCCAGACTCACACCCGTTCCTTTTGATGTCTATGATCTTCCAGGATACTTTGAAGAAGTGGAAACTCGTTGGCTCAAGAAGCAACGTCTAAGACGCAACCTGGGCAGTCGTCTGCTAGGACATGACCTCAAGCCTGCTCCCTTTGATCTTCAAGTCGAAAAGGACATGCCCTGTACTGTCTTTGGAAAGTCCTACATTGGATCCAAGGAACTCCAATGGCTCCGACAGCTTGTGGAACGCCAATACCGAGTTCACTTGCAATTGGATTCTCTTCCAGTCCTTCTCAAGAGTCATGACCTCAACTTTGCTCTCCGTGGATATCCCATTGGATTCAAGCTCCCGGATGACAAGAAGATTTACCTCTACAATCACTTCAAGTTCACCATTACTTACCACGAAGACCCCAGCACCTTTCAAGGCGTTCGCATTACCGGATTCGAGGTCCATCCCGTCAGTGTCATGCACGATGCCATGGGAGAATCGTGTTCGGGATACAATGTCGAGAACCAATCCGACCGATCTACCTTTGTCTCGCTCGAAAAGGAACTCGGAAAGACTCCCGTCCTCTTTTCCTACGATGTCAAGTGGGTCCCCAACGAAGACATTGAATGGTCGGACCGTTGGGACGTCTACTTGGTGGGATCCCCAGATGATGAAATTCATTATTACTCGATTGTCAACTCGCTCATGATTGTCGTGGTCATGACTGCGGCCATTGCCTCCATCATGGTCCGCACCTTGCGCAATGACATTGCGGGATACAATGAAATTGTGGATTTGGAAGAAGGCGATGACGAAACTGGATGGAAGTTGGTCCACGGAGATGTCTTTCGTGCTCCGGCCTTTTCTCCCATGGCACTTTCCATTTTGGTGGGAACGGGTGTTCAAATTGGAGTGGCTGGCTTTTTGGCTGTCATTCTAAGTGTCATTCATGTTACCAATGCCATGAACAAGGGGCAAATGCTGACATCCTTGATTCTCCTATACGTCTTTTGCGGATCCATTGCAGGATACGTTTCCTCTCGGGTTTACACGCTGGCCAAGGGAACTGCCTGGAAGCTCAATACCTTTTTGACTGCCACGGCTCTTCCAGGATTCTGTGTGGTCATGTTTTCGATTCTCAATATCTTTTTGAGCGTTGTCAATGCGGCTTCCAGTGTCAGTTTCTTGACCATTTGCGTCTTGTTTATCCTATGGATCTGTGTGGCGTCACCTTTGGTCTTTCTCGGAGCTTTTGTTGGTCTCCGATTCAAGAGCATTGAAGTCAGCTGCAAGACCAACAGCATTGCTCGCATCATTCCCGACAGCATTTGGTCGACTGCTCCAGCAGTCACTGCCATGGTCGGTGGTGTCTTGCCCTTTGGAGCCGTCTGCATTGAACTTGCGTTCATCATGTCGGCTTTGTGGTTGCACCAACTTTATTACGTCATGGGATTCTTGTTGGCGGTCGGAGTGGTCTTGCTGGCCACCTGCGCACAAGTCGCCATTGTCATGTGCTACTTGCAACTCTGTGCAGAAGATTACCGCTGGTGGTGGAAGTCCTTTTGGAACTGTGCTACTGGAGGTATCTACATTTTGCTTTACAGCATTTGGTTCCTTACCAGTAGGCTCAAGATGGTTGGTGGACTTCCCGTTGTCATTTACATGACCTACATGACCATGATCTCCTTGTTGTTTGGTATCTTTTGCGGCTCCATTGGATTCCTTTCCAGTCTCTGGTTTACCAAGAAGATTTATGGATCCGTCAAGCTGGATTAGTAAATATAGGCAAAAAAGAAAGAACTATCATGAAGGAAAATGCAACAATGAAAAGAAGAAGAAAAAAAGAGGTAAGCACAACTATTGCGATATAGACGAGACGATGGCTCAATGACGATGAAACACTTGCACATGGATTTCGAGCGGTCACAGTTAAAATTTGTTTGTTTGAGTGGCCGCAGTGAAACCAACTTGATAATCTTCTCTCGGAGGGGTACATTCCACGAGACGCTCGTTTGTTGAAAGTTTTTGGCATTGTGACTCACTATATTTTCTTTCACGTTTCACGTTTTAGGTTCATACATTATATACAAAGGGAAAATGCTATCAGTTCTGCCATTGTGAGAATATACTACAGTAACAACTTAAAGAGATTTCCACTATTTTTAAGGTAGCAAGAATCACGAGTATATTTTAAAAGAAAACCATTTATTAGTCCTACAATAGGATATATATACAGCATCACATCATTTTGCCTATTAGAATCGTTTGCCCAAGGTATGCATAGCATCCACGGCTAACCACATTTTGGACGATGAACTCTCTTCTATCAGCTTTTCCATAAAGACAATGGCTTCGTCTTCACTCAAGTCGAGCCGTAATCGGTTTCGAACACCCATAATGGCAGATTCGATATCCTGATTCTTCTCAATATCAGGCAGGTAACAACCTTCCATCATTCGAATCATGGATAACAAGTGTCGGACGTTTTCAGAACGACGGAGTGTCAAAAAGGCGGCACACGTCAAGGACAAAAACATGACAAAGCCGTCACTGTCCTTGCCGCCCATTCCATTCACCATTTCTTCCGTGATGCGCACTGGAAGGTACTTCTTGGGATCATTGCCCAAGATAAAGGAATAATCGCAATGGAAAAAGTGTCCAGTCTGATGCAATAGAAGATTGTCCAAATGGCGATCGCCAACTCCCAAAATGTACGTAATGGCACAGTAACCGGCGCAACTCTTGACATAGGTATCCATCGCATCTTTCCGAATCATATAGGGAGCATCCACGTCAAAGTTAAAGGTTCGAAGGTAGTCCTGAACTGGATTGTTGGGAGCACTCCCAGACGAGTTCGATCCAGTGACATCCGAGTTCCATCGCTGAAGTGTTTCGTACTTCGAAAGTCCCGCTAGTGCTACCATTGATTTCTCATTTTCTTCACTGATGCTCGACGCATCGGACGTTGGGCTTTTCGTCTTGCCACCCAAGATAGAGTCCGCAACGACACGGGAAAGTTCACTTAGGGGTACACTTCCGTGGACCCACTCGATGAATCCTTGCTTGTCTCCCATTGGAATGCAACGGAAAGTCACCAACTTCAAATCAAGTCCACAAGACTTTAGAATTGCGTCACAAGTCTTGATAAAGTCGATCGAGAACAAGTCCTGGCGAACATCATCGTCGTGTTTGTACAACAGAGAACGTTTTCTCAGAGGGCCGTCAGTATAGTCGGACTTTTTGATGAGTGGAGCCATTTCCAGTGTTTGCGTAGTAACCCGAATTTTGATTTCCATATTCTAGTTTCGGAAGTATAGTTCGGTGAGAAATTATTCATGCTACAAAATGATGCACCATGTCACACACTGTCGTCATCAAAAGATACATACCTCGACTTTTGGGCGGTTTTCATCCGATAATTCTCCATGTTGATCAAAGTATCCCGATATTTTACTTGACAACAGCTTGGGCGTCAAGACAACGGTTCGTTTTTGGATACGTCCTCCTGCCTTTTCGTCTACTACGCTTGTCAAGTCTGCCCAGGATACTCCAATGTCTTCAAGATACCTTTGTTTTTTGTCTTTATTTTCCTTTGTGCCGGTTGCGCCAGTATTTGTGACAAATGACTCCGAAAGTCGCAAAGATACTGTTTGTGGCGGTCCCCAGGAAGAACTAGTGTCAAAGACAAGTGCGGCACCATCATCCCACATCTGTGTATTTGTCTCGACATCTGTATGCGTGCTGAAAGTAGGATTGAGAAAAGGAGACTGCATACATGAGGATTTGTCAAGTCAATAAAACTGTGCTTACCTAGGATTGGTTTCCTGAATAGAACCGCCAACGGATGCATGGACGACAAAATTCCTTCGAACTGCCGCTTTTCCAGCACATCTGACATGCATGACCTCCACAGTGGTCCTGTAGAACTTTTGGACACCAAATACATTGTTTGGAGACTCCCGATTTTCGAGATCTTGACAATCAAAAGTGAGCAGAACGGGAAAGTGCGCACTGGGTAAAATGTAGCATTCTGTAGTGTCGATTCCAACAATCAATTCATCAGAATCCAAAGGATTCAGAAATTCTGTATTGGAGCACAGCATGAGACGGTCTCTCATAGAATTTGTCACATGCTGCAACGCCGTCTCCTTGGTGGACGACCAAGGTTGGAGAGCCCACCCAGCAAGCCGTTGAGGAAAAGTCTTTAGCAGCGATCGTTCGATATCTTGGCAAATTTCAAGTAACTCGTCACCAAATTTCAAAGTCTTGGCAAACATAATCTCGCGGGCACCAATGATTTGACGATCCTGCTCCTGCTTGTCCTGTTCGTCCAGCAAGAGCGACAAGGCTTTGCCACCAGGACTAGCGGCATCAGCTATCGTCTTTGATTGCTCTTTCGTGTTCCTTTTTGGGCTCTTCGACTTCTTTGGACTCGTGGTCTTGGCCGAAGGACTTTTGGCATTTGATTTCTTTCCAAATAGTCCAAACCGCTTCTTTGTGGGCGATGCTGCTTGCGGTATTGAGCTTGGCGATCCAGCTATCTCTGCTACTGGTTTAGCTTTGGCAGGTGACTTCGCCGGTGAGGCAGCGCCCTTGTCCAGTTCATCAAAGGTAAAGTTCGAGTTGTTCTTTACGATTGGTGACGAGGCCGCTCTTTTTTCTCGGATTCTTCGAAGAATGTTCCGGAGTTCAATTTCTTGTAGCGAGGAAGCAATCAGCTCCATGGAGGGTGCAAATGAAGCTTTGGTCTCGGCAAGGTTGATGATTTCATCAAATAACATTTTGTGGAGCCTTTCTTGTGCCGTTGGACTCCCTGGACTAGTGTGTCGGCAGCACGCAATCAACGGCAATAGCACATCTTGGAATAGAGGTTTTGGAAAATCCAAAAACAGATCCGACAAGTTTCGGTGTCCCACAAAATCCCCAGCACTGTCACCGATCATATTCATAGTCCAGTAGTACTTCAAATTGTAAAGCAAGCTTTGCTCCACATCCCAAGACTCCAAGAGCCGACCCTCCAAGTGAGAGCAAGGCAAATAGACTTTGGTCAGAACCGAATTTGCCTTTTCTGGTGAGGACTCTGGCACTAGAACTTCGCCAGAACCCACAGCAGTAGCCAAATCGTCAAGTTCCAAACCCCAGTCGTTCTTTGGTATTTCAGGCTGTGGCTTCTTCTTGGCTCTTGAAAATAGCGAGTGGACGGTTGTCTTTACCCCATCATGTTCCTTTGAAAAGATCGGTTTGTATCCTTTGGAGTTGGTTTGCGGGCTGCCACTATTGTGCTTGGCAATCTCCGATCGTTCCCAATATCCAGATCGTGCCGTGGCGGGTGGCCAACATACCAACATGTCAATGGGGAGTTCCAAATCCATGACTTCCTTGAGAAAGGTTGCCGAAGTCAGATGATCCAAATCGTCAATGGGATTCTCATTGACTCCCGCAATAATGGACCCACGTGGAATCTCCGTATGACTACCGTCGTTCCGTTTGACGAGGGCAAAATTCCCACAAGGTGCCCATTCAATCCCATATTGTGGATTGGACAAGAGGAGAACCGCGTACATTTGTCCATTCCGTATAAATGTTAGTCTTGTGGGATGTTGAATCATCAAGTCTTCTTTGGGCAAATCCATGACAAAGGAAGCAGCATCTTTGCTATAGGGCTTGGCGTATTTGGAAACGGAAGCAAAGAGTCCCTCGTATTGCCAAATTCGTTCCAATGCTTGCTTGGAAGGTTCCGCTAAAAGATGAATATCATTGATGGATACCAAAACAGATTGGGGCAAGACTCCCGCCAGTGCTGCCTCGGATCCTGGTTTGACACTTCGAACGTAAAGGCCCAGCGTCAAACGACTAAGCGTGATTCCCAGTGATTCTCCTTGATATAGATCTGACTCAATGTAGATTCGAGTACAAAGATATTCGTCAATTTGAGCCAAGCCCTTGCCCTTTGGTTGTTGCAAGGACTTTCCAAAGACGGCATGGATCCATTCTTTTCGGGCGACCGAGGAGAACGACGATTCCCCTGTCGTTTGAGCGCCGCCTGGCAAAGTTCCCACTGTCCCTTCATCGTGGTCGTGGTGAGCACTGTAGTCATAGGTTTCATTCAAATGCTGACTCATATTGTTGGAATTATCGTAGTATCTTGTTTTGTGTTCGCCCAACTGGATGATTCTCAATCACAAAACAATTTTTCTCAACGGATCTTTCAGGTGGTTTCTTCAGGTGTTCCGAATTGATTGCTGTCTCTCTTCTCTGGAAATCAGATTATTGCTGCAATGATTCCTATTGTGATATTTATTATATCCGTCACGTTGCAGGGTACCCTTTAAAGATGCTTTGCTTTTTTTTTTCTTTCTTTCTTCAGTCCAAACTCATTCAGCATTGGTTGTTTTAAAAAATAATTGTCATCCGATCTGATTTTGTTGATTTCTCACGTTTCATGTTTCTTGCAAGTCAGCCGTCCTACGACTCGAAGCGCCAAAAATGGGATCTGAAATAGTGCCATTCAAATTGAATACAATGCGGTATATTACAGTACTTCAAACTCGATCCTATACATTATTGCGCACACGTATTATTCTAGGACGATATATATGTATACCAGTACTTACGGTATGTACAGGTACAATGAAGACAACGAGCTCATTCGCCCTTGGACCTAATGTAATGTATTGAAAGATGGCGTCAACTGTCTACGATTTCCAAGGCAACGATGAAGAAATAGTTGGAAAGCTGATTGTGAATCCAGGTATTCAGGTTTTGCATGATAGCAGGTTGTGTGGGGTGCCGTTACCATTTGCGGGAAGCAACTCTTCCGGAAGGACTAATCAACATTGGTAGTCTGGCTTTTGACTGGTGTGCAAACTTGTTAGCAATCAAGATTGTTTGCACGGTAGAATCTATTGGGGACTGTTCATTTTTAAAGGATGCCAAGTGCTGAAGAAAGTTGAATTTGAAAATATCCATCCTAGCTCTTCGTCCCGTCAGCTAAAGACAATTCGTAAGGAGGCTTTCCAACGTTGCGAGTCACTGCAAATAATCAAGATTCCCCCGTCTCTGAACTTGATTGGATCGTCTTTCTTTAAGTGCTGGATCCGGATCCTTCGAATTCTGTACAGTATCTCTCTTGCAAACCTTTTTCTTCCAAAATGGTCCAATGCCAGCAAAACGTCTTTTGTTGATTGCACACTGTTGCAAGATCACTTTTGGTGAAGTGACAGATAATATGGTTGCCGGTTTGGTGCTCCGCTTTGACTACTTTCCACTACACAGAACACAGAACCTGCCACGACTATTCCTCTACCACCGCCCAATAAGAGTTTTGCGAGTGCATTCAGAAGACAATGGACGACAATTTACCGCTCGTAGACGGATTCGGAACGACGCCATCGTCCTGGGTAGAAGCCATGCAAAGGAATGTACAAGCTATACTTGCTGAAGATGACAACAAGGGACGAAGGATGACTCTGTTCGTCGAGTCATGCTCAGTATTACTTGCACAATGCGAAGATATGGCAGCCACGTCAATCTTGGAAATGGCCTTGTGGAAACGGCAACTTAAGGGTGGATGGAGCAACGATACGATGGTGCCAAGCAACAGGCGTTAGACCGAGAAAAGTTTCGGTACGTCTGTGGATCGAATATTGTGATCCCGAGTGTAGTAGAGTCCTTGGGAATCCAGCACGTGAGAGCTACATCTCAAGTTGATTGAATTTGGAAATAACAAAAAGGTTGTTCCTTTCTGTCCATAGGACTAGTATTAATATTTCTTGTTGTTAGCAATACCGGTGTGTTTTTTCTTGCTTTCCCTATTCTTGTTGCTGTCTCCAGTAGAATCATTTTTCTTTGATTTTTCTTCGGTATTTTCTGTGGAACCCGACATTTTCGTTACGCTGCCACCCGTCTTCTTGCTATGTTTGGAACCACCCGTACTCTTCTTGGTACTCTTTTGCGGTTTCGTTTCTTCGGCGGCTGAGGATGATACTAGATTTTTTCCTTCCACCGCCGGTGCTGATTTTGTTGACTTTTTGCTAGACCTTGTCCCACCTGTTGCACTCTTCTTTGATTTCTTATTTTCCGAATGTTTGGCTGTCTTTGGTGGTGGTTTCGTAGCTTCGTCAGTTTCCTTCATTGCATTCTTGACAGTTTCTACCTTTGGCTTTGTCTCTTTTGGTTTCGATTCCTCAGGTGTTTTTCCTTTTGGCTTTTGATCTTTTTCCTTAGGTTTTGCATCTTTAGGTTTTTCTTCCTTCTTCACGTCTTTAGGTTTTTCAGTTGCAACTGCCGTGTCGGCTGACTCCTTACTCTCTTCTTCAGGTGCCGCTATGTTGACAGCATTGTAAGTGTCCACAAATTGGGATGGATATGGTTCTGATTTGATTACTTGAGGTCCTCCAATATGCGAATAATCTTGTTCCTTCAGCGTCATGGTGGAATCCCTATCGAATGGTTCGGCCAATTCCTTACTTCCATTAGTTTTCTTTTTCTTCTTGGATTCCGCCAATGCCGAACGCAACTTGCTGAAGATATTTTTGTCATTCTTATTCTGTTGTTTCGTCCAAGGCAGAGTGAACCTTCTTTTGGCACCGACCTGATCGTTGGTTATGTTGGCAGTGAGGAATATGACGGTTCCAAAAAGGAGAGCACACAACAGCACTAAAGATGAAATGGAAATCCCTCGCCTTTCGGGTGTTTTGATGGATTTTCGAGTCATTTGCACCATGATTGCAATTGATGCTGATTCAACACTTTTCTGTATGAGCTTAGGGTGTGTGTGAAGAGCTCGACAAATGAATGAAATAGCAACAGTGTATCTTTGTATGTATACTTCGATGTCGTCGTCTTCTCAGTAATGGAAAAATGACGAAATTTGAAATTTGAAAATGACGAAAATACAAACCGGAATACGGGGTGCAAAGAGGCCGCGTTTGGGGAGGGGAATAATTCCAACCCCTAGTACTGAAACTGGTAGACTATGATACTCTTGTTAGCAGCAACGCTTTTATCACAGCCAAGATGGACAATGGTGGATATTAAGCCCTCGTTTGGACTTCGAGATGGACCAAGTGAGATGGAGAGTAATGATTTTGAATCGAATCCAGTACCAGCTACTCTGGTACACGTGTACCTGGTCCCAGGGGGCGACTCCTGGTCGGCAACTCTTATTTGGATACCGGTACCAGGTACCTGGTACTGGTACCGCAGGTACGGTACTTTACCTACTTGGTATTTTCTGGTGGTGGTAGAGCACGATTAGATTCCAATAGATCTGCGAGAGATAGAACGCAATAACACGACATTCCTTCACATGTCCGCGATTTTTTTGTCCCCTTTCTAATTATGTCCCATGCACTCCTACCGTATCCAAATAGCAGAGCCTTTTGTCGCATTGTGGTGAGGCCAAAGAAGCGCTCCGAAATGGTTCTCAAAATAAGATCATGCTTCTGTTCTGCCACCATATACAGCTTCATGTTTGGTCAGCGGCGTTTTAAAAAGTAAGTTCGAACAGGTGGCGACGCGAGTTCTCCGTTCTATTTTATGTGTGTGTTGCTCAAAAGACCGCTCCGGGAGAAATATAAAAATCTGCATTCAATCGCGCACTTCTTTGCAACTGCCGAGATCACAATTCAAACTTCATTCCAAAATGCAGCTTCTTGATGAATACTCATCCATCTACCAAGACAGCACGGATTCATCTTTGTCGCGTAAACCTGATGTATCCGTAAGCACTGCAACAAACAGTGTTTACTCGTTGTCGCTTTCTCAGCATAGCACAGGTCTTGCAGTGGAAGGTAGCACTTCCGTTGTTGGAAATGGGCTAAAGGCATCTGAACTTCGTAAAACGAAAGTCGGGATGCCGAGGAAGAGTTTGAGTTTGCAAACAAGCGCTGAGACTCTCAATCAAGGGTTGGGTTTTGAATCCATGCCGTTGGTTGGTCGTGGCAAGGAAGTATCTCAACTCAAGCACTGCTTTGATCGTATGCTTCAACAAATACCCGAAGACTCGCAGTCCTCCCTCGAAAGCAAAAAGGAACTTGTCCTTGTCAAAGGAGAAAGTGGAGCTGGCAAGTCAGCAGTTGCCATGACTCTTGAAAAAGAGGTATTGGAACATGCCGACGGGATTTTTGTTCAAGGCAAATTCGATATGAATACTAGCAGCAAGCCGTACTCTGGTATCTGCAAAGCCTTTGGTGCCCTGTGTCAGAAAATCATGGATTCGCCAGCCGAGGCAGTATGCACTGTGCAAGCTGCCATCCATGAGCAAGTTGGAAATGACGCTGACCTACTAGTTCACCTAGTTCCAGAACTGAAAGGCCTGCTCACCGATCCTGTTAACGATCCGGCCGTCACAAATGTTGGTGCTGATGCAGTGCAGGGCGGACTAGAGCGCGTTCGCTTTAGTTTACGTGTCCTGATGAGAATCTTCAGTTCCACTTTCTCTCCATTGGTCATCTTCTTGGATGACCTGCAATGGGCAGATGTGTCATCTTTGCAGGTGCTGGAATTCTTATTGTCAGATACTCAAAATGATAACCGTCTGATGATCATTGGCTGCTACAGGTCTGATGAAGTGGACGAGAATAGTTTGCTGCATAACAAGATTGCTGCTCTTCAAGAAATGACAACAAAGTACAATTTCTGCGTTACGGAAGTTTCTGTCGGCGCCTTTGGACTCAACGAAATTGAGCAAGTGGTTTCAACCTTGCTGCCGAACCCAAACGTATCTGCAAGGCTTGGTCTTGCCAAAATCTGTCTGAAGCGGACTCTTGGAAATCCCTTCTTTGTGTTGGAGTTTTTGAAGATGCTACATCAAGAAGGATTGGTGCAACGCCATACCGATGCTTCCAAAGCATTTACATGGAATGTGGACAAGGTCGACAATGAAACTATGGCTACTGCGAATGTGACCGTCATGCTTCACAATCAGCTGACAAAATTGCCACAGCAAGTACAAGCACTATTGCAATGCGCTGCTTACCTGGGATCCACCTTCACTGAGTCGACCATCGATCTTGTGTGGACAGCCTATGGTCGTCGCCTTGTCGAAACCAAACTCGAGCGTACTGTTGCTTTGCTGGAAATCATCGTGAAAGAGGAGGTCCTGGAAAAGTATGCTAACAGCAAATACCGATGGGTACACGACAAGCTCCAAGAAGCGGCCCTCTCACTTACCGGCAAGCAGCGCGAGTCTTTCCAGCTGGATATTGGTCGCACTTTGTACTACGGTTTGAATAGGAAACAGGTGGAAGAAGAGCTGTTTTCCGTTGTAGATCTTATCAACAATGGAAATGTATTGCAGCTTACCGAATTTGCAAGTGCTAACTTAAGGGCTGCTGAGAAGGCGAGGGACTTGTCAGCATACCAATCCGCAGCAGAGTATGCAGCACATGGAATCGCCCTACTGGAGGATGACAAGTGGTCGTCGGATCGACTTTTGACCTTGAAGCTATATACTATGGGAGCCGAAATGGAGGCCATGTTAGGCAATGTCGATGCCACCAATCGCTACACTGAAGAAGTCCTTGCGCAAGGTGATTTCGAACAATTGGAAATCGTTCCTCTGAAAATGGCAAAGGCCAATATGCTTCATCATGATTTCAAGTTTGACGAATCGGTGAACTTCTGCATGCAAATACTTCGGGATCTTGGCTGCAAGGTAGCATGGGCAAGACGATTGGTACCAGTTCAAGCAATTGTCACGCTAATGCGCCTCTCAAAGAGGGCAAAGGCCCTGCCCCAAAGCTTCTACGACAAGTTGGTTCCTATCAAAGACCCAAGGCAGATGGCAATCGCTTCTGTTTTCTCAAAATTGGTGACTTACTCTTTTTTCAAGGGGGATATGTTGTTGTACACTTTGCTTAACTGTAGACTGCTAGAGATGACTCTCAATCATGGAATCAATGAGTTCTCTGCCAAGAGCTTCGCATCAATTGCTGGGACACTAATCATTGCAAACGAAGATTATGAAACGGCTACTACATTCAACAATATTGCTCTTTCTATGATCAAAAAGTTCCGAGGAATGCATGCTAGTGAAACAACATACCTTGCCTGTGGCCCAGGGCTGGCATGGGTAATACCATTTGAGGAGATACAAGTAACACTGAGAAGTGCTGTTGCAGAAGGTCTTAGAGAAGGTGACTCTGTAAGTACACAAGGAAATGTCGTCCCCTTGTCCAATAATACATCGTTGTCTGATAACTTTTTTTACTGGCAACGCAATATAGATGGCAGCGATGTGGAATCTCTTGACATCCCATGTGGATTTACCTTATGCAATGGGTAGACCCCTAGCTGTACTCCTGAAAGAGATTTCCGCTGTTTGCATTCAGTGCGAGAACGAGAAAGTGCCACTCAATGGAGTAGCAGCAGAAACAATGCGCCAAATGATACTGAAGCTACGCGGAGCCTCTGGTTCCAACCCAATCGAGCTCGAATGTGATATGTTTGGTCTCTCCAAAGAGGAAGAAACGAACTCTGTAAACCTAGGCTTTATCCATTTTGCACAGACTGAGCTCGCATTATTCAACGGTAATGACTATGAGTCCGCGGCAAAAAGAGCTCTGAAAGTGGGTGATGAGTACTCCAAACTGATTCCAGCCTATCCGATGTTCATGGTCGAGCTGTTTCATCGAGCGGTTCCACTCTTTGCGGCTGCACGTCTCACCAAGAAGAGACAGTACAAGGTGGAAGCTAGAAGACTTTTGAAACGAATCAACAAGTGGATCAAGGCTGGAAACGCCAACGTCCAGTACTACTTCTTGTTTCTTACAGCCGAGAACCTGGTATTAGACAAGAAATATGACGCAGCCGACGAGATGTACAACGATGCCCTCGCCAAAGTTACTGCTAAAGGGCATTTGAACCATCTTGGATTGATCAATGAGCGATATGCCGACTTTTTGATTGAGGCACGTTCGTCAGAAGCAAGGGGGAAAGAACATTTGAATAAAGCAATTCAATATTACAAGGAGTGGGGAGCTGAATCAAAAGCGAAGATGGTGGAGTTTCGACTGAGCACTTTGAAATGAGAAAAGGGACACTGTTTCTGGCTTGTTTGCAATTGAAGCTTTCCACGTGTATTTATTTGATGTCCTCATTATTAGTAGGCTAGTTTTTTTGCGTCGCATTGGTCACAACTGTCAATACAAGATACTGTAGTTGCAATATACCGGTTTGCATGAAATGGAGCTGCCTCACCTTGTTGGCCCCAACTGTCGATTTTCGAGTCATTTGTAGCATAATTGCGATTGATGTTGTTTCGACTCTTTTATTTTTATGAGTCTATAGAAAGTGTAAAGTGCTCGTCGAACGATGTGCTTCAGAAGCAATGCTGTATTATGTTTTTGTGCAAGTTGAATGTAGACTGGTATCTATATATACCGTACGATGTGGTACTCGTACCACAGTGCGCATATCTCGACTTCGGATAAAAAAATTCATCCCGAGTATGTCAGTCTTTTTTTATTGGCGACGCGCCTTTTTCCATTCGTACGAAGGATCTTGCAGACGCGAGGCTCATCATCATCAAGCACCTCAAAGCCTAAAGTGCGAAAAAGACAACGGATCATGGTCCATCCAATATCAGGAATAGACATGGATCCAGGGCCGAAAAGCAGAATATGCAAGGAAGAGCAAGAAGAACTGATTTCTGCTGTTTCGGACAATACCGATGAATCATCATCACCTTCTGCTTTTGAGTGTTCGCATTCACCACGATCCAAAGAAGGTATCATCGTTGGCAAGTCGGTGGATATTACGACTCTCACTTCTGAACCTCCAGCAAATGGAAAACAGTACGAGAAATATGCTTGGAAGGACCTCCCTCCTAAGGTTCAGGAAGCGGCAACCTGTCTTGGATACACGGAACAATTGTGGAATGAGAATCAGCAGGACCCAGAAAAGGACAAATATTGGGAAGAGCTGAATGTTCACGAAAAGGAAGCAGCCAAAATATTAGGGTACGACGAAGTTCATTGGGACTTTGGGGACAAACAAGTCGAACCTGCCGATTATGATGACATGTATTGGAATCAGCTTCCAAAGCATATTCGCAAGGCCTATCGAGTGCTTGGCTACCGAAAAACGGGATGGAATGAGGACGAATCGCCCGCTTCTTTTGACAAGGACTGGTTCGAGTTGACAGAAGCCGAACAAAAGGCAGCCACGATAGTAGGATACACAGCAGAGACTTGGGATGACGATCCAGACGATATGCAAGAGGAAGGCATAAAAGAAGGAGCCATCTATTTCGTAAAGGGATCATGCTACGTTCTCCTAGATTGCCTTTCCATGTCGTCTTTCTTTGGTATCATCAACGCGTTGTTTTCTCTTGGAAGAGAGTACTTGGACGACAACGCCCTAGGGGTTCTCAAGATCCTTACGGGACTTGCAATCATGCAATTGAGTGGCCAAATGCACAAGTGGCTCGAGGATGAGGAGGAGGAGGCAGCCACCAGGCAACGTGGACAAAATAGTACAGCACAGCCTACCCTGTTTCGGTCCTTCTTGAATTTGTTCTCGTGGTGGAGTATCTTTGCGGGAGTGGATCACTTTCTGGATGCCTTTGAGAACGATGTGCTCTACTTTTATTCCGATTCCTCATGGTATCTGAAACTATGCGAAGAACCCGACAATGCAACACAATGTGTATTGAATGCAACGTCTGGAAACAACATGACGACAGAGTTGCTATTGAATGCAACGGCGGGAAACATAACGATGCACTCTCCGTTGGTGGCTCGTCTTTTGAACTACACTGACAGGATTGAAGAGTTTATGATTGATTGTGCCTGTGAAATCTTGGATGACGATCAGGAGCGGCTAGGACCGGTATACCTTTGGACTGTTTTCATTGGTTCAGCAGTGACATTGTGGTACGCCTTTGATGACAACTTTTTGACTGGTTGTGACCCCGACTAGTAGATCGGATGAATGCCGAAGGCGAATGCATCACTGATATCATTGGCTTTGCCTTTCAATGCCATTGCTATATAGTGGAAGATAATGTGTCTATAATATTGTGCTACAAGATGTAATAATTTATTGTTTATCCTTCCTTGGGATACAGTTCGGGATAGATTCGATCGACGTATCGATCCATCCAATCGTTCGTCTCTTGATCAATCCAGTTGAGGACGACCAATCCAGTCTCTCGCAAGTGTAGGTAGGGGCATGGCAATGCTGGCTTCTCTAAGCACTGCGCTTGGGAATAGACCTTTCGCTTTGGTTTCTGTTCATAGAGAATGGTCTTCTCTTTGTCAGCCTCTTTGGAAACGACCCGCATGGTACCATCTTCTTTGAGTTTGAAGTAGACCTTCTCACCCTTCTTAATCTTGTCGCCCTTGTTGTTTTTATAAAAGACTTGCTTGACATTGGAATCGCAGTCATGCGCCACAAAGTCACCACCCTGGGTCATTCCAAATCTATATTGGTGATTGCACAAGGCTTCTCCTGCATACAGATTAATTTCATTGGCCAGTCGATCCGTCTTGCACTCGTAATTGCAATTGTGCTTGGGATCCCAATTGTCGTCATAAATACTCTTCTTTTCCTTGTCCATGACCTTGGAGGTATCCTTTTTCTTACCATCCTGGTTCTTTTCCTTATTGTCTTGTGGTTTGTTTTTGGATTGAATGTTGTTCTTGAGTTCGTTCGGCGACAAGATCATGGATGGATCACCACCTCCTGAAGACGATTTGCCGCTTCCTTTGAGATTGTGGACTTTCATCACATCACCATTTCCACCATTTCCACCACCAGCTGCTGCAGCTTTTCGGGCTTTTAAATCCGGAAAGATATCCAAGTAGGTAATGGCAATCCCAAACAAAAAGGTCACCAAAATCACCAAGCAACGATTGCAACCATTGTTGGCAAAACATCCTTGACCGGCAATGGAAATGGGTGTGGCATTCGAGGGGGTTTTCAAGACTGTAATGTCAGGGCGGCTGCGACTCTTATTGTCGCTTATCGACTGCTTGGATATTTGAACCATTCTAGCTTACAACTGTCTAATATAGGGGATGCTTTCAATCGTTCCTTCAGGTGAAGCAAGACCTATCTATACATACGTTTTCGTATGTTGTCGTTTTATTCCCGCAGTCCGCATTTTTTCGGCCAGTGCATAATAGGGGACGCCATTTCCCCCGCAACTGATGAACTAACTCCCTCTCCCGCCCAGAATCAGTCAGTCCTCCGAGTCGACTGCCCTGACGTTTTGACAATTCTTTTTGAACACGATGATGATGGCGGGTCATCATCATCACGAATTGGGTACATAATATTTCTCCTGCGAATGCTATCCAAATACAAAAACAACTGCATATCCATCAGTGCAAACGATACACAAACACCTTGATTTCTCCTCCTGAATGATACGTGAAGAAAAATCATGTTGATTCTGAATCCCTCTCGACTGGCAACAACTGTCACGACCATTACAGCCATGAGCTGTAATAGTCACCAGGGATTTCGCAACCAACTACACCCTTCCTATTCGGCGGATCACACCGTTCGGTGGAACCAGAATGAATGTTCATTGCGACAAACTGGTTTATCGTACGTGATACCAATGAAACGCCAAAGAACACACAGATCTTCCAGCACATATCTATCCATGTCCTGCCTACCTGATGCAGCCACATCTGGCAAAGTGCTTTCCAAAGTTGTCGGCATTGCCGCCATCATGTCTCGGGGTGGAGCAGCAAGCTTTGGTTTTGGAGGAGCAGGAGGAGACCGCAGTCGCAAGACCATTAGTGAAGTATTTTCCTTTGTATCCGCTGGCAGTGCCGCCGATACCATGTTGGATTTGACCCGGGTCCAAATGCGATTGGAAGGTCTGCAAGTCTACGCCACTTTGGCAGCATTGTTGACCAATGCCTGTTTGCAACTATATGTCAATGTGAAGGAACCAGAAGAAGAAACTGATGACGACGACGACGATGGCGATGGTACAATGGTAAACGGAACAATGACAACAACAGAAGAGAAGGAACAAAGAAAACTAGCCAGAAAACGACGCCAGCGAAGAAGGAACTGGTCCGTCGATGCGTTCTACCTCTGTACCGTGGTATCCATCTTGTCGGGATCTTATACTACTGTTGTATTTGGATTACTTTCCATTCTTTCCAAAACGGCCTTGGGTCGGGGGTTGGATGCATCCTTTATTGAATTTTGGGCGGAATCGGCGGGGATACGGAACAGTGGCCTGGAATCCTTTTTAATGGCGCTGGTGTCCTTTGAAGTTGCCTTTCTTTTGTCACTCATGACGAAATTCTCCTTCAAAAATCCACGCAAACGGCGGCGACAAAACGTTTTGGTGGGCATTGGAACTCTCATTCTGCTGATATCCATGAGGAGGTGGACCAAATTACTCTATCTGGCAAGCAAACTATTGTTCCCGATGTGGGCTGAGGTGGAATACTAGACAACTGTAACGCTATAGCACTGGCATCAAATTACAAAATATACGAAAAGTATACCATATGCACACTTGTACATATGTATTTACATGCCACGATATCTGTGCATTCAAACTTAAAATTACGAAACTCAACGCATGAATCATGCCATATTTCACCGTCAAACATAGGCAATGGGTCCAGAGCGCATGGTCACTCCCATCCCATTTTGCTTCGCAAAAAGCCACGAATTGTACTTGGGGGAGGTGGCTTATGAGCAACTCCAGGGGCATTTTTTCTTCCTCTGTGCGGTTTGTGGTCAGTGCGCCACTTCTTTCTCCAGTTCCTGTTTCTGCGACTGAGCTGCATCATCTTACAAACCTGATTACATTTGTGAGTCTTGAAGAACTTGTCCATTCCAGCTTCTCCATCGTCCGTACGGCCAAATACATGACGCCGGCCTTTCTTGGACCTATAATGGATAGCAGGATCGGTCAATTCGAAGGTCGGAGGAACAAGATCGTAGTTGTAGACACCTTGCAAGTCGCAGACCATCACCTGCCTTGCTGTGAAGAGGTACGTAAAATGAGTAAAGGCTTGTACATAGTCTGTTGGCTCGACTGCGTCATTCTTCTCAATTTTTCGACCATCGGCAAGCGCCACATGATTGTCTTGCGCTTCGTCTTCCTCTTCCGACTCTTCTTCGCTTTCTTCTTCAATAATCATGTCTTGAACTTCATCCAACTTTTGAAATTCTCGTTCTATGTCAAGTGGCGCATGATAGTATTTCCCATCGACACCCTAAAAGGAAAGATCAACGCAAATGAGATTGTTGATAGCTGATTGATTCGATGACAGTGAGACATGGTTCTTTACCCCAGCATTATCGTTATACTTTCGCCAACCGTACTTTTCCACGTTAAGCTTTTTCTCTACCAGTACTCCACGGAATGGCCAATCGGGGTCATCCAGAACAAGAATAGAACAAGGAAGAAAAGCAATGGTTGGCGTCTTATCCTTTTCATACCATGGCAATCCCACGAGGAGTGTGTTGAACTCGTACGCCAGGTAAGCTGCGAGGTCTTGAGTTTCACAGAAAGTCTTGTGAAATTCAACATTATCGGCAGGTCGTTCGACAAGGTTTGTTTCCTTAGCTACCATTGCTTGCAACTCAAACGTATGTTCAGATTTGGAAGCCGCCAGATAGCATCTTGTTGCTATACGCTCAGCTCCGACGCCAAAAGCTTCTCTATTGATAGCAAGAAACGGAGGTGGGTTTTCGTGTAATTCATTGAGATGGTTTTCTCCATATTTCTCATCTGAACCAACAAAGGATCCAGTAGGGAGTCCCATCATGTCGACGAATCGATCATTTTCGGTATCGTACACCAAGTGTCCGCTAATTGGAAAATAGTTCCATTGATCTTGACTGTTTCCACTTTCAAGCTGGACATTGCGCTTTGTTCGATTTTTTCCACGGTCACTGCTTAAGAGATGGGTTCGGGTCATTGTTGTACTACTCACCAGGCTACTCACAGCTGATTCAATTTTGTTTGCAGCCTTGCCACAATAGACAAAGTCTGACTTGGCACCGCTATCCGCGGCGGAGACTGCTTCTGCCATCGCTCTCATTACTGAGAAGTCTTGGCCAATTGCTCCAAAGCTCACCATGTGCACATTGAGCTTGTCTCCGTATTTGGTAGCCATATCTTTCATCTTGGCCATCATTCGATCCTTGGCTATTTCTTTTGTGATACCCAATGACCGTGCATCCGTTGGGGCACCATCAGACAAAAAGAAGAGCGACAGCGCACATCGATCGTGATCGACTGATTGTAATGCGCGGTCTGCTGCATCGAGTGCTTCGAGATAGTTGGTGTCACCATACATGGCATCCAGCGTATCCAAGCCTCGGCGTTCAATGAATGATCGGTCGTCGCGACGAGACAAAAGGTTGTTGTACAAAACCCAGTCAAAGGACTCCCTTGCGAAGACCTCCCTAGCCCGAGAATCAAACTCGACCAAAGTTAGTACATCAGCGTTGGTTACAGTCTTTCGAAATAACTGCTCTGCGACAAACTCCATAGCCGTGATAGAATAGGCGGCAACCTGTCGATTCTTATGCAAGATGATATCATGAGTGGTCATCGATCCAGAATTATCAACCACAAGAACCGTATGACTAGTGCAAAGTTCAGGCTTCAGCTTGAGAAGATCGTTTGCTCGATTATGTAAGATACGGTCCTTGGTGTCGATAGGAGCGAACGCCAAGGGAGATGGATACGCTGTAACTTCACGTGACATGGTGTCGTCAACAATGAAAATGATCCCGTCGTACTCCAGCTTCCATCGGCGTCCCCACGATCGTTCCGAAGTACCATAGCGAATAGCTTTAGAAAAGTCTCGTTTGCGAATGTCACGCTGTTCTCGTCTTAGCCGACCATGATCGGTAGATAGGATCGAGATGAGGCTTGATCCATCATCAACAGACATGATATTGATTTTTATGTCGCTTGTTATTCCTCGATGAAATCCCTACATGTCTATGCGTGTGGTTTGGTACAGACGAGAAGAGTGAGTCAAAGAAGGCATAGTTGGGCGATGTTTTGGAAGAACCAAGGTATCTCATTGGCCTTGAAATTTTCAGCACGGTACTGTATCTTTGTGAAGGATATACTGCTACCGGTATATTGAATATATGGATCCAACGTATTAATATTATTTTGCACATACTGTTCTTCAACATGCGTTTTTGGAAAGATACGGTTGACTCAGCGGACTACTGTAACGAAAACGCAGGCACCTTTGAATCGAATAAGTCTGTCAACACACAATGATAAAATAATGCAGTGACAATGCGATCGCATTATCCCATCGTCAAAACGAAAAGCGGTACAGTAATGTAATAGGGCGCATCAACAACTTATATACCATTACAATGACAGCACAAGACAGCAGTAACAATTCCTCCGAAGGTAGTTCTAGCAAGACGACAACTTCTGTATACTCTCAGGGCGTTACTACGAAACTTGCCAGCATGAACATACAAGAAGCAACAATGGACGATAAGGTTGGGTTGTACTGGCCTCGCATGATTATGATCTTGCTGGGTCCTCCAGGAGCGGGCAAGGGAACGCATGGTCCTCAAATTCAGCAGTTCTTGGGCATCCCACAACTTTCTACAGGCGACATGCTGAGAGCTGCAGTGTCCGCCGGGACGGAAATCGGCAAGAGAGCGGAAGAAATTATGAAAGTGGGTGGACTGGTCGGCGATGACCTCGTGGTTGGCATTATTCGGGATCGAATCCGACACGACGACTGCAGATCTGGGTTTCTACTCGATGGATTCCCTCGGACGTTGGCACAAGCCAAGGCCTTGGACGAAATGTTGGCCGAGGAAGGTTCTTACGTGTCCAAGGTGATCGAACTGAGAGTTCCAGACGAAGTCTTGGAAGGCCGGATCATGCAACGATGGATTCACAAAGAATCAGGTCGGTCCTATCACATCAAGACAGCAGCTCCAAAGTCTATGAAGTTAGATGACAATGGCAAGCCTATTCCAGAATCCATGAAAGATGACATGACGGGAGACCAGCTAATTCAACGGAAGGATGATAACGTCAAAGCGTTGGGGAAAAGATTGCAAAGCTATCATGAAGATACGGTTCCAATTTTGGACCACTATCAACCAAAGGGGGTCGTCCGTACTGTGAATGCAAACCAGTCCATTGACGGCGCATGGGAAGAGATTCAGATCAAGCTGAGGAGGCGGTAGGTCAAATAGTTTTCAGCATCTGAATGGATTGAATTTGCTAAACTCTTGATGAGTTAGTACTCGTATTCTTTCCTTGGGGTTTTTGGGGTAGCGAAACCACGATTCTTTGTCAACGTTTGGCACCTGGAAGGTGCATCGTTTGAGTGCCGCAAGTTCGGGTACCGATTTTTCGTTGAGACCAAGTCAAGGATTGGGCTAAATTAGGATCATTTCGAGACGATGGATATAGAGCAGAAATTGCTGACCCTCCAACAAACGAATAAAGGCGCAATAGGTTTCGAAGCTATTAATACCGCCTTCACATCTTACACGAGCAACAAGTTGTTTTTTAGGAATCATGTGCGGGAACATTTTCTAATCTATGTGTTATTATATTTCGAAGAGTATCAATAAAATCTTGCAACATCAAGCTCTCGACGGGATGATTCCCAAGAAAGCTTCTACATTCGGAATCACAACGTCCGCCCCACAGATAGACCGGCACTGGTCTCGGTCTAGCGCCCGGCGCTTGGTTCCATCATTGTTCCGTTCACCCTTGTTTTGCCATTTCCATAAGGCCATTTCCAATATCGATAGAGATTCCACATTTTCGAAATGTTTCAAGGCCGACCATGCAATGCCAAACCAACTCATCCTGATTACTCTGTCCTCTTGGGCAAGCAGAGCATTCATGGTGGGAAGAAATCTGATTCTCCAATCATCCGAGCGCCAACAATCCAATCGATTATACATCCAACTTTGCAGGGCGTCCTCCAGCAATGCCTTGTTTTCCCGGGTCCAGTTGTTCAGCAGGTATTCCATTGCCGTGTTGTCATTGGCATCTTTCCAGCCGAGAACATAGTGTGGAAACTTGTCCAGAAGGATTTCAAATAGATCTTGACTTGGCTCGGGACTAGAAAAGAGTATGTGGAATGGAGTCATTCCGAAATCATCCACGAGCGGTGACTCCTTCTTGTCTAGTTTCTCAACACATTGACGAAGCTCTTCGGCCGTGGTACAGGAATTATAATAGGCGATCTTTTGAACCGGAAAATTGTCAAACCGGTGTACCAAACCATGGACAATGTCATCTGCTTTTTCACCAAAGCGATCTTCCAACAATGTGCACTGAACAAAAGACGCTTCGTCGGCATTGGACCCTTCTGGAAGCACAAGGTTGGCGAGAAAAACACAGCGGTAGAAGGATTCAGGTCCAATCTCGATCGGCTTTGAATCCAGAGGGACTATCACTGTAATCAAGCTAAAGCATTGGTAGAATGCTTTGCATCCTACACTTTCCATGGAATTTGGTAGGCTCACAGTTTGCAAGAAGGGACAATCTGCGAATCCACTAATGGGAATCTTTGTGATGGACGTTGTGGACAGAATTGCTTCCAACAAGATGTTACAGCCATCAAAGACAGATTTGCCAAGGGCGTTCACAGACGAGGGAATCTTAATTCTTTCTAGTGAACGACAACTAGAGAAAACAAAGGCGCCGATTGTCTTTAGCCCATGATGGGGCGAAGACGATGAACATTCAAGGTCGACCTTCGTCAGCTGGTTGCAGCATATAAATGCAGCCTTCCCAAGAGATTCCACAGTGTAGCAAATTTTGATTTCTGACAACCTGGTACAATAAGCAAAAACCGCAATGCCAATCTTGATTAATCCTTCCGGAAGAGTTACCTTGTCCAACAAACCGCGCCCATTGCACAAGTTATCCGGCAATTCCTGAACACCGGTACTGAAAGTCAGCTGTTGAGCAGATAGTGGTACCATTTCTCCCTCATTTCCTTCGTATCGGTATTCCATCTTGCAAAAACAGAATCAGTCTATGCGGTTCTTTGATTGATAGTTATTGTCATCTATAAGGGATTTTTTAGGTAGGATTTGAGGTCCAATGAATCAATCGATCATCAATTGTCCCTCTTTCGTGGCTACCTCCGAAATCATCCAAATCCAAATCCAGGATTCCTTCCCCAAGCTCTAGAGCACCTCCGTGGGTAGCCGCCGCCGGAAATCGTCAAGGTATTCACCAGATCGAACGGAATCGGGCTCGAGCTGATTGGCGCGTTGCTGGTCCAGTAGTGGCACAAGTAGCTCCGGAGTGGACAACAAATGTTGCTGTGCCCAGTCGTAGCGATCTGGTGCGATATCATCAATACCTGTTGTGGATCTGCTGAAGGCACAACAGCAAAAGCTGGAGGCGAGACAGTATGATTCAAGAACAACAGACTCAAACTCCTTGCCTGCGAATATGGTGTGATTGTTGTGTTGGATCATTTCAATACTGTAGGCGGTTCAGACGCATCGATTATCACATCAAACATTCATGGATTGTTACCTCATTCTAAATCCGTCTAAATCCAGGCTAACACCAGGATCATAGCGTATGTCATCTTTCGACGCCATGTGTGAAACCAGCACTGTGTTGTAGAGCACTTTCATTGCAATTCTCCTCTTCTTCTCGTCTCTCTTCGTTTCTTTCTTCTTCCTCTCTCCCCTTCTTTTCTCCCCGGGGGATCTAGTATAAACTGCTCCCCGTCCGCGTGTCTAGTACGTGTCGTAACAGAGTTGAGTTTTGATCTGTACGTAACGGATTTGGTCTGTACGTCAAATTTTTGATCTGTACGTCAAATTTTTGGTCTGTACGGAACGGCCTTGGTCTGTACGTAACGGCGCTTGGACTGTCCGCAACGGACGACGTTACCAATCAGCGTGCAGGAAAAGGGCACGTCTGAAGGAGTCGGTGCCTCGCATCTGTTTCTCTCCTCAACGCCAAGATTGGCGTTCAACTGCAGTACTGGTATCATAATAATCTCAATCGTATGATGGGCAGACGAATTTTGTGGTGTGCCATTTTTAAAAACTGTATGTAATACTAGCTATCTAAGATAGCCTACTGCCGTCCTCCGTGTGTGTGTTCGTAGTATTTTGTCTTGGTGTGTAGCTGGTGGGTTGTGGTGTGAAGCGGGTCGAACTGATCGAGTAATAGACTCGATTCGTTCGACCAATCTCAGAAATCCCGTGTGCGGTATTACTGAGATCTGCTTTCCTACCAGGCACCGCCGATATGGTAAAATGGAGGCGGTGCCCAACAGGGCGGGTGAGGTTTGGGAGAGAAAAATTGAATTACCACGACACAAGTGGGTGAATTCAATCTCAGTCGATAAACTGGGCATCATTGCCTCGGCGCATCGACAACAACTTTTGACGGTCGAAGGCCGTTCGGCCTTTGTCCGTCTGTAACACAATGTAGTCAAAGAAATCGAACAGTGTGCCTGCGGTCTACGTTGGAGTAGGTACCAGGTAGTTGGTTGTTGTCCCTTCAATACCTGAATCTGAAAGCATCATATATGACTATACTGTAACAGACTTTCCTGTCGCGGCTTCGCAGCTTTGGACAAAAAGGAACCATGAAAGGTTTCTGCCTATGTTTTTCGCTTGTGAATCTTACCCAAAACCGGTTGATTATTGCATGCCTTCAATCGTGGAACACGTATTTACTCCCTTTGCGATGAAAGCGGGCTTAGTGGTGGCCCTTACTCATCTTGCTTGGTTCCCTATCTTGAGTCCATTGAGGACACCGCCGATTATTTATCGAATCCAATACTGGCTAGTTCTTGGAAGCCTCGCATAAGTAAGCATTTCAATAGTAGCATAGCAATAATTCATGCCTTGATTCACCTTGCTTCCAAATGGTTTGTTGTCGACACAACATCGGGCTAGTAAGAGAGGCGTAGCAGTGTGCTGCAGCTCTTTTTCGACATCGTCTTCTCAAGTCGGCTACACATCCTGGCTAGATATTGCCCGTCGCTGAAAAGACTGCATCAAGTTGCTTTGCCTTCGACAGCGCTTGGACCAAATCTTCCTCGTCAAACAATCCAGCCCGTGGAATGCGTCGACGCTTCAACTCTGCTCGTAGTTCCTTCACTCTCATGGATCGATTTTTTTTTCAGCTCGGTTTCCTCGTCGAATTCAGTATCATTTGAACCCTCAGAGAAAGGAGAATCGGCAGAAGAAGATGCTGGTGAAGAGGATGGCTCTTCAGCGTCTCCAACGTTTTCTTCCTTCTTATTCCGCGCTTCCAACAACCAGGCTACCATGAGTTCCTTGTCAAAACAGTCGGTATAATCTACCTTTCAGGCTCTAAGTTCTTGCTTCATTTCAGAAACTTGTAGTTTCGATAGTACGGAAGCTAGAGCATCGTCAAGTCTCTTCAGATGTAGAAGCAAACAAAGGGCCAAATTCTTGGAAGCATTTAGATTCATGACTCAAGGAACCAATCAATCTGCTTTGTATGCCAGTAGCTTGTTGACGCGAGAGCGTGGGTGTTTCCCTTTGTGCGACGATGACGGAATCCATGCGTTGACCTCGATACTGGAGTTTCCCAAAAGCAAAATGATCAAGAGGATATTCGTGGAAGAGGGCTGTGACATAGTAGCTGTGTTTGATTTATGAGCTGACAAGGATCCTTGCATAGTAGGAAATGATGATTGACGTGTTGTTCGTTGTCGAAACATCTCTCATTCATCGTGTGATGGCGAAAGATCGCGAGGTGGATCAATAATTCGCAATCATCGGCTGGAAGCATCTCGCCCCAAGCTCGGCCAGTACAAACTCTACGTGAAAATATGCAGATTTTGAATTCTCACACATACAGTACCTGGTACACGTACACATACCACCAAACTGAAAACGAAGATTCGAAGGAGTCAATTGTGTTAAAAACACGGCAAATGCAAATTGGCGATCTCCCACCATAGCGGTTTTCACTCCACACCCACGCCTAAACGCAACACCTCACAATTTCCATTATGAACCTCTTTGAATCAACAACAACAACAACAGCAATCATGACCAACTACATCACTACCTTTGTCAATCAAGAAAGCTTGAAAAGCATCAGCTTTCCCAAGTTACCTCGAATGAGTGCCATCACTCAACAACAACAACAACAACCAGTTCAAGAAACCATCATTACCGGTTTGGTTTGTGCAGTCGCAATCGTGTTACTTCGGTACATGGTACTCGACACTTACCGAACCTATCAGAGACTTTGCAGGCAATGGAACAGACGACAGCCTCCTATTTCCATCCTTCGTCGTCCAGAAGGCCGGTCTCGCAAGAAAAACCGAAGTTGGTTGGGTGTGTTCACCAGAAAACGAAACCGTGTCCGTTTCGCCAAAATCTTTCGTCGAACCTTTGTCCCAAACGAGCAAGAGCTACAATCTCGCAGGGAATGCTGGGGTCTGATTCAATGGCGCATTCAACTGCACGACGAAGTAATTCCAGAGATAGAGAACACAGTGAGATTCGTTCCACATACTCCTGTGTCCATTCTTCGTCCTTCAAGACAGGATTGGGGATCACCCAAACCAACCTCTTCAAGCCGAGTCCAATTCGCCCCTAAGACTCGAAGGAGAAACTTCATTCCCGACGAGCAAGATCTTCAGTCCCGAAGGCAGCTAATTCGTCAAATTGACCGCAAGATCAAGAGACGGAATGCCCGACGCTTGATGATCGATTTCAAACCTACCGTGCTTGCCACCATTATCGAAGATCCAGCAGAAGAAGATTTGAGTGACATTGACTCGTCTTTGGATACTGGATCTATTGATGGCAAAGTTGACTCTGAAATCATTGCTATTGCGCTCGAGAACCACCGACAAATGCTTCCAACGGTCCTTCATGACATGCTCTCCAATATTCCTGTACCCATGGATTTGGATGACGACAACGACAACAACAACGAGCCCTGCATGGAAGAACACGCACCATTGTCACTCAAGCGAACCGCAGCTTCCTGCCTTATTTCATCCAGACCCACCAAGCGTCGCAAAATGAATTCATCATCTACGGTTCCAACTTGCGCTGCAACATGGGCCAAACGAACCAACGAACTCTTCACTCCTTTGCTACCTGTCATTATCGAAGATCCAGAAGAAGACGGCGCCGAGAGCCACATTGACTCGTCATTGGATGCTGGATTCAACGATGACATCGCCAATGAACGATCGACTCGACTTGCCAAAGCTGACGCCATTTGGGTCAAGAAGGCCGAGAAGATCTTGGGCGAGAAGGCGAATTTGAACAAGATGACCAAGGCCGAGAGAGCCAGGTGGGCAAAAAAGGCAAGGGCCAGAAGAAGCAAGGGCCAGAAGGAGGAAATGTCTGAAAAGGAGATTGATTTTGAACCAACCCTTCTTGTCATTATCGAAGATCCAAAGGAGGAAGAAGAAGAAGAAGTCGACGACGTGAACGAGAAGAAGGAATTCAAACCTTCCCTTCATGTCATCATCGAAGATCCAGAGGGAGAAGACTTGAGTAGCATTGACGAGTCGCCTTTGGATGCTGGATTAATTGATGACGACTTCGATTCTTTGGAGCAGGATGGTAGCGATGGCGAGATTTTTTCAGCACCAACTGAGCAATCTGACAACACAGCTACTAATGATATTCCTTCTGATGAAATGGGATCTGGATGGACCGAATCTGGAAAGCGCTACAGTCGACGACTACAGCTCAAGCTTTCGTCAGATAAGAAGGATCCTTCTACTGAAGCTTTGGGATCTGGCATGACGGAAAAAGGACGACGATACAGTCGCCGAGTGGTAAATCGAGGAAAAGGTGCCAAGTAAAGCACATTCTTGCAACGACTTTGAAAGAGATGAAGTATGATAATAGTGTGCGACAACACACGAACAACCCATCAAAGAGTTTTACCTGGAAATTCACCCCATCAATTGCATTTACTTTCTTAACCATGATCTCACTTTTTTTCCTTTTCTCTTTTAGGTCATTTTGGCGAGTTTACATTTTCGCGTTTATTTTATTGTCACATTTCCGAGGGATCCTTCCGAAGGCTAGTGTTTGCCTTTGTGGTTTCTAGTGGATTGGTCACTCACTAGGCTGCATCGGCGACGCGAAACTAGACGATTTCATGGCTTGCTGCGATTGGGTGTTTCCCTCCAGTCTTGTTTTGCCACCTAAAACGAATCGTTTGGGTGGGACGACGGGGGTGGGATGGGCAGGTCGAGGCTCGTAAGCGCGCCCTGATCAGCAAGATCCCAGATAAGTGGTCCCTTTAGGATTTGGGATTGGCGTACCTACTTCAAGAACAAGATCATCGATTGAGATTACTATTTCCAAAGGATTGAAAGGCAAAGCGAAAGCCTCGCTTGGAATATCAGTGTCATGTGATCCATCACCCTGCTCAAATATGGGGAGCAAGCGATATCCGTCAGACATGTGAACAGCCGTTGTTGCCAATAATAATATTTTTTATTGCAATACTCGGTGGTGCATGCAGTATCGCGATGATGGCACTGGGCTGAACATCTCAACAAAGCGGCAGCGGCGTCTTACACCATTTTACACTATTTACTACTATAATTGTGGTACAGTACCAGATTGGCATGTCTTATTGTCATATATATTCAAATTGTGGTCTTTTCATTATCTTTTACAGCGTTAGTACTTTAGAATGAACCAGTGGATGCTTCAGCTTTTATATTAGTTTTTATACCAAAAAATATGGCGTGAAACAACATTCTCCAACAAACTAATGTTTGAAACTAACGTCTACAACGCGATAAATGTGGCCTTGTGTTGCCTTCGTCCGTCGAATAATAATTTGTGGTGATCGAACTTTTGATGTGTGGTACCAGAAACGTACCTTTGACACCTGAACACCAAACCCCACCGTACATCTCAGTTTTCACGTGCACACCCGCAGAAAAACCTTATGCATCATCGCATTTTACCAGTAGTTCTGGTGTAAGGAATCATCCATGAAAACGGCCTTTTGTAGATTATCAATGGAATCCGATCTCGCAACTTCAATCGTCTTGAGATGAAGATCTTACTAGTAGATTCCCAAGAATTTTACTACACTCGGAATCGCAGCGTTTGATCCACAGAAACGCCGGCATTCTTCTCGCTCGAGCGTCTGTCGCTTCGTACTATCATTGCTCCAACCATCCTTGAGTTGTCGTTTCCACAATGTCATTTCCAAGATGGACGTGGACTCCATAGACTTGTACTTTTCAAGGACAGAATATGCTCCAGAGTACAAAGATGCCCTTTGTTCTTTGTTATCTTCAGCAAGTATAGCTTGTACCTTATGCTGCATTGCTTCCGTCCAGGATGTAGCACCCCCACAAACAAGTGGGCGAACCATCCATTTTTGTAGTGATATTTCCAGCAAAGATGAATTTGTTTCAGTCCAGTTGGATAGCAAGTAATCCAATGGTCGTTTGCCATTTGCGTCTTGGCATTCCAAAACATGGTATGGGTACTTGTCTATAAGGACTTGGAGCAGACCGTGACTTGGCTCGGGAGTTGAAAAAAGGACGTGGAGCGGCGTCATTCCAAAATCATCGATGAGCGGTACATTGTTTTCCATCGTCCTCTGAATACACTCTAGAGCTTCTTGGACGGTGGTGGAGGAATGGTCGTAGCAGATTTTGTGCGCAGGATAATTGTCAAACCGGTGTATCAAACAGTCGACAATACTATCTGGCTGTCCACCGAAGCGATCTAGTATCAGTGTACATTCGCTGAAAGGTTGATACGAATAAAAAGGAATGGGTGCAGCAGTGGATCCAGGTGGGAGAACAATGTTCGCAAGAGCTCTGCAGCAATCGAAAGATTGGCCTCCAATCTCGATAGGTTGGGACCCCAGAGAAACGATCACTGTAACCAGGCAAACACAGTTATTGAATGCAAAGTGACCAATGTGCTCCAATGAACTTGGTAGACTCACAGTCTGCAGCGAGCCACAATCAGAGAACGCGGCATTAATAATCTCCGTGATGGATGTGGCTGACAGGTTTGCTTCGACTAACATGCTGCAGCGCATAAAGGCATACGCGTCAATCAGGTTCACAGACGAGGGGGGCTTGATTCTTTGTAGTGCATGGCACTCGCAGAAAACGTACTCCCCAATTGTCTATAGCCGGTGGGGCGAAGACGTTGAAGATTCAAACTCCACTTTCTTCAGGAGGTGGCAATCCTTGAACGCAGCTCTCCCAATAAATTCTACCGTGCAAACAATCTTGATTTCCAGCAAGCTTTGGCACTCATCAAAAGCCAGCTTGCCAATCTTGATTAATCCTTCTAGCAGTGTTGCTTCCTGCAAATGTTTACACTCCATGCACAGCTTATCAGGTAAAATCTGAATGCCTGGATTCACAATCAGTTTTTCGATAGTGCGCTTCGGTACTTTTTCTCCCTCATTGCCTTGGTATCGGTAAACGTTTCCTTCCATCTTTCAACAACAAAATCTGCCTATGGTGCTTTGCTATAGATATAGTGCTGATTGATTCGGTCATCGAGGTAATCGTATATTTTATATGAATTCATACAGTATACGAGGTTCATGTGCAGTCATAATAACCCTTTTTGAAGTTGGACATATGCGTGAGTGATATCTTTCTTTAAAACGTCCGGGTACCGGAACGCGAGACCGCGCGCGTGCGATACGAGCGAGCTATAGCTAAGTGGATGATGAGAGTCTACGACCCATTCGACCGCGATCAGTTCGACTGAATTCATTCGGATGATGGAATCAATCAATCAATCAATAGAATACTGTAAAATATTGCATGTAGTTGTTCTATTTAAAATAGGTACTAAGGAGTGAATGAATTATCTTTGGGAACGGTCTACCAGTATATTTTAAAATCTGCGTGCTTATCAATGCATTCTTGCAACGTTAATCGACTTGAGATGAAGCCGTTGACGGGATTATATTCCCAAGAATGACTGTACATTCGGAATCACAACGTCCGATCCACAGACACAACGGCACTCTTCTCGGTCTAGCGACTGTCGCTTGGTACCCTTGTTGTCCTGTCCACCATTGATTTTCCATTTCCACAAGACCATTTCCAATATTGATATAGATTCCACATTTTCGAAATGTTTCAAGGCCAACCATGCAATGCCAAACCAATTCATCCTGATTCCTCTGTCCTCTTGGGCACGCAGAGCATTCATGGTGGGAAGAAATCTGATTCTCCAACCATCCGAGCGCCAACAATCCAACCGATTATACATCCAATTTTGCAAAGAGTTCGCTAGCAATGCCTTGCTTTCCCGGGTCCAGTTGCTCAACAGGTATTCCATTGCCGTGTTGTCATTGGCATCTTTCCAGCCGAGAACATAGTGTGGAAACTTGTCCAGAACGATTTCAAATAGATCTTGACTTGGCTCGGGAGTTGAAGAGAGTATGTGGAATGGAGTCATTCCGAAATCATCCACGAGCGGTGACTCCTTCTTGTCTATTTTCTCAACACGTTGACGAAGCTCTTCGGCGTTGGTAGTAGGGGGATGGTCGTAGAGGATCTTGTGTACTGGAAAGTTGTCAAACCGGTGTACCAAACCATGGACAATATCATCTGCTTTTTCACCAAAGCGATCTTCCAACAATGTGCACTTAACAAAAGACGCTTCGTCGGCATTGGACCCTTCTGGAAGCACAAGGTTGGCGAGAAAAACACAGCGGTAGAAGGATTCAGGTCCAATCTCGATCGGCTTTGAATCCAGAGGGACTATCACTGTAATCAAGCTAAAGCATTGGTAGAATGCTTTGCATCCTACACTTTCCATGGAATTTGGTAGGCTCACAGTTTGCAAGAAGGGACAATCTGCGAATCCACTAATGGGAATCTTTGTGATGGACGTTGTGGACAGAATTGCTTCCACCAAGACGTTACAGCCATCAAAGACAGATTTGCCAAGGGCATTCACAGACGAGGGAATCTAATTCTTTCTAGTGAACGACAACTAAAGAAAACAAAGGCGCCGATTGTCTTCAGCCGATGGGGCGAAGACGATGAACATTCAAAGTCGACCTTCTTCAGCTCGTTGCATAATATAAATGCAGCCTTCCCAAGAGATTCCACAGTGTAGCAAATTTTGATTTCTGACAATCTTGTGCAATAAGCAAACGCCGAAACTCCAAATGTGACCAAACCTTCGGGAAGAGTTACTTCCTCCAACCACTTATACCCCTTGCAAAAATCATCCGGCAATTCCCGAACACCGGAACTGAAAGTCAGCTTTCGGGCAATTATGAATACTTTTTCTCCCTCGTTGCCGTCGTAGCGGTAATTCATCTTTCAGCAACAAAATCAGCTTATGGTGCTTTGCTTCGTCGAGTGAATTGTAGCATGAATTGTAACGCGACTGCATATTCATCAATCATCGATTCTGTTTCTTTTATTTTGAAAATCATGACTGATGACTGAGACTATTTGAGTCCTGACTCAAAAATGACCCGACCCATTCGACCACGATCAGTTCGACTGGCTGCGTCTCATCGTTTCATTGTCACATCATCGCGCACCATCATCACCACCATCACCATCATTAGTGCAAGAAACGATAACGCTGTGTCATAATCACTAACTGCCATTTCCCCCGGCAATCCACATGTTGAAATCGCTTTCAAGAATCATGGGGAAATCATCGCAAAACAATCTCGTAGCACAAAAGATTGCGGCTCGAGTGGCCGAACGAGATTCTTGGTCCACCTGGCATACCGCCACACCTTCCGAAGTCTTTGGGATGCTACGCAAACTGGGCTTTAGCAAGTCTCCCATACCTCCACCAGCCGAGCTGGACAAGACCTTTCCCGTCCAAACACTGGATTGGGAGTTGATCAAGACCATGCCTCCCCAAAAAATGGCGGTCACCTGGATTGGTCATGCCACGTGCTTGGTGCAATTGGACGGATTCAACATTTTGACGGATCCTATATTCTCCAAACGTTGTGCTCCGACTCAATTTGCGGGTCCCGCACGATACCGTCCCACCCCCTGTTCCATTCCAGAACTTTTGGAGCAAGTGACCTTGGATGTGGTGGCGATTAGTCACAATCACTACGATCATTTGGACTACAATTCCATCAAGGCATTGGTCCAGCATGCTCCAAACCCGCTAGTCTTTGTAGTACCCTTGGGACTCAAGAGTTGGCTTCAGTCCAATATTTCCAAGATTGAAGAGAAGCATCAAATTATCGAATTGGATTGGCACGAATCCCACACCCTGAACAAAAATGAGAATGGCAATAGTTTGGAGGTCATGCCTGTCCCCATGCAGCATTGGGGTAGTCGAGCTGGCTTTGATCGAGATACAACACTATGGTGCGGGTTTTCTTTAAAATCTTCGAGTAAGAACCAATCGGCTCTCTTTTGTGGAGATACGGGGTGGTTCGAAGAGGTGAAAGAGATTGGCGACAAGTATGGGCCCTATGATTTGGCCATGATACCCATTGGAGCCTACGATCCCTATGACTTTATGCGCCCACAACATAACAATCCAGAAGATGCTGTCAAAATGTTCAATGCCCTACAAGTCAAGACGAGAGCCGTGCCCATTCATTGGGGGACCTTTCAATTGACACGAGAACCAATCATGGAACCAAGAGAACGACTGGTAGCATGTCTCGAAAAGGAAGGAATCGATAAGAACAAGTTTGCGCCATGGCTGATTGGTGAAACTGTAGTGCTGGATCCATCCGTCTAATGAAAAGTAAGATGACTATTAGAAATATAGATAGATCGAATCAATCTGATGGCGATGAGAAAAGCAAAGAAGAAGGCGGCAACATGCGAAATTGTTGTTTTCGTATTGTTGTTTTCGTCGGGCTCAATGATCGAGTAATATCTCTATCGTAAATCGTGGCTCTGCCACCAAAGGTTGCAGCAATATCCTAACCAGAACTGTACTGCAATGCATGGGTGGCAGATGGATCAAGAATCTCAATCTATGAAATGATTGAAACCAATCATGGCGAATTGTCAGACTTTCACACTTTGTTTGCGTGGCGAATTCTGATGATGAGTTTTCCAGGGCAGTTGTCCTCCTGTTCGGATAGTGATCGTTCTTCCCTGATGCCTCTATTGTAACATTTGGGATCTAGAAGGCATGCAAGCACTTTTCGTCAATCTAAAATGTTCCTCAGGCTGCAGCTGCCGTATCATTACCCTTGTTATCACTGCTGCCGTCGCTCGTGTTCGTGGATCGCTTCACTCGAAACTCAATAACCAAATCTCCCCGTTCGGGTCCTCCCTTGATGGGCATGCCTTGTTGTTGAACCACCATCTTTTGGCCATGCGATACCACCTTTTTGGCTTTATCTTCATTGTTGCCACCCTTGTGCTTCTTCTTGGGAATGGATTTGGTCCATACTTCACCAGCTGCAATAAAAGTGACAAGGAATGATAAGGTGAGCATTTTCAATCTATCGATCCAATTAGCCTTAGTCTTGCCAACAATGAAAGAAACTACTTACTCGGCAATGGAACCTTCAGTGTAATACCTCCCTTGGTCTGTGATTCGGATATTCGACAAGTATAGTGCAAATCGTTTCCCTCCCGACGCAAGTACTTGTGCTTGGCTTCCTCCACCACAAATGTCATGGTTGGGAATCCATTCTTGCCAGCAAACGTAATCTTGGTACCCGCCTTCCATCCCTTTTGCAGTTGAATAGAATATAATTTTTCTCCCAAGGCAGGCCCAAAGTTCAGCTTGAGTTTTTTACTAGCGCCAGTGGCCAACTCTTCAAGAGTGCAAGAGACCTTTTTGGTGTATTGCTTCTTCTTCCGGCTGTTGCTCGTTCGAGGACCCTGTTGTCCAAACGGTGATTGTTGTTGTTGCTGAAACATGTTGGCAGCACCATCCCCCATCATTTGATTCAAAAGATCCGACAAGTCAATATTGACACCACCGCCGCCATTGCTTCGACCATCACCAAAGGAAAAACCTTGAGATGCACCAAAGCCACCCGGTACCCCTCCTGCCGAATTGAAAAAGGCTTGAAAGTCACTGCCTCCACCACCTCCGCTACCAAAAGCAGCTCCAAATGGATTTGTTCCACCGGGATTGACACCATTGGCTGCTGCCGCAACTCCGTCTTCCCCGTAGGCATCATAAACTTCCTTTTGCTGCTCATCTGACAAAACCTCGTAGGCCCTGCTGATTTTCTTGAAGTCTTCTTCCTTCCCTCCCTTGTCTGGATGATTCTTCAGCGCAAGTTTGCGATATGCCTTTTTGATTTCTTGTTGAGAGGACGTCTTGGAAACTCCCAATACATCGTAATAGGAATAAGCACCTGATGCAGCATCTACCATCAGAGTGGAAGTATTCAATAATGATGACAGACACACGAATATGAAAATTGCAGCCTTGGAGAATGAGAAAAGACGAGGTCCATCAGTTTCCTCGAACAAAGTGAACATCTTCATATTGGAACCTGCCCTACAACATGAAGGTGCTAATGTGATGTAGTCTCAAAATATACCGGTACGCACGACACATATTTTTTATGAATTCGAAAGATGAGGAACGTGGCAATTGCGGGAGGATGGACAGACGCAGGGAATCATAAATCAATATATACTTTTGCATGAATGACCTCCCCTTGACCCTTCACCTTACCTCTACTCTTGCCCCTATCGCACACGTGTACAGTAGAACTGACCCCTGACCCCGACAGACCTACAACCCCATTCCCAACTTCCAAAACTAAACTGATAAAAAATGAAAATAGCGTACACCTGCAAAGGGTATAAGTGTCAAGTGTTAAGAAGGTCCGCAAATAGTGCGTAACGTGCCTTATCATCATGAAGGCTAAATTTTCATCTCAGTTTTCACGTGCACACCAAGCAAACCCGCTTTGGGAAAAGAAGACTGGCCACTTTGCAGATCAACAGGACTGAATATTTAATAACTTATTGTTTATAATTCCACATCAAACCTTTAACGCAACTGTTCTTGGCAGTAGCAGCACACATCCGATGCATCATCTTGCCCTTCTTCAACATAGTCAGCGGCGTTGTTGCAATCTTCTTCTGTGTACTGGATGCAAGTGAAACCATCCATATCTTTCCAACTGGCATCGTCATCTGCAACGCAGTCAGCACCACCAGCAGGTGCTTCGTCAATAGGCTCTTCTTGAACAGTTTGTCCTCCATCACTTCCTCCATTAGAGCCAGAGCCAGCACCATCACATACGACAGAATCCAAGTTCCATTCATCGCAGATGGTCTTTTTCATCCACCCATATGCACTGCTGGTACTGGCATAGACTCCAGGACTGGTCGCACCTCCACAGAAGCCGCCTGATAGCAGTGGTTGTTGTTAGCATTCATTGGTACCGGCGAAACAATGTATCTAGCTAGCGAGATTGAGAAACTTACTGGAAGCGACAACGCCAACTTGAACTTGAGTCTTTCCATGAACTTTCATAATAGGACCTCCAGAGTCGCCGCCGCAGTGACCAGCTCCGTCAGCACCTGCAGAGCAAAACCAATATTATTAAGCGCGCTAATATTCTTCTCTTCCAACAGTAGATACACTAGGCACAACTTACCGGCGCAAAAGTTAGTGGGGTATGATACCCCACCATCGTACCAGTCTGGGGAGTTACATTGAGAATCCGAAATGGCAACGATATTCACCTTCCGAATTTTCTGGGCCACGTGCTCAGGATTGTCTGTATCCCAGAGTGTTCCTCCACCGACAACTGTGAGGATATCTCCGGGATTTGGAACAGATTCAGCCAATTCCAACGTGATGTCCGTGTCGACATAGACAGGTGACTTCAGCTTCAGCAACATGATATCCCATAGGTCTCCCGTCTCTTCTTTGAAACCCGGGTGTGCGAGTACAGATTCCACAATCCCAACCTGGGCTTGTTGATCATCGTCTGGAAGAACAGCGCCAATGTAGACTTCTTTGCCAACATAGTTGTTGGGCTTGCAATGGGCTGCGGTCAACACCACTTGGGGACCGATCAAGGACGCTCCGCATTGTCCTCCGCCAGTGAGTGCGCTCACTGAATGAATGAATCAATCATTCGAAAGGGAAAGGGACAAGACATGAGACCCTAGTACCCAAGCACAAGCTAGGATGTTCACTCAGAATGTAAATGAAGACTCACCAAAGTAGGGAAACTCTGAATGATGAAAGAAGACATCGGAAGAGAGCACGCAGATATTTAGAATTATGAAAAGATGACCGTAGCGCTGTTGTTCCACCTATTGAAAGCAACGTTTGTACTCACCTCCGCCACTAACAGCATTTCCTCCAACGATACGAGATTGGATCTTAGGTTCAGAACTCCTTTCCTCAGGAGTTCCCACAAAGCTTCTCTCACGAGGACCTTCTCCTCCGCTTCTCCTGTACACTCCATTTGCCTTCTTTCCCTTTGCTTCAACGGTAGTATCCGTGTCGTCGTTACGAGACCTAACGTGATCCGCCTCCGCAAGGGAAGACAACGCGAGAATGCCAATGAAAGCAGCTGAAAGGGAAAACTTCATGGTAATAATGCTTTAGAAATTTTATGTGAAAACTCTTCAATCCGAAGAACAACTTTGCGCTGCTGGGTTTTGTCACCTACCGGTACAGCACTGAAAAGATCTAGAATGACTTATTGCGTGACCCAGGTAGACTGGACAAATTACCTACTGGGTCGTACGTGTTTTTAAAACAAAAAGGATGAAAGATACATCGCGCTGGATGCATTCCACTGTACAGTACAAGTGTACAAGTACAGGTACATCTACCTGGTTCTTGTTCTACAGTATTTCTTCATCTTCTCACGTGTGGCGATCTGCATTTTTTTAAATAAAAATACGAATAAATAACCCGCTAATAAAAGGCTAAATAGAAAAAGGCATATAATAGCACGTGCGAATTCTATTTACGAAGTGTAAAAATATGGATTGTACTTCATCACGTGTACCACGCGCCGGCCAGTTTTTGTAGTCAAATTCGTCATGGCCAACAAGAGCTTCCATCAGCTGTAGAGTTTTAAAAACTTACAAACAAGCGAATTGATCTTAGAATGATTGCAGAGGATCGAACCTAATAGCATGATCCCGGCGCCACTGTTGTTCTTGGCCTACATAGTCAAATAAATTGACTGTCTCGTCTTCATGGTCAATCAAGCCTTTAAAGGGAAGTACGGCCTTCCACTGCAGCTCCCTTGCTTTTGCATTTTGAATTGGTGTTCTAAATAACTTTGTGATGATGGTTCGGCCAAGAGAGACATGGGGAATGCGTTCTTTTCTAAGGCAATGACAACAAGATATGATGGACGGTGACCTGGGGGAAGGGCGGGGGCAGGTTGTTTTCATGTGCAAAGCTACTTTTTTGGATTGTGTCATGTGTGTTGCTACTTTTTTGAGAGACGTCGGTGCCAAACTTATTTTCCGACTCTTTGTCTGTCCATCCACTCACATTATTCAAGCGATCTGTTGGAGGTGGAGGCCAGATTGACCGTGCCGGTGTCTTTTGGTAAATATAATGTGCTTGTTACGAAGTGTAAAAATATGGATTGTACTTCATCACGTGTACCACGCGCCGGCCAGTTTTTGTAGTCAAATTCGTCATGGCCAACAAGAGCTTCCATCAGCTGTAGAGTTTTAAAAACTTACAAACAAGCGAATTGATCTTAGAATGATTTTTTCATCATCCGATCTCCCCACTATAGTGCAGTAACGTTTGGGCTTTCATATCATTATCAGGATCGAGTTAGTCGTCTTACGACTTACTAGATCGTCTGTCCGTATGTCCTCATACATCACATCATTCATCACGTTCATCTAGCCACTCTATGAGTTACTGACGATTAACAAGTCGCTTCGCAGTTCTACCAACTAAGCTCATATTATGCCTTCAACTACACCCGCAGACAATAGTTTCGTCACTCCTAGCAAGACTGTTGATTTTTCTGGTGAAAATCCTGAGGAAACTGACAATACAGTTGATGAAAATGTTGCCGCGGCACTTCCTCCTGTGGTGCATGACAAATTCACCAAACCGGAGGCGTTGCTCATCACAAAGATTGTCTTTAACAAGGAGAATCCGACCAAACCGATGTTTGACGCGCTTCAGACTTTCTTTGACCACATTGGTGTTGAGAAACCGTCTGATCTTGAAGGACAGGATGTAGATGACTTACTCAGTCATGGAGAGGATGCCCTCCCAGATGGCGGCCTAATTCGCGGTGTCATCACTGGGCGCCTCAAGAAGTTTCTCCTCTACGCATCTGCCCCTTCTGTGGTCATCGATCCCAGTCTTACCTACCAAAAGATTGTGCAATTTTCGATTGACCAAGCAAAACAAAATATTCCTACTACTCCTATTGATTTGACAAAAGCAATTGGCGAACGTCAAGGCATGAAGTTTCGCTGTCCAGAGGTCGAACCATTCAGTGGCGAATCTACTGTATATTGGCCTTGGACATCTAAGGTTGCTTTGGAATTTGGACAATCCGGTATAGAACTTGCTCTAACGGATGCAAAGTTCCATGAACAATCTACTTGGCACAAGGATGCATCAAGTCAGGGTTTCTACGCAATTGCAAAAGCTCTGAATGATGGTACCGCTAGCCATATTGCCGATGAGGTGAAAGAAAAGAGGGGACAAACTGTGGCCTACGATCTTTACCAACGATTACTAGAGACCTACAACTCTCCGGAGGATCAGGCCCATTTTGTAATGTATGCAATTGACGAGTTGACTTCCATCAAGTTGACTCACGAAGTTACAGTTCCTGATTTTATTTCCAATTGGAAGTCCATTACTACAAGATTGCGGAAAAGTAATCAATCACTGGCCACAAGCCGTGAGCTTCTCCGTGTTTTCCTCCTCAAGGCAATTGTCTCTGACACCTACAGTGACATGAGACGTTACATTGTGAAGTACCCGTTAGCTTCCATTGACGAGTATCTTGAACAATTACGCTCCCACAGTAAAACACAAGCTCTCATTGACGAGGACTCCCCTGTACGTGCCTGTATTCTTTAGTATTGGCATAGTGCCATGCTTGAGAGGAGGTAGATCGGGTGATGTCTTTGTCCATAAGCTACAGACGAAGAGGAGGTCAGGATCGAGTTAGTCGTCTTACGACTTACTAGATCGTCTGTCCGTATGTCCTCATACATCACATCATTCATCACGTTCATCTAGCCACTCTATGAGTTACTGACAAATCAATATATACTTTTGCATGAATGACCTCCCCTTGACCCTTCACCTTACCTCTACTCTTGCCCCTATCGCACACGTGTACAGTAGAACTGACCCCTGACCCCGACAGACCTACAACCCCATTCCCAACTTCCAAAACTAAACTGATAAAAAATGAAAATAGCGTACACCTGCAAAGGGTATAAGTGTCAAGTGTTAAGAAGGTCCGCAAATAGTGCGTAACGTGCCTTATCATCATGAAGGCTAAATTTTCATCTCAGTTTTCACGTGCACACCAAGCAAACCCGCTTTGGGAAAAGAAGACTGGCCACTTTGCAGATCAACAGGACTGAATATTTAATAACTTATTGTTTATAATTCCACATCAAACCTTTAACGCAACTGTTCTTGGCAGTAGCAGCACACATCCGATGCATCATCTTGCCCTTCTTCAACATAGTCAGCGGCGTTGTTGCAATCTTCTTCTGTGTACTGGATGCAAGTGAAACCATCCATATCTTTCCAACTGGCATCGTCATCTGCAACGCAGTCAGCACCACCAGCAGGTGCTTCGTCAATAGGCTCTTCTTGAACAGTTTGTCCTCCATCACTTCCTCCATTAGAGCCAGAGCCAGCACCATCACATACGACAGAATCCAAGTTCCATTCATCGCAGATGGTCTTTTTCATCCACCCATATGCACTGCTGGTACTGGCATAGACTCCAGGACTGGTCGCACCTCCACAGAAGCCGCCTGATAGCAGTGGTTGTTGTTAGCATTCATTGGTACCGGCGAAACAATGTATCTAGCTAGCGAGATTGAGAAACTTACTGGAAGCGACAACGCCAACTTGAACTTGAGTCTTTCCATGAACTTTCATAATAGGACCTCCAGAGTCGCCGCCGCAGTGACCAGCTCCGTCAGCACCTGCAGAGCAAAACCAATATTATTAAGCGCGCTAATATTCTTCTCTTCCAACAGTAGATACACTAGGCACAACTTACCGGCGCAAAAGTTAGTGGGGTATGATACCCCACCATCGTACCAGTCTGGGGAGTTACATTGAGAATCCGAAATGGCAACGATATTCACCTTCCGAATTTTCTGGGCCACGTGCTCAGGATTGTCTGTATCCCAGAGTGTTCCTCCACCGACAACTGTGAGGATATCTCCGGGATTTGGAACAGATTCAGCCAATTCCAACGTGATGTCCGTGTCGACATAGACAGGTGACTTCAGCTTCAGCAACATGATATCCCATAGGTCTCCCGTCTCTTCTTTGAAACCCGGGTGTGCGAGTACAGATTCCACAATCCCAACCTGGGCTTGTTGATCATCGTCTGGAAGAACAGCGCCAATGTAGACTTCTTTGCCAACATAGTTGTTGGGCTTGCAATGGGCTGCGGTCAACACCACTTGGGGACCGATCAAGGACGCTCCGCATTGTCCTCCGCCAGTGAGTGCGCTCACTGAATGAATGAATCAATCATTCGAAAGGGAAAGGGACAAGACATGAGACCCTAGTACCCAAGCACAAGCTAGGATGTTCACTCAGAATGTAAATGAAGACTCACCAAAGTAGGGAAACTCTGAATGATGAAAGAAGACATCGGAAGAGAGCACGCAGATATTTAGAATTATGAAAAGATGACCGTAGCGCTGTTGTTCCACCTATTGAAAGCAACGTTTGTACTCACCTCCGCCACTAACAGCATTTCCTCCAACGATACGAGATTGGATCTTAGGTTCAGAACTCCTTTCCTCAGGAGTTCCCACAAAGCTTCTCTCACGAGGACCTTCTCCTCCGCTTCTCCTGTACACTCCATTTGCCTTCTTTCCCTTTGCTTCAACGGTAGTATCCGTGTCGTCGTTACGAGACCTAACGTGATCCGCCTCCGCAAGGGAAGACAACGCGAGAATGCCAATGAAAGCAGCTGAAAGGGAAAACTTCATGGTAATAATGCTTTAGAAATTTTATGTGAAAACTCTTCAATCCGAAGAACAACTTTGCGCTGCTGGGTTTTGTCACCTACCGGTACAGCACTGAAAAGATCTAGAATGACTTATTGCGTGACCCAGGTAGACTGGACAAATTACCTACTGGGTCGTACGTGTTTTTAAAACAAAAAGGATGAAAGATACATCGCGCTGGATGCATTCCACTGTACAGTACAAGTGTACAAGTACAGGTACATCTACCTGGTTCTTGTTCTATGGCGATCTGCATTTTTTAAATAAAAATACGAATAAATAACCCGCTAATAAAAGGCTAAATAGAAAAAGGCATATAATAGCACGTGCGAATTCTATTTACGAAGTGTAAAAATATGGATTGTACTTCATCACGTGTACCACGCGCCGGCCAGTTTTTGTAGTCAAATTCGTCATGGCCAACAAGAGCTTCCATCAGCTGTAGAGTTTTAAAAACTTACAAACAAGCGAATTGATCTTAGAATGATTTTTTCATCATCCGATCTCCCCACTATAGTGCAGTAACGTTTGGGCTTTCATATCATTATCAGGATCGAGTTAGTCGTCTTACGACTTACTAGATCGTCTGTCCGTATGTCCTCATACATCACATCATTCATCACGTTCATCTAGCCACTCTATGAGTTACTGACGATTAACAAGTCGCTTCGCAGTTCTACCAACTAAGCTCATATTATGCCTTCAACTACACCCGCAGACAATAGTTTCGTCACTCCTAGCAAGACTGTTGATTTTTCTGGTGAAAATCCTGAGGAAACTGACAATACAGTTGATGAAAATGTTGCCGCGGCACTTCCTCCTGTGGTGCATGACAAATTCACCAAACCGGAGGCGTTGCTCATCACAAAGATTGTCTTTAACAAGGAGAATCCGACCAAACCGATGTTTGACGCGCTTCAGACTTTCTTTGACCACATTGGTGTTGAGAAACCGTCTGATCTTGAAGGACAGGATGTAGATGACTTACTCAGTCATGGAGAGGATGCCCTCCCAGATGGCGGCCTAATTCGCGGTGTCATCACTGGGCGCCTCAAGAAGTTTCTCCTCTACGCATCTGCCCCTTCTGTGGTCATCGATCCCAGTCTTACCTACCAAAAGATTGTGCAATTTTCGATTGACCAAGCAAAACAAAATATTCCTACTACTCCTATTGATTTGACAAAAGCAATTGGCGAACGTCAAGGCATGAAGTTTCGCTGTCCAGAGGTCGAACCATTCAGTGGCGAATCTACTGTATATTGGCCTTGGACATCTAAGGTTGCTTTGGAATTTGGACAATCCGGTATAGAACTTGCTCTAACGGATGCAAAGTTCCATGAACAATCTACTTGGCACAAGGATGCATCAAGTCAGGGTTTCTACGCAATTGCAAAAGCTCTGAATGATGGTACCGCTAGCCACATTGCCGATGAGGTGAAAGAAAAGAGGGGACAAACTGTGGCCTACGATCTATACCAACGATTACTAGAGACCTACAACTCTCCGGAGGATCAGGCCCATTTTGTAATGTATGCAATTGACGAGTTGACTTCCATCAAGTTGACTCACGAAGTTACAGTTCCTGATTTTATTTCCAATTGGAAGTCCATTACTACACGATTGCGGAAAAGTAATCAATCACTGGCCACAAGCCGTGAGCTTCTCCGTGTTTTCCTCCTCAAGGCAATTGTCTCTGACACCTACAGTGACATGAGACGTTACATTGTGAAGTACCCGTTAGCTTCCATTGACGAGTATCTTGAACAATTACGCTCCCACAGTAAAACACAAGCTCTCATTGACGAGGACTCCCCTGTACGTGCCTGTATTCTTTAGTATTGGCATAGTGCCATGCTTGAGAGGAGGTAGATCGGGTGATGTCTTTGTCCATAAGCTACAGACGAAGAGGAGGTCAGGATCGAGTTAGTCGTCTTACGACTTACTAGATCGTCTGTCCGTATGTCCTCATACATCACATCATTCATCACGTTCATCTAGCCACTCTATGAGTTACTGACAAATCAATATATACTTTTGCATGAATGACCTCCCCTTGACCCTTCACCTTACCTCTACTCTTGCCCCTATCGCACACGTGTACAGTAGAACTGACCCCTGACCCCGACAGACCTACAACCCCATTCC